ATTTAAAATTATTATAAAACTACATTTTATTAATAATAAAAATTTAATAATAAAAAATTAAACATTAAATTTATAATAATTTATTATATAATAATAACATATAAAATATTTTTTATTTTTATAATTTAAAGTTAATATTTTACTTTTTTTACTTTTTTATTTTTTTTATATATTTATATAACATCGTATTTTTATATATAAAACTTTTACATTAAAATTTATTAATAATAAAACATTAAAACGTTATAATTAACATTATAATTAACATTATAATTAACATTATAATTAATATAACGTATAAAAATAAAATACTTTTTATTTTAATAATTTAATAATATTATTAATTAAATTTTCCCGTTTTTTTATATATTAAACTTTAACATTTATTATAATTAACGCGTTATAATTAATATTATAATTATTATTAATATTAATAATAATAATATTTATAATAACATTTATAATAATATATAAAATACTTTATTTATAATACGTAATTAATAATAATATTTTTTAAACTTTTTTACTTTTTTTATATATTTATATAATATTATTTTCTTTTATATTAAACTTTATAACATATATTATAACCGTTATTATAATTAACGCGTTATAACCGTTATAACCACTTTTAATATTTTAAAATATAAAACGTATAAATTTAATTAATAAATTTAATTAATAAATTTAATAATAAAATTAATATAATTATATAATTAATTAATATTTATTATAAAAACGCATTAATATTATTATTTTTAATAATATTTTTTTACCGTAAATTAATTTTTTATTAAACGATTATTTATAATAATTTTAAATTAAAATTTCGATATTATTTTAAAAGATTTATATAAATTATAATTAATTAAAAATTAATATAGACAATTGCTATTGGTACACCCTCGTTTTACTATCGGAGCTTATTGGTACACCCAGTACATTTAAATACATCCCACCCATTTTCAACTCCCACCACATCAACCAACATCAACCATTACACGCTCCTCGATCCAACGATTCAGCATATAAGATTTACATCGCTAGTTTCGCGTCAATTAGAGCTTTCTAATGATAAAAGTCTCCATTAAATGCATGCGTTATTTCAAAAGTTATTAGAATGTATACTCAATTAAACGCAGATGCGACCGCGCGAAAGGGTATCACGTGGTCTCCCCCCAGAGCCGCCACCACCACCACCACCACCACACATATTCGAATAACTTCATATTGAAAGCCTGCACCAGGTCGAAAGGTATATCATTTGAAAGCCCTAATCAAGGCGAAACTAATGATTCAGTCTTTGTATGTTGAACTGTCGATATGAGTATGGTATCATGGTCGTTTTGTTGGATGAGGCTCTGCGGGAGGCTCTTTTGCGGTCGCATTTGCATTCAATTGAATATATACGTATATTCTTGAATAACTTCTGAAATACCGCATGCATTTCATCAAGACCTATATCATTAGAAAGCTCTAATTGAGGCGAAAACAGCGATACGATACTTTTATATTGCATTGTGGGATTGAAAAGGTTGTGTGGGCAATTGTGTGGGCAATTGATGTAATTGAATGCGGGTGGGTAGGGATGTACCTTTTGTATTGGGTGTACCAATAAGCCCCCGATAGCAAAACGAGGGTGTACCAATAGCAATTGTCTTAATATAATTATAAAAGGTATATTTTTTTAAATTAATATTAAAACTCGGTTTAAAATCACTTAAAATAAAGATATATTACGTAATTAATATTATTTTTTTATATAATTAATATTATTTTTTTTATATATATAATTATTTTTTTTAAATATTTTTTTTAATTTTAAATTTAATTACATATAATTAAATTTATAAATTTTATTATTTTTTTTATTTAAATTATTATATAAATTATATATAAGTTAAATTAATTTTTATAAAATTATTAAAATAACCGTTAAAAAGGTAAAAAAAAAGTACCGGGTACGTACCCCGCATACATATTGCGCAACTAGCGTTACTTTTATGTAATACATTTTTACAAGTTTAAAGTTGTGATCAATCGCTTAAGTATGATAAAGCGGGGTTATTAAAGGTTGTGCTGTACATGAGGTGTCACCTGCAAAGCACCCAACATTTGAATTAGCACGGCGACCAACCACGTCTAATTCTTGACCGCTAGATAGGTAGCTTAAGTAGCGTTTGATGCGGGACCGCGGGACATCGGATCCCTGTTTCGCTTGAAAATATTTTTTTAATTGGCAGTGATAGCAAAGGGAAGGAACTTTTCTCTACCCAGTCACTTCCCTGTTCCAACTATCGGAACCTATCGTATCTTTTTTTCCCCTCTCAACATCTCATTTTATGCATGCAACGGAATGAATGAATGAACAATTTGTTTAATTGATACCTAGCATCTCAATTCTGTTACTTGATTGATTGCAGTCGGATACCCCCCCAACAAAGCAAGCATCATTTGCTAGAAAGCCGTTGCATTTTGTTTGAACCCTGAACCCTCATTCCCCATTCGCAGCACATTTTGCGATCAAAATTGCAATTTGCAACCTCGATTCTCTTTCCGGCTTACATATACAAAGGACGCAAAGAAGCACATTACGAGATGGGTAACATACTCTCTACGTTCTCTAGTGCCGCTGCTCTTGCCAAGGAAGAAAGGGAAGCCATAGAGAAGAAGATTTCGGAGAGAGACGAGAACATCACCACCCTCGAGAAGGACTTGGCCACGAAGGAAAAGGAACTCTCAGAGGCCAAGGAAGAACTCAACAAGGCCACCGAGGAAGCAGAGGCCCTGCGCAAAAAGGTTGACGAATTGGAAGCGCAGTCCACATCACTGAAGCAGGAAAACCAGGAACAGGCTGATAAGCTCCAAAATGAGCTAAAGCAGACTTCCGACGACTCCGCCTCGGTGCGTCGCACTCTCGAAGAGTCTGCCTCTGCCAAAGCCCAGGAGCTCGAGGAGAAACGCGCCGAACTAGCACAGAAACAGGACGAGGTGAACGCCTTACAGCAGGAGAAGAACTCACTAAGCGAGGAGCTATCAGCCGTTAAGCGAGAATTGGCCGATGCTATCGAGCAGCGAAATTCCCTCGAAGCCTCTTTGAAGGAAGAATTGGCCGGCGTGAAAGAGGAATTGATTGCCTCAAGCCAGAAACACGAGGCCCTGCAGAGCGATCACAGCAAGCTCACCGAAGAGCTCGCATCCGCAAAGACTCGCCGGGACGAATTAGAGGAGAGTCTTACAAAATCGCTGACCGAGCTTAAGGCCCTCGAGCAAACCCACGATCAGCTCAAGAAGGAATCCGACGAGGAGATTGCCTTAGCAAAGAAGACTCTAGCTGAAACGCAGCAGAAGCATGATGACTTGCAACAAGCCCATGGCCAGTTACAGACAGAATCCGGTGAGAAGGCTGCCGAGGCAGAGAGGAATGTAGCCGAATGGAAGCAAAAGCACGAGTCCTTGCAGGAGAAATACGACAATCTTACTAAGGAAGTAGAAGACGCCAAGAAGAGCTTAGCCGATGCTGAAGAGAAGAGACAGTCGCTTGAGCAAGCCCATGAGGCCGAATTGGAGCGACTGCGTACCGATGCGGAAAAGCTACAACAAAACATTGCTGCTCTAGAAGAGAGCCAGAACAAGCTAAAGGCGGATCACTCGGCCGAGCTCTCGAGTGCCCAGAAAGAGGCAAGCGAATTGGAGAGCAAATTAAAATCGACTCAGGAGGAAGCCGAGGCACTACAAAAGCAGCTTGAGGCCCAAGCCGCTGAACTTGAGAAGGCGAAGCAAGAAGCTGCCGAGTTACAAGACAAGATCACAGCCACCGAGGGCGAACGTGAAAAGTTGCAAGCGCAACATGATGAGCAATCTGCTACACTTCAAAAGCAAACGCAAGAAGGGGCTGAGTTACAAGGAAAGATTAAGGCTGCCGAGGATGAACGTGAGAAATTGCAAGCGCAACACGACGAACAGGCTGCCACGCTCGAAAAACAAAAGCAAGAAGCAGCTGAGTTGCGGGAAAAGTTGGAATCTGTCCAGAACGAACGAGAGAATCTGCAGAAGCAACATGATGAACAAGCGGGAGAGATCACTAGCCTCAAAGCTAAGGCCGAGGAGATCAATGCTAATGCCGAGGAGGCTAATGCCAGGGCTGCCAAGGTTGAAGAAGACCTCAAGCAAGCTCAATCTGTAGGCCAACTCTCACATTCCGAAGGCATTTTTTTTATACAATTTAAGCTAACTTTAATATTAGGAGAAGACTACCCTCGAAACGAAGGTCAGCGAGCTCCAGTCCGAAAAGCAGGAAGATGAGAAGACTCAGTCCGATCTGAACGCCAAGCTGGTAGACGCTCAAGCTGATGTCGCTCGCTTGGAATCCGAGAAGAAGGAAGCCACAGAAAAAATTGAGAGTCTTGAGGAGCAAGTTAAGCAGTTGAAGGCGGCTGCGGCGCCTAAGGTCAACGGCACCGCTACTGAGAATGGCACTACCGAGAATGGTACTACCGAGAATGGTACTACCGAGAACGGTATCGCCGAGAGCAAGGAGCCGGAGAAAGTTGCAGCTTAGTTGCTATCATTGCCCCGGGACGCAGCTGCAGCGTAACCATGACGACTTGGACGCAGACGGCATTGTCGATAACGTCCGTTATGACGAAGGAACTATAATTCTAATACCACTCAGTACATTTTGTAGCGTTGCGCCAGTTGTTCTATAGATGCATGGCGACTGCTGATTTCTTAAACCTAAGCTCGAGCACGCGCCGGCTTCAGCTGTGAGCAGTAGAAGGGAATATGCCGTGGACGTACTGCCTGGTAAGCCTCTAAGGAGGTAATCTGTTTGGGTTGACGGAAACGGATTGATGAGGCTAGGGAGATACCAATGGAAATATGGTCACAGATCCGTATATGGACTAGTCTTCGTTTCTCAAGTTAGGCGTAGCAATGGTCGTTCGAGGTGATACTATACCAATGAAGATATTTGACATTCCTTTACACAATACTATGATACCCCTAGCCGAACTCGACAGTGATGTGATCATTTAGACACTAACTTTCGTTTGAACTTTCTAATTACTTTTTCTAACTAGGGCCTTCATCAACCGCAAGCAGGCTCATCTGCAGCGGCACGAGTCGTTTCTTGACCAGATCCCCCCCCATACGCTCCACCATCAAGAATAACGGCCTCGTTATCGTCTAGATCATCTTGTACTCTCCTCCACCGAGTGGTCTTGGGATTACGACCTTCCAGTTTGGCTCCCTCGCCTCCGGCGTCAAAAACTGGCTTGATTAGCGAGCCTAATAATGGATTCTTGCTAAAAGCTCCTCCAGTTCCGCTTCCTCTACTCGCATTGTTGCGGTTAGTATTATCGATCTCCTGTAGGGTCGTGTCGATCTGTATGTCGTCTTCAGGGCTCCCTGGCCGCTCAACGGCTGCCATCTTCCTGACTACCTTGCCACCTACTACGTCTATGCTGATAACTTGCCGCCGTTTCTCGTAGTCTGGTCGAGCACTCCATTCTATCTCTCTTAGAACTTTCTGCTGACGTTTTAATTCTCGAGCTCTCTCCTCGGGTGTGGCCCAGATATTACCGCCGAATCCTGTCATAGCCCCGCTAACATCGAAGTCGGCGGCCTCGTCCCGGACAGTCGTTCGTCGTGCGTTCTGAGCCTGAAATCCTAGCAGACGATCTCGGTGCTCTAGAGCCCTCGCCTGTGCCTCGCTAGTCTCGCTAGTAATTTCTTTGGGTTTTGAGAAAGGAGTGGGAGTCCTCGACACGTCGGCCTTCTTGTTAGCTTCGCGGTTGGCGGCCATTTTCTCTCGGCCTCGCTCGTCACGAAGTTCGCGTATCATTAACTGTATCTCGGCTGGGCTCAGAAGCGGCGTGCCGCAGAAAGTGCATGGTCCGAGGCCCTCTTTTACACATACAACTTTCCCGCAATTCATGCAGTTCGGTGTGGCAGCGAGCAGGGGATGCCTAGCAGCGACACAGTTGCATTTTCGAGCGGAATCATCTGTCCCTAGAGTAGGATTCGTGGCTGTTTCAAGAAGGCGAATAGCATTGTCTAGGTCTGATAAAGCTGTAGATGCGCCATGCATAGCAGTGCCACCAGAGATATGGACTTTGGTTTTCGGAGCCGGCGTTGAGGACCGTGAAGCAGGCGTGGACTTTGGCTTGGGCCCCCGGACATCTGATATCAGCTGACCCGCGGCAGAAGGAGGTAACTTTGGCGGAGGAGGAGGAGTAGCGGATTTCTGAGGCGGAAGCTTCTTTTTTCCGGACCCAGATCCAGCTGAAGTCGCAGCTGGACTGGGACGCCGAGTGATGTAGTCGTTCTCAGCATTCTTGTTATATGCGGTTCCTGGTGCAGGGCCAAGGTTGGTGACTTGACGTGGAGCGGGAGTATGCAACTGAGCCTTTGGCTTTTTAGGTGCTCTCGCCGGCTTCGGCACAGGTTCGATATGTGAGGAAGACCTATTTGAGGATGTAGCGGAAGCTGTGGGGTCTTGTCTCTTGGAATTAAAAGAAGCTATAAAATCAATAGATTCAGGCGATTCGCCGAGTAGATTCCGAAAATGCTCGGCAGCGTCTGGCTTAGAGAGCGTAGCCGCATAGTCTATGACTTGCTTCAGTTCACCCTCGGGTAGAGGTAATAGCTTTGATAGTTGAAATACTGACATAACAGCTCGAAATTAACTGAGAATAAATTGGAAATATGAGATCCGTTTGGAATGAGATGGTTTGCTGGTTTAGATATAATGTGATTTATTCTGAAGTGGAAAAAGGTTCCAAGGTTTTATTGGACAGCAATTAGAGATCACACACGCCGAAGCCGACGTAGGTACAATACATTGCACTGATGTATCAATGTACCTTAGGTACCTATGTATGTACCTATATAATAAGGTTTCGCAGCTGGCCCCAGCTGTAAACTTTTACAACCCCAACAAAAAGTTGCCCTTACCTTTCTTTACTTCTTTATTTATTTGTCGGCTTGTTTATAGACGTATCTAGGGTGTTGCTATCTCTCAAAATTTGTGTTAGTTCTGGAGCCATGTAACCTTTTTTTGGTCACGTCCCAACTTGGGAGCGCTCTAGATTTGTCTATATTCGATAATGTCATCGATTAGTTCTCCAAAAGCCCGACGAATTCAGGTTCTAAGGGAACATAAAGCAGCATTGGAGACCCTAAAGATCTATCTGACCTAGGTCATGATGGCTATCGTCGAATTTCAAGGTGAAAGACCTAGCTATTGACCTATCGCAAGCTATCTGGGGTTGGCATTGACTATATTTCCTAGACATGCTGACATGCGGAGGGGTCATACTTGTGACGTTATGCGCATGACTATTTCATCCCTCGGCCACATGAGACTCCCCTCAACGACCTACCTACTTAGGTAGTTAGTATGAAGGGTATCTTAGGCGGGGAAATCTACATAAAGATAGCGTTAATATCCTTATGTATTAAACAAGTCGAGGATGATCGTCAGGGAATTAATACAAAATTGGTTCAGCCTACGCAGATCTTTCTATATCAATCTTGGGGAGGTTGGTGTCTGTTACTTTTATCTATTTCATAATAAAGTAAAATACTAATAACTGTGAGTTAGATATTGTTTACGTTTAATACTTACAACTCGAGTACTTGCCTGACCAATCCGATACGATATACCTAACTTGGTAGGTATATATAAGGTTGTTCCTGACATCTCAGTCATTGCGGGGATCTGAGTGGGGAGAAATTCCCCTAGATTCAGGGACGTCGCAGCGTCGCAGCGTCGCAGGTCCGTTGCTTACTGGTGTCTGCCGTTTCTCTCCGTTATTTTTACCGAAGCCTCCGCAGGTACATTGCATACCTATCTACACCACTTATACCATCTGCAGCCCTACCTTCATGGGCATCCATATAGATTAATAGTACGTTAATACTCACTCAATATACATCGTGTCCAATCGGTCGGGGATTTGCTACTGCTGCTCTCAGTTAGTATCAAGTTGGTATCACCCCGATCGATGCAGCTTCGATAGGTCGCATCGCAAGGTAACCCTACCTACCTTGGTACTTTCGTCACCCAAGCTAGAGTCTGCCTAGTAGGATCTGTTGCTCGCACGATGGCGCGGCCGTCTTATAACACCTTTGAATCGGCCGATTCTAAGAGCCCTAAACTCAAGGAACAAATTGATTCGTTGCCTCTACATTACGGCACGGGGAATTCACTGAGGAGAAAAAGGGATGGCGGGCCATCCGATGCTGATTATCTGCTTTTCAAACTGACCGCTCTCATTTCGGCTGTTGGAGTTTTCTGCGTGCTCGCCTATACTCTCCTCGTACAGCGAGCACCTCCTCAGTCTGACCTTGAAGACGTCAAGGGCACTTCGTTCTTGGATCATGAGACGCCTCTCAGCGCATTCGCGGGCAAATCATTCCTGAGACATAATATCCCTTTCATCGACATCCCCGATCCGCTTATCCAGGATGTTTATTATTACAGGTGGACATCTATTCAGCGTAATCTTCGCTACATCAGGGCTGGAACGGGTTATATGTGTACCGAGTTCGTCCAACCAGTTGGCTATGCCAAGGCTTTTGGTTCTATCGATGCCGCGGCTGGACATCAGATTGACGAGTCAAGATGGTTGAGAGATACCTTCTATGGTGATGACTATATCCATCTTTATACCCGTGGGCCAGCCGACGCCCTGCAATACACCCAATGGATCATCGACGCTGCGAGTCGCCGTGCCATGGTGACCGGAGACACCCATTTTCTTGCTGCCCAGCTCGATGACTTGATTCGTATATGGCATGAATGGGATCAAGTCTATGACGGGACAGCCGGCTTATACTACTACCAGCCAGTTTGGGATGCGCAAGAATTATCTCTGCCGGGCTTTATTGCCGACCCTAATGGGACTGATTGGACTCTAAGGAAGGATGGCCCTGATACCTTCAGGCCTAGCCATAACGCCTATATGGTGGCAAACGCTAGGGCAATAGCTCGGGCTGCCCACTTTGCTCGCGATGGGTTTAGGGAGGTTCAGTTTTCCATTATGGCCGACAGCCTCGAAGAGGCTATGTATAAGAGGATGTGGGCCCCCGAGCAGCAGTTCTTTATGGACATTATTCGACCTAATAACCCTAATTTCACACGGCTTACCGGAAGAGAGCAAGTTGGTCTATTTCCATATCGATTTGGCATTGGCCTGAATAAATCATATGCACAGCCGGCTATCAATGCTATGTTTGATCCGGAAGGGTTCTTAGCTCCTTACGGCCCAACAACGTTAGAGATACGAGATCCATGGTTCATGGCTACTAGGCCGGACGATTACTGTACGCTGAAGTTCGAAATTATGACCCCAATGAAGTATCTTGCAACTTGCTGACTGTCTCATAGGTTGTTACTGGAATGGTATGTCCTGGCCGTATTCAACAGGTCATACCTTGAAGTCACTCGCAGCAATATATCGCTCTGGGACTACAAATGTTACCGCAGAGCAGTACCTACAATACCTTCAGACGTATGCGAGAACTCAACAGAAAGACGGCCACCCCTATGTTGCAGAATCCCACTATCCCTTTCTAGATGCTTGGAGCGCCGACGGTTGGAATCACTCAGAGCATTACGATCACTCGACTAACAACGACGATGTCATAACTGGCTTGCTCGGGATCATACCGCAGCAAGATAACACACTCGAAATATCGCCTATTACTCCAAAGAACTGGACTTACTTTGCCCTCGAAAATCTGTCATATCATGGGCACCTTGTCACCATACTCTATGATAAATATGGATCAAGATATAAAGTTGGACATGGCTTGACTGTTTTTGTTGACGGTAAGAAGATATATACCGGCATTGGAAAGCATGCTACGATACGCATCCCCCCACCAATATTATCAGCCGATGCCTTGATCAACATTGCAGGTTTGTATTGGTCATTATACTATGTTTCTACCCCTCTCCTGAGTTGTTTCCTTTGATTTTACACCCAACCTGGGTTTTTCTACATAATCCAAATTAAAATCATGGCTAATGGATACAGCGAATCCTACTGGGCCTGGACAGTACCCGATGGCTAATGCGACGTACACCAATTCTGGTGACTTCCAGTTCAAGGCTATTGATGGTGTTCTGTTTTATGACTCGATTCCCGACAATCGATGGACAAACTACGGATCACCAAATCGAAATGATACACTTACAGTTACGTTTGCTCGGCCTAGAAACATATCCTCTATCACACTCGCGTTGTTCTCAGACGTCGTAAGAGGAGGAGGCGTAGATGTGCCGGCTCGTATAGAGGTATATGGGTCCACCGGGTTGTTAGCTACGGTCAATGATTCCTCCAGCTTATTGCCTAATGACCGTAACGAAATAACCTTTGATCAAACCGAGACACAGTTCTTAGCCGTTAACTTGTATCGGAAGGCGTCTCACCTCTGGGTCGGTATCTGCGAACTGGAGGTTTGGACGCCGCCCATCCCCGGCCCAACCTACTACACAGTTGATGCTTACCTTACTGGGAAAGACACACGTGTCGTCTTTGATAACAGCTCAACTGCTACGGCAAACGGGGCAGTGGTTGGAGGACTGGGTGCGGATAGCAATGTAGCCTTTTCCGGAATCGTGTCCAGTGGTGGTCAGACCTCTTTAATACTCACCTACTCGAATGCTGGTAACACGACGGTAGGGCTAAGTGTCGAAGTCAACCAGGTGCCACAGACGAGCCTGGATCTTTTCCCTAGCAAGGGGAAATACGTCAATACTACGGCAACGGTTATATTGGCTTCTGGAAAGAACTACGTTAGCTTGAGGGGAGGCTCAGAGGACGAAGGTGTAAGGCTGGAGACTTTAAAATTGGAGTAAATTATCTATGAGATGGAACAGATGATGAAATAAGAGTCTCGAGATAATTGTTTGAATATACTTAAGTACATGAGGTAAGGTACATGGTGGATTGTACCGGATTTAGGACCTGGTACATCTAAATAAACCCTGGGTACATACCTTGTAGGTACTTCGCTTTCAGCTACATAGGTTAGGTACATTTACATGTCTGTGCGCTGGAGCAAAGGAGCCACAGCCCTGCAGAAACCTTGTACACACAGTGCATGTGGCAGTACCTAGTGGCAGAGTACCTAAGGTAGCTCAAACATGCATATGTGGTTTGTGCAACAACGAGAGAGGTACGAAAGTACATAGGTAACTGCAAGGCACTCAATCAGTTGCCAACACTTGTCATAAGCGATAGTTGCCACACGTCATCTCGATTTTCCGAGTTCAACAATTTCTAACTAGTTAGTTTATTCGAAATAGTTTTCCTTTACTTTCGCTCTTTTTTGTTGTCCACTTCAACGTTGGACGTATTAGCGCTGTTCTATCCGCCCTGACCGCCTGCGTACGATTGATTACAAGGGAGAAGAATAACTACGGTTTATACACTTTTTGGGTCTCTTAAGTCTCTTAGACTTATGGGATCACCGAGAGGCCCGGTGTTATAATGGCTCTCGTCGACAATTCCCAGATTCAGGGCGCCGAGTTGCTCAAGCCGCTCCCCCTCTATCTTCACACATATGTCGCGCCCTTTGCCATAATATGGCCCATATTCGCCCGTTATTTCTATACTCCCGAGTTATACGCCAAGCATATCGGTTCGTCTGAGTGGACTTTCGTCTGGTGCGGCGCCATCATTACTCTGCAGAGTTTGGTCTGGCTTAGCACAAACTGGAGCGTCAACTTGAAGGCTCTCTTTACTGCGAGGAAAGCAAGCAGGATCGAAGATGCGCAACTGATCAAGGTCATCCCTATCGCCAATGCCGGCACAGCTGACATCTGCAAACTTAATCGCGATAAGGTATACGCCTTCTCCCTTCTCCCTTCATTCTAGTCCCCTTTGCTCTTGCTAACTGCCTTGCTCGCTCTAGGTCGGTGACAAGACAAATCTATCTTTTCTATTTCAGAAACGCCGTTTCCTCTATGACCCTGCGAAGAAATCCTTCAGTCCCCTGACCTACGAAATCGACTCTGAGCCTAAGCCTCAGATCGGGAAGTTTCAGAAATCGACGGGCATCTCTTCTCAAGCAGAACTCACTAAGCTTGAGCAATACTATGGATCTAATACCTTTGACATTCCCGTCCCTACCTTTACCGAGCTCTTCCGAGAGCATGCCGTTGCTCCCTTCTTCGTCTTCCAGGTCTTCTGCGTTGGTCTCTGGATGCTGGATGAGTACTGGTACTATTCTCTATTTACCCTATTTATGCTTGTTGCATTCGAGAGCACGGTAGTCTGGCAGCGACAGCGTACGCTGGTCGAATTTCGAGGCATGAGTATTAAGCCGTACGACATGTGGGTGTACCGATTGGGCAAGTGGACCGAGCTCGAGAGCGACAAGCTGCTTCCGGGAGACCTTGTTTCCGTTGGGCGAACTAAAGAGGATAGCGGTGTTGCTTGTGATATGCTTCTGGTCGAGGGCACAGCTATCGTTAACGAAGCTATGCTTTCAGGAGAGAGCACACCGTTATTGAAGGATTCGATACAACTTAGACCCGCCGATGCTTCCATCGATACCGAGGGACTGGATAAAAATGCTTTCCTCTGGGGTGGCACTAAAGTCCTGCAGATTACACATGGTAATCCCGATGAGGAGAAGCCCAAGCTCGCCTCAGGTGTTCCCCCGCCTCCTGACAATGGCGCCATGGCCATCGTGATGAAAACCGGCTTCGAGACGTCCCAGGGTAGTCTGGTTCGCACTATGATTTACTCGACGGAGCGCGTTTCTGCGAATAATGCCGAAGCTTTGTTTTTTATTCTCTTTCTCCTCATCTTTGCGGTGGCCGCTTCGTGGTATGTTTGGGACGAGGGTGTCAAGAAAGATCGCAAGAGATCGAAGTTGCTCCTCGACTGTGTTTTGATCGTCACCAGCGTCGTGCCCCCTGAGCTTCCCATGGAGCTCAGCTTGGCAGTCAATACTAGTCTGGCAGCCCTGGCTAAGTTTGCTATCTTCTGCACTGAACCTTTCCGTATCCCCTTCGCCGGCCGTATTGACATAGCTTGCTTTGACAAGACTGGTACCCTAACCGGCGAGGACCTGGTCGTCGAAGGCATTGCGGGACTTGGACTCGGCCACACTGGCACAGACACCCCTCGCGAATCCGATGGTGCTCATAGCCATTTAACCTCTGTCAAGGATGCTGGAATGGAAACAACCCTTGTGCTAGCTAGCGCCCACGCCCTCGTTAAGCTTGAAGACGGCGAAATTGTGGGTGACCCTATGGAAAAGGCTACGCTCGCGGCTCTCGGTTGGGGTCTGGGAAAAAACGATACTCTAGCTGCGAAGCCTGCCGTCACGGCTGCAGGGGGTACTTCAGGCGCTGTTCAAATCAAGCGCCGCTTCCAATTCTCGTCTGCCCTGAAACGCCAGAGCTCCGTCGCTACGGTAAACGCTGCTGATCCTAAGACTGGTAATAAGGTGCGCGGAACTTTCGTGGGTGTGAAGGGCGCCCCAGAAACCATAATGAGGATGCTCGTTTCCATCCCCAAGGATTATGAGGAGACCTTCAAGTACTTTACTCGACGTGGTTCCCGAGTGCTTGCTCTCGCTTACAAACAGTTGACATACGATAGCGAGCTCGGCTCTGGCAAAATCAACGATCTGAAGCGTGAGCAAGTCGAGGCTGATCTTACTTTTGCTGGTTTCTTGGTTCTCCAGTGCCCCCTAAAGGATGATGCGAAGCAAGCTGTGCAAATGTTGAATGAGAGCAGCCATCGTGTCGTCATGATTACAGGAGACAATCCACTTACGGCTGTGCATGTCGCTAGAGAGGTCGAGATCGTTGACCGTGATGTTCTCATTCTAGATGCCCCAGAACAAAATCACGGAGGGGAGAAGTTGGTCTGGCGTAGCGTTGATGATAAGACCAATGTCGAGGTAGATGCGTCGAAACCGATCGACCCCGAAATTATCAAGTCGAAAGACATTTGTGTTACTGGATATGCGCTGGCCAAGTTTAAGGATAATAAAGCTGCCTGGCGATCGCTCCTCCGTCATACCTGGGTTTACGCTCGTGTGTCTCCAAAGCAAAAAGAAGAGATTCTGGTGGGATTAAAAGATATGGGTTATTTTACACTGATGGCCGGCGATGGAACCAATGATGTTGGAGCTTTAAAGCAGGCTCACATTGGTATCGCTCTTCTCAATGGCACACAAGAAGACTTGACAAGGATCGCAGAGCATTCCCGCAACACCAAGATGAAGGAGCTCTACCAGAAGCAGATCGATCTTATGAAACGATTCAACCAGCCTGCGCCTCCTGTTCCGCCCATTATCGCTCATCTTTATCCTCCTGGCCCCTCTAACCCCCACTACGAGAAGGCGATGGAGCGAGAGGCGCAGAAGCGAGGCGTTACTGTCGAAGAACTTGCGAAGCTAAATGGCACAAACATCGAAACCGTAACTAGCCCGGGAGCTCGACAGCTGCTGAACCAAGATCCGAGAGCAGCTAGGCAACAAGAAGTGGCTAATAAGGCCGCCGGCTTCGCTGATAAGATGACAACCGCGATGATGGAGCAGGAATTGGGCGACGATGAGCCGCCTACCCTCAAGCTAGGTGATGCGTCAGTCGCTGCACCTTTTACTAGCAAGTTACGAAATGTCATTGCTGTCCCTAACATCATTCGACAAGGTCGTTGCACCCTGGTCGCTACGATCCAGATGTACAAGATCTTGGCTCTCAACTGTCTCATTAGTGCCTACAGCCTCAGCGTTCTTTATCTCGAGGGTATCAAGTTCGGCGACGGGCAGATTACTATCAGTGGAATGCTCATGAGCGTCTGTTTCCTTTCGATATCCCGCGCGAAATCTGTCGAGGGACTGTCCAAGGAGAGACCACAGCCTAACATATTCAACTTTTATATCATTGGCTCGATTCTAGGCCAATTTGCTGTTCATATTGCTACACTTATCTACATCGCCCGATTCTGCGACAGGCTGGAGCCGTAAGTTGTTGTAAATTATTAGTCTCGGAACGCGTTGCTAACGGTGTTATAGACGATCCGAGATGGTTGATCTCGAGGCCGAGTTCAAGCCGTCGCTACTGAACAGTGCCGTATACCTTCTGCAACTGATCCAGCAGATTTCTACGTTTGCGGTCAATTATCAAGGCCGGCCGTTCAGAGAGTCTCTGTCCGAGAACCGAGGTATGTATTGGGGTATCATCTCGGTTACTGGTATTGCGTTCGCCTGCTCGACGGAATTCTTCCCGGAACTCAACGAGCAGATGAAGCTTGTGAAATTTACGGATGAGTTCAAGACTACGATGACTGCAGTTATGGTTATCGACTATGCTGCTTGCTATATCATCGAGGTGATTCTCAAGCGGCTTTTTAGCGACTTCCGTCCTCGTGACATCGCGATACGCCGGCCGGAGCAGAACGAGCGTGAGAGGGTAAGGAAAGCGGCAGAGAAGGCGCTGAAGGACGCCGAGGAGGAAAGGAAGCAGGCGGAGAAGATAGCAGCTTTTGAGAGGAAGTTGGAGGAACGAAAGCAGAAGCTCCGAGAGGCGACACAAGCTGCACGCGCTGCGAGGTAATACTTTATATGTTATTTGAGAAAGCATTTGGTTTCTATAACTAGTAGTTATAAGGAACGGGTGGGATGTTTGATGCATACCTAGATATGACATTGTAGACATATAGAAAAGGTGTTGGTTCCATAGACCAACCTACCTATTTTCTTGTTTAGCGATGTCGTAGTCAAAGGCGTGTGTTGTTTAAGTGACGATACTGTACCACTGTACCACTGTAATACTGTAATAGTGTAATCCCATAACACCGTGATACCGTATAGTATGGGACCGGGCAAACTTCGGGAGGAAAAGTCGACGTACATACCTAAGGTACATATTGTCCACATGTATAATCCTATTCCGTACATTAGGTATCTACATAACTGCCTCCGCTCCTTTTTCTGCCGGTTCCTCTTTTCGTTCAAAGTGTCTACAATTTTCAGTCAGTAATCGGCGTTGATTATCGCTTTAACTTAATTTGGACATTCCCATCGCTTATAAGACGAGAGGCGACATCATCATGTTATAGATGCCCCCCCTTTTCGCTCGCTCATCATCGAATTAGTAGCGTAACACTGACTTGGGAGACGGCTTTTTCCATCATGGACGCACGTTCCAGAGGGATTGTTGTCTTCGGAGGCGGAACTGCAACTAATAGCCTCGTCGATGTGTTTGAGAGTATTAGAGAGAGCCGGAATTGCTGGCTTAGCTACGTCATACCTATAAGCGACAATGGAGGAAGCTCGTCGGAGCTGATCCGTGTGTTCGGTGGTCCTGGTATATATATGTATTCCTTATATGGCATCGTATCTAACTAACCCCCTTTCCTCTAATCCTCGCATTTTATTTTTTATTTTTTTATTTTTTTTTATAAAGCTAATATTCATAATAAATAGGTATTGGCGATATCCGTAGTGAGTAATATATACCCACCTCACTTATATAGTCGTCCCTAGGAAATATGGACATTCTTTTGCTGATATCTCCATCGCGCACCCCTTCTAGGTCGTCTTGTGCGTCTAATCCCTGGGTCGGAAACAGACGCAGAGAGAGCATCGCTTAAGGACCTGTTCAACTATAGGCTCTCTTCTGATCCAACGCAAGCGAGGTTGCAATGGCTAGATATAGTAGAGGGACGAGCCGAGCTCTGGGTCAACATCTCGAGCGAGAAGCGTGAGCTTATTCGGTCCGTGTTCAACCTCGTCAACTTGGAGATAGTCAAGAGGGCGCGGCCTAGTTCCGTGTTTAATTTCTCCAAGGCTAGCATTGGGAATTTGTTTTTGACTGGGTAAGTTTATATAAATACATACATGTACATATATATATATATATATGTGTGTGTGTGTGTGTGTGTGGGTGGGTGGGTGGGTGGGTGGGCGTATACATGTCACTATGCTAACGACTCCTCATAGAGGCCGCGTCTTCACCGGCTCCCTCGAATCAGCCATCTACCTCCTCTCCACAATCTGCAGCATCGCACCCACCGTATCCGCCCTCCCCGCCATCAACAGCAACTTCACGCATCACATCTCAGCAGGCCTAGCCGACGGCACCTACATCACGGGGCAGAACTCTATCTCGCACCCTTCAGCGCCCACCTCTCTACCCGACGACGAGCAGCTCCCGCAGCAGCATCTACGTTGGGAGATGGATGAGCACGATCGCATTGAGGACGCCACGTTGCCCGGCTCGCTGCCGAGCCTGCGCAAGCAATATATTAACTTTACCAAGGCTGATGAGGAAGACTTGCCCGCGCGCATCGAGAGGATTTGGTATATTAACCCGTACGGGCATGAGATCTGGCCGCTTGCGAACCCCAAGGTATTGGATGCTGTGCGTCGCGCCGGTGCGGTAATTTATAGTATTGGCAGTCTGTACACGTCTATTGTGCCTAGTCTGGTGCTGCGCGGGGTGGGCGCCGTGCTTGCGGATCCGGGAGTCCGGTATAAGGTGCTGATTCTGAATTCAAGCGTAGATCGGGAGACGGGGCCGAGTACGGAGCCGCTCACGGCCACTGGTTTCGTTAGGGCGATTGCCCGGGCGGCTGCGCAGAGTCAGGGAGACTTGGCTGTTGATGATGAGAAAAGTATGGGCAAAGGGGAGGTGAGTAGGTATGTCACACATTTGATTTACCTCGAGGGCGAGGGCGTGCCCAAGGTCAACAAAGAAGAACTAGCTGCCCTAGGTATAGACTGTATCCGGGTCTACGGGAGGAGGGTAGACGGTATGCTCAAGTATGATGAGGCGGGTTTGGCGAGAACACTCGAAGCTATAATAGGCAAACCTGAGATGGCAAGGAGTCGTAGAAATACCAGTGGCCAGTGAACACGTTTGTAATTGCTTCTCTGCATATGGCACTAGAATTATATATCATGTATCATAATCATAGCGAATGCCTTCTTGTTCGGGCCTGTAATACGAGGGGGGATATCATGATATCATATCATATCTATCATCATTTACTATCGTACATCTCTAGGTACTAAGTCTATCGCGTTTTCCCATGAGACAAGTAGCGGAGGTCAAGCCAGCCGCGGGTGCATAGGAGCATATGACCAAACATAGTCTACATCATTCAAGCACATTCAAGCATACCCATCGACTTTGCTTCTCCTTCGTGATTATTTGTGCGCACGTTACCTAACGCCGAGTTCTAGCTATCTAGATTGCGGTTATTTATTTGGGAGGGTTGGAGGCGACAAAGGCAACACCCTTCTCGATGTTCTTCTTGAGGTCGCCTAAGCACGCCTCTAGGAGCTTCTCCTCGTTGGCGTCTACCTCGCCGACGGGAAGGATCTTCTCAACACCATTGGGGCCGAGCTCGACCCTTGAGGCGAAGAAGTCAATGCCCTGGTCCTTGTAGAGGGGGCTGTCGACGAAAGTGGGCTCGATGACGCCCTTCTCGCCCTGGGAGGCACGGAGAAGGGACTCGGCCATGCGAGCACCAGCCATAGCCATGGACAAAGTAGCGGAACCGGCACCGTCCTTGGCCTTGACAACCTCGTCACCACCGAATTGGACGCGCCTCACGAGGTCGGCGTTGGAGGTCAGGTCGGGGTGGCCGCTCTGGCTGAAGAGAGGGACGATGGTGACACCGGAGTGACCACCGACGACGGTGATATTCTCGTCCTTAGGGTCGGTGTTCTTAATCTCACTGACGAATCGGCTGGCGCGAACAACGTCGAGGGTGGTGACACCGAAGAGACGCTTAGGGTTGTAGACACCACGAGCCTTGAAAACCTCCGCGCAGATGGGGACGGTGGAGTTGACAGGGTTGGAGATGATGAGGAGGTTGGCTTCCGGGCAAGACTCGGCGGCGGCCTTGGCAAGATCGCGGACGATGGAGGCGTTGGTGTTGAAGAGATCGTCACGGGTCATGCCGGGCTTTCGGGGGACACCGGCGGGGATGAGGACGATGTCACTGCCCTTCAAGGCGTTGGCAAGGCCGGTGGGACTGGGGTCGTAGCCCTTGACGACGCTCTTTGTGTTGATGTGGGAGACATCGGCAGCAACACCTATGCGTCAATTATATATTAGTTGGGTATAATTTCATCCGGACATGGTGGGACAGCTAGAATCAAGTTCTACGGCCATATACCCGCCAATTAGAGAATAAAGCATACCGGGACCGCCGCGGATATCGTAGAGAGCAAGCTCAGTTACTCTGGGGTTGAGCTTCAGTAGAAGAGAGAGCGGCTGGCCGATACCACCGGCAGCACCAAGAACGGTGACCTTGGAGAGCTAGAGAGAAGCAGGTTAGTCATTGGCTCTCTGGATAGCATCCTCGTCTATAATTGAGGTTTAGAAAGAGTTACTTACGTTTCGCGCCGAGACCGAGAAAGCTCGGCGTTGAACACCACCGAAAACAGCTCGTGCGAGAACCATTTTGAATTTATATGTGATCTAAATATATTAACTATGTGTATTACGATACGTAATAGAGAAAAAGACGAGAAGGAGAAGGGTGGTTATAAAACCAAGAGCACGCAAAGTCGAAGGGAGAGAGGTATGGTAGAGTAGGTTGAGGTGAATGAGTTGAGAGGGATAAAAAAAAATAATAAGCGTAGGAGTTAAAGAAAGAAAATACGTGCGAACATCTTTTTTCGCCGATCGACCGTAAGATTCTGGGGAAGGAACATTGGAAACACACAGCTGCTTCCACTGTCGGCCCGGGCATTACCGGGGTAGTACATACTACATACATCCGTACCTTCCTACCTTTCGTCCTATGTTGTATGCAGATACCTTACTAACCTTGATGCATCTTAGCACATACGTAGTAGTACACCGAAGAAGACGGCCTAACTAGACCGGCGAAAGCTCGGTGTTTTACAATTTGAGGTACAATACGTCGAAGTACTTAGGTACCTGTCTTCGTGTACTAGAGGTATATACTTACCTGGAGTACCGATCACGATTTAACCAACAAACATTCACTATTACAACGAGTTTCAAAATAATATTAGTCAACACAATATTTTTTTTCCTCCGAGGTTTGAACGTGATCCTCCTCTTACCCGATGCTAGTGATTGGCATAAACACCGAAAGCATAGAGAGTCGCAACTTAGTTCACTAAGTTAGCAATCCTTCAACAACATCAACTATCTAAGAGGTATAGACGAAGTACAAACAGTGATGCATCTTTTTCTTCATTCTTCGTGATATATTAAAGAATCATATACAGCCTTGAGCAAGAAGTAAGCTTGGGAAAGGCATATACCTTATGAATTTGTTGGCTTCAACTCGGACTGTCTCGATTTCAACCCGTCTTACTGAACGTAAACCTTCACTCAAATTAATCCAAGATGAAGCCTAACACTGGTGAGATACCAGAGGACCCCCTACTCTGGGGTGGCGTTTCGGAGTATGAGGAGAAAGACCGCGCTATCTCGCAAGATGTAGATTCCTTGTTTGGGGATCCTGTTGAATCCATCAATGACGACGGCGACAAAGATGGCCCCTTGGGCTCTGCCGATATCCCTCCTCACCACGATAACCCGGCATACGGTCTCCAGTGGATCAGAGATGATAGTTCCTTTTCCGCAAGACCTGAATGGACTCTCGAACCGACAGTTGACGCTATTATCCTAACCCTCCAGAAAATCGTCGGCCCAGACAAAGAGTACATGGTTCAGCATTACTGGAATGGAGTGTACAGTAAAATATACCGCGTCTCATACGACGAGATACGTCTCGTCTTGAAGATATCTCTACCGGTATGCCCTAAATCTATGACGGAAAGCGAAGTTGCGACACTGCAATGGATCAAGGAAAACACCCATCTGCCCGTTCCTAAAGTTCGCCACTACGATTCCTCACGGGACAATCCTATAGGTTTCGAGTGGATTTTGATGGATTACATAGACGGGATTCCTCTTTCCCAATGCTGGGAATCTATCACGCAAGGTAGCAAGGAACGCATCGTCAAGCAAATTGCCGAATATGCGGCTATTTCTTTCACGAGGCAATTCAGAGGGATTGGCAATATATATCCATCGGAATCGCACCAGTCTAACATACAACCTCGCGTGGGCGAAATGGCCTCAATGGCGTTCTTCTAGGGTGAGCGCGCCAGTATACGCCATCACAGGATGCCTTTCCGTACCGCATTCAAGTGGACGAAATGCCGCCTCCGTCTTATTTCTGCGGAGCTTCGATTAAGACTAGATGAGGTAATCGATGAAGACCACCGCAAGACCATATCTAGTATGCTCAATCTCGTTGACCGTCTCCGAGAACTGGAGGACAAGTTCTTTATAGCTCCTAGACCTCCCAATGATAGCGAGCAACAAGTCTACGAGGACGAGTCAACTGACGAGGAGGACATAGAAGTTATCGACAACGGCAACAAGCCATGTGAACCAACGATGCTTTGGCATGATGACATTTCTCTTGACAACATTCTTGTCGACGAGAACGGTATACTCGTGGGTATTATCGGTTGGTCATGCGTTTCATGCCTTCCTCTATATGAAGCCTGTCAATTGCCAGCCTTTCTGCATCAGACGTGGGATAGACCCCTTGAGCCGTTGACTCCTTATAGTATTACCCGAGCGCACTTGGATCTCAACAAGGAAGTTTGGACGTACGGCATAAAGCTAAGACAACATCATATAACCCTGCTTCGCCAGGTTTTTATAGATGAGATGATGCAGAGATGCCAAGAATGGGTTGATGTCTTTTACAATCAGAAACACCGGAGGGATTACGAAGCCGCGGTGCAGAACTGTGATAATGAGTTCGCGTATAAGATTGTGGAGGAATGGGTAGGTGCTGCAGAGGGACGATCCGATTCTGATAAGCCGCTTTGGTCGCTCCACGTACGTCTTATGGGATGATATGGTTTAGTTCAGGATATAGTACCTAGGTTCATGATGCTGAGCCCTGATCAAGGCGTTACTGCAGCATTATTTAGAAGGTCGAAACTCACAAAGTGGACAATTCAAATGACGTTGACAATGCGAATACCTTTGTTTACTGAAATAATTCTTTTCTTTCTAATTGTAATAAATCTATAACTCCAATTACCCATGAATTCCAGATATACGACCCCTTTTAAGTCAAGAACTCCGCCAGGTCAAGAAGACCCTCTAAAGTATGACCAAAATTTTCTTATCACCGGGCTTCTCCCCTGAGGCTTTTCCTCTTCCTCTTTCTCCTTCTCCTTCTCCTTCTCCTTCTCCTTCTCCTTCTCCTTCTCCTTCTCCTCCTTCTCGGCAAGAAAATCAATGAAGTCATCCGTAATATCATCCGCGCCGCCGTATCTGTCGTCGAAATACCTAGGTACATCAGGGGTCTCCGAGTTAGGGGTGACGACGTCCTGGTAAGAATTGCCCAGGGGATAGTCGTCGAAATACAGGTCAATTGCGCTTTCTACTGCGGCTGACGGGCTGGTATAGCTTATCTCGAGACCATATATAGACCCCCCCGTATCATCTTCGAAGTTGAACATGACGGTGTTGGTGGCGGTCTCATTATCATAACATACCGCATCATCCAGATCGTCGTTCCCAAGGCTCTCGGCGTACTTGATCGTACCCCAATGATCACCTACTGGAGGGGTGTTTAACTCCATATTATCTTCTTGACCAATTTCCGAATTTTCTAATTGTTGGTAACTGAGTTGTTGCTGCTGCTCCTCTACGAATCTTTCCACCATGCTTTCTTTATAACCCCCCTCTTGTATCTTATATTTATACAAGAGTCTTCGCACAACCTCTTCAATATTAACGTCATTTCCCTCGACATCCCGGTCATTGCTTGGAGAAAGTTGTGGAGGAGATATGACGCTGCTCTGATTTCGCCTTTGCTGGTAGTGCCTGTAGATATGTTCATGCCAATTTTGATTATGAAACGGCGGTATTAGAATATCAATATCAGCCTTGGTACAGTCCGGGAGAACCAGTAGCTTTTCAAGTCTGTCCGCTGTGTCTACTTCTCTGACGAACTCTCTTTTAGCTAGGTCTTCAACACCGCACGCCGCTGACCGTCCCGGGTACGATCCACAAGCGAATGGCAGCTCCCCTAATAGCACAGTTGATTTCTTGTGCTGGCATGTACCAGTGCTACAAAGGTAAACAGATTCTTTGCTAGATCTGCACCCGCATGTGTGATAGAAGGTTATGAATTGGCAGCTAACGCCCGTATCTTGCTGTTTCTCTGCGGCGCCCTTTCCGGCAGGCCAGAGACTTGTCGTCGGAGCGTTAGCTGGGTAGAAGGATAAGGTTGAAGGTAGTGGGATCGACATCTTGGTTAGCAAGCCGGCTTGCCCGTAAGGTATCTTTATTAGCTGGGTATGTATGGATTGGTTGGCCTACTTCTGTCAGTTCTAGACCCTCTGTGTTCGTTTTAGTTACTTGGGCTTTTATGTCTTCTGTGATAGGATTTAGTATGGGTTGGAACTTAGTAACTGGCGATGAACATGATTTTATCTTCAAATCTCGGCATTGTTTGACAAGATTAGTATGAGAAGAACAAGGGCTTAGTTAATTACATAGTCATTTGGAACATAGGACTTCATTGTGTAGCCTGCACAAGCTAGATGAGGTCTTAATGCAATTCCTAAGCTAAGTCTAACAATATCCTCCATGGCTTATTGTTGGCTAATCTTCTTGTTCCCTTTGTCCTGAGCGAGCCTAACACCGGCGAGATGTTAGGGTTCAAAGAGAAGGAAATCAGAATAACTAAGTCTACCTGTTCAAACGAATTACCAATACGGAAAGTGACCGCTATAACGCTGTATATACAAAATGATGCTTCGCATCCATTGCTTGACCTATCCGACTACTGGAATCACATCACCCCACGATTGTTCGTTTCTCCTAGGAAGACAGGCAACATAATCGCTCCAGAACGGAATATCATCTTGGAGATCCAGAATTGGGAGCATCCATTCCCAACTGTTTAACCATGGGTCTGTTGTATCCTATCCAAAGGTCTTATCCCATGTGTGCGACCTCCACCTGTCATCCATTCTTTGATATTCGGTTGCGATCAACTGCAGCTTATGGCCGAATTCAGATGCTGGTTTCGAAGCTACCTGAACGAGGCTCGTTACGATACGAATCCACTTCCAAGCAAGTCCGTAGTCCATCGTACTCTGAAAATGGCGAAACTCTATCGTAGTATGATCATTTTCCCGTTCGTAAATAGCCAGGGCTAATCGCTGGGCGTTCGGGTCCGTCATGGCACCGGACAGAATTGCTTTCAGTGTGCTCATATTCCCTGCTGTAAGGATTGTCTTGATACGCATTACGTCGCCATCTGAGAACGTCTGGGGGATGGATACTGTTGGATTTGTTGTATATGATAGTTCCATATTGACGCTTTTGGAGGCCGAAGAAAGACTGTCCTAGAGGGAATCGGGTACCCCCATATCGTTTTGAACAGATGTGGATGAGCATTGTGATAGCACGGAATTTTTTCGAATTGGTGCGTGTTGCCAATTCATTCCCCGATTAGCATCGCAGAGAGAAAAGAGGCATGGCTCTAAAAGCCATCCAAGAACAGCTGCATTCCTGGCTGTCTCTAGACTGAGTCCATCTTTGACGCCGACATGGACGTGGAGTCCAGCTGTGCTGTGAGCTGAGGGTTTGAACTCTTCAGCGATTTCCTTGTTCGTGAGTTCGCCGCCATTACGGACGGCCGCGAAAGCAGTTTTCAATTCGGGACATCCTTGCTTATCAAAGTCAAGAACGCGTGTAGAAACTTCCAAGCCAACCGCACGTTTGTTTTCTTCTGCTAATTCTGCTTCTTCGTCGAAGTTTGGATAAACGGTTACGTCCTCGGAGAAGCAATAGTGATCCTTCCACTCCTTCTTTTTTATAGGTATTACTTTATGGGAAGCCGGATAGTGACTCTGATAGCCTTGGCCCGTGGTTTTGCTCAGTTTAGCCGTGATACCGGCACAAGGCAAAGAGGCCTCTAGATCCTTTAGATTTCTCATGAAAAGTTCTGTCATTGCCCATAGTGCTGCTTGATTTCTGTGATGTTTGTAGTTGACGGTAACCATAAACTCTAACTCGACGCCGAACGTCAACGCTGTTTCGGAAGCCATGATGAAAACGAATGATTAAATAAAATAATCGTCCTAGACCATTACTAGATGTTCGTAGAATCGACGACGGACGAAAACGTTATTATGTGTAGATGTTACTATGGTAGTAATGAGTCGATAAAGAGAATGAGGCTGGAAGGGGATTTTCACGTTAAAGATTTGAAAGTCGCATCTGAACCCTTACCAGGTATTCTCTGGATTAATGGGTTGTTGATAAGCTAAGGGCTGGGTTATGCCTTCCCATCGATTTCCCCATCGGCTTTCCCGTTGATATAGCCTGTGTATGACGCTGCTGCCTTTCAAATGTGCGACTAGCATGCATTAGTCTGGCTACTGGGAAAGTCCTATTTATACGTACATACAGCAGGCGCCTGTTAGAAAGACCTCTTGGATAGGTATATAATATAAGCGATGGCTTAGCTCGTAAAGAAGTTGTTACCTCTGGTGGAGACATTTTAGGATCTAGATGCTGTAATATGTAGGAAATACCTATCGTACGGGATAGAACAACTTCCTAGCCACCAGAGTTACTGTGTGATATGTTTCAGTCGAGTATCGAAACTAAGCAGATCTGGATCGGGCCAGAACAGTAAAACAGTAAAGCCGTTATAAGACAGCAGTGACGTGTACTGCCAACGCATCCTACATATTTATATATTTAGATATTCTCAGATTTCGTAGATGAGATTGTTCTTCGAGGAATGAAATTGTTTACTTAACTAGTTGGGCCGGATAGACAACAGATAGATAACAGATTGACAACATGCAGGTGATCCGTATAAAGAAGGCGATATTATGTTTCATATGGCCCGGTATTAAAGTGGCATGGGAGCTTCTATGTTCTCTCACTCAACCCAAAGCGTTCGAACAAGCCTTTTGTACTATTTCGAGCAAGCGATCCGTCTTTAGAGCACACCCGAGTAAGTTGTAAATCTTGTACAGAAGCTTTTACGAATATTACACCAAGATGTGTTACTTTGCCGTTACCAGGTTCTCCTGCGGGTGCCTCGCCTGGAGAGGTAGCGAGTACAGATACTGCGCGGAACGAGGCAGAAGCTGCAAGGAGATGCGGCTCGAGAAGTATGAATGGAAGACTTATTGTCCGGACGCTCGTAGGGCTCTGGAACATAAGAAGTGCAGGGGACGCGTTGTGTGGCCGAGATGTTGCAACAGTCTCAGCCAGGAGCAGCTCAAGTCTCTTTGTACAGAATGTAACTCCACCCTGGATAACACCAAAATGAATTTGTATCCGTACTGCGCTGAACACCGAGTCTGTGTGTTTTCCGAGGCTGATGCGGATGCTGAAAAGGAGTTCGACGAGGTGGCAGTGCTTTGGCCGTCTCATTTACGTGCAAGATACTACCGAAGGAGACAAAAAAAAGATGCTAGAGACTGCGGATGGTCTCTATAAGCAATTATCATGTATGACGATGTACGACCGTTATGATTTGGATTATTTATGGGCGTTATGGACTGATGAGTTTATGAAATGAAGAAGAAAAAAAAAAAAAAAAAACCCCCCGAGGGGAGTTAAGAGTTAGGAGTTTGGAATCATGTTATGGGCATGTTTCTAATGTTTGAACGTTCTGTTTCTATTCTCATTTTGTTTCTATTTACTCCTCGGCATGGGTCTCTGGCGTTTAATTATGTACCTAGATGATTAAATACCTTAGGTACCTTTATCCTACCTAGGTATGTAGCGATAATACATATTGAGTTAATGTTTCAAGCGTAACGTGTATTACTTTGGGCTGCTTTTTATAAATAATCTGATGCCTTAGAGTTGAAGTTGTGGCATTTGTTTAAAAGTTTTTGTAAGCGATGTTGACAATAATATTGTTGGTAATGACAATGTCGTAGCTTTGACATTACAAGTAATAAATCTTGATTGCTTTGACCGAGACGTCGGTCATCGGCGTTCCAAGACACCGCCATCTTTTATATGTCTGCGGACCCTATTACTATTTAATTACGGAGAATGATAGGACGCTATTGGACGATTTTAATTTAATTTACCCCTTTGGGAATTTCGTCAACGCCGATGGACCGGCACTTACGCGTGAATCCACCCGACCGGAGCTGTAACAAGGATGAGATGATGATGTGGTCCCGAGTCAAGCAACACAAAGAACAAGTTAGACTGGCTAGTTGAAACAATCTAGTAGCACTACTGCACTAGAACAGGATGTGATTACATAGATCTTATGGACCGATTTCGTGCTCTCGGGATCGCGATATATGCACGGTAATGCACCGAAAAGACATGAGACGAAGATATGACCTTTAAAGAAGTTAAGTTATTTTCGAGGGGTTTCGAGAGGGGGGGGAGGTTTACGTCTTTATTTAAGTCTTATAAGTTTCGCGCCAACCGCTCGAGTTTCGATATTCTGAGACATCTTCATATCGAGTCCGAGGTAACTTGAAATTTATTTACATTTTTCTTGATTATTCTTGTTTTCTTGTCTTTCCTCGGAACGCCTGCATATAATATACCTTTATATTAGGTACCTTTTTTATAGGTATTTTTCAACTTCTTATACTTTACATGCCTCTCCTGTCAGATCTATTAAATCTATCCCATCTGCAGACCTTAACCTAATCTTAGTTATATCTACGTTACCCAAGTCGATATTATTACCCCTATTGTTAGGTACCAATATCGAAATTGATATATCTAAATATCATCACCATATTTCTAATACCTAACTCACCGATGTCACAAGCACAGCAACATCGCTCGGGTCCGCCTTATGCGCCCACCATGGCGGCCGTTGGGGGTGTCCCTTCAGTTATACCCGACGTCCCTATCTCCGCTGTCTTCATCTTCTTATACATGGTTTTCGCGGCAACCAATATGACGATATTCCAAATCAATAACCGAAGATCCCACAAATTCATCCCTTCCGTCGCCCTATTTGCCTTTTGTATGGCCCGTGTAGCCACCCTCACCTTACGGATAGCATGGGCGAACCGGCAGACAAATATTCGTCTTGCTATTGCAGCTAATATCTTTGTTAACGCCGGCATTCTCATTGTTTACGTCGTCAATCTAATCTTCGCCCAACGTATTCTACGAGCAAAACAGCCATCGCTTGGTTGGCACACGGCACTTCGTATCGCGCTCAAACTACTCTACGTCGGGATTGCCTGTGCTCTGATCATGGTTATCACAGCTGTGGTATTATCCGTGTACAGCTTGGATCCGTATACGCTACGAGCCTGTCGAGCTGTCCAACTGACGTCTGGCACCTATCTCCTCGTCTTCACCACCATACCGGTCTTCTTGACGGCTGCCGCTTACCTATTACCTCGATCCCCTAAAGAAGAAACATTCGGAGATGGAAGAATGAAGACCAAGGCCGCTATTGTCCTTACGACGGTCTGCCTGTGCATGTTGACATCAGGGTTCAAAATCGGGACTGCGTACGCGCCTCCGCGAGCACTTAATGACCCTGCTTGGTATCACGGCAAGGCTCCGTTTTACGTCTTCAACTTTACGGTAGAGATCCTTATTCTATGCGTCTTGACCCTAAGTAGGGTTGATAAACGATTCTATATTCCGGACGGGAGCAGTAAACCAGGTTACTACTCTGATCGCGTCGGATCGTTGTCGGGAAGTGTCAGGGAGATTAAAGTCGAAAAGGAACGCCGTCATGAGGACATAATCTCAGATAGTGTTTGATTTACTTACATTTTTGGGCTATATAATTTTCATTTTGGATGGCATGATTTTAGACGAATATGACAATACCCTATAGAACGACAAAGCTCTCTTCATGGTGACGATTGAACGAACCTAATTTGGAGTGCGATGGATATACACTACATCAAGGCTTTTCTTCACTTGTAGCATCTTTTGGCTTTTGTAGATATAACGTAATAGAATAAGAGTTGATAATGTAGAGGCTATCACTAGAGACATTGACGCAGGTAGGTAGTCATGATTCCTGCTTCGAATCGCCACCGATCTCCATGCGCCTTAGATTACATTATACCTGGTGCCACATGAATGCCTAGAACGAATCTGTCCGGCTTTAACCTCATATCTGAGTTATAATCGACTGGATAACATATCCGCAAGGGTCTCACTTATGCTGTCCCCTTCCCACTCGTCGATATTAGCAGCTTCCCATTCTATCTGAAGATACCGCAGGATGGCCCAGACTTGATGGAACTCTTTGTCGCTCTCTAGATCCCGGTCGTTATCAGGATCGAATTTTCCATGCGTCCACTCGCCATCGTTCTCCCAACTAAACCGAAGAGCGCGGACGAGAAACCGAGCCGCATGATCGAGCGCCGTCCAGTTCCCCTTACTTGGCGTCTTAGAGCTTACGTACTTGGGCAACGCGAAGGCGTTCTTAGACTTGCACCACCTGAATAGCTCATCGCAATCTACGTCCTCGATCTCTACTTCGGCTTCGAGGTAGTCGCGCCGATACTCTGCGAAAAAGGGGCTGATGAAGTCCCCATCCAGGATCTGTCGCAAAAAGTGCTTTTCGTCATCGTGGAACCCAAGATATATGCAGAGCGTATCGTAAGCGTGCTGCAGAGCCAAGAGTCGTTCCCGCGGGACAGCCTTGCTGGCTGCCATCATGCGGGGGTGGGTGTTTAGCGAATGACCTTTTGCGACGACTAAGCTGGCGGCGGTAAGAAACTTGTGAGAATGAGAGCGCCAAAAATTGCTGTGTTGTTTTTACTCTTATACCACCTAATTGTTTGTCCGATCTTATGATTGTCTTCTTTAAAATAAATAAAGGCACACGTCGTTTTGAGTCATCTCCTACCTCCCATTTGGTACCTAGTTATCTGTTTCATGCGTGAGGAGTAACAGTCGATATTCACGAGGCACAAAACTGCGGGATCGCGAGGGGCTTTTGCATCGTACTACGCGGGAAGGGCATGACCGGCCCAATCATGATGCTCACCGGGCTGCACGATAGCTGCATCCCCAAGTCGGCATGGCGTTAAAACGTTACGCATGGTACTTACGAGAACTGTGTATCTTCCCCGGCTAGGTATCTGGAGCTACGCATTAAGCCATTCAGCCACTGACGCACGAGGCCTCTTGGCTTCGAATAGTTATTTGCTAAAGTTGCTCGGACCAAATATTGAGCTTTGTAACTTATTAAAGCTAATGGAAGTATTAAATGCACAGGCTATAATTCAGCTTTGAGTTTGTTGAGTCACGACTGATGTTCAGGAGGCAGCCAATAGACCTGACTACCATTCAATTATTGAGCGATGAAATATATTCCGTAATGTCTATAACGCTAAGATCATGGTAATAAAATAACGTAACTACCTAGATACCTTTATTAATTACCTTATATTCGCTTAAGGAATTAAATCATCAATCCGTATCCCCATTAACTTACTGTGAACCCCTTGAGCAATAATAAATATAATATTTCCCGTATACCCCAACGACACTATCTGCCTATGCTTGATCATCTATGAAGGATCCTCCGGACGAGGATATACGCGGAGAGAGACGCAATACGCGTGACATGAGTCTTGGGCGTGACGTCCGACTTGCACCTCCGTAGAAGATGCAATTCCAGAAGCTGGTAGCCTTGATGGATACTCAGGGATGGAAGCGCAGGATTGACTCAGTAATTGTTCGGTGAGATTCCGCCACACGTCGAGACAAAGAGCTAGGCCTACAGCGATTTCTTCCTCAAGGTACCGCTGAAACTCTTTAAGCTTCTGGGCCTCAATCCGAGGGTCGATGGCTAATTTAAAAAGGCTGTATTGAGACTACTAGTTCTAGCTTCTTGAATCTGCAAGGTTAAGGTTACTACTGTGCTGCCTAACTCAATCGTGGTTTACTAAGTTGGGAAAGAATATTTATTTAATATAGTTCTCACTGTGCTCCTGAAGACTAACTGCCTAATATCTTTATATCCGTTCATATTTGTTCACTTTGATCTTTGGTGTAATAATAAATAGAGGAGTTAATAATTTCTATGATGATTCGGTCAAGTAATGAGAAATATTTAGACAGGAGCTTGAATTAATCAGCTCAACAGTCCGTTGGAAATACCCAGTGTTGCTACAACCCCTCAACATGTCAACGGATGATCCCCGCATTACATCACCCCCGAATTGGGAGACAATGAGACATCTCAGCATCACGCATTCCAGAGAATATTTAGACGCATAAGTTCCGGACAGTTTAGCAGTTCGGTTGACGTCCACTTCGTATTAATATGCCCGGGAACTCGGCATTTGATGTGGTGTAATGAATTATGACACCGACGCTCTCCTTAATATATAATATCCCTGCCGAGAATTTAACTGTAATATCTATAAATTTATAGTTATACCTTTTTGGTTTCATATGTATACATACCTAGGTATACATATTAAATATGAGGTTTACCCTATCTGTGGCAACTGGCCTTCTCAGCTACGTGGTAGCACAGGCCAACTTCCCGGTAGCACTTAATAGTACGTTCGAGACCTCTGGGGCACGAAATGTCCGTGTTGACACAGGGACATACGGGCCACCAGTAGAGGAATACCATTATTTCTACGATCAATGGCCCATTGGACTCGCTGTGTCTAAGAACGGGCGAGTTTTCACCTGCTACACGCGAGGGACATACGCATACACTTTGGGTGAAGTCGTTAATGAGACGGCCGAGGTGGCGTACCCTAGTTTGGAACTGAATACACCCCCTCAAGGACTTTCCACGGTTAGCAACGGCATCACCTTCGGCAGCAACGATGAGAGTCACCTGATCAGTGTGCAAGCACTGTACGTAACCCCTGACGACACACTCTGGGTGCTCGACACTGGACGTCCTACTATCATCGAAGAGGAGAAGATCAGTACGCCGTACGCCGCACCGGGCGGTCCGAAGCTGGTAGCTATAGACTTAACTACGAATAGCATCAGAAAGACATACACCCTGCCTCCGACAGTTCATTATCCAGACTCTTACATGAATGACCTGCGGTTTGACCTTCGGTCTAATGTCACTCAGTCGGGAGGCGGGATCGCGTATATCGTAGACAGCAGTAATGAAGGGAGAACGGGGTTCATCATGATCGACCTCGCGACAGGGGAGAGCTGGAGACAGTTGAACCAGCATCCTAGTACCCAAGTCATAACCGGGGTCGTTCCCAGTTACAATGGGATTCCGTTTTATCTACGTCAACTGGGGCATCCGCTAGGGTTCCAAGAAGAGGGTCTCGATGGGGCTGAGTTAGATCAATACGGAGAGGTAGGCATGTGAACTCGGAGACGTTAAGCACGACTAACCTTAGCAGGTCATGTACTACTCTGCACTCACTACAGATTATCTATATTCGATAGAGACCCGGTATCTACGAGCAAACCCGAATAGCGACCCGTTCGCTAATAAGAATGCCTCCGACAACGTCAAGAATTTAGGACAGAGGGGCGGAAACGCTAATGGGTTCACCGGGGACAGCCTCGGCAACGTGTATATGCTAATGCCGGAGCATAATGCAATATTTATATACAAGTATGCGTTAATTTAAGTCCATTTGTATTAAGGGTTGAGCAAACTGCTAATATTTCTCAGTTACACGACTCGATTGACGGTACCGTATATCAGAGATCCTCGAATTGTCTGGCCAGACAGCGCCAACGTGGGTTGGGATGGATACCTCTACGTAACAATCAACCAGCTACCGTACCAACCAAACTGGAATAATGGAGTCGATAGAAGAGTCTATCCGGGGCTGATACTGCGTTCAAAGCTCCCCGATGGTGCCAGCAAGAATACACTATTAATGTAACCCATGAGCGTAGTTGGTAGGTACCTAGGGAATTGTTTTTTTCCTTTATTCAGACATGTTCTTCTACCTACTACCTACTACCTGCGAAGAATAATAATTACACACTTTGACGAAGTTAAGACATTAATTTTTTCTTCCGCGTCCTCCCTGTCCACTCAGCGGACCGCGTGTTAGACCCTGACATGAACCACCGCTAGCATTTAATCCTATCAGTCCTGCGCCGTGTTCATGTTCGGGTACCTCTGCGCCCTTGAACGCCCGTTGCACGGGAGCGTCCTGTGTCAAAATATTATTAGCGAAATATTTGATTAAGAGACTATCTAGCTTACAGGCTCGTTGCCGGCACCGTGGATGATGTTGTGGTTGATCTCGGGGTAGACATCTTCAACTCGAGGCATGTTGATTTAGGGATGTGTGAATATCGGATATGTGCTGTTATTTTAATTGAGTATTTAGTTGGATTGACTTGGTGATGTGATAATTGCAATGTAGCGTAGTCTTGTTTCCTGTCTGAAAATGAAGAACTCACATCTGTGTAGCTTTGGCTTGGGTATTTAAGTTAACGACGGCGATATATCTGACGTCATTGACGACATCAGCTTTGCGTCACGACGAACGTGAACGTAAATATATTCGCAGGTCTTGGTTGATATGATTGAGAGTGAAGATTCCGGGGACTTCTGGTTCATCTCGAACAAGCCACATTTGTTGAGAGCATATAAGTGGCTATTAAAATTTCATACATAAGAACAGAGGGATGGAATTATATTAGTCAGCTTGAATGAAGCTATTTAGGGTGTTTTTATCTGAGCTATCTGAGGAATCTAGAACATTGGTTTGATGAATAGCTTCATTTCGAAGTGGGGAAGACATGGGAACACACTGATACACAGATACACTACATACATAGAACGAAGGCTAGCATTTAATTTTATACCTACACGTGTATAATAGGAACTACCTGGTTAATTTGTCACGAAACGCTCCTCGGAATGGTTAATTCCCAAATGTCCGAGCTGAGTCGTTCTCGGAGACGAATTGCGCCATTCTTTACGTGCCTCTTCCCTCTGTTATTGGGTAATCACGCCGAGTTGCGCCCAGGATGACCCCGCATATTGGTAAGCAGTCTCCGTCGATACCGGTAGCAAGCTTAGGTCTATAAGTAGATATAAGTTGAAGTCGTGAGGCCGGCGTAGTTATTCTTTTCTTATATTCTAAGTATTAGTTATATTATCTCTAACTTACGCCTTACCGTCTTAACCTATCAATCTATCCGAAACCCCTAAAGAAAATGTCGACACCGAAGATTAAGTTGTATACGAACCATCGTTGCCCATGTGCGAACGCCCGGTCTAAATCTCGTAGAAAGGAGCTGATAAATACATTCACTAGGGGCTCACCGAGCGCATATCTCTCTTGCCGAACTCGGACTACCGTTTGAAGAGGAGATCATTGACTTGAGCACCCCCCGTACTGCTGAGTATCTAAAGATCAACCCTCGGGGTTTAGTTCCGTCTATCGAGTATAACGGAGAGATCCTCACCGAGTCCGGTATTATCTCCGACTTCTTGGCCGATGCTCACCCGTCTCATCTTATCCCGGTCTCAAATGCTCCTGGTGGAGCTTTGCAACGTGCTAGAATCGCCTTCTTCGTCGATACTTTCATCTCAAAGGTGAATAGTAACTTCTTCAAGGCATCGTTCGCCAAGAACGAGGATGAAATAGAGGGCTTTGTCAAAGAGTACGTCGATGCGGTTGTGAAGGAACTCGAGCCCCTCCTCGCCAATGCCGCACCTTTCTTCAACGGTAGCGACAAGCTTACGCAGGCCGAGGTAATTATCTCCTTTTCTCATCGTGTCTAAACTGCACGAGCTAAATCATTCTAGGTTTTGACGGGAAGCTTCGTCGTACGCCTTTTCACACTACCAAAGCATGGCATCCTGCCTGAGCACATACTCACCGATATCTCCGCCAAGGCCCCCAACTTCTACAAATGGGGACAAGCCGTTTCCAAGCATCCCAGCGTAATAGGAATATACAACGAAGAAGACATCGCGAAGAGTACGAAGGAGAGAGTAGCTAAGCTACGAGCAGCTTGAGCGTATCCGCCGCAGCGCAGCTTTTTTGGTCAGAGCGTATGATTTAGGATCCGGCGATTCAGACCTATCTTCTAATTTATATTTTACAATGAGATTTCCGTTGCTTACGTGCTCGTATTTGGACGCTCCTTAACACTGATGAACTACGATGTAGCGTTGAACATAAGTTTTAAAGAGGGAAGCTAGAGATGCTGGATACAATATGTTTTTACTTATTTTTGAATAACTAACTATATATTTAGTTCGGGTATCCTCGTTAAGGGCTATGCCGGAGTTAATACAATGGCCGGCATAAGTGGTTGACGAGGTTTTGTGATTGGGTAGCCACTTCAAGGATGAATCTGCCCCGGATTTCGGATACCTTGCGTTATTGATATGTACCTAATTTATTATTTATTAACTCGGATATGTCAACGATGTGTACGAATAACAATTTGTTACTCTAACCAAGACTTGAGCTTTCAAACTGTTACCTATGAGCTTGTTATAAGAGTATGTGATGTGGTGTTTTTACTAAACATACCTACCCAGGTACCTACGAATACCAGCCAGGTAGGTATCCATGTAAATAGGCCCTTGCAGCCCCAGCAGCCCCAGCAGCCAACATTTTCATATTCGCGAATAGATACATAATTTATGCAGAGCTTTAGGGCGAAGCAAGAAGAGGTTAAGCGCCCGCAACCCACTCAAAAATCCCACGTACATATCCCTCAACCGTACTCAACCCATGTAAATTGTCCCTCTTTCCCGTACTTACATACCGCTTTTACTAACCATTCATTCTAAGCCGCTCACCAACACCGTACCCACCGACGTGTCTCTACGTACTGCAGTGCGATAGACTAAGGTCTAAGAGCAATATTTGTTGAGCCTAATCCGCTCATTTGGAATCATGGGCTCCTTGCTTTCTGATCGCGCGTATATTGGTACACGGTGAAAGATCTAGGATATTGGCCGGGAACAGATGGGCCGATCTGAGGCGAGAATACAGAAATCGGACGCGATGAGCCGCGATCTTGTACATTTAACTCGGGAGCCCCAGTTGTCACCCGATTCCGTGGATTCGGGATCAGACTCCACCGAATATGGACAAGAAGCGACTTTAGGATCGTCAGGGACGGCTAGCGGCGAGCTCACGGTAATACCCGGAGTGGCCGGGCCGTCCAGTAGTTCGGGTCAGACTCCGAAGGGGAAGCCGACAGGTTCTAATCGCGGCCATCGTAAACGAACACATGCTCCCGAAGTCTGGGAAACGCATAAGGCGGAGATTGGCCGCCTTTACCTGGACGAGAATAAACGGCTCAAGGATGTGATGGAAATTATGGAGAACCGATGGGGCTTCCGAGCATCGTAAGCCTACGAGTTTCCCTTGATTTTCTTTGTCCGTTAACTAAGCCAGCTTTTAAAGTCAAAAGATGTACAAGACGAAGCTCACGCAATGGAAATTCTTCAAGAATAATCGCCAAGCTGACGTAGCAAATCTCCTTTACTTACAGCGTCACCGTCTAGCCATCGGCAAAGAGAGTACGTTCCGTAGAAATGGTAAATTAATCGACGTAGAGGCGTATATGAGGAGAAGAGGGGTCAGCGCGTTCGATCTCGTCGAAGTAGCCGACTCGGGCGACTTGCCGCCAACTGTAAGATGTCGGACACCGCCTTCAATCCCGAGGCTCCTGGATTCCCCCGGCGACCTCTGTATTAAGGAGAGATTCTTCCAATGGACATCTCAGAAATTCATCAAACCCCGCCCGATAGACACCGACTACCTGAAGAAGCTGGACGCCCATCATACGAGCAATGCCCTCGTTTCTGTCCAGCTGTTGACCCACGCATGCTGGCTCTTCTCAGAAGGCCGTAACCAGGAGGGTGGCTGGTTCTGTCGAGGTGCTTTTGCCCTTTTACACCACATTCTCGAAACGTCTGCGTCCCTATCCTTCTTCGAAATGATGATGGCGATCCAAAGGTATCCGAACGCAGAGATTATGAGGGAACTTTGGAGCTATCTCTCGCGGTATGCTGCCGCCATTGATGGGGTGAACCAACCGCTGCATCGGGTGTTGATATCTTTCGCCAGGTTTTCACAGCAGCACAGTTTAGAACACAATGTCAACGTATTAGACTGGGCCCTGCAGTGGGCCTCGGGTAGGTTTAATAGCTCGTTCGATGGTAAACCGTTTGACTACACTCTACTGAAGCCGTGGGATCTCGGACCTATATGGGATTCGTATCACCGGTACTACTTATGCCTGAATCATTGGGAAGTCGATAAGATACCAACAGCAACCCTACCGAATCTGGACAAGGTTCAAGATCCTTCGAACTTGCGAGCAGATTTACTACTTATTTTTGGGAATCAATGTAGTTGGCGCGATGACAGACTCCCAAAAGTCGCGTCCAAAGTATTAGAGCAGAACCAATCGTCTCCTAAGCCTTCGGACTACCTCCAATTTGTCGGCGAGTACTGTATGGCCCGTTATATCAAGACACGGTCTGATGGGGACGATCCCACGACGAGCGTAGACCATAAACTAGCGAGGGAATACCTGGAGTCGGCGGCCAACCTCCAAGGGAAAGCCTGGCCCCCCGGAAAGAACTATTATGAAACCCTAACACTTCTCGAAAGCTGGTATCAAGAAGCGAGCGACTACGAATCTGCAGAAGCCACTCGAAGAAAACGCGATCACGATTGCGCAGATATATTCACCTCGCTATTCAGATAGGCAATCTCTTGATCCCCGCAGAAGCATCCCAGGGCTACGTCCTTCAGCTAGGATACTGAATACTAAGCTATGTTCTGGGTAGCATTGGATATCTTGTCCTACCAGGATTTCATCCGGCGGCATTGTTTCGTACCAAGCCAAGATGCGACATGTTAGCTTTCTCCATCTAGAAACATCGCACGAACGATAGCACCAGACAAATAAGAACAGGCCTTGAAGAATAAAGGGACTATCGTGGAGACGCAGGTTCTCGGATTAGCTAGGATATAAAATGTGATGTGCCGTGGCATACTACACATTATGTGATTGGTTCCTTTGGGGTTAAAGCTTCCTTACATTAATAATAATCAAGAAAGTATACTAGCCACGTCGCATCCGGCATGAAATAGCCATGTCTATTGTTCTATACGAGGTGACCAACCTACTCTGTTTATGCTGCCAAGCTCTATTCCAGACCTGGAGAATCTCCGTGCAGCCACAAATATCCATATAGTCTCGGCCCCTCTCGTCCGCCGTGTTACTAGGGCTAATGCTAACTACAAAACGAGGTTGCAATGAATTAGCCGGCAATGCTACATGTTTGTTGTGATCGTGTGGGGAAAAGGGGGCGATCAGCCCCAAGAGGTCTGCTGAACGCTGGGGTAACAGGGGATCGCTTAGCACTTATGGCTACGTGTGCTGGAATAGGTATGCGTGCCCATAACGGCAAATCTAGACTACGAGTTGATATGCGGATTCCTTGTTCTGAGTGTCCGGGGTTGTCATCATGCATATAGCATGCCATGGGTGCTTGCTTCTTAAGTTGAGATATCTAGCCAGCGTCTAGTCGTCGGGCGGGTAGACCCCCAAACGCAATCCCTTCTTTACTCACGCGACTTACAGCTAGCTACCTCTTCGTCCATCGTCAAAATGTCGACAGACCAAGAAAAGGCCCTAGGGGTCAAGGACCATTGGAAAGCGATAATTGCTATGACCCTGGTGTCTCTGAGTTCCTTCCAAGTGAGTTATTACACAGCCCTTAGTGATTTCTGACTTCTATGACCGCTGTTCTACTGTCAAGATGTACTAACACCTTTCGTGACAGTATGGACTCGATTTCGGTATTATCGGTGGCCTTCAAGCCATGGTGCCATTCCTAAAGGTAATTCAGCCATTCCCAAACGAACAAGTAATGTCTCACGCTTTATATCCAAGGTCTTTGGACAGGAAGACCCATCAATTCCACTTGGATGGAACATTCCATCCGATAGACAACAGCTTATTGCGTCTTTGATGGTCCTCGGCGCCTTTGTGTCCTCTTCCTCTGCTGGATTTACCGCCAAGTATGTCGGCCGAAAGCTATCTCTGTGGATAGCGTGCATTGGTGTTTTTGCATCGACCGCTCTCATGCAAGCTACTACAAACATAGGGGGTCTATACGCGGGAAGACTGATACTTGGCCTCGCTAATGGGTTGCTGATGACACACTCACAACTTTATGGTACGTCTAACAATTTCGTTTCTTAGATTATAAAGCTAGTTTATATAAATACTAACTAACTGAGATAATAGTAAGCAATTCGCTTAGTTCTCTCAACCTTAGAATGCACAGGGAGGTGGGGAAGGATGTTGCGAAGATACTATAGGGGTAAAAAAGAAAAAGAAAAAAAAAACCCCCACGAACCAAAAGAAGAATGGGGATGATTGGATGTTTCGACCAGCTTTATACATACATCTTCCTATTGTAGAAGCTAACATGTAGTAGATCCAGGTATGCAGACGCGTGTAGCGCTGACAACTACCACAAGTAACTTACACCTCAGTGTAGGAAAGTGTTCCCAGCCGTTACAGAGGGTTGGGCATATCATTTCTCACATATTGGGTCTCATTTGGTAAGAAAATTCTCATTTCACAAGCACTGACCATATGAGTCGTTCCCTTCCTAACTTTCCTAGGATCCCTTATTGGGACTATCGTCGATAACTTTACAGCCAAGATCGCAACCAAGAACGCCTACATTATCCCTTTAGGTATCGTCCATATTGTTCCTGGGATCTTGTTTATCGGACTTTTCTTCATCCCCGAATCGCCTCGCTGGTTGGCCGCGAAAGGGCGATTTGATGAAGCCGAACGGTCTTTACATCGATTACGACCTGAAGGATGGTCTGTTGCGCAAGAATTGACGGATATGAAGACGACTCTAGAGGCAGAGGCCAGACTACAGTCGGGCATTGGATACGTGGACCTCGTCAGGAATCCCATTGACCGCCGTAGGACAACTGTCGCTATACTTGCTCTTACAAGTCAAGCAGCATCGGGCGCAATGTTTGTTATATGTTCGTACATCTAATCGCTTCTAGTCTCTAATACGTAGCTAATATAACTACCTATACAGCCTACGGAACTTACTTCTTCGAGATGGCGAACGTAGGAAACGCTTTCGAGAACTCATGCATCCTCACCGGAGTCGGGGTGGCCGCCCTAGGAGCTACCGCCATCTTGATTACCAAATTCGGACGTCGACGACTTATGATGATTTCAGGTTTTATTTTCTGCGGGATTTCTCAGCTCGTCATAGCTATAGTGTACACAGTCCATCCCAATACAGAAAGCTCTGGAAAAGCTCTCGTTGGTATGAGTGTCCTCTACATAGTCGCCTACAACTCTATGGTCGCACCTTATGCATGGTTATCTGGAGGCGAGCTCTCCTCGCAGCGTCTACGCTCGCACACATTTGGTCTAGCCACAGGTGTTGGGTTCTTCTTCGCTGTAAGTCCTTCAAAGTCTTCATCTTTAGGACCAAAACTGATTATATGCAGTGGCTTACTAGTACGTCTCGATGCTTTATAAATGCTAGGTATACGTGATGTTTGATACTAATTTGGCGTAGCTTTCACAGCGCCGTATTTCATCAATCCCGACTCGCTAAACTGGGGACCGAAGTATGGCTATATCTGGACTGGTTCTTGTGCCGCCGCCGGAATTTGGATCTTCTTCTTCCTACCCGAAGCAAAGGATCGTACGTTGGAAGAGATAGATGAAATGGTAGGCTTTTAAATTAGCATCAACGTAGATGGGTTTGCTAACTCGCGAAATAGTTCGAAGCCCAGGTTCCGGCGCGAAAGTTCCGCAAATATCTTTGCACGGGAAAGCATGCAGCCCTTGGCGAGAAGACTCAAACGGAATACATCGAGGAGAGGGCCGTTCGTGGCAAATAGAAATCTTGGGCAGGTAAAATTTACACCAGGGCTACATGCAGAATTAACCAGTTATTCAACGTTTTTTAATGAACTGACGGCACCTCCGGTACAACAATTATATCACGTAAACTCACATAAAGCACCTAGGTAGGCTTCATTCAATATTAACTATAGCATGGTAGAATTTCACTATTTATTAAAGACGAAATGAATATATAAGCGATGAAAGCGGATACAAGTTATAACGAATCGTTGTGATAGATAGGCAGCTCAAGGGTGCAAGTATATACCTGTCTATGCCGCAAGAAGTTCCTTAACAGCAGCGTCATATGTTTCCTCAGCATTCTTCTCCGCGTCAAAATCAAAAATCCATTCTTGCCTCGGGAACTGGATCATCTCGGGGTTCTTCTTGACCTTCTCCCAGTCCGTCTTGTGCCACATATCTCGCGTGCTCTCGCCGGTCTTCTGGGTCTGGCGGACGCGATCGTATCTTATCTTCTCGTGTGCCCTGACAGAGGCCGGGACGTTTTCCTTGCCGCCTCGGCGCAGACACACTGCAATAACTACGCCATCTTCGAGTGCCTGGGTTGCTCCTTGGGCACTCGTGGGGAGGAATGGATGTGCCGAATCGCCTAAGAGTAGGATTCGCCCGGAAGGACTGACCCAGGTAGGCAAAGGATCTCGATATACCAACTTCCAGTCAACGAGCATATCCTCGGGTGTTTTCGAGACGATTCGCGTACACAGAGGATCCCAGCCTTTTAATGCCTCTTTAACTTCCGAGAGCTTCCCTGGGAAACTCCACGACTCGTCAATGTCATGTTCGTCCGGATGAGTTAGGACCCAGCAGCAGTCGGAGCCGTTCTTAATAGTGCTAAACAAGAAGTGCATATCCGGTCCGATCCACCCATTGAAAGTATCGCCGTTATTACAGAACTGGGCAGTCTCTGGGTCAGCGAGCATGTCCTTGTTGGGAAACCTGCACTTTCTTAGCTATTATCCTATGTATTAAATAGAGAGCTACTCTTACCATGACCGCCAAACAGCATATCCGCTACTCTTCGGCTTATCTTCATAGCCCAGCACGGACTTCCGCGCCTTAGATCGTACTCCATCCGATGCGATGACTACGTCGGCGGCGATCTTTTTACATGGTTAGCCAATCGTAATAGCGAAAACTGGGTTTACTAGGATACTGACTCTTCTACCATCTTCGAGCACAATGCCTGACTGTTTCTCATCTTCAAAATATGTCTGAATTTTATGTCCTAAGTGAATTGGTATTTTGAGATCGTCCCTGGCGTAGTTAAAGACTACTTCATGTAGCTCGCCTCTATGGCCGTTAAAATTTGGCGCATCCTCAGCATATTGGGGTGTCTTCTGGTTAATAACAATCTCGCCCGTGTCATATTTATGAATATTGAAACCGTACTTCCTCAGGTCGATACTTAGGGGCCGCATTCGTTGAACAACTTCGCCGTTTGACCAGCGATAGAAAATTCTTCCCGCATTTGGCCCAAACGAGATGATATCTCCAAGCGTCTTCAGCTCTGGAAATGCCTCGTATATCTCAACATCATGTCCCTGACGGTGACACTCTATCGCCGCTCCTAGACCACCAAATCCTAAAAAATCGAGGTTAGAGATCGCCAGTTGGATGTTCGCTTCGGAGGTTTCGTATAACTTGCATAGATTACGTACCAGCTCCAACCACTATTACCTTTATACCTGTCTTGGGTCGCTCTGCTGTCCCATTTGTATGGCCGTTGGTTGCCATTTCGATTGGGTAGTTAATGGACAAAGGAATCTCCCGAGGTATGAGAAGATAGGAGTCTCCTTGCAGCAGAATTTGGAACAGCGAACTTGCGACTGGGTAATCAAACTATTTTAGGTGTATGACGACGGCCAATAGCATGGTGATACTATCGACATTTAAATATGCCGGTTTCCCCTAATACTGGACACCTCCATAAACCCAACACGCGATGCGGGGGGTGGGGATTCTCACATGGGGATTTCCCCAAGTCGGTGGAGCGCCGACCCTTTCTAGTCACGCTGCCATGTTCCCGAGACCTAATGTAAGAGGATTCGGCTTGACAAGGGGCTGGGCCACGTTGTGGCATAGATGGAACGTCGGATAGTTCGTCCGGGGATTACAGCCGACTATTGGGTAGATACCTTGATAGCCTCCAAACGGGGTATCCTGGACGTATATTACCTCCCCGATCTTAGCCTATACTTGATCATCGATTCTCGGCCAGGAATGCCCAGAACGGCCGATTGCACGAGTTGTAAACACTGCCGATACTCTTGAAGGATCCTAAGTCGTAGGAATGCAGTTTAGTCTGGCGCAACGGGAGTCAGGCTCGGTTAGTAAGAAATAATAATTCAAGGCGACTCTGCTTGTCATCTTTATCGTAGGAGTAAGTAAAATAAAATAAAATAAACAACGGATATAGCATCGTCTCCCACCACCCCTCCCTGTGAACGCGGATTATGCTATAGGGCCCAAGTACCTAGTCAAAATGACGTCGAATCCAGAGTGGGGAGAAAAGACTTCCGGACTAGAGGTCGCCAGGACTTACGCCAAGCATATAGAAGGCAGAAATAGTAAGTATATCTTTTTGTCTAACGATCAACTACGACTCTAACGAAGCAGATAGTCCTGATTACCGGCGTGGCGCCAGCAGGTGTCGGTGAAGGAACCGCCATCGCCTTCGCATCTCAGAAACCTGCAACTCTGATCTTAGTATCAAGGACCAAAGAAAAGCTCGATAGTGTAGCATCACACATTCGGGAATTATACCCGGAAGTCGATGTACGAGTTGTTACAATTGACTTGGCATCCCAGGCCTCAATTCGCAAAGCGGCTGCTGAGGTCACCGGTATAATCTCGAAGTTGGATATACTAGTGAATAATGCTGGTGCCACTTACAATGCTCGTCGTTGGACAGCTGAGGGGATTGAGATACAATTCGGCGCGAACCATATCGGTCCGTTCTTGTTCACGAAGCTCATGCTCCCTCTCTTGAAAGAAGCAGCTAAACAGTTACCTGCTGGGGCGACTCGAATCATCAACCTGTCTAGCCACGGGCATCGACTATCTACCATTCGATTTCACGACTACAATATTGAAAACAAGGAGATCCCTGAAGAAGAGAAGCCTTTCTCTCCTTTACCTCCTGCCTTCGGAAGGGTCCAAGAGGATGGATACATGCCTACTATTGCGTATGCTCAAAGCAAAACGGCCAACATACTGTTCACGCTGTATCTCCAAGAGCACTTACAGGCGAATGGGATTATGTCGTATGCCGTACACCCAGGAGGTAGAACATAGCATTTTATCCCTTGACCACGAAGAACAGACCGACTTACTCTTCGTATAGGTGTCGATAGCCAGCTTGGTCGAGAACACGACGATGAGATGGCTGATGCTATTGCGAAGACGTCCATGTTCTGGAAAAACTGCGACCAAGGCGCGTCGACGACTCTTGTTGCAGCGCTAGACCCGGCGTTGAATAGTGAGCTCCTCTATCACTGGCTAAATGTCTCTTCTAATGTGTAATACCAGCTCGCGGTGGCCTCTACTTGTCCGATTGTCAGTTCTTTCCCAGCGCAGACTTCGCTAAGGATCTCAACCTAGCCGAGCGTCTTTGGCACTTAAGTGAGGATCTGATTGGGGAGAAGTTCAATCTCGAGTAAACGTCGTATCGGTGCGTCGTACCGCGAAGGCGGATCACCGCCTTAGGAAAGATAGGTTGGTGTATAGAACCTGAGGTAGCAACGTACGTTATAGACGTCATCTGGCATAATAATTATTAACATAGCTAGGCATTGCGATGTTAACATGTTCCAGCCTTCTAGGCAACCGTATTTATATGCCAGATCTCCCAAAGTGATCTATTATAAACATATTGATTCCGTAACACCGTTTCTATTTTAAGCTTAGCCGTCAGTCAGTATTGATTAACCCCCTTAATAAACGTACAGAAATGTGTCCATCGCAAGCCTAGAATAGCACTATAAAGCTCCGGCCACTTCCGGCCGCTGGTAGGATCTACCAATTCATACAACGCCAGCCCCGGCTAAACCGGCTGTATATGTTAGCATAATCGATCCCAAGCGATTATGTACTTGGACAATAGGTACATTCCGTTAGGGGCGTTGGAGTTTTCTTGGAGGCGATATCTTGATAGACAACTATTTCATTCAAATCTTCCTTCGAGGAGGTAGGAGAGCTTGCTTTCTCTTTGTGATTAGATTGTGATCTGTAGCCTCGTTGGATAGAGAGGCGTTTTGTTTCTTTAATTTAAGTCGCCATTAATTCCTAGGGAAGTTCACCATGAGGTTGACCCTTGTCGGCGCTCTGATTGGAGTATGGGCAAGCCATGCGGCCGCGGAAACACTGGTTATTCGCGACGTGGTAACCAATCTTCCGGCCGGTTGGAGGTTTGAGAAGCCAGCAAAGGCAGAAGAGCCGATGCAGTTGTCAATCGCACTCAAGCAGCCAAGAATTAATGAACTAAAAACCCGTCTCAATCGTATTAGCGATCCGCGACATGCTGAATACGGACACCATCTCACGCGGGATGAGGTGAAAGATTATCAAGCACCCGACAGGAAGACGTTGGATTTGGTCCACTCATGGCTCAGGTCGAACAGAATTACAAACATAACCAACGAAGGCTCAATGGTGAAATTTACTTCAACTGCTGCGGAAGTTAATAGGATTCTTCGTACCAACCTAGGATATTATTCTTTCCAGGACTCTTCGCCATTCATACGTACTCAATCATATGCGCTGCCTCGAATACTTGACGGAAATATCGAGTTTATATATCCAATCTCGAACTTCATGCCACCACCTCAATCTAGGCTCAAGCACCGCCCTTCCCAAAAAGCAGCCTTCAAGGCGAGCGACGACGACCAGCCTTGCCTATCGGGCGTCACTCCGGCATGCCTCAAAAAGCTTTATAATGTGACATATGCCGATACTAAGACGCCCATAGAGTCACCTGTCCGAATCGGAATAGCTGGCTTCCTCGAGCAGTGGATCAAATATGACGACGTTTCCGAATTCCTTGGAAGATACTCGCCGGAACTCGAACCGCTGAATTATAACTTCACGGTGGTTACGTTAAATAATGGCACGAATCCTCAGCCTAATGCACCAGAATCGAGAGCGGGGTTAGAGGCTAGTTTAGATGTAGAGTACGCCATGGCCCTTGCCTATCCGGCGAATGTGATCTACTATTCAACAGGAGGACGAGGCGAGAAAGTTGATCGCGAGGGAGAGTTGATGCCGTCAAATAGGAGCGACAACGAGCCATATCTCGAGTTTTTCCAATATCTTCTTGATCTCAAAGATGAAGAAATACCCCACGTAATAAGTATCTCATACGCTGATGATGAGCAATCGGTGCCGGCTCCATGTACGTGATGTCGATGTTTTTCTTTCTCCCTTTTAGTTGGCTGAGGAATTACCACTTTCAAGACACATCTTGACTCGTCAACCTGAGATAGTTGCTAACTATCGTTGTTAATAGATGCTGCTCGCGTATGTGACCTTCTTGCTCTTGTTGCAGCTCGCGGTATTACAGTCCTCTCTGGTTCCGGTGACGGCGGCGCTGGCGGCATAGGGCAGAATCAGTGTTACAGTAACGATGGCCGAAGGCGCAAGATATTCCTTCCCACATTCCCAGCCAGTTGCCCGTACGTCACGGCTGTAGGCGCAACAGGAAATACTCTACCTTTAGAGGGAGCCGACTTTAGTACTGGTGGTTTTAGCAATTACTTCGCCAGACCGGAGTGGCAGAAGAGCGTCGTGGACGAGTACATATCTACCCTCAACGGATCACACAGAGGTCTATACAACGCATCCGGACGGGCGTTCCCTGACATTAGTGCTACTGGCACGAATTACGTTATCCAAGTAGGCGGCTACCAGACCGACGTACTTGGAACGAGTGCCAGCACACCAGTCGTAGCCGCTTTAGTGGCGTTGATCAATGATTCGAGGTTGAAGGCGGGGAAGAATAGCACAGGATGGCTAAATCCAGCGCTGTATTCGCAGCCTGTTAGGGAAGCGCTACAAGACATCACGACGGGTGTCAGCCAGAACTGTGTATTTGACGATGCTAAAGAGCCTGGATGGAAGAGCGTAAAGGGGTACGACTGCGTAACTGGACTCGGCTCTGTGGGTGATTTCACGAAGTTGTTGAATGTGTTAGGTTAGGGTACCTAATTAATGACCTCGGTAGCAAATATTAAGCAGAGACCTATTCGTATATGGATATATTCCGTAAGCAAGCATGCAAATATACCCACGCATGCGACTAATCAAATGATCTCCGCATTTTAAGGTACGAGGTACCAAACTAGTGGGGTAAATTTAGAAACTTGGTAGCCGCTTAGCACGCGTTACTGCCAATCTCAGTCAGCTTCGCTGCTTCGCCAGTGTTTACTGACTCCACACTAGCTAAAGATGATTCGCGCTTTGTACCCAAGATTGAAGGTAATTGCTACTGCCGACCTCGTACTTACTCGTACTTTTTAACTAGTTATCTCACAACTTAGTTTAGTTGTAACTACCATTTTCTTCTTCTCCTTCTTCTGCGTTTTAGAACTTGCGTTAGGTTAGGTTAGGTACTTTTCTACACTATATAATCCTGTCTTCATACTTCAGCTGCCGCCATTTCTATTCGAAATCACTTTCGATTGTCCGATTATATCCGTATACTTTCCCGCCCCACGATCGATAGCTTCTATGTTCCCGTCTTGTACACGATTCACGCCTCTCTAACCGTCGGTATACCACAACACATTTTATCGCGCCTCTTCAACTTAACAACCCATGTCCCGTTATTTTTATTTAGCTATATATGTCAAGCCCGACCTTTTAGCAACTTAACTAATCCGCGATACACGCGTGCTGACGCGTCTTTATCCTCAATTTCTTCTTATGCGCCCGCCTTGAAGCTTCCGGAGGAAGAGGACACGACAAGCTCGTCGATACGTATTAAACTACAACTTTTGCACGCCATTCTCGCGCGATGACTCCTTTACGCGCTTAGAACATAAACCCTCCGAATTCGCGACTGGCCTTGGGCAATTCTGGTCTTGAGCATTCAGCATGACGATACTCCAGGTCACACCTACTTCTTCGGAATTGCTCCAAGACGTTGCCAACTCGCTGGGGAAAGCGAGAAAGGTTGTTATAATCACAGGTGCTGGGATAAGTACCAATTCCGGCATCCCAGTATGATCATACCCTTACTATATTTGGAGATATCTTGAGACTGACTGTTCATATAGGACTTCCGCTCAGAAAATGGGCTTTATTCGCTCATCCAGGCCCAATTTGAACGGGCGGAGGCCGGTCATAGTAAAGATAACGAAGGACAGACTGTCGACTTTGCTATAAGCGAACGCCCGACCAAAAGAAGAAGAATTTCACATACGAATGAAAGGATAGCAGAACAACATAAACCCACGAAAGCGACGGACGGCTCTGATAGTCAGAAAGCCCAGGATGGGGCGAATATATTAGTCGGCGGCACTGACGAGGACACGGTAATACTTGTTCGATCTACGAGAGATACCCTTGTAAAACAAGAAGCAGTAGCTTCTGGAATATCCTTACAGCGACTTACCAGGTCGCAGTCAGGACTGCGGCCACCATTACCTCGACACGCCTCGCAATATTCCGTTCAATCTTCTACATCCCAGGAGTCGTTATTCTCAGGCTCCCGACTTTCAAGAACCTCGTCCCAGACTGATGACTCAGCTCCCTGCGCAGGACGGGGCTCTCGTAACGTTCAAACGAGGGATACTACTCCGAGAGCGGTTCTGGGCAAGGTATTTAGCTCGTCTCCCCTCTCTTCGCCACCGCCTGTTTTATTCGACCCCTACGAAAACGCGAACTCGTCTACGGAGGGTAGTTCACGAGAGAGCGCGGAAAGTTCCGAGGCATCCGACTTGGAAGACACACAAAATTCTTTAGATCTCTTGTCTTCACAGACCTCTAATTCGAGCCTACGTAATATGAAAGGACGAGATTTGTTCGACTGTAATATATGGGCAGATCCACTGAAGACATCCGTATTCTATCGCTTTGCTACTACACTAAGGCAAAAGGTAAAGGAAGTTGAACCAACCACAACTCACCGCTTTATCGCGCAACTACGTGATGTTGGAAAACTTGCGAGGGTATATACTCAGAATATCGACGAAATCGAGAAGAAGATTGGCCTTTCTACGGACTTGAAGAGCGGCGCAGGCAATAAAAGGAGGAAGTCTGCTAAACAACAACTGGCAGATTTAGAAAAGGATTCCAAGGAGAATTTGGAAGCATCAAAGGACGAAGATGAGCCTAACGTGGATGTTGGACAAGCCTCACAAGGCTCTGAGACTTCCGGACGAAACATTACCCGTTCAATCTTAGCTCAAGATAAGGGTGTTGAATGTGTGTTCCTTCATGGCTCTCTACATGCCCTTCGCTGCTTTGTTTGCGGGAAACTCTGTGATTGGGATGAAGATGGACGGGAATCCTGTACGATGTCGGGCGAACAGCCCGAATGCCCCCACTGCGCGGGAGCAACTGCTGCGCGCCAGGAAAAGGGGAAGAGAGCCTTAGGCATCGGCAAGCTTAGGCCAGACATAGTCCTCTATGGAGAAGAGCATCCGCAGTCCGATCTCATATCCCCCATAGTTCAGCACGACCTTTCCGTCGGACCGGACCTCCTCCTAATATTAGGAACTAGCCTTAAGGTCCACGGTTTGAAGGTGATGGTCAAGGAATTTGCTAAAGCTGTGCATAACAAAGGAGGCAAAGTCATATTCATTAACCTGACGAGGCCGTCTGATAGTGCTTGGGGCGATATCATAGATTACTGGATTGAGTGGGATTGTGATGCTTGGGTTGACGACTTAAAAGATAGGAAGCCGCACCTTTGGCTATCCCCCGATGAGATTTTAGAATCCGAAAAGCAAAGGCGCGAGGCTTTAGCCGAAAAGAAGAGGGAGACTATATCCAAGAAGCGAGAAAGCCTGGGCGAGAAGAGACGACACACGATCGAATTTGCCAAACCTCGGCCGCCACCTAAAAATCCCTCTTCCATGAGAAATGATTACCAGTGTGGAGCATACGTGGTTTGGGAGATATTTCAAACTCTCGCCAAGATTGGTGACCGTCCTTTTGACAATCTCGGATACACACTCCCTTGTCGACCTCCGCCGGCTGTCCCGCCTCCTATTCCCAGCCACCCTACTCCGGTATCTCAGACTATCGTCCCGACTACCAAATCAAGGAAACCAAGGAAATCGGCACCGGCGGCCCTCGTCTCTTCAACGACCAATGCAGGGGGAGACCCGGAGATCAAATTTGGGCCTGCTAACAAAGGTACGTTCTTAGCTAATTGCAATAGCCGGAAACAATACGAAAAGGCCGCCCAAGAGCTCGCACGCTCTGGTAAATCTCCGACCCCGATTAGGCTAGCAGAATTAAATCGTAGCGCAACGCCTCATAGAAAGAGTGCGACGCCTCCTCCGTATGAGCCGCTCAGTTCCATTACTGCTGCTGTTAAAATTAATCCCCGCCGGAGGAAACGAAAGATGATTGAGGGAATCCCGGTTGGTGGAACAGTTTCTCGAACTAAGAAACCTGCACCTCCACGTTCTACACCAGGCCATAACCTTAAAGGAGCAAATGGCACCGAAAATGGGTTGTCTCCTTCAACAAACTGTAGGGCGCTTCCTTCTAAAGGACCAGTTTTACCTCCTTTCCACCCTGGGTGGGAGCGTTCGCCTCCCGCGAGGATCAAACCTCTGGAGCCGAGTTTAAACGTATCACCACCGAGTCCACTATCTGACCTACCACCAATAGCGCGACCCCGGATTTTTGCCATACGCCAGGCGACGTATCCCATGCTGTTTAGCAATCCACTTAACAAGTTACGATACGAGACGACAAATTACAGAAGGCCACCCAAGGAATCTAGTGTAGGTGCTTACGACAAACCGCCTAGCCCTTCAGACCAACTCCGATGGGAATTGGCCCAACAGGAAGCCCTCGAGGGAGCCCAGGTACTTGAAGGACTAAAATATTCGAGATGAGGCATGATCCGACACCATGGCTTTTACCTGGCTAGATATGTAGTAGAAGATCCCGCATATTAAGCCTATTCGAGGCCCTTCAACTATTAGTAATAAGAAGTATAGCTACCTATCTATTATATATGGTTGTCTACAGTGATTTTACAAAGTTTATATTATATAACTAGCATATACTTTCAACTCCTCGTCTTATCTTGAGGGTTCCGGGCCTTGTCACCTTGAGGTTTCAGTTGGAAGCTTTGCCTACCCAGGGGGACTACTACTCGGTAAGTCACGTCTAGTGTTTATGTTGATCGCTCAAGTACCAGCTGATGGATTTTAGCCCCCCCTCCCCTTTGAACTGGGTGATGGGTTGTGGCGAAAGTATGATGATATAGGAGTCTACTAATAGGACACCTTTATATGCGTCCGAAATAAATTAACATAATTAACATCAATGGCAAAGCAAGACTTTAATACCTAATCGCCCGAACTCGCTTGGCCTCTAACACAATAGTTGCTCTTATCAGCTTATTGGTTCTCGCCCTCTTCGCATTTATTATACTATACAAGGTACTCATCGACATTCTCCGTAACGTCAGCCGCCTACAAGGGGTTGGGATAAGTCGTCGTATGCTTCTAGGGGCTGGTCCAGAGTCGAGAAAGTCCCACTAGCCCCGAGCGGGATCGATGGTGGTGTTTAGACTAAATGCTAGGAGCAGGGGACGGGAATGCGCTCGGGGATCCGGGGGACGAGCCCGGACTGTGACCTCCAGTATTATCGAAGCCCGTAGCTCGCGCGTCCCGCCAGATATCCGTTGTCTGGTATTGTTGTCCCCTACGGTCCTCCCACCGCTGCGCCTCCTGGAAGAGGTGCTCCGAGTCATGTGAAATAGATTCATCTGTCGTGATCAAAGGATTTGCGAACGCATTGGGGAATAGAGTCGGCTGCTTCCCGGCTCTAGCCCCAATAGGTTGTGGCGTGAAGATGGTATCTCCCGTCCCGGTCTGAAAACGCCCTCCTGTTCCGAAGGGGCTTGGCCTAACTACCTCCTCGATGATTGAACTCGGCACTCCTATCTGCTGGAGACTGTCTAAGCTATTCATCTTCTGCGCGGATAGGATGAATTGTGCGCCGTCCCGATCCTTGTTCCAACGTGCGAAGCCCTTATGCGACTGACGCCGGTTTCTGTTGAGTCCACCTCCTAGAGCACCGCCCCGTGATGTCGGTGCGGACGTGGAACCACCTAAGTTTCCACCGCTTGGACCCGAGTCCGGTATATTAAGCCGTCGAGGCGCACGTGTTCCTAGTTTTGTAGGGTCGCGCGGTACACCAAATGTGTCTTTTATTTCTTCCTTGCCTGAGGGAGTAACATCTAGCTTGGGTAACTCGGTCTCGGTGGGGCTCGGCTGCACGTCTGGCGAGAAAGCCCGGGGCTGGTCCTCCTTAAGTTTCCGTACTGGGCCGGGGGCGGTCCAGTTATACACTCTATCTGCAGGCGGAGGTTGACCTAGGCTCTTCACATTCCTTATTACTCGGTCTATACTGTTAACAGATCCTTGGAAGTCCTGGAACGGAATAGGGAGACTGCCCGATCCTTGTGAGCGTTCCATGATTGCTTCGCATTCATCGAAAACATGACGGATCCGCGGGTCCAGCTTGACGTACTGTCTATGCGCAAGAACACCTAATCGATCCATGCGGTTTTTCCAGTAGGAGGACGGTACCGTTGTAAAACGTCTTTTCCAGCTGATGTCTTCCGGGTCCCACCGGTTCGGATCACCCAGCATCTCCATGAGGTCCGTATAGGCCATATAACAGGATCGGTAACGTGTTTCCCATAAAACCCATTCGTGCTGGAGATGTTCAGTTGTCGCTGAATTGGAATACATGTTTAATATCCCTACAAAGTGTTGCGACCATTCAAACGCCTCTTGTATGTGTCTATACATGACCCCGAGGGGACCTTTATCCGCAGCGCCATTGTTTGTATAAATATGAGCTCGGGCATTGAACTCCAGGCTGAGGAAGTCTACCATGACACGCTGTAGGTATGCGAGATCCTTCATAAAAGCTCTGTATGTTGCTGATAGTTCCCGCATAATAATCCCGCCTACAGCGAAATATTCTTCCCGATTCTGCTCGTACATTTGGGACCATTGCACGAAGGACATCAAGGTGGGATTTGCACCACTGAGAATGTTACGGTTGTGTTGAGTAACATACGTTTCGAATAGGTTATCGTAGTCTAACCCGCAAACCCGAGATATCTCTTGTCCCTTTTCTATTTCGTTGTTCAATGTCATGATATGAGAATTTAGGGGCATGATAATTTCGATATCCCATTGTTGACAATCATATTCCCAACGGAGCGATAATATCGAAGGCATTATCAAGTGCCACGCCTGTCGTCTCAGATACTCTCCTAGTATGTGATAGTCGTTTTTCACTAGCGTCCGGTATACGAAGGACAGAAACCACCATTCCGCTTTACCATAGTACTTCTCGCCCATGGGTGCGTGTACCCAAGAAGTTGACATTGTAGTCTTCAGGAGGCGATCCTTGGGGCTCAGCTTCATGGCTTCGGGACCCCATGTCGGGTAGACATCGGTCCAGAAGGACTCCCTGAAGAACTGAGCCATATAGTCGATGGGAATGGGATGACAATAATTCTCGGTGGGAAAGTCGGCATTTTTGATGGGTCCTACGCGTATAGCTCCAGGCGGAGGGGGGTTTCTAGCAACGGGATACGGATTTGCTTCAGCTACCAACGGCATACTGGCTATCTGCCTGGAAGGCCTTATGAATGAGCCACTTAACATGACGTTGGTGAGGAACCCCCAAACCGACCTCTCGAGATCGAAGCCTAACTCAGCAACACCTAAACCATCCCAAAAAGGATCTCCGTCCTCTACGTCCACGTCCCAAAGAACATTCGCCAGTTGTCTAAGGAGGAACGCAGTCTCCGGAGGTTGGCCTGGAAATCGTGAAAAGAATAGGTCGCTCGTCAGAATGCATTGGGCACAATTGACTGCGTGCTATAATACGCAAAAGCGACGAGAGCCATGTTAGTAGATGTGACACACACAACGGTTAAAGATTTTAAAGATTTTAGGAACCAAGGGGGTTAAATCAAGGGGGTTATCTCACAGCGAACTCATGCATCAAAGTCGAGGCAACTAGGAATGACGCCGTAAGCTTCTCGCTTTGGCTATATTGGGGTACCAGCAACGGCCATATCAACTCAGCTGCTATCCAAATACTTATGACCGTATCCCGGCCGCTGCCACTCGCCTGAGTTACCCCGTATACCAAGGTCTTCGTCTCTTTGACGCCATCAATAGCATCCGCATCATCTGACTCGGTGGGTTCAAACCACGCGCAACTGATTTCAAAGCGTAGGCAATAGAAGAGAACCCTCCACGTGTTTTCGATAAAATCGTATCCCATGTTATTCAGCGCAATCATCTCCGGCCACGAGTTCTTTAGGTCTAAGACCATCTCCTCTACGGGCCTGTATCCGACGAGATTAGGCGTCCTGGGGTTATCCCGATCTGCAACTAGGTGGTCCGGAATCTTGTACCGCGTCCGCAAGTCCATCAAGGCCTGTATACCGGGATGACCGCTCAGAAGCATTTTCGATAAAAGCAGTAGTGCGGGTTGCATCGCAGCCCATAGGGTATCGTTTGTTCTCTGGCAGGGAAATGAATTAGCTAATCCTTGCCAATCCCAATCTCACCGCGCTCGTTCGCGCTCAGGGGTAAAGGGGGGGGGGGGGAAGGGGGGCAGGAGAACTCACCATATCCCATTCCTCTCTTACACCATTGAGGTTATATAAGAATCGAGGATCGAATCTATCAGCCCCCTTTGACGAACTATCTCTCCACCTGTCTCTTTGGAGAATACTGGAGCAATCGAGAGCCGTTAGCCCAGCTGATAAAGCACACATGTCAAACGCCTATACTTACGCATGAACCGGGCCTTCAAGGTCACAAATCGCATCATCAGACTGCGTATAAATATTGTTGTATACCATCTCGTCGGATGTCATATCATGGAACACAATCCGTTGATAATCTTGATCATCCAAGGCCTTCTGGAAATACGTCTTGTGAGCGGTTAATATTTGCGGATAGTTCTTTCGAAGGTCGTCTACGAACTCTTCCAAGGTGGTGGGAGGCTCGACTTGCAGGTTAAGGGGAACATGGTCGTTAGTTAGGTACGACGCCATCTTTACCCGTAGTTGCTGTCCCGTCATCCTCTCTTCGGTATTCATCAGATTCTCCAACGCAGCCTTGTCGATATATCCTTCGGGGGGGAGGGATTTCCCCGCCTTTATCGCCGCGTCTTTCGTCTCCTGGGCGAGTTTCCTTCTTGCTTCCTCCGGGAGCAGATTGACCTGGTTCGCGTAGTCCTCCCACGGATCCCGAGTCGCAGATAGCGTCGGACTGAGACGACTTCGACCCCCGAACTCTCCCGGATAGATACCGAAGCGTTTCGCCCACTCCGTCGGCCGATGAATTTGGTCTTGGGGCCGTAGCGCCGGATGCAGCCTAACAACCGGATCTCTAGAACCCGACATACGGAATCCTTTCACATACGATACCGTGTAGCTCGGGTCAAAATCAGGATGAGACCACTCGGGAATATACCACGTGTAATTCCACGACCCACTGCCAGGCGGCTTGGGAACCTTTCCCCTAACAGCTATGTGGCTGTCGCGCCACCGGTCTGCCTCAGCTGGAGAGCCCATTTGATCGGCATCGTCGGGCGGGAATACAACGCTGACGCCATGAGCGGCGATGTTCCCTTCGACCAGCGCCTCGAAAAAAGGCTGCCAGTCCCAGAAATATCCATCAGGTATTTTTTTCCTAAACGAATCTAAATATGCCGATGCTACCTCTTGGATAGTCTGGCCGGGCCGCAACGCCGGTGGTTTAGCCGGCGTCGCAGTGGTTTCGTAAAAGAAACCGCCAACGTTGGATGCAGACATTAGGTCTACTTAAGATATGACCCTAGAGCTTGTAGGAGCGGCCGTATATAGGGCATGTATTGTATATAATTATCCCCGTAGTTCTGCTTAGGTATACAATACCGCTATTGCTCTCCTCCTATCGTTGCCGTTATCATTCTATGTTACCAAGGTATGCTTTTGTCAAAAGTTACGAAATGCTAACGTTTAGATAAATTGCTATACACCTTCAGATCTGTAAATTGGATATTTCCCTTTCCTACCTCTCAATGCATATCAAGAAAGCCTTTGTAGGCATGCCATAAGCCTGTCTTGCCGTTCTCGGAAAATCAAGGAGAGGTACAAATGCGACAAAGGTCAAAACAAAGGATTCCTCCCATTAGCTACACTACGTTTTGACCCGGATCCGACATTTTTTTTTAAAAAAAAATACATATTGTTAAGAACGCTAGTGTATCCAAAGAAAGGGCATGGAGTCAACGGATGTTGTTATAGTTAGACTAGACGTTATCACCTAACCCGTAAATGTAGGTAGTCGGTCTATAATTCATCTCGAGTATCTGGCTCTACATGAGAGCAAAGTGTACAAATTAAGATACAATATCACATTAACAGCTACGGGTAGAAAGAAGACTTAGAATTCTATATCAAGTCTATTCAGCGACCTGCTTATCTATCTATGGTATTCTCGCAGTTAAGAATTCGAAAGGCTAACCTCTGGGGCCTCCAATCCAGCGGTATCATGCCCTTCCTTGTTCATCCTGCTCGACCATGCGATAAAACGCCCTCCCTTTAGTTGCAATGAGCATTGGGCAACCTTGGCGCGCAAGAAACAGAGACAATGCCTAACCATGCAAATCCGAACTTTTTGTGTTCATATCAGACAAAGGAAAAAGTGATCATATTCGTGAATCAGAAGTAAGTCGTAAGGATGCGTGCCAGCGAGGATGATGGCAAACCGTCTACTCATCCTCATCGGAGAAGACCTCCTCACCACGCTTTCGGCGGGCCATACGCTCTATAGTCAGGTTAGCTACTGTATTAGGGATTGAAGGGTTACTAGAATATTGGACTTACCCTTCTTCTTCTTCCTGGCCTCGGAGCTAGTCAACTTAGCCTTCTTCTTCGTCGCCACAATCTTATTACCCATCGCGTCGAACTTCTCCTCTTCGTCGTCGTCGCCTTGCTTTAGCCTAGGGCCAGCGCCTTGGCCTTGGACCCAGTTGTGGCCTGAAGGCGTCATCTTACCATCCATGACAGCCCACACTTCTTCAGTCAAGTCCTTGGTGAACTCGGCGCTGTGAGTGATGATGATGACACCACCCTCGAATTTCTTCAGAGCCTTGGACAGGGCACCTAGGGAGTCACGATCGAGATAGTTGGTGGGCTCGTCAAGAACGATTAAGTGGGGTCGTTGCCACGAGCAAGCAGCTAAGACGACCTTGACACGCTGACCACCAGAGAGACCGCGCATGCGCGAGTGGGATACAAGTTCCGCATCAAGACCGAAGTTGGCACAGTGGGACTCGATCTCCTTTCGGACTAGGGGTCGGAATTGACCAGAAGCAAGCGCTTCCCTCATATCGACCTCGGCGACCATCTTCTGGTGAGAACCGAGAAGTTCGGTTCGCGGAAGCCAAGCGTTGTCGGCTGTCATCATAGGAACCCAGCGCTCGTTCTTCATGCCCACGTTCTCTCCAAGAGCAAAAGAGCACTCGTATTCGTAGCTGTTCTTGAACTTTCTACGGCTGTGAATACCAATGATGCGGCGTTGCGAACCCTCAACCTTGAAGATCTTGTCCATCGCCTTTTCATCATCTTCAGTAATGATCTTATTGGCACGGTCCATGGTCTCACGATCCTCACCAGTCTGGAATCGCCACTGGATGTACTCAGAGGGGGTCTTGTCGAGATGGTTATCAATATGGGCGAAGGCGTGCTGCTTGATGTAGGCAATACGGATGTTCTCGTGTTGGTAGATCTCACCAGCGGTCGGGATCAGCTCACCAGTGAGGACGTTAATGAGGGTCGACTTTCCGGCACCGTTGGGACCGATAACGGCGATACGGGAACCGAGCGAGCACTGGAAGCTGATGTCGGTGATCTGAGGCTTGGGGGTACCCGGATATTGGAAGCTCATCTTGGTGGCACGCAGAATGGCCTTAGCCTTGGTCTTGACACCCTCCAAGAAACCGGGTTCGGGGAAAGTGAACTCGATCTCGGATTCTCCAAGCTCGTAGTACGACTTGGCGTGAGGGTTCTTACGGACGAACTCCTTTAGGTTACCCTTGTATCTCTTTAACTTGAATCGTTCGTAGTGGATAATGTATTGGGTGACGTTGTCCAAGAAGCTGCTGTCGTGAGAAACAATGATAGAAGTGCAGGGGGAGTTGATTAAGTAGTCCTCGAGCCATTTGACGTTCTTCACGTCGAGATGGTTAGTAGGCTCATCGAGCAACAGGATATCCGGGGCTTCGAAGACAGCACGGCACAAAGCCAACTTCATCTTCCAACCACCAGACAGAGCGGTGATCTCACCCTGAGTCATTGCCTCTGTGAAACCAAACTCCTCAAGGCGCTTCTCGACGTCGGCCTTGCTAGTGGTAACGCCTGCCTCAGCCAGCTTCTTCATTGTCCAGTCAATGGTAGTCATCTCAGTATCGGCAGAATCCAGGTCGTGCTCAACGAAGACAGTCTTGACTTCGCTCTGCTTAGGGAAACCTTCGACCTGCTCGTTGTTGATAGCACGCATGAGAGTAGATTTACCGGATCCGTTGGGACCGCAAAGACCGTAACGGCGACCACGCTTGAGGCGTAGGTGAGTCTGGTTAAGAAGAATCTTGGCACCGTAGGCAAGAGAGAAGGTGCAGTTGCAGAGGTCTTCACCCTCATCATCATCTACCTCTTCCTCGGCCTCATCGGCAGCACCTGAAGAAGCACGCCTTCTAAGACCGTCGACAACCTTTTCAGCATCGACATCGCCAACAACAACTGTGACAAAAGGCTTGACAGCAGCGGCCCAAGTAGAGGGCTCGGTTTCCTTCTCGTCAACGAGCTGGCCACCAATGGCGGAGATGTACTCCAGAACAGGAGCCAATTTCTCAGCCGTCTTAGCATGCTTGCTGGGGATGATAGCTTGGAGGTGGCCCAAGACAACGGCAACATCGCCGTCGTGGCGAACCTCGGGGATCTTGCCATCCTTGATGTCACCAACACGGATAAGAGTATCCAGAGCCTGCTTGGTCTTTTCACGGGCTTCGGGGTCGGCTAAGTTATCGTAGTTCTTCTGGAGACCAGGCATCATCTTGGGCAAGAAAGGAGCAACGATGTTGGGGTCGTCAACAAGTTTGCACATGTTGTCAACGATAACAGCGGCCTTTCGCTTGATGGCAGTGTCTCGCTCAGCCAAACCACGATCGAGCAGAGGAACCATCAGAGCCAAAGTAGGCTCTTGAACCTCAGTGACGAAGGTTGTAGCACCGAGCAAGTGGACAGTCTCGGGGACATTCTCAGGCTTAGCGATACACTTGATGAGCTCGGGAATGAATCGCTCAATATCCTTGTTGACAATCAACTCGCAGATCTTCTCCATAGTCTTGTATGCACGCTCCTTGACTTCCTTCTTGGTATCCCACATGGACTCGGAGATAACAGGAATGAGCTCAGGAACTCGGAATGCCAGTTGGGCAGGGGCAGTTCGAACAAGAATATCAATGCAGTCAAGAGCGGTGATCTTCTCGGGCCATTTCTGGGACTCGAGAATAGACTTGACGATGACGGGTAGGACGGCCTTGACAGCGTTGGGGTTGATAGCCTCAACGATGGCGGTGGTGGCAGCAATAGCGGCATTCTTGACACCAGTAATCTTGTCGCCAATGGCAGCAAGGGTTAGAGGTAGTAGGAGAACAAAGTAGGGCTCGACGTTGGGGGCGATCTCAGAGTGCTGGGCAATGGCCTGGATGGCATTGGCTGCCTTCTCGCGGGCTGCAGCATCTTTCTTGTTTGTAATCTGCTTCTTTAAGGCCTCCACGGTTCTGCAAAAATAATCTCATGTTAGCATATGCTGATTTATGAGGGGAAATAGGAATTATGATGAAAGCCAGTGTTTAAGTCGTAGCTCCCCCTTTCCCGTTTTTTCTTCTTTCTATTTCGCCCAGCAGATATTATGGCCATCTAACGAGTGGGGGGAGGGGTTGACATAACGCCAATGCAAACGACATTTTCGGGCACGTGCATATAGTGGGGGTGTGGGTAAAAAGGATAGGAACGGCAGAGGGGAACAGCGGAATTCGAAATGAACGCGAAAAAAAAAAATGAAAATGAAAATGAAAATGGAGCTAGAATTTAGGTGGCAAAGGCGGAGGGGCACACATAGCAAAGAAGCCGTAAATTGCAAAATGCAATATAAACGATGAATTCTCGTATGTGTGTATGTGTGTATTTGCGTATATGAATATGTAATAGCGTCAAAATTTTCTTACCTAGTGGGGGCTTCCTGGTCTTCGATGCGACCGTTGATGAAAGAGGCCAACGAGTGGGATGCGTCCTTGATAGAAGCGGCATCCTTGGAAATGGTGAGCTTTTGCATCAGGTCATCCAAGACCTTGATGGACTGAGCGTTTTCCTGAGCCGTAGACATTTTGATTATTTTTGTTCGACGGGGAAATCGATTAGAATATGTTGGTCGAAAGTCGTCGTGATATTATCCCGGGTCGATAAATTCTCTCGGTCGTAAATGCGGTGATGGGTAAATCGACGATGAAAGTCTAAAGAGACACACCCAAGTCTAGGAAGTGGCCTTCGTCTAGAGCCTGTAGAAATTCTGACGAACGTGTGTTCAGAATCTACTCTATCGTGGCTCGTCTAATCCAGTCTAAGCCCAATCGCGGCGAAGAACAAAGATCTCTTTTTTGTCTCGAGAAGAGGATGAACCCGAATCTGAGTTAGAGAGGCTCAGATGGTCGCTCTTCAAGAAAAGAGAGTAAATGGAAAAGAAAAGAGAGATTGTATGTGTGATAAGAAAAAAAAAGGAGGATTTGGGAAAAAGGTGGAATGTGGGTTGGGAGTGGTGGACGAGGTTTTATGTGTGTCCCTGTGGCAAGAAAATGCTATGTCCCAAATTCTAACTGAAAAAAATTTTGGCGGCCAAATAATTTTTTTCCTCTTTTCTGCCCGCGAGGGGCAACCTTGATAGGTGGGCTGCCGAGGGGAAGTGTACAAGATTGCAGGGTTCTCACTGTAATCGATTAACTTGTGGAGCTAATACCCCCGATAAACCCAATTGTTGTCAAAACGTCACTGCCATGATTGGTTTAGGTACCTAATGTTCAGGTACTATATCTATGTGTACTGTCCGTGTACGTATGACAGTAGATTAGCATAACTTTAGTTGCATTTTAGGTTGTCTTTATCAAATAGGTCCACTTGACATGAAAGGAACCAATAGCCGATAAGCCAGGGGTCAGCATGATTCATGCTTAGGTATCGTATATACTTTATCGCTTTTTATCGTGCTTCTCTAGTATGCAGCTCTCAAAGTTCTCTTAGGCATCTAGTCCTAGTCCCATTTAGGCAGCAAAAGATGTGGACGGGCTATATAGCTGCTTAAAATAGGGACCTCCGGAGGCAGGGGGCAATGGAGCAGGGACCGACAACTTCTAATACCTAGGTACATGTACTATATAGATATGTACGTAATAGGAGGTATTATGGTTATAGGTATGGGTAAGTTTAACAAGTAGGTCGAGTACCGCGTTAAATATAAAGTTTATTTTCGTTTTTGCCAATTTATATAAAAATATAATAACGTATGTGTACTTATAGGTTTAATATAGCAGATTAACACTGAACTGGTATAGTCCTTTGCTTAGCTCGCCCCACGGGTACGTGGCCCACTCGTTAAACTTAAGCCTGTATGTAACCATAGTACATACCTGGTATTATCGATATGTACCTATGTACAATTCGTAAGGCGGTCAAGCGATGAAGGCGAAATCTTCTTTAGACTTGTCCTTCTCTCTTCTTCTTCTTCCCCGCCAAAATCTTTGCCCATCGCCCGCATAAAGTACGGATTACCAGGATCTATTTCAAAAATCTGGAGATAGGTATTCTGCATGTGCTTGCGAATCCGGGACTACATCCGTTTCTCCCGTAAGCCTTAAACACTTAAATACAGAAGTGCATTTGTTTATTCTTGATGTTCAAGTTATAAATCTCTATTTTTATGTTCAACTTCTTTATTCCTTAACGTGCCAATATTTGTCTATGTTATTATTCTCCAACGACTAGTTGGCTAAGCCCCCCTTTTTAATTCAACACCCGATCACAAGCTTAGGTAGACTTCGAGATCATCCTCTACATAGGTCTTAATGTCTGGACCCTTAGAGCATAGGATCCATCTAATGCAATGGAACGGTGTTCCCGATTTGGAATTAACTAGCATCTTATTAATACTATAACATTCTACCAACTATCTTAGACTATCCCCTTGAAGACCAACTTGATTTTTAGTACATACTAGCTCGAAGGATTTGTTCGCCATCCATTTATAGTGTAAGCTGAAAATCATCACTCTTCTCCAATCTACATAGTCCTGCTAACTTAGATTTAGGTAGGTTACATGTACAGCACGGCTCAGCTCAGCTCAGCACAGCTCAGCTCATGCTAGTAATATCCTCTCGCATCAACAGCAACAATTTTTCCTGGCTCGGTAAATGTACCGTTGACGGGAGCAGGAATCCCCCCTGACGTAGTCACATAAAGAACGTCCTGATCAATCGACGTTTTACCGAATGCGAGAGAGCTGTCTCCTGCAACAGTAAGTTCCGTGAGTGAGCCCACCACTACGGACTGGCGACCATCTTTCCCAATAGTCACTACTGTGTTATTGGTGTTCGTCGCAAGCCAAATATTTCCATGTCTATCAAAAGTAAAATCATCCACGAATGAAACACCTTCGACCGTGGCGACTTTTTCGATCTCGGCGCCCTGTATAGGATATCCTTGCTCGTCAATCTGGAAGCGATAAATCGAGAATAGATCCGAGTTAGACAAGTACACGTATCCATCGCGAATCTACTAGTCAAGGCATGTTAGACCTTAAATATTTCTGGAAAGTTCGGTGGGTTTAGACTTCAGATATCTAAGCACAGTGCAAACCCGGCGATATATCCAAGGGGTGATACTTGCTTACTATTAACTGTTAGCTATCATAGAAGAACGAGTCTCGATAGAGGAATATAATGTTCAATGTTTATGTATCAATATTACGTGGGTGTTTTTCTACATACCCTTTAAGCCATTGACACCAAGTGGGATACTCGCTCCGGGAGTAAGTTTCAGCTCAGGGGCATCAAGTATAACTTCGTATTCGCCATTCGCGACGTCGGCTCGGAAAATAGCGCCAAGTTGACTATCCGCGGCCAAGATAATAGACTCGTTGTCCGGTACGGAGACGATGCCGTTTATTAAACCTGCTTCGGCGATGTGGACCATTCTACGAGCAGTAGCCTGCTGATCTCCGTCGTCTAGCTTCAGCTCCCATAGCGACGTTGTGTTCGGCAGTGGCTGAGCAGCATCCCGGATGAGTGCCGCTACGACGACAAACGTATCGTGACTTGTCTCGGTAATCCCAATTGTGCCGTTGGCACCCTCAAACGTGTGGGCGAGGGATACAATCGGAGAATCAGTATACGGCGACTTAACGGTATAGACAGAGGCCGATGGATTGAGTAGCGTCACGACAAGGTCACCATTACTTCGGACAGCAATATTTTCGACAAAGGCATCGGACTGGTTCATTCTGGCAACGATTCTCGACGATAACGGCGTGGATATCTGACGAGAACCTCTAGTGGACGCCCCGAATACGGGAACAAAAGCCCCCATGAGCCCGACAAGACGTATGAGTTTTGAGGCCATTTTTGTTGGTCGGAGGACAAAGTTAAGGGGCTAAAGTAACGACCACTCTCCTAGGGCCGTCTTCTAGGTTATTATGAAGCAAAAAACGCAGAGCATGAAGGGCAGTTGACACATCAGACTATGGGCAGCTTTAATACGGTCTACCTTGATTATCAATCCTATAGTTAAATCCGCGAGCCAAGTCTCGTTGTGTTGTCGGTTTTACCAGGATATGGCGGCGGAGGACGACTTTATCGTAAAAGGTGGCCACTCCCCTATTCCGACTCGGAAGCATTCACCACCTATGTATTCTGTATTATTACAATTTCGCAAATGTCTAACTAACTCGTAACTTTATGGCATTATCATACCCAGCCGTATTATACCTAGTAGCGGATAGTAATTGTTGCTATTTCTACAAATTTCTCTGCATTTTCTTTTACAGTTTTCTCTACATTCTTTTGCCTAGTTCGCTACATGGTATAAGCCTTACCTACGGACGAAGCGATCTCCGTCCCAAGGGCTCCCGGAGTCCGATAGGTATATTCTTAGTACCATACTAGCCACGACAGATTGCTGGGAATCAACTATGCCAGGGTTATGTAACCTGTGCCACTTTGTAATCTATCAGGATTACGTCCGTTAAATCCGGAGGCTTCCGCTATACCATAGATGATGGTGGACGATTGTATAATCAATCTTATTACAAATTATGCAACGGCCAATTTCGGACACATATATTACTTGACAATATTTCAGCGTGGCTCGGATGTGTTTTCAATGATCTCAATATAAGTAGCTTGCATGCCGCACCGAGGCGTCTACGTCCCATCCTTTAGCGGGTGAGAGTTGGTAAGATATTTCATCGAGCTAGGGGTTAGTTCCCAGCATAAACAAACATGAGTTAAAGCAGTAGGATCTTATAGAGATAAAGCTAATCATAGCCAATAAGTTTATTTCTAATGATTATATGATAATAAGTAACCAAGTCTAAGCAGGTATCATTGAATGGAATACGACAGAACAGTTTAAGATAACTGGTGGCTTCGGAAGAACTTCATAATGGCCGTGCTGGCGTTAAAAGCCGCTACGTTCCCCTCGTTATCCGCGTTCGTCTGAGTAGACGGCCAGTCGTGGCCAATGTTGTCACCATCATACACCAGCGAGACCAAACCACCTCCATAGCTCATTTTAACACCGTTGTCTGACTGGGCGATTGTCGTGTTAGCCGGCGTCTGGTCCAAGTTATCTCTCGCCGCCCATTGCTTCGCCCAGGAACTGACAGCCGGCAAGCAGGCTCCCGACCGGAAGTCTCCGTAGTACCTGATCGTGGTGTCGTTGCCGCCGTGGAAAGCCAGGATTGGGATGTTAGAACGACCCGCATTGCAAGGCACCTTGACGGTCTCCGGGTGGCAATCCGCCTCGTTGTCGATCTCCTTGATGTAATAAGCCCCTGAAACCGGAGCGAACGCTGCAATCCTCTTCGAAAGACCCGAGTCGCATGCGAGGCGGCCGACGAAACCTCCACCTTGGGATTTGCCCGTCGCGTATATGCGCTTCTCATCCACACATAGCTCCTTGCTTACGGCGTCGAGCACGTTGTTCGTGAACCCAATGTCGTCCGAGTTGCAGTCTGGGGCTCCCTCCCATTCCGTGTGACCAGGTCGGCTAACCTATCTAGATATCAGCAACACGTACTTGGGTAATTGAAATGCTACGATGGCTCACCTCTAGACCTTGCAAGTATACCACGATATGGTCCGTGTTGAAAAACGGATCCGTTAACTTATCTAGTTCAACCTGGCGTGAAATATCCCTGTTGGCACCATGGTAGCTAAGAATAAGCGGCGTCGCTTTGCTAGAGTCGTAGTTTGCCGGCAACCAGACGCGATACTCGCGATCCCCCGGGGCAGTGAAGTTTTTAAAGTCACCGGGTGTGAAGGACGGGTTCTGGCCACAGCCAGCGGCTTGTCCCCGCGCCGTGCTGGCGAGGGAGATGAGAGCGAGAGAAGCAAGCGAAGGAGAGAACATGGTGTAAGCTTGATGACCTAAACTAAAAACTTGCCGACCTTGTTGAGTACTGCTATGCGGTTTATATATACCGATGAAGTCAGCAAGGATCCGTCGCTTTTACGACGCCGCTGACGGTGTGCTGTGGTACATAGAACAACAAGTTCATTTCGCCGGACAACCAGCCTATCACCATCGGGCGTCTTCCCCAGTTATTCGGTTACGAGGCAGCGAGGACGGTAAGCGGGTATCATGGCATTGGCGCCAGGTACCAATCGAGCAGTCGAGCCAAGGGTGGAACCGCATTAAGATGAAATAGATTTAGCTGATCAAGGGACATAAGGAGATTTCTATTTTGAACTGCTGAATACGCACTATAACATGACGATCATATATGGGCTGACGACTGCAAAGCGGATTTCGGCACAGCTTACCGAATGTGGAGGGTCAGCATCTACTCAGGGGTAAGAGGGCATTTGAAAATGATAACGGGAAGTTATTCTTATCTGATTGATGACGCCACTAAAGATTTCATATAAATAACCGTACAGCATGGCATAGACCTCTGAAGTAGCTACCATTAAAGACCTCGCCAGGTATTGTTTCCAATTAAGCACTTTCAAGTCAAGCAAGGACTCAACACTTGCAAAAAGACTTAGTTATGCAGCAGTCTCTTACAACTTATATCATCATTACTCTTGAGCCCACTGAGTTATTGCCCAGGCTTAAAATCTAAGCCGCTCAGATATGGTACGGTCTATAAGAAGGCTGCCAGACTTACAAAGCAGGTCTCACTGGTATCTGATAGTAAGCTAACCAACTTATACTCAACGATGTGCGGACAGCAGTAAATAAAGGTGCAATAAATTGTTGGTTCAAGAAAGATTATAATGATCGCTGGTGAGTGGTAGTTATGGCCAGCTGGTTATGGCTACTGGTTAACTTAGTTACCTAGGTACCTACCTACATAGGAAACCTGATAAGGCGAGTTTTTGAACCTGGAAATTTATTGTAGATGTTACCTCCATTCTTCCCTACCTATGTTTACTTAGTCGATCGCTTTTGTTACGTTGTCTGGATATCGAGTCGAGGTTGGTTATGATTTCGGAAGCGAGTTCGGATATACACTTATTAAACACCGGAGCCGGCCTCGGCAAAGATATTAACTCTTTTTTTTATATTAATACCGCCACAACTTAAACAGCCAATTGAAAAGAGCAATTTAACCGATTTATCTTTAACAGGCCCGGATATATGATCTTAACCCCGTTCAGCTTGCTGAACGGCTAGCAAAGCTAGTCGACAAACACAGGATCATTTGAGAATATAAATCTCTAGAATTGCAATAATTAATACTAAAGCTACTTACAAGAAGTTACAAGAAGTTACAAGTTATCAACATTTCCCAATTCTCATCATCACCAACCATGTCAGATCCTTCTACTATATTCGACAAGACAGATCCAACCACCCCTGGTTACTATGGATCTTCCCGGACAGCCTTACTTCTCCTAGACTTCCACTCCATGATTGTACAAAAAGCCGGTGGACCAAAGGCTCTTGCAGCCCTTCGCGTAGCGGCCAATATGAGGGCTTGGGCAAAGTCGCAAGGCATCCAAGTAATCCATGCCCTGATAGACTTAAACACATCGACGTTCGAGACATGCCGAGGCGCCGAAAAGCTTACGGAAACTATCGCGAGCGCAAGGTCAAGCGGCGGCGAAGAAGCTATCGAACTGTCTGAAGGAAGCAGCGACGACGTCACGTTTACTCGAAAACCCGGCCATGTTTCTGCACTTCGATCCCCCGGCCTAGATAACTTTCTGAGGCAAAATGACATCAAATCGCTCGTTATTACCGGCCTGAGCACATCCGGGTGCGTGATGAGGACTGCGGTTGCAGCTACTGACGCCGAATACGTCGCTACAGTCATTTCCGATGGTTGTGCTGATCCGGATGAGGCTGTCCATGATATTATGATTAATAAGATCCTTAACACGAGAGGATATGTCACTACTGCTGCTGAGTTTCAAGACGGGTTTAGAAAGGCCCAGGGAGTGGAATAAAACGAATTCGTACTGGGACCACCTAAGCATCCTTCAGAGGCGTTTCTTGATAAGTAGTATCCGTGCCTCGAAGAATGACTTTCACGGGGTTTGAAGAAGAAGACCCTTATGAAATTCGTCAAACTGGAAGCTAGGTACAACTACCCAAGGCCACCTAACCGGAGCGGCGCGGATGATATAGCGACTCTAATAATTATTTTAATACAAAGCTAATTTGTTCGATATTTGTAAATTGAATTCTATCTTTACATTCCTGGACCCTTTTCCTCATCATCCTTTCTTCTTTTTACAATCAAATCCTCAGTTCCTCCAAAGAGAATTGGATCTTCCAAGTGCAAATCCGGTTCTATCTCTGGCTCCGGTAAGATAGGTCCCTCGACGAGCCTACCTATGCACCGAGGTCGGTGGTGTGTCGTCAACCATTGGGCTAGATGAGGATTACTCAGCTCCTTTCCAGCCCAGTTAAATCCTAGTTTATGATCGTAGTAGTCAGGATACTTCATGAGATCTGAGAATGAGTTAGCATATTATGAACCTAAGCGAGTGAAAGATCTTATCATGGTGGACATACCCCCGACGTTGTAGACGTAGCCTTCAATAGCAACCCATGCGCCCTCCGCGCTCTCGTAGTTGCTGTGCCTAAGAAACTCCCACAAAGGTATACTTAATAGCTCTTTCGTCGCTAAACCTGCAACGATGAGATATTGCTTATTGATAAATAGCTTAATTAGTGCCGCCGCGTCGCTATCCTGGCCAGTTACGGCGACCGTAGTATCTTGGCGGATAAACTTTTGGAGAGAATCAAAGAGATTTGGGTCCTCTTGTTGGAGCGCTTGAATGCACGGTGAGTTGGCGATTTGATGCGATTGAGGAGTTAAGGGGAGGAAACATACAGCTTATATTAAATACCCAATCATTGACCACGACGTGATTGTCTTGCAACTGTTCCCAGGTACACTCTGGAACGAGATAGCCGACTTGCATATGTTGGTAAGACTGTAGAAATGGGAATTAGCTGACGGCGCATAGAAGTTATCTCTGGTAGCTAACTAACATTCATGATCTCAGGATTGTGGCACTGGAGGAACGGGTGAGTAGCATCGATTCCGGTGCAGTGGACAAGTAATTGTGAACCTCCGGGGTGAAAACGTAGATAGTCTAAATGATATTAGTACTAAGTTCGTTATAGCCTTTGATAGCAAATAGTAACTGACCCGAAATATCGTAGACCACAGTTCCTAGTGCAATGTAGACCCCATGAGAGGGATTGTCGTACCACCGCAGCGTTTCTGGGGTAAAATACCTCATATTTCGTACTGGCTGTGATACGTGGAGATACGCGCAGGTATAGGGGATTAGACGCTTCAATAATTGGTTTATTTCATGTTCCGATCTTGTCAGATCTTTAGACAACGGGCCACCAGAACACTCGGCCAACGCCTTCTGTTCTTCGAGAGACCGGGCAGGGAAGTCTTGTGAAGAGTCAGCATAGCTCTGCTTCTAAATACGATGTCTATTACGCACTGGTTATGTCGAAGATGAGCCGGCCCCAGCTGGTCCAAGCAGGTCGCCCATTCTGGCCATTACATTCTGCGACCTCCTCTATACGCCTTTGTAGCATCAACTTGCCAATTGGCTGGATACTGGTGTTGAATTCCGCACGAACTGCCTCTGATCTTGCATCTTGGTTCAATGTCGGTCCTTGGGGCCCACTGACTACAATTTCTCGATAATCGGTTTCGTTAGCACCAAATTTTTTCAATACACCTAAAAAGTTAGTTAGCAGTCAGGGTCAGAGCTGGGAGAGGAGATATTGTTAACTCACCCGTGATATCGAATACATCAAGCCCATCGTCCCCGTCTGATTCAACCACCCAAGCATCATCGAGAGCCCTATGATTTGCTACATCCCCTATATACAAGTGTTGAGGATACTGCTTCCTTATAGATGTATTCTGAGCTTCGTATCCAGAGAAGCGCCTGAAACCCGTCCCTCCCCAGGACTGCGGTAATATATGCGGACTTCTTGGTGGGGTATCTACTGGCGGAGGCAGGTTTGCCTCTTGCCAAGGCACAACAGCCCTAAATCGAAGCTGTATCGGTGTAGAGAATGGTTGTTTACCTTCCCTTGCTACAACCCAACCCGGGTCGTATGGAGGTACCTTGAAGGTGAAGGATCCCCAGCTCTCAGGCCTTGGGTCCCTGTTGCGTTCTACGTGCAGTGTAACGAAACAGTCGATAATACTTGCTAACCATCCTCTATATTTGGAAGCTTTTCGTTAGGGAGACGACTCTATGGTATATAGCTATTGGTATAGAGATGTGTATAACTTACATTGGGGCTCCTATTTCGAGCTCAACGTGCCCAAGGGAACGAAGAAAAATCCCCATGATATTGGAGTAATCTTTAAACCCTACTATCCCTTTTACAATGTCTGGTTTGACATATTCTAAGACATCAAAAGGCCCCAGACGAGGTCCAAGCCCATAAGTATTGAACCAAGCTTCCGCTGCGCGACTTGGGTAGAGGAAGGCTTGCCTCGGTACCTTTAGCCTTACGAGATCACCCGCAGGTTCACTAGGAACTGTGTATCTAAGAGTTAGTAAAATGCGGCTAAGGATATGGTGATGGTTCCATGGTTTACTTGAAAAGAGTAATGCGTTATCCTACTTGACTAGAGGAAATGGGGACGGGGAGTAGTGGGGAGGCTAGCTTACGGGATAACAGCATTAGTAAACTTATCAAGTGCCAGATGCCCTTTTCCCTGTCCGGTGGTTCTCCTCGTCGCGGCCACGTCTCGCGTAAGGCTTCCCCTGCCAACTGCCGACAAGTGGCCAAATTGCGATTTGCGTGGTGATAAGTAAACTTGTCAATTGCGTTGATGAATAACGGATTACTCCAGGGTAACCATTTCCATTTTTGATACTCTTCTTCGTACCATTCATTTCTTACAAGTCTTATATGCGTTCCTGCGTCCACATATCGTGCCACAGCCTCCTCGTAAACTCCTCTCAGCTCGGGGGTCCAGAATTCCGGGTTTGCTATCAGACGCAACTCGTGATATTGGGCACCGTGAGTTGACATTCCGAAAAGTAGAGGCGCCCGAAGCGCAACACTACCACGCCGAGGTATGATCGTGGTCCAGAATTCTTCACAGATGATAGCTGAGGCCCAGACGGCGGGAACTAAGAAGCGGTAACTAAACCTTAAGCCGCGAAGATATAATAGGGCGGTATCTTGAAAATAATCCCCTTCGCTTGTAGCCGATCTCAAGGTGGGGAAGGTTTCAAGCTCGAGGCAGTTCATGAAGCCTCTATGTCTCCCGCGTATACATTGCCGGGAAGGGCTACCTTGTATCGTACCGCCCAAGACGTGGTTGACGAATGAGTGGCCTAACTCTGCAATCCATTCGTCATCATAGAACTAGTAGAACCGAAGGTAAGCTTCCCAATAATGCGAAAGATTCGGAAATGTACCTTACCGGTTCATAGTCACTCCCGCCGGGTTTACACATCCACAGCGCATGCTAATCGTCTTATTCAGCCTCTGCTGCTCGAATATGGGGCAAGACAATTGTCTTAAAACTTACCATAAACTCGTGTAGGAACTACGAAATTGCGTAAGTAATCAGTTGTGAACATCGTAGCGCTGTAGGGAATGGTTCTCGTACAAGACTAGCAAAATTGACTAGATGCATGCATCTCTCGGGGACCGACGTCTCCATTTCAAGTAAGGGGCGAAGAGTATGAGGGATGTTGAACAGAATAGTTGCGTTTGCCAGCCCTTGGCTGTGGTAATTTGTTGTGATAGCCTCGGCTCCGTGGGCGAGAGTTGTCTCGTCGCAGAAGGTACATATAACAGAGTGCTTTGTCAGATCTTCGATTGCTTGGAAAAGTTGAGCACCGGACGCTCTCTGTTCCCTTGGGCGAGGGATTAATTTATGTTTATGAGGCTTTAACTCGTCGGCAAAATTGTGCTTAGGATCGTATCCTACAGGTATTGGTTGCGCGAATAGTATAGCATCGAGCCTTAATCGAATATTAGCTACCTACCTAACTTGCAAATGTTCAGGTTAAGAATAGGACAGGAAAGGATAATATATAAATAAAGGGACTACATGCCATTCATCTTGCTCTTCGCATAACAACCGGAGAACACGGGTGAAGATTTCTATGGCGTGACTGGTATACTGCCAAATGATGGGGTTGTCAACGGTGTACCACGTTTCATCAGGCCACATATTGAGGCCTGGAATAGGTTCACTTAATGCATTTAAAACATTGTGTCTCGAGTCAAACCAGTGGTCCTTCTGAAAACACGTAAGCCACCGACTCTCGTCCGGAACACACAAGTAAGCCCTATAGGCTTCCCATTGATCCCAGTTGCTCTTCAAGCGGTCCTCTGCGGATGGCCATCCGCCGACTAGTCCATCGTTAAGGGCTCCAACTCTCCAGGTCTTGACGCAGGGGATGGTGGACACGACCTGTTCCTTCTCTGTCCTAAAAAGTCTGTTCAACTCCTCAGGCCCTGGTTTTGGTATCGGATCGGTCTTTTCTGGGGGTACTGTGCTAGGAAACTCTGGACTGAAGCCGGAGTGGGCTCTGCCGTCAGACCTATTTAGACGGTGAAAGGGTGCATTTGATATGCCGAACTTTCTTGCGAATGGCGTTATAGGTCTCGTAGGGTCAGCTCGTATGGGTTCAGGAATAAGTACGTCTATATGATAGAAATGAGGTCTCGTCTGAGGTAAAGTTGAAGGTATAGTTCGACTTTGAGACGGAGGTGGTTGTTTCGTCAAAGTTAGTTGATGTAGCGGAGGGATAAAGCTTGGAGGTGGAACCTGAGGTTTTGGGAACTGAGGCGGATATGCGAGTATATTGTCATTTGAACCGTCGGCTTGATATGGTACGGTAGGTGGAAATGATACTTGATATGGAGCTGGAAAGGGGATTGGAAATGGATCATAATTTTGAGGTGGTGGTTGAAATGCAGGTGTAGACGGATCTAAAGGTGGGTTATTTTTCAAAGGCGGACGCTTTGGGGTTGGATATATAGGTGTAGCCGCAATCGGGGGTATAAATGATTGAGGAGTCGGAAATGTATTATTTGTTAGATGTGGATTTTGTATCCCAGGCGGATTATTCGGTATATACGGGTTCGGGTGAGTACTGGGGGGTGGATTTCGGGGTGTAAATGGATTACTCTGGTTTGGGTCCGGAGGTGGAAACGGATTCTCGGGTCGAAATGGATTATACGGAACATGATACGGATTAATAAATGGATTCCAAGGATCGTGCCCCGAACCTGAACCCGAACCCGAACCAGAACCAGAACCAGAACCAGAGCCCCAACCAGAACCCGACATTATGCCAGGTAGTAGGAATCTCTTCGGGACGATACAGTTAGATACAACCTGAAGCGACAGATAAGATCGAGACGCTATCCGGGGGAGGATATTTGGGTAAGAAACCTAGGTGGTTTAAGGATTGACGATATGTTGACCACCAACTGAGGGAACTGGGTTCGGCCATCTTGGCTATATTGTAATTGTTTTAGATGGTTGCTTTCTATAATTGTTTTCGACATTTAGTTTTTCTCTGTAAAAGAAAGTTCTTGTTCACAAAGCAGACGTGGGACGCATCCGGATTATGTCTTATAAAGGTCAACGTATTATTGTAGTATAGGGACTACCTCTTAGGTACCTAAGTACTTGTACGCGGGGGAGGGGCAGAGAGCAGAGAGCAGAGGTACATACATGCAATTATGTACCTGACAAAACTGGGGCCGGGGTGGTACAAAGACGTCATTGTAGTATATGTAGGAGGTACCTAGTTTCCTCTAGACAATCAGACATACATACGTAAATCGGATACATGTAATTCATTAATTGATGTACCTACTAAACCTTAGGCTAGGTACTTAGGTACTTGTACAATACATGTAGGTTAGGTAGATTCATCGCAGCTCTCAGCTTCTGCAACATCTTCAAAACAATCAAAAAAACATACATTTCGCAACTTCAAACCTCAACTTCAACCTCCCTTATGAGCATGTGACATTCTAACATACGAATGCTTCGCGTCGTCACTAGGATGGCTCACACCTCTGTGTCGGATATCCCCTCTCTTACTTTTCTCTATCGCAACAACGAACTAGAAGCTTCAAAGCATCCGCCCCTTAACGGTGCATCACCCGCGTACAATGATCGCATCGGTCTATTCTGTGGAGATATCACCACCTTGTCCGTAGATGCTATTGTGAATGCTGCCAATACCTCTCTCCTTGGCGGTGGCGGTGTTGATGGCGCTATACACCTTGCTGCTGGTCGCGGGCTACGCGCAGAGTGTCGCACTTTAGGTGGTTGCTCTACCGGTCTGTCTAAGATCACCAATGCATACAACCTCCCTTGTAGAAAGGTCATTCACACTGTCGGTCCCGTCTACGACGATATCGACCCCTCTAAGAGCGAGGCTGCCCTCCGTAGCTGTTACAAGTCGAGCTTGGAGCTTGCTGTGCAGAACGGCTTGAAAACTATCGCGTTTAGCGCAATCAGCACCGGTGTTTACGGCTATCCAAGCAATGGGGCTGCTCACATCGCCTGCGACACCGTCAGAAAGTTCATGGAAAATGGTGATGGCGAGAAGCTGGAAAAAGTAATATTCGTCACGTTTGAGTCGAAAGACGTGCGAGCCTATAATAACATTATACCGTAAGTCATTCATTCCTACCTCTCGTTTTTATTTTTTATAGTGTTCCGGTTTGAAATTAACAATATATATCTGCTAACACACACCATCATATAGTCGCCACTTCCCTCCCGCCCCTGGCACCGAAAACGAAGCCACTCAAGAGCGCACTGCGGGCGCCGAGACTGATACCAGCTAGATTCCCAATATGCCCACCACTGGTACTACAACCCGTTAGCTTATACTAGTGAAATAGAGGTCACGTAATAAGAGCGGTATTACCGCTGAAGACAGTTATGCAGTATTGAGACGAGAAATGATCATGGTATCACGTAGAGTATCCATCTACCTGAATTGGAAGATGGCGTTTGGTACGGAAATGAAATATACTATCAAACATTAACCCATAGGTATTCCTAACAAGGTGATAATCTGCCAAATTTACGTGATATAATGCCGTCTCAGTAAGTTTATTGCCTTTAATCCTTATGGCTAAGGAGATGACCAGCATACGACTAGCCTTGAAAGACAAATATAATAATAGTGATTTAACAAACTGTTATACTCTACCTACCCTCTTTTAACCACTTGAATCTAGTTCCCTTGATGTATTCGATTCTATATAGATATGTTTAGGTTATTGTTGAATTGGTTATGGTATTAGTTAACCACAGAGGGGGCAAGTATACTTTTCCTTCTTTTATTCTCTCTTTGTTATTGTTCATGATATTCCAATTTTGATACTTGCATCAGATTATGAGCGTAGGCTGGTAGACCAGAATTCTATATTTAAATATATAATCCCTTCACTTGCTCTTTTGCCCAAAAAGGGATTCTTTCGTATCGTAGGTGTATACCATCGGTAACTGCCAATATGTCTCCATGTCCCCCTTTGCCGCTTTCCACGCTCGCTGTAGCACCTGAAGCAGCTCCACGTCTAACTGCCCCTTTTCTAGGTAGTCTATATTATCCCTTAGTTGCTGTAGATTAGAAAATCCAATCACAATATTGTCTTTCCCTTCGCTAACCCGTAGCATCGAGTGGTGTACTAACCAGCGCATCGCTACCTCCAGGGGATTCAAGCCTCGCGCCTCGGCTGCTTCACGGATCAGCTGTGCCCCTTCAATTATGCCGTCTCTGAAGTACCGTCCTCGCGTCAAATGCTGAAATGGGCCTGCTGCGTATCTTCCTTTCTTCGGATCGTCGTCCTTCGATGTGATCCGGCCGAGGAGGAACCCGCCTCCAGTCGGGCTGTAAACATCGACAGCGATGCTATAACGGCGGCAGGTTGGGATCAATTCGTCCTCAATGGTCCGAAAAAGGCAATTGTATATGGCCTGGTACACTGTTGGCCTTACCCATCCATTGTGCTTACACGTCATGACAGTCTCAGCCACTTCGAAAGAAGCATAGTTGCCGAGACCTAGTTGCAAGAACTTGCCTGCTTTATGCAGCTTATCAACGGCTTCAAGTGTAGTTGCGAAAGGCACAGACCGGTCCTAATGAGGTGCTGGTTAGTAGGCCCCGTGAATTTCGAGGTTCGTGATTTGTATCGTTTAAAAAGGGGGTTCCGTTACAGGTGCATGAAGGTAGAGGATCTGGATTTTCGTCAGTCCAATTTCTTACGTTACCCCCACCTATCTCAGTAGCAATATTTCATTTCCAATGCACGTACGTCTACGGAATCTGCCCCAAGCTCCTTCAAACAAGTATTGAACGCACTTGTAAGTGCCTCTGGCTCGTGCTATCCTGGTGGCAGCGGCCATAGTTTCGTGCATATGGATAGACCTCTCTCCTTCCACCCAGCCTGTCTTGTAAATACCTCCTGCTTCCCACCGATATATAGGCGTGCCGTGTCAAGCTCACGGTAACCTCGCTCTTGAAAATTGTCCAAGGCCTTCTTGAAATCATCCGGATGCGTCATACGTGCCCCTGGACTTCCTTTAGGACCAATGACCATAAGGCCAAGGATGATCCGCGGCTTCCTTTGACCTGCCATTTGAACCAAATATAAAATCTTAAAAAGAAGTATAATAGAAACGATTAAATATTTTAAAACAAACAAGGCTTACTTGTCGTTAACAGATGCTATAATAAATACAAGACAGATAACCGAGATAGTTTGTGGCTAATATCCCCCCCCTAGTCTTGTACTATACCCGGCATTCATTTCTCCCTGCACTGCCAATGCAGAAAGATCGAGAGTATCGTAGATATTCGTGGCAACACATACCTCCCGAGCGGGGAATGTTCGCTAATGATACTAGAAGCGCACGACTGCCCAGTATGATCAATTCTGTACTAGCTCGAGGGGGCCCTTTCACTTCTGGGACAATGGGAATGTTAATACAAGTTGCTATTATACAGGTCACCAACGTAAAGAATGATAGGGGACGCTTCAAACTGTCTCCTACTAATCAGACTCCCGCTAAGAATTTGGTAAGTGGCTTGGAATTACGTAGATTATACAACGTCTACGTCTAAGTGTTATAGTACTACATAGGTAACATCCTACGCCAAATCCCAGCTAGCTCTTGCTTACACGCGTGAACTACTCATAGGAAATTCCTCTTCATTGGCGGCTTATAAATTAGTTATAATAATAAGATGAAATACAGGTTTACATGGCTAGGTGCCTAAGACTTTAACATGGTTTCAAGTAACTATATGGATGACGGGCTATGTTAGTAGGAAATCTATAAATTTGGCTATAAACTGTCTTTGTGAGTATAGCAACAACTTTAACAGACAACTAAGTAGGTTACAAGGTTGTAAAAATGACATTTCCTAGCAAAGAGTGGAGATGAGGTAAAGGAAAAAAGATGACTCATGCTGTGTACGGAAAATAAGAATTGATATTAAACCGGATAGCAAATATAAAGAAGATATACCTAACCTACTCTCTTCCGCTATATACTACTTTAACCCGTAACTACCCGCGGAATATTTCCGCGACCGGCTTAAAAATATAATTCGATATCGGAGTATATTATGGTAGATCCATGTCCATATGCCTCGCGCCCTTCTGTACCAACGGGTGGGGCTCGGTACTGGTTTAATAGGTAATGACTAACTGATACCATGATATTGGGGTATCTATAATACTGGGCATTTGGTAAACAAAGTCTATATAAGGCTTCAAAAGTCATAGTGGTTTTATAAAAATAGTTACGTAGTAGAGCATCTTCACGAATAATAGGTCAAGACCACTCATACTTTACTAAGAACCGACGAAACATTACACCTTACATTTGTTCAAGATGACTCTTGATAGTAACAACTTAGCTGTAAGAACGGCGGATAGTACGACACGAAGTCAACGTGAAGGCAACCTGCATATATTTGGCAAGAGAGCACTTCAGCACTTTGACTTTGACCCAAGTCACCGCAACCTTAATCATGGTAAGTGAGTCTTATCAACTACCTAACTATACGCATCTACTCAATCATCGACAGGCTCGTTCGGGGCAAGCCCACGCGAAATAAGAAATAAACTTCGTCAATACCAGGATCGTACCGAAGCAATGCCCGATACCTTCATTCGTTACGATCTGCCCGATATTCTCAACGAGTCTCGCGAAGCTATGGCAAAGTTGATCAAGGCACCAACCGATACGGTAGTGTTCGTCCCAAACGCTACTGCAGGAGTGAACACGGTCCTTCGAAACATTGACTGGAACGACGATTGCAAGGATGAGATTCTCTATTTCAGCACTATATATGGTGCCTGTGGAAAGACTATTGACTATGTCGTTGACTCGGGCCGGGACCGAGTTTCATCGCGAGAAATACAGATAGCCTATCCATGTGAAGACCACGTCATCATAGCGTCTTTCAAAGACGCAATAGAGGCTGGGAAAAAGGAAGGGAAACGCGCCAAAGTGTGTCTCTTCGACACAGTATCCAGCCTTCCAGCCGTTCGATTTCCTTTCAAGGATGTTGTGAGAGTCTGCAAAGAAGAAGGAATCTTGAGCCTGGTAGATGGGGCCCAAGGTGTGGGGATGCTTGATCTCGATCTTGAGGCTCTAGATCCCGATTTCTTTGTTTCGAATTGTCATAAATGGCTTTACGTGCCGAGAAGCTGTGCCGTCCTATACGTCCCATTCCGAAATCAGTCATTGATAGCGTCAACAATCCCTACGTCTCACGGATACCTTTCCAAGTCCGGCGACAGGTTCAACCCGTTACCGAAGGGCCATCCGTCGCCCTTTGTCAACAATTTTCAATTCATGGGGACCTTGGACACAAGCGCCTATCTTTGCGTAAAGGATGCGATCGTATGGAGGGAGCAGACATTCGGTAGCGAAGATAATATACTCAAATACACCCACGGGTTAGCTATGGAAGGGGGTAGAAGGATTGCTCAGGTCCTTGGAACCGAGGTCATGGATAATAAGTCGGGTACGATGTCGCAGTGTGCGACAACGAACATCGCATTGCCATTGGCACTTGACAAGGCATCTCGTGCGTCTGCGTGGATGATGGAGAGGATGGTCTCTGACTATAAAACCTTTATCCCGTTGTTCACGCATAATGGCCGTAAGTGGGCGAGGATAAGTGCACAGACTTATCTAGATATGGAGGATTTCGAGTGGGCTGGCGAGGTGCTTCGTGAGCTCTGCGAGAGGGTCGAAAAGGGGGAAAGTAGTGAAGCGTAGACGCGTCTAAAGCATGCGAGGAAACATACAGTTGGTAAAATTGTCCCGTTTCTATATTCGCAGGGCTTGGTTATAATACAAGGTTGTCCTTATAGATTTCGGTTTCGATTTAATTCTTTTTATACGCATGCCTTCGGATACCCGCAACATCGACGTCGATGCGGTAAACGTTGCCAGTAGATCCCCCATCTTCATCCCTGATTGATGTGATAAAGATTGTCTTCATGTCTTTCCCACCAAATGTCGGACATGAGCACATCTTCGCGCCAGGTACTGTGCACGTCGCTGTCACCACTCCTTCGGGCGACAATCTGACTATCTTGCCCTGAGAATTCGCAGCCACCCAGACGTGACCCTCAATATCGACTGCCAAGCCGTCCGGCATGCCTCCACCCTCGAGCTGCGCAAAAAGTCTCTTATTAGTAGCTTTGCCATTCTCGACGTCGTAGTCGTACTGATATATTTTACCTTCTGGTGTATCGCAAAGGTACATGATCTTGTCATCGGGAGACCAAACAGGGCCGTTTAACACTGCCGATCGATCTCCAGCTGACGCCTCATTCACTCTGCCGCCTTGTAAACACCATAGCCGACCAATTTTACTTTTCTCGTCCCAAGCCATTGTACCAGCCCACCATCTACCCCGAGCATCAATCGCGCCGTCATTCATTCGCACCTTATCATCTATACTCGCATCCTCCACATGATGGACGTCCGTAATCAGATCTAGCGTCCCTTTAATTAGGTCAAGTAGAGCAAACCCCAGTTTTGTTTGCGCGGCCAGCAAGTTCGGCTCCCCGTTTACGATATCGAGTCTAGTGACAGGCTCGTCCAATTCGAGCGTCTGTCTTTCATCCCAGCCTTTGGAAAGCGGTACTGTGTGTAGCAGTTTATTTTTGATGTCAACGAAAAAGAATGTGTCGTCCTGGGTACGGTATAAGGGACTTTCACCTAATCCTGACTTGGACGGCAGCCATTCCTCGGCAGTATATTGCTTCATCTTCGATATTTTGATGCCCTGAATTTAAGAATGGTGTTGAAGGTGTTCTACTTGTTTATGATAATAGACGTTTCATTAAAATACTTATAGATCATACATGACGTCAGTATTGTATCATCATCAAAACCACATCTATTGAAACGTTTATAATTAAGTCCTAAGTATGTCTATGTAGTTAAGTGCTAGGTATTCGAGTATTCGGAAGTAAAGTATAGGAAGACTTGAAAAGTTTCTACCTAAGGTATATTCAATAATATCTGTTGCTAATAGAGCCAAACTCCCATCCATCCAACCTAATCCGCGTGAGAGGCGCTCGCCAAACATGTTGTATATCCGATCTTGTTTCTTGAAAAAAAAAAAAAAAAGAAAAGAAAAAAGCAAGAGCAGGTTATTTAGGTACCTGTCAACTCCTACCTTATGCTCGTTGGGTGCGGCTTCCGATAATTCGATACTTACCCCGTGGTTGCCGTGATACAACTAAACTTATATGCTCACTATTCTCCACCTGCCCTCTTTATTATTCACTCTGTTTCACGATAAGGTTTCCTTATAGTGCAGTTGCTTTCTACTGTTTAACTTAGGATGGGTTATTTATAACAACTAACCCTTGTCAACTCCTTCTCATTAAATCTTCCTCTCGTACATCACGATACAGGCCATCTTTTGAACCAAACCCAACAAAGATGTGGTCTAATCTTATTGCAAGCGTAGTAGCGGCGCTACTCTTCACCGGTGAGTACCCAGAAAAGAAAGATGATGTTTTGTTAAACCGTACATCTATTCTAACAGAATGGCTACCTATTCTAGTTGGTAGCTTTGCTGACCCTTGCCGCGGTGTCCCGCCTGCGAAGTATCCGTTCAAGCTGGCCGAAGGCTGGATAGCCAAAAAGGTGGGAGATGGGTTATCTTCGCCTCGTGGAATGGTCATTGATAGCGCCGACCGACTTCTGATTGTGGAGAAAGGGGTCGGGATCAGCCAACACAAGCTCGATATTGACGGGTGCATTTATTCCTCGCGCATTCTTATTCCTATGCCTGACCTGAACCACGGAATCTATCTTGGAATCGACGGCAATACACTATATGCCAGCTCAGCCACAACGGTTTTCAAATGGCCATACAACCCTAAAAATGGAGATGTCGATGGAGAGCCAACTACTGTGATTTCAGGCATGTCGCCCAACAACCACGTTACGAGAACATTGATCATTCCACCCCACTGCCCGGATCTTCTGGTCGTTTCTCACGGTTCCACGGGTAACGTCGATTATGCGGCTGCCGATCCGGGAATATCAAGGGCTACTGTCAAAGTCTTTAATATCTCGGCCCCACCCGACGGTGGTTACAACTACGTCAAAGATGGCTGGCGTGCCGGATATGGTTTGCGAAACGAAGTAGGATTGGTATTCGATGGCAACAATATGTACGGAAACCCTCACCCATTGCTTTCAGGGGAAAATACGGGAATAATCTTACTGATTATACGCAGGCTCTGGGGCGTAGAGAATAGCGCCGACCAACTGACACGCGACATCAACGGAACATCTACAGATATTCACAACGACAATCCAGCCGAGGAACTCAACTTCCTTGGCGATGTTATGACTCCTAATGATAAGGTGAGTAATTTTTTGATCTATATAATCTTTCAGATAACCGTCACGCGTGCCACGAAGAGAAAGTTTTGACTTTCGATCTTATAGTGGTATGGGTATCCGACGTGTTTTACGGTGTGGCAACCCGAGGCAGCCATCACCAATGCCACTAGCGGGAACCAACTAGATGTCGGCCAGCAATTTGTTCTTGCGCCGAACGAGACGTTCAACGACAACACATGTGCGCGAATGTCAACACCACCGCGGCTTACCTTCGAGGCTCACACCGCACCTCTTGATGCTAAATTTGACGCGCCCAAGTACAACAACCTGTTTGTAACGTTGCATGGTAGTTGGGATCGCAATCCTCCGGCTGGGTACAAGCTTGTTGCGGTACCGTTCCAGCGTGATGCTGCCAATGGTGGAGCTTACGCACCTGTCGCACCAGCTAATTGCAAGACCGGGTACGTAGATATCTTCTACCCACCCGACGAAGGGAACTGCTCGTCATCAAGCTGCGCGCGACCCGTTGGTCTGGTCTTCGACGAGGCCGGACAGCTATACATGTCAAGCGATACATCCGGCGAGGTGTTTAAGCTGTTTAACCCTTGAAGAGGACTTTCTAAGGGATGGGGGGACATTCCAAATTGCTGGGGACTGAACGATGTTTGCCTAACAAAGGTGTTTGCGGTGTCTTATGAAGAAGTCAATTAGGGGCCTAGGGCTTGAGAGATAAAACCATACCCTCGTCAGGGTTCGATTGCCTAGCCGGAGTTATAGGGATTTGCGCGCATGAATTGTCTCTAAAATACTCGTATAATAGAAAAAAAAGCAGCTGCGTTTGTTCTTCTCGTATTATTAATGTCTAGGCACGCCCCAATTCTTTAATTGTGAGGTAGAACACTTGGCCATTTTAAACACGTATATCTCCGCCTGGTTTCTTGTCATCGACTACTTCGATTTGGTCTGCCTCGGCTCCCATCCCCGCCTTCTCATTAAAGGCCACGTCCTTGAGCTCAGCATCCGCATTGCCGCGACGCCCGATCTTGTACCACGGCAGTTCAAACAGACGATCCATGCTTTCAAGTGAACGGCCACCAGTCTCGGGGACGAAGAACCAAACCCATAGACCACCAACAATAGTAATCGCCGCGAAGGACCAGAATGTACCCATGGGTGAGATACCTCCTTGGGCTGTGGGTAGTAGCATATTGGGCACAGCGCGCGAGTTGCCGTATTGGTTTGCGAAATGCAGCGTCATTACAATAGAAGTAGAAAGGGCACGGATGCGCAAAGGGAAAAGCTCGGCTGTTAGAAGATATTCTATAATTGTGGTTAGTACCTTAGAAGGGGTAGTTATCCTCAGAAATAGGGGCTAGAGGTTACGTACGCATCGAGTTCCAACCGAGTGCCCAGCCGCATCCTGATATATAGATCATAGCGATAGCGCCACGACTGGCGCTTGCTTCGGCTTCTGGCAACACATAACTCTCGTCTGCTCCCAGTTCCGGGACCGCCGTTAGAAATCCGGCTACGTAAATCATAGAAATTGCCTGCAATGTGATGCCGATGAGTAGGGCACGCTTGCGTCCGATGACGTCGACAAGAAACAGGGCACATATGACGGCCGACACGAACTTGACGATACCGAATACACCAGTGACTAGCAAGGACTCATTCTGACCAGTAATGCCCAGAATTTTGAAAAGGTCGGGTGCGTATAAGGTGATAGACCCAGCTCCGGACCACTGAGACAGAAACTGAACCATAGCACTAAGATACAGGCGGTAGAGGTTGCTAGGGATTAGAAACATCTCCTTCAACACACCGTACCAGCTAGCTCCCATGATAGCTTCAAGTTCTTCCTCGTGTGCGGTCCTAATGGCGTGTATCTCTGAGAGAACATAGGGATCATCCACCGCTAAGTGGCGGATGTGAGCCATGGTCTCAGTAGCTTCGTCATGTTTTCCCTGCTTGATGAGGAAGCGCGGCGACTCATACTGGAAAAATGTCAGGATGAAAATGAGCCCAGCAAAAATGATATGCAGGCTTGTTGGCGCGAGCTAGTAACGGACAGTGTTAGTTTCACAAGCCACGTAATGAGAGGCAACGGAATAATACATACCCATCGAACGTGAGTAGAATCGCCCAGGTTAATCTGAGCGCCGTAGTTGGTGAAGTAAGCGAGGACGATGCCTACGTACACAAAACCGGTGAAGATACAAGTACAAAGGCCACGGATGGAGGCTGGCGCAATCTCGGCAATCTATTTCAAGTCAACATTCCGTATTAAATGAAAGATGAAATTAAGTTCTGACATACTGCGAAGAAGTTAGCGCGTATGAACGACTGCATAATAGGGGACGTGGGATATGGGATAGAAATAATTGGAGGATTTAAGTAGTTAAAGCTATTCCAATACATACCGTAGATAGGACCAACAACAGGGGTCTGGCCAACTCCGAGACCTGCAATAAACCTTCCGGCGTAAACAGCTCCAAGACTGCCTCCGTTTCCCATAAAGATAGCGATGCCCAAAATCCACAAGATGCAGAGCTGGCGCGTAGCCCATATTCTACCGATGCGATCGCAAATGACGAAGGCGAACAAAGCACCGCCAACAGAGCCGATCTGGACCATAGCAGATACATTGGCCTTGATATTGGTCTTCTCGACATCGCCATACGAAGAAAGATTGATCGTCCTCTGAAAATCTTTAGAATTGAACGCGCCCGAGATGAGGCCCTCGTCAACTCCCCTAGCTGCGCCGAGGAGACCAAAGGAGATGACGGCGAACCATAATCGCCAATTGAAGACGTTCTTGGGCTCTCCCAAGTCCTTCAATTTGAAGATATTGACGGGTTTCTTGACGCCTCCGGCCATTTTTCGATCTATTGAGGAACACTAGGCTCTACGGGAGCTCCTACTACGAGGCAGACAACTACTTCTTGCCAGGAAAACGTCCAGCTTATGTAGGTAACTAAGCGTAGTTAACTCCTCTTTCATTATTCTACCATGTATCCTACGCTGACTTGAGTGACACACGCCGCACGGGGCACGTCCCATCCAGCGTGACCTCTTCTCCAAATAATAAAGAAAAAGAAAGAGAAGAAAAACCCCCCTCTCCTCCCCACCTAACCACCCCCATGCCCCGTGTAACCAAAGCCAAGAGTTATGATCCTGGTACGAAAATACCTACACCATGGGGACCCCGCGTTTGGCTTCTCCTCACTCTCGGTGCTAGGTAGGAATCCCAGCGAGCGAGGTATGGGGAATGGGGAATGGGGAACCAACCAACAATGCTACGATGTTTTCTCTTGGCCCTCCGATAACTTGGCAAGTTAGCTGCCGGCTTTCGCCATTGGAACTAACCCGATGCGTAAGGAGGCATAATAAGGGCCTGGGCAGAAGGTAGGGTTTATGTTAGCAGGTTGTGCTTCCAACAGCTTGGGCCAAGCCAGCAATGAGACGATATACACGATAGTTACTGCGAATGTTGGCATCGTCGGTCTGTACTTCAAGCTAGAGTCATGACAGACGGTGTAAGTTGATTCGATTACGTACGTAATAACCGCGCAACGCATTGGGATGCCCAGAGCGTAGCGTCTATCCTATTCCTTATTTATACATTTCTCCGACTTACCAGCCAGCCTACATTTTAAGTACTCGTCCCGGAATATTAGAAATTTCATTTTAACCTTTCTCCGTTTCTACTTTCTGCGTCTCGTTGCTCTCAACTTATGGACGGCGTCAACAGGGCTCCGCAGTATCAGAAACCCGCCAACGATAAGCCATCTATTATAAAACCATTCTCATACCAAGACCACATAGGCACCTAGTTTCTAGCAAGTAAAATTTCCGATCTTGATTCCAAACTCATATATTCTGCTACCAAGACGTTTCGACCAAATCCGGTAAGAGAATAGGCGAGTATACTCTCCTTATCCCCACTGCCGGATGCTAAGAGCTTTAGTGAGCGGGTAGAGATGAACATGTGCCAGTAGTTCTAGCTACTTAGGTAGGTATAAGACTTGCGGGCCGGCGCCGTACTTTTGCCGGCTTTTACTACCGGTACTATTGACGGCAATATAAACCAAGATTTCGTAGCGTCTTGTCTAGAATGTGAGAGCTGAGACTTTAACGACTACATAACACGAGGGGTATTTCCTTAGTAGGAAAGCCGAAATAAACATGCATATGGTATGGCTGGTTGTTATATCAGTAAACTACCTAATATTATTATGCTTGTGATTTTATATTGAATTAAATCTTGTCTCTTTTTGCTAGTTCCAACACTACTTATAATAGAATTCCAAGTTACCACGTGAAATTTGTTAAAATACTAAGTCCGTAAGGCGAAGACTAAATATAGTTACTAGACTTTACTCAACCAGTAGACATAAACCAACATGTATAGCTGGTATTGTTGTCGATTGATCTTATAAGTGAATGAATAAGTTCATTTCATTAACCTATGACTATACCATACTTTTAACTAGAGGGTTCGTAAGTGTTATCAACATTTTCTAGCTTTCCATGTTTTTAATCCTTGCCATGGAGGCCATATTAAACACATGGTGTTCTTAGCGATACTTTCTTTCGTGAGATTAAAAATGATTAGATATATGTATGCATAGGTCAAGTTCGCTTGCCTCCGTGAAAAAGATTCTCGGACCTTCGGACGCGGTGGCGAAGAAACGGCTTACAGCCGAAGCAAATCCGATAATATCCCGAAAAAGTAGGAGCCGGAACTGGAACCATCGCGTATTTTGGCGCCGATGTTGACTCATTCATCTTAGATAGCTTGTTCTTGTTATTGGCGAAAACATGTAAGTGACCAGTACATAGATAGGTACTTAGGTAAGTAGTCGGTCTCACTGTAGGCTACGCGATGAGCGAGGACTTCTTCTGATGCGGATATTAGATATCGTGGACGCAGCATTGAGGGATTATTTCATAGTTGAGCTTGGTATGAGTAGCATACATAAAAAAGAAATAATAAAAAAAAGCCTCACCCAATTTCTTCACCTAGTAAACGTGCGACAACAAGAATGCTGCGAGTGAAATCACTCAATTAAGTCGAGTCTTGGCCGTGAGGTCCAGATCGTAGTCTTTAACCTAGGGCTAAGCGACATCGTCTTGTCCTCCCGGATCTTGTGCTCAGTCGCATCCGGCTTTATCAGTGGGCTGAGCCTGCAGCTGCCCATACATAGGATATCTCTCGCTGGTGCCACGGCATTTTTACGTCGTAGCGCATACTTCTTTCGCAGCAGGAGGGAGGGACAAGATCTGGGAGCTCATGCAATAGATAAGTTTAAGTCATGGTCCCAATAGATTGTTTGCGTTACGTTTCCCAAGACTGAGAATGAGACTAAGACGTAGACTTAGGCTTATTGATGTCCGTCAGGGCAAATATCTATTAAAATAAGAAACTTGGCGACAGTGACATGACTAATAACCTAGCCGCTCCACAGCAGGGTTTGGCGATATGGTCAAAATCGCCGGCGATGTCCTTATTTTCTAGGGAGTCCCAGGGAGTCCCCATCTCTCCCCACACATCTTTAGGGCAGGCTGTTGGGGGTTAGACTCGCATATTAAATACAGAATCGCTTACGCCTCAGCGAATATTGTGACGTCTCATTACGCCACGAATATTTGTTCTCTTCAGTGGTGACTTGTATGTATGTCTCAAAGTATCGATTTTCATTGGATTGGGGTTCCCACCAAGTTCCATACCTACCTGAGGTGTGTTCACGGTTCAGCTGTTTGGACATACCAACCCAGTGGGATCTCCATCCCAGCGTGGGGAAATGAGGGGACTGGGGGACAGTCAGAGAAGGAAACCGTATGAGAACCTAGCCGTATAAGTCCGTGTTCGAGAAAACGCCGTTCAGTTCTAGTTTGCTACCCGGCCATCTCCCCAGGGTTCCCCTGCCCCGTTGGACTTACTCGTGCGGCTGACCATTCGGCTTCTTTCGGTATGCCATTACTATTCTCGCCTCCAGCAATGATGTAACTTCATGATACCTAATGCACGACTTTATAGTAGGTATCGAACTGGGTTAGATTTGTAATCCGGCGGTTTGCTCGAGATGCATATGCTAATATGTTAAGGGCTACATACATCATACCTCATACCTCATAACCACTTAATGTACCTAATGTAGTGTGGTAGTATGTATGTATGGACGTCTGTAAGTACGTGGTAATAAAAAGAAGTACAACAAAAATCCAGCACATGGCTACCCTAAAAAAAGCACGTACGCGATTCGAGCAAACGGAACAAAACTCCCCCCCTCATCCCCATCATCTCCACAGCCGTCAGGGGTGAGAAGCAACACTTCGCGGAGCTCTCCCATTTAACTTAGTAGGTTACGAGGTTACCAGCAGCCCTTGCTTTCTTCCTCCTCTTTCAACGCAACGCTTATATCATAGCTCCCGTACACTACCGATCGTCGGATAGTCTAGCCCAAAGATGAAAGAAACCTCGTGGTCCTTTTTGTTCTTGGCTCGAAATCTCACAAAGAAAGATGGCAAGAGTATTCGATAGGCCAAGCCTGTCGAGGCCGCGATGGTACCGCTCTCGGGTTTTTCTTCTCATTCTCATGACTGTTGGCAACATAACGTCAGCTATCCGCCCGGGTATCTGCCCAATCATCATCTCCGTAACTTGCATATGGGATCCCGGTAGCTTCAGGGATTCCATTCCCTTCCCCCGCACCACCCCCAAGATTAATCCCCTAGACCGCCTAGAGGCTAGAAGCAAGAGGACCTCGGGGTTGGGGTGATGACCAGGTTATTGTATGTAGTTTTAATCACTAGGTGAGGGAAACCACATTATAATAACCTGTCGAGTATCCCGTATTATCTCCATTATCTGCCGTAAGCCGATTATTTTACTTTTTTTTTCTTCTTCTTTTTTCCCCATCCCGGCCTCTGTTAAATACGACCGAGTCCCTCTCGACTCTGGTCATTGTGGGTTCTCTCATTGTAGTGAACATCACACAGACAAGAGCCTCATTTGCTTGATATAGCTCAGCAATGGCAACAGTCGCTAAGAACGAAGGCGCACCAGCGCCTCACAACTCGTATGGAAATGCAATTGTCAATGAGTACGACATGTATCCTCCTCATCATGGCATGTCGACGAGGGAATATTTGGCTACGCGTATCTCTACGCTGAAGCCTCCTATGGCGAAAGCACCCAATCCAATTCGCTTAATTAGAATGTTGAATCGACATCAATGGGCTTTCTTTGGTGTCGCATTTTGGGCCTGGGTATGTCTGACCGTTTTTCCCATCCTCTTCTTTCTTTGTGTTTATTATTGCTGACCATGTTCGACGATATGTTGTATAAATATAGACGTGGGATGCTTTCGATTTCTTCACTGTATCGTTGACAGTTGACGACTTGGCCGAAACGTTCGACAAGTCCAACACGGACATCACATGGGGCATTACGCTCGTCCTTATGTTTCGATCTGTCGGCTCCATCATCTTCGGTATCGCGGCCGATCGTTACGGTCGGAAATGGCCCTTCATCGTAAATAACCTACTATTTATCGCACTTGAATTGGTATGTCGCACATTTGCACATCACTTACATCATGCTTCATGCTCCCCAGAAAATCCCATTGGAGGGTTCCACACCCAAGAACACCCCCATGAAGTTACCTCGTGGCGTGGCGTTCCTTAGGCTCGGGATGCCAATCACTTATCCCACAGCTTGGCGTCGCTTGGCGCAGCGTTGGCAAAGCTTCATTTTTGTGGCTCCTTGTAGTTCCAGCGTCGCGTTTGAACGATATTCCTCATTTTGAGAGATTTTAAGAGTAACTTTGGATCGCTAACTTACGAATCGTAGGGAACCGGTTTCTGTAATACGTACGGTGAATTCCTAGCTTGCCGAGCTCTCTTCGGTATCGCTATGGGCGGTCTTTATGGAAATGCCGCAGCGACGGCTTTGGAAGATCTACCGAACGAGTCGAGAGGTTTGATGAGCGGTATCCTTCAACAAGGATACGCTTTCGGTTATCTCCTCGCTACAGCTTTCGCCCGTGGTTTGGTTAATTCCACACCCCACGGATGGCGTCCTTTATTTTGGTTCGGCGCCGGACCCCCTATCCTTTTCATCATCTGGCGTTACTTCCTGCCCGAGACCGACACATACGAAGAACACCAGGAAATGCGACGTGCTAATGGAAGTATCGGCAAGACGTTCGTCCAGGAGGGCAAAGTTGCTTTGAAGCATCACTGGATGTTACTTACCTACTTGGTCCTCCTAATGGCTGGTTTCAATTTCATGTCTCATGGTTCTCAGGACTTGTATCCTACCATGCTGAAAAACCAGTTCAACTTCAACGCCGACCAAGTAACCGTAACCCAGGTTGTTGCAAATCTGGGAGCCATGTCTGGAGGGGCTGTTGTGGGTTTCTGCTCGCAGATCTTCGGTCGTCGTCTTAGCATCATCGTTATGTGCATCATCGGAGGTGCTCTGCTATACCCTTACACATTCGTCTCTAACGAAAGGATTATCGCCGCCGCATTTTTCGAGCAGTTTTGCGTCCAGGGCGCCTGGGGTGTCATCCCCGTGCATCTCATGGAGTTATCGCCCGGTGCATTCCGAACCTTCGTTGTCGGTACCAGTTACCAGCTTGGTAACCTTGTCTCGTCCGCCAGTTCCACGATCGAAGCCACAATTGGAGAGCGTTTCCCCCTCCCGCCTAAGGGTGAGGTAAAGCGATATAACTATGGCATTGTTGTCTGCATCTTTATGGGCTGCGTTTACGCTTACGTTATCCTGTTAACCCTACTCGGCCCTGAGCATTTGAATAGGAGCATGGATGTTGCCCATGATGCCGACGCGGTAGAGGCAGCTGGTCAGGAGAGCGTTAGCAAAGCCGTTGCGCACGGACATACCGGCCGCGAAGCCTCCGCAAGCGAGGATGGTGACCCGGAGAAAGGAACCGTTACTCATGCTCCTTAGGAGTAAATTTGCAATGGCTCGATTATGTTTGGAAGGGCACGGATCCGTGCCCAGAAGTGGCATGCCGATGAGTGATTATGTTGGACCCTATATAACAGGAACCGCTAGCAATTGTCATTCATTGATGATCGTGTTTGAATTTTTTTTTGGATATCAGTTTTCCAACAATTGAAACTTCAATCGGGATATTATATTTGGATGGAAGGATAGGGCCGGGATCGGGTTGATACCATTGACTTAGCATAACGATACCAAAGTTGTCGTTCCGTATTTACTTCTCGACGATAATGACTGATTGATACCATTCGAAATAAGATTCGCTATTAGTTTACAAGTACATAACTCATCTGGGAATAAACCCATCCTTTGTATTATCGTTATGGTGCTACAAGTAAGCCGGCACGTTATCAGGCGACATACTACATGCGAATTGGGGTTACATGTACGGTATTTGCGCAATATCTTCTTGTCATTGGTACGACCATATTGTCTTGGACAACGAGAACTTAGGCGTAATTGTATGGCTGGCAATCTCTTGGCCTCAATTTCTGAAAGTGATTATTGTCATATGATGGGTGTAACTTTTAGACCGAATAAACCTTGAAGATAGACCGAATGGTCAGCCCGGGTATTGTTCGTCTTGGCTGTCTTATGTTGAATCTCGGCGCCCAGAGGGTAGCCTCTTGCGTCATCCAAACTGTCGCGGGGAATAGTTTAACTTGTAGCCATTATTTACATTAGTTAATATCTCTCTTATAGGTCTTAGCAGGGTGCAATTATAGACCGGCTGGCTTGAAATCTTACCCATGTGCTCAACGATCTTATGTTGGGTAGTATTAAATCCGAGCACTTTTGATACCCGTTAGATTATTCATGAAAGGGGTGAATTTACAACACAACTGGCTGCCCAGTACATATCTAAGATTATATATTGAAATCTTTCCTAACGGCTCCCCGTGAAAAGTTAACCTTCGTAAATCAATAGCCAACTAAGCCTCGACTGAACTACAGAGTACATAAAGCTAAGCAAGCTATAACCTTATATATAAGTTCACTTAGCTTTATAGATTTCCTTCGGCTCATATTAGAGGTACGATATGATTGGTTAATAGGTAAATTTTATAACCTACTTCTTCGACATACACGTAACACGAACATGATTACCCAGATGGGCACATTTACCTTTTAGATATCATAGCAGCTGATCTTTCCGGTTTATGATTGGCTCTCAGTACAAGTCTCTATTGGATGTGTGGCTACACGTACAGATACGATAACCACCCCGGCTGAGAGACAGGTTTTTGAACTCGGCATTGACGTCATATAACCAAATCAACCTTCAGCTCTTAACTTGTTTATGCCCGGTTTTTGGGACCGACCGAGTATCAATAACTCTTTTTTATGTGAGTATGAGGTTAAGCAATTCTAGATATAGAAATTTAAGTAGTTGATCAATACCTATTACATTCATACAAGTCTCGAAAAAAAAAAAGAAAGAAAGAAAGAAAGTCCTAGTGTTCCAATTACCTACATCTCAATTTATTTCATCAGATATGGAAATTAACCTCCCCAATATTATCGACGCCGCCATGCCGAATCGCGGTAATAGGAACGTAGGAATCATCTCGTCTAACCTTGGTCCCAATCACAACGACCCTGGTTTTCTATCTAAGGACTTTCCACATTCCCCCCCAAAGCTGTATATCACTGCCGAAGACAATGAATTCGATCTACTCACTCTTAATGAATGGAGGAGTGAGGGGTTCAACGTCGAGTATATCCCTATGGGCAACGGCGGTAATGAGTATCGAATGAAGGTAGAATCACTGGGCAAGAGCAACTTGGGTCCCTGCGAAACCTATGGCATCGTTGGTATGTTCGCGGTCTAGACAATCTAAAATACCGCTCTCTAGTCTCCGGGTTTTACTCCCTAAGAGCGATATAGCGTGTATTGTTTTCTGACACGGTAGTCCAGCGTATGGCGATGCAGCCAGCTTCTGCTTAGAGTACTTCCACGTACTCGATAATAATCCCGAGTTCAAGCTCTGCTGTCTCATCGCCTACTATCCCACGCGCATCCCGGACACGCGTACCAAATTCCCGGGTGGTATTCATGTGCTTGTTCACCTTACCACCGGCGAAGAAGTTGGCATCGTGAAGCAGACGCAAATTGTAGGAATCCAGGGGAAGAAAAGGACCGATAAACGGAAAATCGATCGTGGCATGGGCACTGGCGGAACAATGCAAGCGTCATATCCGAGCTACACCTACAATGCAGTACCTGGTTTTGCGGAACATGACCTGGATGAGTTCGACAGAGTCAGCGCAGAGCTTAGCTGGAGCAGAAGCCTAGCAACGGCGCAAAGGGCATTTCGGAGAGATGCCGACCTGGAAAAGGTGCTCGAGCAGAACGTTGAAAGTATGTGAAAAGCTTACCCTTATTCCTTCATGATGACTATCTGGCCCCGTTCGACAATAAAATAAAATGAATGAATGAGATGGTGACCCTAATATCGCTAACATTGATCAGGTAAATTCTACAACCACCACTTACAACAGACCTTGTCAACTTATACGACCCACAAGAGCCCTCATGTCACCTATGTCCCTACCTTAACTGGAGCCATTGGCTCGGAAGAGCTCCAGAGATTCTATTCCGAATTCTTCATTAACAGGAACCCTGAATCCATGAAACTCACTTTGCTTTCGCGTACGATCGGTTCCGACCGAGTCGTCGATGAGTTCCACGTCTCTTTCAAGCACACGCAAGAAACGCCCTGGATACTTCCAGGGGTGCCTCCGACTAACAAGAAAGTCGAAATTCTCATAGTAAGCATCGTGACTTTGCGGGGAGGCAAGTTATACCACGAACACGTCTACTGGGACCAGGCCAGCGTACTAGTGCAAGTGGGTTTATTGGATCCGAAGGCAGTGCCGAAGAAAGCTAGCGATGCGGGAGTTAAGCGGTTGCCAGTTATGGGGAGGCGGGCGGCTAAGAGCGTACTGGTCGGCTACGACGAGAGTGACGAGGGCGAGGCCACGAACGAATTGATACCCGAGTGGGATGACGACGCCGATGACGACGTAGGTAACACAGCAGATGAGGGCGATAAGAGTAACGGTGCCAAGACTAAGGAGGTAGAAAAGGATGAGGAGAAAAGAGAGGGATTGGAGGATGAGGAAGCTGAACAGTCGACACCAAGTCAAGAACAGCATGAAGATGCGAAAACACAGGGCGACTAATAGGACTTATTGTGTTGACTAATACAAGCCTAAGATGCTACCTGTTAGAAGAGATTAGGAATTTGTCTCAAATAATGTAAGTTTAGATATATCAATAACTAGTTTGTACTGGTTTCTAGCCGCCGATCTTAAGCTCGACTTAGGTCGTTCATAATATTATTAATGTTGTTTTCCACCGATGAATTCTTAAAACAACCAGGACGCCACACCAGGGGGAAATAAAGGCACGGCTCTAAAGAAGTGGCCGATCTACATGGACTTACATTAGGGGTTTAGTTAGCAAGATGATAGGTCTGAAACTGGATAGCCACCAGGTCCAATTAATAGTTTAGAAGCAATGCGTACTTGTATGTTGGTTGAGGTCTGTTCTCAGTTCTCATAGGCCATGCCGAGATGGCTTTGGTGCATCTTATAGCCGGTGTCTGCAAGTTTTATATGTAGGTGCCTACCTACCTAAACTACCTGTCATTATATCAGACAATACTAACATTCTAAGTAACTAAAGTGTCAAAGGCTAAATGTTGATGATAGTTATACGTAAAGTTGAATCATTTTCCTTATTATTTCTTAAGTAGGATAAAGCATACCTACAATTTATGTTGTATACCGGCCTTACTGGAGGGTTACTGGAGGGTGGGGTGCCGAATTAGAAGTCCATCAGCCGCATCGCGCCGGGGTGGTTATAATCGGGGTATCGGAGACCGTCTCGCTCGATTCGTTTCAAGTTGGTAAAAGTCTTGGACGAAACATAAATATCTGGGCTTATTTATGCATCGTGAAAGCCCATCTGCGACCATAGAAAAGTACCTACATAAGGTAAGCCACGGATTCATAAGCAACCAGCGCGCATAGGTACATGGGGTAGTTAAGCCAATTAATTCATGGTACAATACCTAAAACGTGGGATGTCTTTAGCTATTATTGGTATTATTGGTATTGTTGGTATCCCCTGGTATGATAAAGGACCCGGGCCAGCCAGATTTCCCCATCCCGATGCCGAGAGTCTGCCACACCGAATCGGGCGTTTATCGAAACGAAGGCAGGACTAATACCTAGTAGAAGAAATACTAACTACTTCAACTACCGTGATAAATCGTGCTGTCGTGCCGGATCGACAGGGGCGTGGCGGTTTCCGACCGGGTTGTGGGAGGGATGTCTGTTTTATAACCCTGGTGATCCGCGCTTCTCGGTCCCATCGACCGCTTGACATGAACTTATTTCATGTATGACGGAACAGTCAAGACGAAGATCAATCGCACTGGCCCTCTCCCTCTCGATACCTAGACCTTGAACTGCCTGACAGGGCCACAGAAAACACGAAGCCCGGTTCTCTCTGTGTTCACCGTGCTCTAGCTGTCAGGCTGTACAGAGCTGTACAGATATCGATGCGGGCTCCCCTTGTTATGCTCGATACGTACAACGTAGACAAACGTCCATCTGATGATGATCAATCGCTTGACGCAGGGACGAGCCCAAGTCGACTCCACTAAGAACACACGGTGGACTATTACCAACCGCCATCGGTGCGACATGATCATCGCAAGGACGTTTTTGGAAGAGATAAGTAAGACATGTACCGCCGTGTGTTTTACGACGAGATGTTTCCTTTCTTTCTTACCATCTCTTTTTCTCATCCCATCTTTAATCATCCGACCAGACGCTGCCGGCAGTGTCTTTTTATCTTTCATTTCATTTCATTTTTCTTCCATTACCTTCTCTTCATCTGCTGTATTTCTTATCTTTGATACTATACTACTTCTTTCTCTTCGTGGGTTTCTCTTTTCTTCTTCCGTCAAAATGGGTATCGGGGTACTAGAGGATAGATATATGACCCGGCCGCCGGGGACATCGAAGCTTGGCGAGGAACAGGGTCCGTCCTTCGATGCAGGTCAGTTACGAAAGCTCTGCTTGCTTAGCTGTCCGTTATGCCCCATGCTAAAAGATGCCTTTTAGCGAGTACCGACGATTTAAAGAGAGATGGCGACATCATCCTGGTTCCGCAGCCGAGCGACTCGCCTAATGACCCCCTTAACGTCAGTATTTTCAATTTGCAACACCTAAGCGGTCGAGGACTAATGAACGGAAACAGTGGTCGATGGTGCAGAAAAATTCAATCATGCTCATTCTCGCCTTCAGCTCCGGCGTTACGACCTCGTAAGTAGGCCCGGAGTTATAGCTTTGAGCTACACAGAAGATCTAACGTGAGCAGGCTTGGGCCGATGATTTCACCTGGTTTGGTGATAATTAGTAAACAGTTCCAAGTCAGTCCCGACATGGTATCTACATTCATGGTCGGGTCTATTCTTCTGTTTACGGGCGCGGTGACTTTCTTTACGGCTTCGGGAGCAAATATCTGGGGGAAGAGGCCATTCTTCGTGATATCTACACTATTGCTGTTGATATCAAATATTTGGGGCACTTTTGCAGATGTACGTCAAGCCATAATGTCTTCACCTTTCTTCGCTGTCTCTACTAAGACCCTATACCCTATAGTCCTTCCCCTCGTTGGCCGCTATGCGTATCTTCCAAGGAATCGCATCCGCTCCCCTAGAGACGCTGGTAACGTCAACAGTTTCGGATTTATTCTTCGTCCACCAGCGAGGATTACGCTTGTCATTATGGGGAGTGATGTTAGGAACAGGTGTTTTGCTAGGCCAGATCATTTCCGGTTACATCATCGAGTCGATGGGTATCACTGGTACCTTTGCTATTAGTGCGCTTATCTTCTGCCTGATATTACCCCTTATGTATTTCCTAATCGTCGAGACTACGTACACGCAGTCGCGCAGCACCAAGTTCGGCGAGAAGCGCCCAGGGTCGCGAGCGTCCTCGATAGATAGTATGGATCTCAAAGGCGATGACCCAGCTAGCGAGCCAAAGGAAAGTTACAAGAGCCAGCTCCGTCTTTTCCGCGGCCGATTATCTGACGACTCCTTTTGGAAGGGTGTGGTTAAGCCATTCCCTCTCATTTGTTTCCCTGCCGTCATATTTTCAACTCTAGTCTACGCATCTTTCTTTTGTTGGCTCTTGATGATCGGTGTCTTGTCTGTCAACATTTTCTCCGCGCCTCCGTACAACCTTACACCGGCGCAGGTTGGACTCACCAACATTCCCCTGGCCATTGCCACATTAATCTTCTCGCCACTCTCTGGATGGATGGCTGACGCAATCCCCGTTTGGATGGCAAAGCGAAACGGAGGGGTTTTCGAGCCCGAGTTCCGCTTGGTCCTTATGCTCATTGCTATCCCGTTTAGTACAGCAGGATTTATTGGGTTTGGATTCGCTTCTTCCGAAGGTTTATCCTTAACCTGGTGCTTAGTGTGGATTACGATGCATTCGGTAGCCGTGCCCTTCGCTTCTCAGGCATCGATCAGCTACGTTATCGATTGCCATACCAAGGATGCCAACCAGGCATTTGTAACTATCAATTTCGTCAAGGCGGTTTTAAGCTTCATCGCTTCGACCGTTGGAAACGGACTACTTGTCAAGTTTGGCCCTAAGACCCTATTCATCGGAATCGCAATGCTAAACCTAGGAATCAGCCTACTCACTATTCCTAGTTACATCTACGGCAAGAGACTGAGGAGCTGGGTGGCGAGGAGTGAATGGGCGAAGAAAATTTGAACGGTGCAATAACAACATAAACGTATTCCCTGATGTGTTGGATCTAGGCTTGTATTGCATAGGATATTTGTTGACGATCGACTTGATTTAATCCTGTATCTCGGAGGTCATGAGAAACGAACGGTATGATGCGAACGGCTGGCCGAAAGTATTGTCCCATGTTGTGGGAGAGATATGGATGTCAGTAATACGCATTAGCCATTCTAATTCTAGCAAGCTTGGAGCTAAATCTCGACATCACAAGTGATCACGCCAACGTGTATAGGTACGTTATTCATAGTCCATTAATACTAACATGGTGAGTTAATAGCAACGAAATCGTCGAGGTAGCTAGGCAAGGATTTTAAATAATATCGACTCAGTCATTACATCACCGCATCGATAGTAAGTTATTAGCATATATGAGAACAAATTTTATTGTATATAACATAGGAAAGTGCATTGTCTAGACCCGTAAGGTATACCTACAAGCTACCTGAATATGTTGTAAGTCGCCGACTTAACTAATAACCGTTTCGGGACGAAACCGGTTGAATACGGGGAATAGGTGTGCTCGCTATGATCTGCTATGATAAATATAATTGTCAAAAAAAGCATCATCCTCCGCCTTTTCAAAACATGTCCAAGGGTCAAAGTTGGGTACGGGATACAGTCAACCGTATTCCTAACTCTTTAGAATTCCAACTTCCTATGCCTTTCCATGAGGCCGATGGCGGTTACGGTTCTCCTGGTTGGCCCCGAGGCAGTCGCCACACTGCAATTCGCCGTCCTCACGCTGAAGCCGGCATCGACACTCGCATTTGCAGGCTTTGTACGAGGGCTCGTTCTTGCCCCATAGCTGAAGCTTCTCGCATCTAAGGCAAAAGGCCGGCTGTGGTTCGACTGAGATGCGAGAGCCGTTGATATAAACCATGGGTTTCCGCGCGAGGTTGGGGCACTCGCACTGAGTGCACGCGCAGCGACGTCGGTTGGGGTTGTGCATTGTGTCTGCGGTGTGATGATCTTCTAGTTCAAAATCGGGTAGTGGATGATTAGAGTTGAGGAGAGTCTGAGTGTGCATTCGAGATACAGTTCCGTTCAAGTTGTCAGTCTGTTGGGGGAACTGGGTGGCTGGTTGGGCTTCATATAGCCCTGGCTGGTTTGAAGACTGGCTAGACATAGCGAAACAAGATCTTTGTTGTTAGGTTCTCGTTTTGTTCGTAAAAATAGCCCTTGAGATATTTGATCTCTTTTGTCCTTTTTGTTATCAATCTGTGAGGCTTTGACTATTCAGGGGCGAAATAATCTGATTGTGATTGCTGGTACCTGATTGTTCGATTTGCCTGGGGGCTGGAGATTCGAAAATATGAAAGAGAGTACTTTGGTTTCTTCTCAATGCCTGGAATCATCGAGGGGAGACGAGGTTTTAGAGATACTTTTCAGTCAATTGACATTATGACATTCTAGTCGACTGTACAGAGTTCAGGAAAAGTCACAAATCTACGCTCGACCCCTTTCTCGTATTAATGGTAACCGAACAAAAGAAAACGTAATATCACGGGCCAATAACTTATGTATGCTTTAAGCTCAGCACTATAATATATATCTTTCGTGAATTTCGTTTCCCCCAAGGTATTGGATTTATATATTGCATTGCTCTTGCTGAGGAAACGGGCGTTCACTTTGTAGGGATTCATTCATGGACGTATGAGACTCGGACTCTAGTTGTATGTAGGAATTAGGTTACGCAAATTCGTATCAATAGGTACTTGGCCAGGAGGGATTATTGTTTAATCACCTAGTCTCACTTTTAGATCGGTCATTGATCACTTTAATATATAGGCAAGACAATATACTAATATCAATATAGATTTTCAAATAAAGCTACAACTCATTACGCTCGCCATCTAAGTAGACTGTCCTTGTCGAGGGTATTAGATATTAAAGTAAACCATCACCTCCAACCTTCTCATTGATGTTCTTACCAACCTTTTCTAGTAATGTTTTGAGTTGCTCGACGTCCTCTCTCAGCTTCTTGACCTCTAACATGGTAGGATCCTCCTCGACATTAGATTTACTACTAGCAACCTTCTTTGCCCAGCCCTCGCTTTCAAAGTCAATCTCGTTTGCCATCTGTTCCCATTCCTCTTCAGTATCATCGTCTTCCTCGCCCCTCCTCCTATTTCGACGGATGTCCTTCGCTGCCCTAACTTCAAATAAGGCAGAGCACAAGAGCAAGGGGGAGTATATTACTCCCATTACAATGTCATTAAGGCGTTCGTATTGCTTCTTGGGCATCCACCACTCGAAAGGAATGATTAAGAGGAATATTTCGATCAAGTTGAACGGGGCGATAAAAACGTTCTCGTCCGGCGCACGCACGAACTGCATGGTCTTCTGAGAAAAGAGCGCCAGAAATTCATCGTCAGCGTTGTCGTAAATATCCTCGTAAGCACTGTTGTAAAGTGCAATTAATACGTTTAGCAAGATGACCATGACGACGAATGTAAAGAGATAGTAGAGAATGATTCCAAACGGTGGGCTAAAACGTTCAAACCCGCTGAAATCTGGGCTTTGCATGATGGCATTGGCCATAGCTTGCAGGATGAAAATCGTATCCTCTCCTGCCATGTCGTCTGCATAATCCATGCCAATAAAAGCTGTGCAATATGTTAGTCGCTCCTCATACATCCATCTGCTGTATACGTACCTTGCAAGAAACCGATAACGACAACAATTAGCAAAGCGAAGAAGATGAGGCTTTCTTTCATCATCACCTTTAGCACGACAAGCATCGCTCCGAAGAAGCGAAATGAATCCATATAGAGGAGAAGGCGGATCCAGAACATAGGCGCCGTAAACGCGAGGAAGTTATACGAAAGCTGGTTGAATTTCTGGCGGGAATCGTCATCTGGTGAGTGGGTAAAGGCGACTATGCGCATAGCGAGCGAAACCATCAGTAGCGAGTATAAGGCATTGTTGAATGCGTTCCAGAAGCTGAAAATATGGTATCCAGCTTTATAGAACTTGGCTAATTCATCAAAGAGGAAGCCAAAGGTGAAGACGTAGAGTAAGATCTCAACAAAGTCCAGATCACCATCAGGGTTAATGGTGTTGATCGCACCAGTGTAGAGAGCCAAGTAAACGAACGAAATGATTAGTTGAAAGGCGTTTTGATACATGGGCGCTCGCATGCGGTCGGGATCCAAATGAGGTATGAATGTAGTATTGTCACGATTCTTGTAGTCGACAAAGCTCGCGGGATCATTCTCATCCTGAACGAGCCAACCTCTCCAAAGATAGTTGATACATTTCTGGTAGCCCGAAGAAGCAATTACACGCAGGGCATGAAGATCGACAGCTTTCTCGATAACGTTAACAGGTGGGGTCTCTTCGCCGTCGACGACGATGGAGTAGCGCTTAAGCAGAACAGACTGTAGTAGATAAGGTATATCATCCTCAGACTCGATTATCTGCTTCGCTATAACCTCGCAAGCGACAGCCCGGACTTGGTGCAGGTCCGCATCCCAAAGCTCGACCACAGCTTGATGTTTAAACCAACGTTTGACAACTAAGAGGCAGAATACTACACATGAGCCATTCTCCGATCCGCCGGCTTCTTTTGCAGCTTTAATGACTTTAGGTGTAATTATCTTGCTATGGGATTGGGTAATTTGCAACTGCTCTAGTTCGCATGGTACGCACTGTTCGATAAGGTATCGGAGGCGGAGGGCAACTTTGGTAACTTCTGGAGCGGGAATGGCAGATTCGACTGAGTCGTCTCGATGAACGGGGAGGACTTCATATCGGAGAGCCCGACGCGTGTTAGCCCAGAAGCTCATGTCCGATCAATTATAGAAAACACCTAAGGGAACAAGGGAACAAGGGAACAAGGGAGAATATAGCCAGGTAGAGAATTTGACATATGAGTGAATCGACTTACGTCGACGACGAGAGTCATGAAATGACCAGTCGCGATGGCCGTTCGACGGGTGACGATCCCATCCTAGGAGATTCCTCCAATTGAACCTTCCCATAATCGGTTTATTGCGCAATCATCAAGGTACTGATATTTTGGAAGTGTCGTCCCGGCCTCGAGATAGTCGAACCTTGTGTGTATGATTATGGCTGGTTATAGGGAATGGATAAGTTGATTGCGATGAGGTCGTTAAACTATGCAAACAAAGAGGGGAAATAGGTGTAGCAATACGGAATACATGTCCCTAGGTAGCCTATGTACCAATAAGAAACGTCAATGAGGTGGATTGACGTCCCCCAAAAGCAATGTCAAATGCGGAATTTCTTGATTTTATTTTTTTTATCTTGGTCCGTGATGTCGGCCATGTCCGCGATGCGATGCTCTTTGGTTGGAGAAATACAAGTTGTTTCGCAAGTCGCCATGACGTTATGCTGCCGCCCAGGTGGAGTACCTACGTATTGTACAGGGGATGAGGAAATCTCGCATTGATTCAAATACTTACTATTAGAATTTCTTGGGCATCCACATTGGATAAATGCTTAGTTTACATGGCATATTTACATAAATACCTCCAGTTCGTCAAAACAATATTCTTCGGGCACGTCGGATTCATCTCATGGCAGCAAACCTTCTACCTACCTCTTACAAGCATTTCCACTACAAACATTTCCATCGCTTATTCCACAAAACAGGCGTGAAGGCTTGCTGCCGAGCTATGACTATGATTAATTATCGGCCGTCTAACTCCAGCCGATGGCGCTGCCTCAATTTCTGCAGAATCCCGGTCAAGCAACGATAAGTTTCGCCGGTATGAGAATTCTATTAAATAATGATTTAGAGGAAATATGCCTTCCGAAGGTATGGTCCCGACGATCTGGAATTCTGCCGAATACCTACAAACATGCCGCGGTCTTTTTATGACTTCCAAAACTACGGGTCTGGGCAATCTTGTTAAGCACGAATCGGCTGTTGTATTTAATTTGTACATCTCCATTGACCTAGGTCGATTTTGTTGAGGTGAGGCTTCGTGGGATTACCCAGTTGATTGGATGACAGTATCGGTGTAGTGCTGCAACGATGCAGATATCCAATGTATGGTCCTGCATACTGCCCGCCGTAAAATGTGGGATTGCAAGGAAAATTTTCTTTCCTCCATTGAATATCCCGCGACTCATCTCATCCGGGAACGTAAGGAAGCAACGCCGCGTTCGGTGAGGGGCATACGGGATGCGAGAGTAGTATCCCACTGGAAAGGCTGCTTGATCAGAGATCAGAATGTACCAGCGGCCTTGTCCAAATACTGCAAGTGATGGGCCAAAGTTCTCAAGTGGCGTTTACATCCGGTGACTCCGAAAACCGTAAGTCTGACCCGAGCCGTACATACGCAGCCGGTTAGCTCCATTTCTGTAAAAGTCATTTCTGTATAAGTCACGATTTCAGCCTCATATCCTTGCCTTCTCGTCCTTAGAATCTAATACGCGCACCAGAGCTGGCTGCCTACCAGATGTTTCTCAAATTTAGTTGGGAAAGACATAAGACATGATAGAAGCGATCGATGCGGCCGCGTACAAGACTACCTAACATACCAGTGCCATAATGCCTACTAGCCTACTGGCGGCGCAGCAAACTAGAACCACGTTCGTATTGTACAGCATGTAAACCGCAATAGACTATCACCAGCACCAGCACCAGCACCAGCACAACCAGCACAACCAGCACAACCAGCACTTATTAGTACCGTTTACCGTCGATCGTATCATATGCTTGCTATGCGTGCCTAGCGTGCCTAGCGTGCCTAGCGTGCCTAGCGTGCACCCATGTTCCTAACTTACTATTCACTTATATGCCGTATTATAGATATTACAGCATTACGCCTCGGCGAAAGGTCTTACGTATGTATTCATTAGTCTTTTAGTTTAAATGTCGCATCATTGGTCTTCTACAAGCGTTCCATGGATGGTTATGTGGCGATGGCTGTACGTAGGCGGATAGGCTAACATGGCCAACATACACACATACCGAATTATATGTAGCCTTAGAGCGGGTAGTATTATAGACTGACTGAGCGGCTTAAACTATTAGTGACCGGCATGGCAGGGCGGACAGGTTTACCGGAGTGATCTACAGGCGCATGAGGCAACCACGCGGCCACAACCGTGGTTTTACTCAACCTCTTCTTCAACAAGCATATCAAATAATATGTACTACCACATTATAACTGCTATAGTTGCATTTGATGTTTGTTAATACCCATTGTGGGTACGGATTACATATGTTGAAATGCAGGTGGTCCTAGTTTATGTAGCCCTATACGCAGTTGGGGTGGGTTACGCCAAGCCTTTTATTGCATTAGATACAGATATATGTTAGGTTAGGTTAGGTACTTTCTAAATTAGGTACAATACCTAATTATTTAAGCCATCATCGTGAATTGCACTTACGTATGTAAATGTGAACTAGCATGGTGGGGTGAATCGGGGCCTAGATTTACTTCCTTAGCTGCTTAACTGGACGGATATGTAAAAGGTAGGCAAGGCGTATGTTAAAACATTAAGAGGTTAGTAGGTAATTACATGCAGTTCAACGTTGAATGTGGCCAAGATAATAGATTTATTATTTTATGCATAAGACGTGTCTGGTGGCGTCGATCTCACATCCGCAGATTCATACTTACATGTACCTACGGTACAGAAATATGCCGCTATTTCTCTTCCATACCTCTATCATATAGAAATTAGGTATCACCTATAATCCATTCTCATGGAATTCTGGGTACATGAGGTAAGTATTCAGCTACAAACCCCTGTCAACGGTAGGCGACGGTAGGCGACCATCGGTATCAGCGCTACTTCCATTTCCTTATAGGTAGGATATTGCTTCTCCCCAGGAATCGAAGATGGGATAGGCAGCAGCAGCGGCGCTAAGGTTGTGTATCCAACCAAAAGGTGCAAGTACATGATATTGATTTGAATGTATACTGTAAGATAGCTCCTGCACATATTATACCACCGCATGCGCCACGCCGCTGCCTACTTTTAAATCGTACAGCTGAAGAAGTAGTGGCCATCGGGAGTCGCCCTTTCTTGTTCCAAAGGGACTGAGGGACCGCAGTTGCCGTTCTTTGCTGTTCTTCCGTTATCCTTCCTTCTAATTTGTCTGTGTTCATTTGCACGTGCAGACGTAGTGCCTAATTCCCAAGTTAACAGATTCACCGCCGTTCACACTTCTTCTCTCCATCATACCATACATATATCCAGGCTACATACGTAGGTATCGTCATCTGCGAAACTCATCCTTGTGTCTCCCCTCCCCCTCCCCCAAGCTCGTTCTGCCTTATCACTACCATAGTCTTACACCCTCCACACTTCTTACATATATTCATACACACATAGACGCCTCTCTGCCGTGGCATTCTTCATTCTGGTAACTCTTTGTTCGACTTTGGGTATCAGTCCGTCATATTGGCTCCTATTCTAAAACTTTAGTAGAGAGACATAAGACATACACGTTATCCTCAAACAGTTCGGTACATAATACATATACCTTCTGCTTGTGAAGCTATTTATACTTATATACCTCTTACCATTGTCCACTCCCGCCATCTTCCAACATCATCCACTTATCCATTCGTTACTTCACTCTAGCTGGCCTCTTAAACACTATCGGCAATATCCGTCGTGTGATAGGTGCGTAACGTCTCATTGTTAATACCATTGGATAGAAAAGAAGAGTTATTTGTACTGCCGTGTACAGCGTGGCGACTGCTGTTGGACTCAACACTGGAAGAAAAAGGCGACCCAAAGAGATCTTGACAGTTGGCACTGTTAATTACACGACTCATTTCGCACACTTTGATTCCTATTTTATTGTACTTTATTGTTTTCCCCTTGCTGACACGCTGTATTTAGGTTACGGACCAGCCAGTCATGATCACCCACGACTTTTGAAGATTCTAATTGTGCCCACAGCAAACAAACAGAAGCAGGAATTTTCCCCGCCTTTCAGCTTTAGGCCATTCTATATTGTCTTCCAGCTCATTTAGCCCTTAAAAATCTATTTACTTGTGCGCTCTTCCTAGGCGCATCTAATTCTGGTACCTCATAGAACCCTGAACTCCCTACGCCGGGGCTGTCTAGCAGATATGGCCTCCAACATGGACTTGGAAATCGAATCGCAGGAAACCAAAACCGGCCATTCGGCAGACCGTCACGAAGGCAATTTCCCTAAAAGTGACGACACCAAAGCTCTTCCAGTTGAGAATGGCCTTGCAACCGCTCCCCCAGACGCCAGTAAGAAGACCAACGGATTAAAAAGTGAAAAAAAAGCCCCTGGTAAACACGATAAAAAAGGCAAGAAAGGAAAGTCTGGTAAGTCCAAGAAGGCATCTGCCAATAGTGAGAGTTCTTCTGGCAGTAGCGAGGACGAGTTTACCAACTCATCTTCAGATGAGTCCACCGACACCGAGTCCGCGTCTGGGAGCGAAGAGCGTGCGAAAAAGAAGGTTCAGAAGAAGCGCCAGGATCTCCGGAAAGCCAAGAAATTGATAAAGTCATCTAAGACGGCCACTAAGCAGTCAAAATCGCAAATCAAGGCTTCAGAAGTCAACACTAGCGATACCGATGCTGGGGATGAAGATGACACTCATCTCGAGAAAAAGGCGGGCATCGGCGAGGTCGCGGAACGAGAGATTGCCTCAATGCGATTGCAAATTGAACAGCTTTTGGGTCATGTAGCATGTTTGCGCCTCAGCCACAACCCTTCCGGTGGTCCTGCCACTTCTTTCAACCATCTCGGAGAGCTCGTTGGTGGTCTTAATTATAACGGGTATCAGCTTCCATCCGGTGGTCCTATGGGTTACCATGATACCTCTTCCGATAGCCGATATGCGCAGACACGAAATGGACGACTGGGGAACATGTCGGAAGGTATGCATATCATGAATAGGGGTCGTGGTCATAACATGCCACCCACAGGTCAAGGAAAGCGGTTTAGCTCCAAGGACCTATTCCTAGACAGTAACTCAAGCCGCAACAAGGAATCTAAATCGAAGAACGGTCATAATTCCAAGCCAGTTGCGCAACGCCTTGAGTTTAAACGCGTGGATCAAGTCTGGGACTCGCAGATCCACAATTACAAGCTCCAAGATACGGCTGAGAATGCCAATAGCTCGCAATATGATGAATACCTATTTCATGTGAGGAGGACCTTTGACTGGGAAGGAAAATATAAGACGACCATCGTCGATATCAAGAGCAAGCAACTACGAGAGGCCCTCAAGGATATCATCGGAAACGTCAAAGGTGTCAGTTTGGTTGAAGAGACTCCTAAGCTAGACCCCAAGATGCTATTCTTGTGAGCTACTTTCATTTTATCCTATTTCTAAATTGCTAATCCCAGCCACAGATATCTTGAAGATATACGTACGTATGCGAAAAACCTCAAGGATCTTGAGCCGGAAGGAAATTCACGGAAAGAACGTAGAAAGGTTCAGAAATGGATTGACGAAAAAAGGCGCCATCTACGGGTCCTTATTAAATACATAGACACAGACCATGCCGAGACCAAAAAGAGGTAAGCTATTAAGCGTTCTATGTAACTGTTGACGTAGTTTGCTAATATGACTATCAGTCTGTATCCTATGCTAGAGAACGGCCTTATCACATTTGATCTTTTATGGGCTCTCTGGAAGCCAAATACGCTTGCGTATACGACAACGTATGGTTCTGTCGATGAACCCCGCGTCTTCAAAGTAGAAGTAGCCGAAAAACACTACAGTATTGTTAAGGGCGAATTTTACTACATAGAGGGCAAGGTAGGTCTCCCTCCCCTATCACAAAATGTTATCTCTGAATTGTAGACTCGATCGCTAACATTAAGAGCACAGTACTTCGAATATGACGGCAAGCAGTTCGGATATGGCAGCATGTCGGAGGAGATAACCGAATTCCGTGGTGCTCGTAGGATTACGAGTTTGGGTTGTTATCCTCTTAAATACCACAAGAACGAAGCTCAGCTATGCCAATATCTTATCGAGCGTGGTAAGAAATTTGTGAGCCTTGGTGGTGTGCACTATAAGGGTCATCAAGGCATGGCATACCACAAGAAAAAAAAGTCTGTAATCAAGGTCAATATCAATGGCCGGATTATGGTTGATCCAGCCATCCATCGCCGTATAAACCCCAACTACCCGGTTTCCCTTGTACGGCCCAAAGATCACGACGTTCTGAGCGACACCGACGATAGCGACGATGAGGCTGAAGGTTGTGGGTGTGACTCGGAAGACGATACGGGGGGTGATGCCGGCCTCGAAGGTGTTGCTGGAGACGACAGTGGCAACATTAAGTATGTGACCAAGGTATACAAGGACAATAAGGGGAATTTGTGTACGGTGCGCGTACCCAAAGATTTTGTTGACACAGAGACGCCGAAAGAGAAGCTTGATCAAGTTCCGAGCAAGAACGAGGGCAAAGATGAGATTGCCAAGAGCGAGGAAGTGGATGCTGGGGAAGACGGAAATGCCTTTACCCTGCCGGTCTTCACCGACGAGGAATACTTGATTGCCTCACCTGTCGTCCTAGGATTTGCGTTTGCCGAGAAGCTCTGGCTCGAGTTCACCGTGTCTGGCATCAAGGAAATTTCATGGAACGAGCACGCTTACGACTCATTGGTATTACAGTCGAACACCAAGGAAATAGTCAAGGTAAGTGATGAAGCTTTATTTTCCATCTATTGTTAGATATACACAAGCAGCTGCCTAAGCCGGCCTCTGGAGTTGTTGAACTTTTCGCTAACTTGGAATCCCAAGGCTCTGGTGGAGTCTCATAAGTACCATCCAGCCGCAAGCATCGATGATGTTATTCAGGGCAAGGGCAAGGGCTTGGTAGCTGTCCTGCATGGGCCTCCTGGGACCGGGAAGACGTTGACAGCAGAGGGTATAAGCGAACTCCTCAAATGCCCCTTATATATGGTATCAGCTGGCGACCTAGGAACAGACTCGCGCTATCTTGAAGCAGAACTGCAGAAGATCCTCGACATCTGTCATGCCTGGGGCGCCATTCTCCTACTTGATGAGGCTGACGTATTCCTGGAGAAGCGCAATATGCAAGACATCCACCGGAATGCGCTCGTTAGTATCTTCCTTCGGCAGTTGGAATATTTTCAGGGCATATTATTCCTCACCACGAATCGTGTGCAGGTATGTATCCTCTCACGCCCCTCCTATCCGCATTGGGTGAAAGGGAACTGACGCTTAAATTACTCATTTGTAGACTTTCGATGACGCCTTCCAATCCCGAATCCACATTGCGCTGCGATATGACGATTTGGACGTGAAGGCGAAGAAGGCTATCTTCAAGATTTTTATCGAACGTGCCCGAGTAGTGGCAGGTATCGACCTGATGCCGTTCGATGAGGAGGATTACACAAGCTTGGCACGACACAACCTAAACGGTCGGCAGATCAAGAACACAATTGGTACTGCCCAAGCACTTGCTGTCAACAAGGGAGAGCCCCTCAGTATGCGCCATATTCGCGAGGTCCTCAACGTGCAACAAAACTTCGAGCAGGACCTTAAAGGTGGCAACGGGTACCAAGAGGCCATGCATAGCTACCTTTAACGAGTTTCTAATATACATTTATGGTACGGGGAGTGGTTAGTATATGGAAATGAGGGTATAAAGATGCAGGTAAAGAAGCACGTTTCACAATAGCACAGGACAGCTTGCATTCTAAGTCGGATATATTCTCTACGGTCTTCCATTAGCTTCTTCTTTTTTTTTGTTTCACTCGGATCCCCTTTACCTTTATCTGGCTTTACCTTTATCTGGTTTAATCGCGCGTTGTTCTTCTTCATTGGCATTATTGGTCAGCGAGTACTCCGGGAGAAGAGGAAAAAGCTTCAACATTTCTAGATATTCAATCAATGGTTCTCTTGCGGATAGATATCAATACGAAGCGTATTACGGTGTGTATAATTTAGTAAAGCTACCTCATATCTCTTTTATCCTTAAATTGTGTGTTAAGGTGAAAGCATATATCGGCTCGAGAGGTTGATATATACCTTGAGAGGTGGTTTAGACAACATCAATGTTGAGCAAGTCGTATATGAGATATCATTACAAGTCAGTAAAAACGACTTGAAAATGAGTAGGTTTACAGAAGTAAAAAAAAATAAGTTAAAAATAAGTTCTATTAATTTAACAAATGCTAAATTGCCAAAATGCCATGGTATCGTAGGCCTTGTGATATATCTAGTACAAGGCCCTTCCCTCGTGAACGCCGACCCCAATGCAATTAGACATCGATTTCGGAAACAAACAGCTAAAAATCCATAGCGCTCTCCCCAACCCCTTCGTCTTCCCCGTAGTCGTCATTGTCTCCCGCGTCGAAGTAAGCTTCCGCATCGTAATCGCCGCCCTCGTCATCGCCGTAATCATCGTCTTCTTGCGACATCTCTTCTTCCTCCTCATCCAAGTCCACGTCCTCGGCATTCGCGGGATCATCGTTATCACCGTCCTTGATCGCCGCCGCCTCGATGCGCGCCTTGCGCTCCTCCTCCGTCTCGTCCTCGTGCGGGCGTCTGCGCAGGCCGTTTACTCCGGTTCCGGTTCCCTCGTCTTCGCTAGCAAACGGATCGCCTTCTTCTACTACTACCGCCTTGCGCCTAACGCCCCTCTTTTCCCGCGACGCTTTGCTCCCTAAGAACCCGCCCTTAGGCCCGCCTGTATCCTTCCCGTCCAGCGTGGCCCATAGCTCCTCGGGGAACAGGGCGCGGACGTACTCGTGCTTGCGGGCCTTGAGGTCGGGCAGGGTGCGCGTCTCGTCGGCGAACTTGTGGCTGTACATGGGCACGGCTTGGAAGGGGTCTAGGGTGGCGCGGTTCTTGACGGCGTAGCGCGCGTTGATTTGCGGCTGGCCGTAGGCGCGGCGCACGGGATCGGCGGGCTTGGATGATGCTAGATCGCCGGTCGTGCTGGCTAGGTGGCGGTGGGTGTAGAAGGGGGTGCTGTGGAAGGCGCGTCGGAAGGCGACGAAGGAGGCTATGGCGCGGGCTTCGGAGTCGTCGAGGGGGGGGGCGATAGGAGGGTTGTAGGATTTCTAAGGGGGGGATTGCGATGTTAATATTGTTTGCTTGGACATTGAGCCTTGGTAGGTAGGTAGGTAGGTAGATAGGTAGATAGGGCGAAGGTGTTGGCATACCGGATATGTGTCTTGGGGCTTCTCATTGAACATCAGACCAGGCTCGTCGGCGCCAGGCATTCCTTGAGGCGCGGCCTTGCGACCTGCTGCGAAGCCACCACGGCCACCGCGGCCGCCTCGACCTCCTCTACCACCGCGACCTGACATTTTGGGGCATTAAGCGGCCTCTTCTTTAGAGACTTTGTTTGTTGGATACAGCTTGTTGTCGGGAGTGAGTTGCGAAATTGTGACTTATTTTAAAAAGGATGAATTTAGAGTCAAGCTTTCAAAATTTCGGCGGGGACTTGGTGGAGACTGTGGGGACATACATTAGGAGGTACCTGGTATCAATGTATTGTACTGTGGATTAGCTGTGCCATAGATCTTCCCCGCGCCGGATGTACCTATGCACATGCATAGGTCCAGCCACGATAGCCCCGCCCCCACTATAGCTTTCCTTTCAGATCCGACCTTCCTGCCTTTTAGTCTTTACAAGATCCATCTTCATCCCTGAAAGCCAACTTTGTTAATACTACCTTACATACGCGTCGTTTGCCTGCCTGGACTTACACGACACTCATACATCTACCGGCGGAGGTCCATCACTTATCGGGCTTCACGATGAGCCGGATCGCCGTCAAAATGAATACAGATATGATCCCAGTCACCGGTGTTGAGGAATTAGAAAAGCATCTAGATGAGCTCATCGCAGATCCGAATCTGGAACCAACTCTTAAGCTGTTCGACGATGTGGAGCTCCAGCTTACTGGTAGGCTTACCCGGCTAGAATTAACTAGCTACCTGTTTTATATAGTTAAATAGGTAACTGCCTGGGCATTGATATTAACACTTCTTTGATAGACGCCAACATCCCGCCTCTTATTCCAAGGCTTCTACCAAAAATCACCGAGGTCCTTAAGCAGTACCAGCAGGATCCCAAAATTCTATGTAGCTTAGCCATCAAGCTCCTTGGCCCCCTCACCTTCACTCAGATACTATCTTTAGCTTCGGAAGAGGCTATAATACAAGCTCTACGGTCTCCCGCTCCGTCAGCAAACATTCTTGCCATGACCGTGCTTGAAAAGGCCACCAAGTCACCAGGCGACGCCGCTATTCTAGCTAGAATGAACGGTATAGCTACAAACTTCCTAATACAGTGGTTGAGCGCACCGCAAGTTGAAGTCGGCGAGAAGGGTACCAGAGTCTTAGGCGATCTTCTGGATGTTGACTGCGATATTCGACCATCCGATGGCTTATCAGTTAATGGCATGGAGATCACAGTCAGAAAACCGCCCGGCCAAGGGCTATTGTGGCGAAGGATTTTCTATGACCGCGACGTATATGAACTCATATTGTCGCTTTGTGCAAATCATCCTCTCGGTATCCAACAGCAGTCGCTCGCCCAAGGTCGTCTTCTCCGCGTTTTACCTCGTCTAGCGGCTCTGAACTTCCGTGCTGTCACTTGGTCCGATTTTACCGACTTGAACCAGAAATACGCCAAGTTTGACGGAAATGGGGGATTACTACATTTTGCTGCCCTGTCGATGATTGATAAAGAGGATATGTTGGTGCATCTCAATCTCATTGATTTCTTCGAAGCCCTTCTGAGCATTCAGCGGGTCACACCATTTTCTACCTACAAGATTGATACGCTGAAAAGTCTTGTAAGAGATGCTACTGCGCAGGATAATGCTTTGAAGGCGGCAATCCTCACCTTGCCCGAACGAACTGTGCCCGAAGAAGCTGATGACCTCCGTCAGTTCATCCGAGAGATCCTGAATCATTAGTAATAGCTGAAGAATCCATACACTCAGCCATCTGTTGCTTCTAGCATTCGGGAGTCGGCTTGAGGGAATACACGTATGCGACCAAACCAGACCAACTACGTAAGCCCCCGTGCGCTATTGCTCCTGACGTATTGTACAGAACCAAGCCTGATAGACTGTCTAGTGTTTCGAGTTCATAGCACCCCATATTTAAAAAATCAAGGATGGTGGATGCCGGGAGTGATGGATATAGTTTATTGCGTATATCACTCAATATCCCACAGTTGGCCTACTGAATAGGGAATACGATATCGTGAACGGTGCAATGATATCGGATTGCCAAGAACTTTTGTACTCTTTTACCATTGGCCTAGCCCACGTATGAGTCCGAAATATTCATGTGCCCTGTTAGCTCCGGCAGCCTATTCCACACATTTCGATTGTTATGTCCCGGCTCTTAATAAAGGGCAGACGGCCAGTATACCCCTTTACATTAGCCATAATGGTTGCATCTATCCATCGACCCACCGGTGGCGGCCTCCTATAATATTCCAGATCCCCTAGACTTCTCATGCAGAACTCTCGTTCTTCTTCGTTTGCTGATTCGTAAGAAAATACCAGCGCAGCTGTGTATTCGACGGCGAGCGGTATCTTCGCACTCATCCAGAAGTACGACATCCATATTCGTTTACTGTATTCCCTGCACCGCTTCATCACGCTCGGGTTGTAGTTTTCTAAGACAAGGTCCGCCTCTTGCCGAGTTAGATGGGTAATGATGCTGTACATGGCGTGAGTATAGAATAGCTTCGCCGTGTCGATGTCGCGAAACTGGTAGCACGTTGGGAATAAGTCCGGGTTTAACATATTCTCTACCTCGGTTATATCCCCTGTCTCCATCAGTGATCGCAGTGTTGTTTCGTTCTCGTGCTCGAGGTACTCGATTACCGGTGCGGCTCGAAGTACGAGTTCGGCTGCGGTCATAGTATCCGTAGGGTCTTGACATAGCGTGCGGACGAGTCTTACTAGGGTCGGCCAAGTCGTCATCTCAACCCATAGATGGTACATGGCCTTAAGAATGGGCCGCGTTGTGTTAAAGTCTATCGCTTGCCTGAAAGCCGTTGCCCATTCCGGGTGCATGAATGCGCAGTCTCTCCCCAGACGTACATCTTCTTGGAGCTAATTGGTTCCTATTAGTGGTTGCAATCTGATATGCTGCCAAAATCTTGGCTTACCATATTGAAAAAGCTGTCGAAGGTGGCGTGAAGCCCTAATTCATCGAAGCTTTGCCAGTGGCCGCCTCTACTGACGACGGCGGTTAGTCCAGCAGCGTGACGCTCTTGGTTTGCGCCCCGTTCGAAGTCGTATGTGAGCTAGTTCACAACTATTAGATATATTTCCATAATTATCTCTCTATGCACACTCTTAGGTAAAGGTAAACTCACCTCGAGCTTCTGCAACAACCATTGGGCCGCTATTGTGTCTGTCACCAAGTCTTGCCCCGGTTCTTGAAGGGCTTTTCTCAGACTCCCTAACGCTTGTGTATGTAGCCGTAAATCTAGCCACGCTTCCGGTGGTAGCGTACCCCGTTGACTATTAGCCCAAGCTGCGACAACTAATTTGACCGTGTCTCGCAATACTGCGCTTTCTGATCCTAGTCTCTGCGGTATCATCCACACTGAAGGGCCCCATATCAGCATATCACGGCCCGTCCCGGACGCAGACTCTAAGCAATACACTAATTGGGCTGCGAGTCGATCCGAAGCACCCATGGCTGGGCACGGTGTCGGCGATGGTGTAGGGGATGGCGTTGGCCTACTACATTTGGCGTTCCTGGAGTGATGTGGGCGTGTAAGCCGCATCCGGTGGAATGTGCCGGGACCCATGGCGGCGGTATACTCCTTCATGTCGACGATCAATGTGCCATTTGGGTTAACTTCTCGTGGCCGTTGGCTTTGAATCTGACCACAGTTATCGGAGGTTTTGCTGGCGCCATCCGAGTTGGTTACTTCATTGTGACAACCGTTGACCACGAACTTGTAGTTGTTCCGTGCCCCGGAACAGACCTTGCCGGCTCTAGCACATGCGCCGCACGTTGGCCAGTTCTCATCACACTATTCAGAAATTACAACTCTGGCCGGTGGTGATAGGGGGAAGCGGAGCAAGTCCAGACGGCTTACCTTCGTCTTTCGCAGTTTGCAAAACGTGCAACGATTACTCTTTGGTATTCCAACCATGTTTAAAACAACTAGTTTGATTCGTTCGTGAGGATACCGGTGCACCGGTTATGCGACACACCTTAGACGATCTCTTTTGCGTTGGCGTTCGTATTGGTGCTTGCTGTAGTAGCGTAACGTTGTATCCAAGGAGATATCTCACGCCAGAATCCCAAACCCAGCGAGGTCTGTCGTTTATTAAGCACGCCGAAATACGTAGAGGGTCGAAGCAAGGTACAGCCTGATAAATTTGGGGCTCTGCAGCAACGGTATCCCCAGGCAGCGGTCAGGGTCAGGGTTGGATTCCTTTGCCCCCCCACGTACGAGTCAACCTAAGTTAAGCTCAGCTGAGCTATATTGAAACTTATTTGCTAATGATGTAAAGGAGTTTTGATGCTCGATCAACTACTCAATAGGGCCCCTTAAAGCGGTGACTATCGAGGCTTGAAGCTTCATTACTGGCTAGTCAGGGCTGAGTAATATAAAAGATGGGATGCTGAGCCTTGGACAACGGAATACCTCCGAACTATAGGGTATCACAATTAACTCCTCCTGTCGGGGAGCTGACTTGCGAGGGGAGTGTTGAAGCAGGGCTCGGCTTTCAGAAAACCACACGTTCTCACGTAATCACTCAGTTTTATATGCAGCAGTTACGGAGCTAGACTAGATAGATATCTCGCAATATGCCGTGGTAAGGCTGATTAGTCGTCCCGGCACACGGGTTCCAGCTCAGGGGTAAGCGGAAGATACTTTAGTCTGTAAACGAGAACCTCGGACATGTCCGGACTGTGGCTTTGAAGAGTAATGACCTGTACGATATCGTGAAGACGACAGGATCAGCGTAGCTAAAGATTCTAACCTAAGAGTACCTACTACCATCCACATCCAAGGGCGCAGTATGTATATGCACTAATAGCTTATTTCACCCCCCTCCTTGCAACTAGTTCTGGTCGAAGCATTCTAGAAACTGACGATATCACATCTCCATTTGCCTTCGACTTCCTGTTGGGGAAAAGACCTGCAGAACTGCCGACGGCTTAGAAGGGAGAAGCGGATTCTACTTGGGGTAGGAATTGGCCAACCAGAGGGCGAACGCAACAAGGTCCCCGAAGAGGAAATTTATACACATGCCTCGATCCCTGTGTGGCCTCCTATTGGTCCGATTGAGCAAATCATATAGCTCAAAAGACACTCGTCTCCAAGTCTTCCGCAGAATTGGAACAAGACGTATGAATAGAATTCGTGAAGGGGGACTATTGATATGATATCACAAGAGACAATTGGGTAGTTATCGTGTAGCAGCCAGGGTAAGATATGTATACATGTGTAGCACACTACTAATACACAAATAGACAAACCAACGATGAAAATTCCCTTCCCGTTTCTAGAAGATTAGCGCGGTAGACGCGCTGTCGTATTTTCTCTTCCTTGTAGAATACTCTCGGGGCTAGAGACAAATAGACGCAAAAGGAGACAAAGGATTCGGTCTTATGTCACTACGTAGAAATAACTTAGAATAGGCTATTGCTTAACTCGTCGTTCTCTATACCGCTACAGCCTACCTATAAATGTTGTGTTACCCATTATCTCTTTTGAGGGTTGCGTCGTAGCGCATCTGTCTTAGATAAACACAACACAACACAGCATAACTTCTACTAATGAACAATAGATACCTACCTCCTAGATAATTTAACCCTCCTCCAGTTCGCCGGTCAGCCCTAACGTAATCACACGTGCCTATCATTCTGCCTAAATAGAATGCCGTCTACCAATAGACAGCTCAAGTATACAGTATTTTATGTTTCCATTTCCTTCTACAAAAGAGATCTATCACTTATCATACTCGCTACCCTAGTAACTCGAGTCATGTAGGTACCTAAAGCATGAAGATAAGCAAGCAAGGAGCAACAAGGGGAGTAATACGGGATCCTATCCAATAATAATAACATCCGGAATAAGAGACTTACTTTACCTTACTTAAATCTCGGTGTCTTTTGTCCCCGGTGATTCGATCTCTAAATGCATAATTTTATAATACTGAATAACGCCCTTCGACTTCGAAATACGGACGCTCATTCGCCTATTAATACATCTACGTATATTCAAATCGCTTAGCAACCCCGCAGGGAGTAACTCGACTTGGATAAGATCCTATTTTATTTGACACGCCTCCCACGCTTTTCTATACTGCACTCCTATTTGTCTCTCTCCTAATATTTCGACATTTCGTGATATTAGATAAACCACGGTCCGCGAATATCGCAATCTCTTCTAAGTTTATGCAGTCATGCTGTTGCCTAAGGCTTTAAACCAGTCTTACCTACTAGCCATGTCTTTTTTGTAATTATCTACGTAGATAATACCTTATCAACCAAAAACAAAGTAAGCTATCGCCGAAAAAAGAAACCGAAAGGATTGTTGAGACTTATCGACTGATAAAAAACTTAGTTGAGAATCTCATATCGTCGACCTCAACGTAGATAGGGATACACGGATAATGTAAGCATCTCGGACCCCGTAGACGACGCGATGTCACACAAGATTCTTTCGCCGATAGCGACGGCGCGAATGATGAGGTATATGAACATAAATTGATAAGCAGTATCTAATATAGAATACCTAAATTCAAGTTACTTCCGTAATCCTTAACCGCGCGGAAGAATTCAGTATGTTCTCTGTGTAACTTATAGCCCCTTTTCGCTCTCCGCGCCGCCCTTGCTTGCCTCACTCTCCTCTTAACTCCGCACATCTATTTAGAACCAGGTCGTGCTTTAATACGATGGAGTACATCCCATGACGCACCTAATACCATGCTAGCTAAGAAAAGAACAGAAGAGCCCGTAACTTAATAATCCTAGGTTAATAGGGAATACCTCCCTAGTATACATATAGACATACCAGCAACGGATATATATCGTCTAGAACCGACCAGGGGCAACGATCCAATCGGCAGGCAGATGGCTTCCAAGACAGGAACTAGGTTAGAAGGCTTACTAGAGGCGTCATCAGCTTCGCGCGGGAGCAGACAAAGCTTGCTTAGAGAACTTCTGTGACGTGCAGGATGCATATCGTCCCAGATAGATAGATAGATACCTTACCTGCCTAGATATTACACATCTAACCTTGGCGCCTGGGCATGTACGATCTGAATATTACATGCGCCAGAAACAAACCACCAGGAGACGAAACAGGCTATCTCTGTAAACATGGATTTCCAATTTGGGAACTTAATTGCGGCGGCTTACGGTCAGTCTACCTTAAGTCAGGTAGGTAGCTAAGACTCGACATGCTTAGACATGAGGCCTCACTCATCAATCTCATCCACTTCGGCGGGGCAAAACGGGTTTAAAATTGTACAATACGAAACACCACTGCTAAGACAACGTGCGTATATACGTATAGTGCCTACATACGCAAAACACCAAGAAGAAACAAAATTGTATCTATCATACAAGAGCGTAACTTGCTTGTAATGGACCCTCCCGCCCAACCGAACACCGGATGTGACCGTAGTCTTCTATTAATCGTGTCTATTTTTGTTCCAATGCCCCTTTTATGACAAATCAATACTCGCGACGGCCTCGCTTCCGTCGCGCTCTGGGAAGTGCCGAATGACCGTTAGTAACTAGCGTCGTGATAGAATCGGCCCGTCATCTCACGCCCTTAAGCCACCCATACCAACCTCGCCGACTTCTAACTCCGTAGTTGGCGTCTCCCCGCCGATAGCAACGCTGGCAACACTTTCTCGCCGGCCACCGGACATTCCCTCGATCCCGAGACCTACTTCGCCAACCTTTCTCAGGACAGCGAGCAGAGCAACTCTCAGATCGGCACTGAGTTCTTTGCCCAACAACTCAATGAATAAGGGATAGAACGAAGGGATGTGCTCGACAAACTCCTTTTCCGGCCATGTTGAGTAGCCCTCCAGCACATCAACGACGACTGGACGCCAGGCGACAATGTTTCGTTGCTGCGATTCTTCTTCCAGCGCTAAGTAACCCCTAATGACGTCTTTGCAGAGGGGTACTAAGGCCTTCTCGACTTCGGGTCGACTCTCTGCGCGCGACGGCGACGTATCGGCAAACATCCTGAATAAGATCTGGATATAAGTGGCAGCTGAGCCACTCTCCTGCTTCAGGAGGTTGGGCGGTTGCTTCATGAAACCCTCCCGCCATAGGCGCATGCGTAAGTCCTTATCCTCGTTGAACCGCCTAGCGAAAAGGAATGATTTCTTAAGGAGCGCCATTAAACGCAATAACTCTCTAGATGGTATCTGAGAGTAGACGGTGTCATTGGAAAAGAGTTCATTAACCGTCTCAATCATGAGGAGTTGCAGAACGCAGCGGGATATGATACGGTTAAAGAAGCGCCGTCGAGCCGCCGTTACCACTACGGGCTGCTGCTGGAGTGAAGAAGCAGGTTTATAATCTTCAAGACGGGACGAAGCATTGCCATTCGGCGAACGTAGGGAGTCTTCGGCATGGGAGGGTAGAGTAGTAGCATCTGAAGCAGATTCGATTCCAGATGAAATGCTACCCTTATCTGTGCCATTAATCTTCAGCGACTTTTCGTCTGTGGGTGAGTCACTCGTAGGCGTAAGAGGCACTTCGAAACCCAGTACATTGGGAGGTGGCGACAGCGCAGATGGGGCGTTAATAGTGGTAGCTGAGAATAACTGGTAGGCCGTTGTCCTCTCGAACAGCTCGCAGAATGATCCGACGATCTGAGCCCAATGACTATCGGTGAACTTCGTCACATTCTGTAGGATTAATTGCTGGAGACAATTGCTGCCTATCCTGGCGATCGTATCGTTTTCTTGGCATATGCAAAGCGCTAGCAGCTCGAGGAAGCGATCCAACATGTACTCGAGGGCATCGAAGTAGTGTGTAAAGAGGATGATCATGTTACGAAGTGCCTGAATCATGGTAGTCGAAAGCCACACAGACAGTTCCTCGTGGTTAAGAGCATTGGTCATTTCCGGTCTCGACCGTAGTACCATGAAGATCGGGTATAGCTGCTGTCTCCATAATATATCCCAGAAATCAGACGGGAAATCACCACCGTACCGTAGTAAGGCCTCAAAGAAATAATTCAGGGCATTTGATCTTACTTCTAAGTCTTCCCCTGTCATCAGGACGTCGTGGAATGCGAACAAAACCGGAAACCAGAAGCCCTCTTCGATTGAAGTACCGCCCTGTTGCCTAGACACAGTGCTGGGCGACTCTAGCGGACTACCATCTGATGCAGGTGTTTGGTTAGACTTTTGTGACAGTGGGCATTCGGGAGTTTTGAGCATTTTTGGTATTATCGACTTAAGCGTCTCCATTGCTTGAAGGCTCTTTTTCTGGAATTTGATGTTCTTCGAGAATTCAGTAAGACAAACTATCAAGTCTGTAAAGGCTCCTTGAGAGATGACAACACCGAACCGAGTCTTATAAACAAGGGTAACGTTTTCGTAAGCCAGGTTTACGATAGTCTCGTTAGGATCCCGCGCTGCAACAGTAAAGACACCGAACATGGTCCTCCAACCAGACCGAATGTTCTCACCTCGGGCTTGGATCATCTGGACCAAGCAACGTAGAGCCATATCTTTAACAGTCAAGTTGTTTGAATTGGCGATAACATGCTCAAATGGCTTTAGGAAGTCCTTCTGGAACTTGAAACCTGGAAGCTCTTCAAGCTCCATGAAACGCATTGACAGCTGCCGTAGCGAGTCGAGCGCAAAGTACACGATCGCTGTATTGTTGTGGCACCCCACCTTGTTGAAATGCTCGCCAAGAACCACCCAGATATTAGTCCACTCGAAACGGACACGGGTCATGTTGTAGTAACTGATTTCGACGATCTTTTGCAAACTGTACGTTCGCGGGGAGTCGTTAGAACCTGATACTTTAATTTCGTCCCAGCTCACCTCGGTGAGAGCCTTGGCGAAGTGGACAATGGCCTCGCCATTTAGATTTGCGGTATGGCTGAAAATCCGGTCTACGCTCTTAATGACATCGTCTGATCTGCTCTCGAGCGCGATTTCCATGGAAAAGCCTCTCGCCCCAGGGTTAGACCTATTTCGGCGTCGGGCAGAGGCCGTCGATTTACGAGAGTCGTTTGTATTTGTTCTCTCAGGTGGCATGAAGCGCGCTTTGGATACATCGGGGATGGCACCTTCATCGACACCACCGGTAATGAGCTGTAACCGATCCAGCTGACTTATGCACATGAGGATATCCTTCCAAGACTCCTTCAGATAGTTACCTTCTGTCTGTCCGAGCTCCAGGATGACTCGCAATGCCTCTACATTTTTGGCGAGAATCTGTTGAGGATTGTTCAGGTTAGTGGCGTTCTTCAGCGCCGACATGAAGGCTTCCCGCGCAGTTGCCAGATCAAAAAGGCATGCGATCTTTATGGCTTGCTTCATCCCTTCCAAGCATAATTTATTTACTTCTAAATTTTGCGCCTTCTGCATTTGGTTTGAGAAGGCAGAGAAGAAGGACATCCAGGTCACATCAAACATGGGTCCAACGTGCCTAAAAGACGTCGCTGGGATGAACTTGACTCCGGCCTTTGCGGCGTTCTTCCGTTGGTTTTTGAACAAGTTCTTGAAAAGCTGCTCTGAGCGAAGTGCGATTTCCTCAGATTGCTGAACATATGCTTCTCGCTGTAGATCCCGACCAACATTCGAGAGAGCTTGGCCAAGTCCAGCAGCAAAACCTGATGACTGCGCAGGTAAGCTACCTGCAGCCGCGGCGGCTTCGCGCTCGCTCTTGAGAACTATCTCATTACCCGCAATCTCCTCGTATATTCCGATTAGATAATCGTCTGGCAAATCAGCATTGTCGTTAATACCCCTATTATTCTTGATGAAGTCTTCTTTGGTCATACGCCTAGCTATTTTAGTACTGTGCAAGTCTGTGTTCAACAAGATTACTGAATAAGCCAGGACGTAGGCAGTGTCCGCATTAGCAAAAGCATTTGGGTTGCCCATGACATAGCGATTAGCAAATTTCAACATGAATCGATCGATCTTCTGGGCTTCTCCAGGAAGACGGAACGACTGGAGGAATTGTCGCAAGGCATCGACGAAGCGCCTTTGAGTAAAGTCCATAGTATCGACAAAAGCATGCATAATCTCGATGTTCTTTGGCTCGCCCTCACCTAGATATTCACCAATCTGTGCCTTGTCCAGTCGATCATCTGAGATTAGAAACTTAGCTATGTCCTTGGGGCTGTCACTTTGAATAAACCCTTCCTGGATTAGAAGCTTGATTCCCCTTTTCGGCTTGAAGTTGAATTGACGGATCGCATTAGCCAGTGCTGTTTTTCGAGCCTTCTCCTTCTCTAATTGAGCCGGGTCGTCGTCAACAACGGGGGTAGAAGGGGGTAGCGGCGTTTCAAGGCGAGAGTTACTATCGGCAGCTGAGGGGTCGATGGACTCCCGGATATCGTCTACTGAAGGGCGCGTATCATTATCGCGCGATGTACCATTCACATCCGGACGACCAACAGCAGACCAATTGACAAGTGATCGTAAAGCCTCAACGAGAGAATCTAAGGCTGCCCTCTTAAGGACATATTCCCGCGGTATCTCGGGCTCGGGCTCGCTGGGAGGCACGATGTCTCTCACGTTTAGAGGTGGTGGCAATACTCCCTTTAGTTGCCAATCTGAGCCGATGTTGGGATTCGAATTCTTCTCCTCGTATAGTTGCTCCTGGGCAGCTGTGATAGATACGGGGTTGATGGCAAGCTTCGATAGATCTTCTATAATGGTCTGGAAGATATTGTCGAGATGAGAGTCGCAGTCATAGTTGAGGTATGTCTCGACTAATCCGCGAGGGTCGCCGCAAAACCTAGTGAGGATAGTGATGAAATAGATCTTCTGAGAGGGCGGCGCGGTCCGTCTAGCCAAAAGCGCCAAGTATATCTCGTTGAGAAACACCTCTATCTCTTTCTAGAATTATAATGTTAGATCGATGAAGATTAATAAACTGGATGCTAACCCTACCTTGAACGGCGCTCGCATGAATTTAAACATCAACCAAAAAATTTCGCAGCAAACCTCAAACACCTTATCAACCGAGCTGGCCCCATTTCGGGTGATGCTAAGGCAGAGGTAGAACTTGATGGCCTGTAGAAAACTGGTCGCCTCATTACTTTTTGTGTTGGTGATGGTACATAGGGGCGAAGTAAAAACGAGCATGTGGTTATTCAAAAGGGTACGGATAAGGTGGAGTGAAATAAGTTTGGATCTCATGTGTTGGCCTCGGTAATCGTAAAGCTGGTCCGGCGGTAGGACCTTAGTTGATAGGTTGCAGAAAGACCGGAAGACAAGGTATGCATCCCGGATGTAGACCTCATCTTCGGCTTCGAGGGACTCGGCAGTTTCTTCCGCCTCGGTGGCCGTGTCGCTCTGCGTCTGTTCGGAAACCCTCCTTGCCGTCTTCCTAGGCGGTTTTAACTGAGTGACCATAGTCGGGCCATCACCCAGATTTGAATCGTCAAAACTCTTTCGGTGCTCGAGGTCCTTTAAGGTCAACTTCGGCCCGCCTTCGTTCGTCGACTGAGAACGTGCGAGTTCAGGTAGGCCTTCGGTAGTCATGCCATCGGGTGTCTCCTGTTCTTCTTCGGGGGCAACGTTATTTCCATTGGCGACGGACTCTGCTTGTTCGAAGGTGACATTGCTAGAGCTGTTCTTCAACGTTCCTAGATTAATGCGAGCTTCCTTCATATGTAGTCTCGTCTTGACCCGCTCGAATACCATACCAACCATCTGGGTTAAGGTTCCTTGCGCGGCTTGCTGATTTTCTGGAATTCGCGACAGTAAAAAGACATTATATACCTGGCGCACAGCCTTCAGCAACCCGGCTCCATGCACGACGATCTTGTCGTTCAACACGGCGGCTAACAGGGCTTGGACGATATGTCGCTGGACATCAACGGGCGTGGTCTCTCCTTGAAAACAGTCGCATATCGTATCGATAGCACGATCTATCATAGTAGGCTGCTCCGTGCCATCCTCCTGCGCGCTATCCGTGGCGATGTTTACGGAGAAGTAAGAGGAAGACGTAAGTTTTTGTATGCAGTCGAGGGCGGTATTGATCAATTGACTACTTCCAGTTTTAGTAGCTAACTGTAAGGGCGCGAAGACGACATGAGGGTCAGGCAGCTGAGTTCCCTCTTCCTTAATAGCCTTGAGGGCCTTCTCGGTAAGTTCGGCGAGCTGTTTATTCCTCTGTGCTTCTTTGGATGCGGCGATGGCCTCGAGAGAGGACACCACAAAGACTAAGGAGCTCATGGTTCGCCGAGCTTAAGGAGAAGGAATAGTTGCCATTCGAGGAAGGTCGGTTAACTGAGGATAGGGGTTTAATTCGGGTTCGAGTTCGAGTTCGCGACTTGATCGTGATCCAGGGATAGATTTTAACCTAGGTTAGGTAACTTCGTATGTAGTTTCGTCAAGTCTGTCCCTTTCGACCGATCTAATACTCGCGTTTCTGGATACTCGATGTGATATATGTGATATATCTCGTCGCCTCGATCACTACAAATATATATCGCAAACTAACAACTTATACCTCAAGGGGAAAAGAAGGCGCAGTCGTAATAAATGACGAATTTCGTAGGGACTTTTATTAATTTTGGAGGTTTTTGGTCTGGCCAAGCTGGCAAAGTTCCCTGAACAAGGGTTGCTCTCCACTGTAGATTTAATTGACGACAAGGCCCAAGGTCCAAAACCGCGGCAAGGGGTGGGTGGGGAGTTCTATAGGTCCATATTCCGTACTACGAACGGATAAATCAAAAGCGGCCTTAGGTTACATGTATGTTTGGTTATGTTATGTTTAGGTAACCTGGGCGGCCTTACACGAGTACCGATCCTAGCCACAACGATCTAATTGAGCCTCAATTGAAGACTTCCCCCATCAGCCACATCTGCCTCTGCATACCTAAGTAGATAAGCCCTGATAAGCCAGCTGCTTACAATAGGTGTAAGCTTGCTCAACCATTTTACATACCTTCCTCCCTAACTTCTTACACTAGATCTCGTAATCATCTGAATCCCTTAGGCATATCGGGATTCGACTAAGACAGCCTTCCCGCAGCTTTGAAATGAAGTTTCGATTTTAAGGACTCTTTTCTTCGGTTTTATAGACACTCGTATTCCTATAATGTTGTGTATTGACGTAGGTGTTTAATAGAGAAGCTCTCTAGGATGGGTAGGTAATACATACCTAAAGATGAGGTGGATGTACTTTTTAAACTTTCACGTCTTTGACCAGAGCTCTGCTAGCTTGGCTAGCTTGCACATTTCAACCAATCAGAAATAGATCGCACGGCGGAATCCATTGGGGAGACCCATTCCCATATTCCTACGGATTCCGACGAGGATGATGTACCTATCTCTACCTCTCAATAATATCAATAGGTAATACGTATACTCGCACAGTCGTATAGAAACCAACGTTCAACAATGAGAGTATAAAATGGAATTTCTACGAGTAAATGCTATAACCTTACTCATTGATATATATTACTTACAGATGAAATATAATGTCTAATATTTACAGGTATAGTTTTAAGCAAGTAATGCATTCTAGTTGTAACTACGATGGAATAGGTAGGTATCAGGTAATCTATGCTAATAAAAGGTACCTATAGGTACCTCATATAACGCTAGTGGTTTTTGGTAGCAGTTCGGAGCTTCTCTCAACGTCCCTAGAAAGTTTTGGGGCAAGGCTGCCTTATTACTGCACCCAGTGCACCGTAGACGGACGGTACTTCCGTACTTTGCTGAGAAGGGACCCCGTCACGAAAATAATCCGCCGCCAATCAACAACTTTCACACCTCAACTTCTCAGATCTAATCTTTTTTTTTCTCTCCAACGTCCCCGTCTTGCGCCGTCTCCCTTCCCCCAAACTCCCACACCTCAACTCAATTGGACTCGGTCGATCATTCCCAGGTGCTGGCAACTTGTCTGCTCTGAGATACCCCGACCTGTCCTATTCTTTTCCTTACTTTTTTGCCTTATCGAATTGCTCCGGACTTCCTCTTTTCAATATATATTTTTATCCGGGGGAGAGTTATTTTCTTCCATTAGCAAAACAAAATGTTCGGCGCCGTGTTAAGAAGGCAAGGCCTTCTAAGGACAACAACCCTCAGATCGGGCTTCATGCCCTTGGCCAGATACTATGCATCTTTCCCACCGCACACAGTCGTCAAGATGCCCGCGCTGTCGCCCACAATGACGGCCGGTAACATTGGCGCATGGCAGAAGAAGGCCGGAGACACTATTGCCCCCGGTGACGTTCTAGTCGAGATTGAAACGGACAAGGCCCAGATGGACTTTGAGTTTCAAGAGGAGGGTGTCATCGCTAAGATTCTAAAGGACGCTGGCGAGAAAGACGTCCCCGTTGGCAACGTGCGTGACTTTTTGCGCTTCCCCATTCCACACTCCGAAATGCTGACATTGCTATTCTAGCCAATTGCTATTCTCGTCGAAGAGGGAACCGATATATCTGCCTTCGAGTCTTTCAGTCTCGAAGACGCAGGAGGTAGCGCCCCACCACCGCCAGCTAAGGAGGAAAAGAAGCCGGATGCGCCGTCTGATGCCACCTCCGCTCCGGCCCCGACGCCCGCCCAAGAACCGGAACAATACTCTTACGGAGGAAAGATCGAGCCCGCTCTTGAGCGACTGCCCAACATAACTCCAGAGGCCCAGCGACTGGCTAAGGAGAAGGGTATTGTCGTTTCTACTCTTAAGGGTACCGGCCCCGGTGGTAAGATTACGGAAGACGATGTCAAGAAGGCCACCACAGCTACCGGTTCCTCCGCCTCCCCTGCTGCCTCTTTCGAAGATATCCCCCTATCCAACATGCGAAAGACCATCGCCAAGCGCCTACAAGAGTCCTTCAGGGAGAACCCTCACTTCTTCGTCAGCACTCAGATCTCCGTTACCAAGCTTCTAAAGCTCCGACAAGCTCTAAACAGCTCCTCCGAGGGCAAGTACAAGCTGTCTGTTAATGATTTCCTTATCAAGGCTATCGCTGTCGCTTCTAAGAAGGTCCCTGCTGCCAACTCGGCCTGGACGGGCGATGCTATCCGCCAGTTCAACAGTGTCGATGTTTCCGTCGCTGTCGCTACCCCCAACGGTTTAATCACTCCCATTGTCACTGGTGTCGAGGCCCGCGGTCTAGAATCTATCTCGTCCAAGGTCAAGGAGCTCGCCAAGAAGGCCCGTGACAACAAGCTCAAGCCTGAGGAATTTCAGGGTGGTACCATTTCTATCTCCAACATGGGCATGAACGCCGCCGTCGACAACTTCACCGCCGTCATCAACCCCCCGCAGGCTACCATCCTAGCTGTCGGTACCACGAAGAAGGTTGCTATCCCCGCCGGTGAGGATGGTACCGGTGTCGAGTGGGATGACCAGATCACAGTCACTGGAAGCTTCGACCACAAGGTAGTTGACGGTGCAGTCGGCGCTGAATGGATCAAGGAATTCAAGAAGGTGGTAGAGAACCCTCTTGAGCTGCTTCTGTGAATGAACAAAAATTTACGTACCTAGGGGCGTCAGGGAAATTATTGGTCATAGACGAGGGATGAGATCCATCTGTAGCATTATGCCGCATGAACTGTAATAATACATTTTACAAAAGTGAATATTGGGAGACAAATCCGATCTCTACTATACCCTACGCAGAGAATTGTGTTTTACTGGAGAGAGGATTAGCGATTCGACTCTCTCCGACAGGGGATTAGGTAGTTACAAGGTGGAATTCCAATGAACTTATTTGATGACATTCTCAGACCAGGTTTTACTTTCCACTATGTCTCATCTGAGCATGACTATTGTCTTATACTAGTCATATCATAAGACATTTATAGAATAGCAGGTGAATGTTCAAATAAGTCGTTTTAAATTTTAACTCGCGTTATGATGCCCGGTTCGATTTTCATCGTTCTCCGACTTTCCTTTGGAGGCCTCGTCATCGCCCTCGCTCTCACTTTCGTCATCCCTGACACTTCTACTGCCTACAGGGCCCGCCCGGGATGAAATATCATCAGAGTCTGGTAATTGACTTCTCAACCCAGCGAGCACGGAACTAAGCCCGGCTCTGAGTTGAGACGTCTGTGCCTGTCCGGCACGTACTTCTAATTCCCGGATTTTATCACGGAGTTCTTTTATACTGACATCCTCTTCTTCGTCACCACCATCCTCACTGTCAATATTGCCTTCTCCCCCTTCGGAATTATTTATTTCGAGAAACTCTTCACTAAATGCCGTTGCAAATGCCTGTGCCATCCCCTTGTCTTTGATCGCGAAGACGACGTGCTCGAAACATTCCCATGAATCAGAATCCGACTCCTTTTTCTTCTCCTTCCCTTTTCTCTTCCGTTGACCATTCTCTCCTTTATTCCCATCTCTACTCCCGCTAGCCAAGACTTTCCGCCACGCTTTCGCGATCTCGCCGACCGGGTTGCCGTATGCGCCGCATCCCCATGCACCTAACACAACCCGGCGCACTCCCTTGGCGGCAAATAAACGTAGCACGGCGCGCATCTTACGCACGGCTAGTTCGCGGTCTGCGGCGCTGGCGTACCGGGCAAATCCAGAGTCTTCGTCGACCTCGATTTCAGGTATTCGCATCATAGCCGCGGACGCGACGTCGATGAACCAACGGTCGCGCTTCGATAAGAGCTCTTCCCCTTCGCCTCCCCGCCCTGCCCCTGCATCTCTCACCCCTATCTCATCTCCATCTTCGTCCTCATCATCTCTTACCTTTTCCCCGCTCCCGCTCCTCTTTTTTTTACACTGCGGCTCGCTACCAGAACCACGGAACACCAACACGTCAGGCGTAAAGACAACGCCGAGCTCGGGAAGACGGTAGAACTCGTCACGCAAAGACGGGAGAAGCGTCGAGCGCATGCATAGCGACTCTTCCTGGCTCGATGCGCCGTTTAGAAAACCACCACCTCCGGATAGTGGTGACGCCATGTTCAACACGCCAACACGGGCTGTCATGTTGGAGAGATCTCGTCGCTGTTCTGGTTCATGGCTAGGGACGAGGAGCAGTGAGTATGCCACTGCTAGGGTATCTGCGACGCGCAGCGAGATACGGGGGCCTTTGCCTTCGTCCTTCTCTCCTAGTTCTTCACCCCCGTCATGATTTCCATCCGCGGCAGGTTCCCGACTAATGCTCCGTTGCGTCCCGACTCCGAGAGCTTGAGTAGACGATGGCGGGGAAAGGGAAGGGGGATCGATAATCAGCTCCGAAGCTTCGATTCCCCGGCGAGCCCGCGGATGCGCCGCCAGCAAGGGCGGTATGACCTTATTAATAGTTGCTTTGGCCCTTTTCGCGCGGGCATCGCGACGGAAGCTAGCGGGCGGCCTACCGATCGAGGGTTCAGTTCGTCCCATTACGTATCTCGTTTAAGTTGAAAGTTTAGATGTGTAAAAGAAATTTTAGCAGAATAGATTTGCGATGGAGATATTAAGAAAGTTATGTCAGCTGACCTCACTAGATGTAGTGTTATAAAAGATGTAAATTATAAAAGATATAAACCTTATTCTGTAGCTGTTTCTTCTAAAGAAATACTGAGGACCCGGCGGGACATGGCACCCGACCGGAACCAATCGATCGGAAATTGACCGACCCGATCGGCCATCCGGGTGGATATGACGTTTATACTATGTAGGGTAAACCTTCCTTCTACTTTCCATGCTTTAGCTAGTCAGAACTACCTAATCTTAAATTAGCAATTGCTCAATAATTTCCGGTTCATTTGCTAACACGGACATATCGGGCAAAGTGTTTCTCGCTTCCCATAACTAATGTCAATACCCTCCCTTATTCATATCGTTGAATATTATTGTTGGTTTTCAGTTCCATACGTCGGTACATACCAGTTCATAACCCTCTCCCCTTTCACGTCGTTTAGGGGCGCCGTATATTTTATATAAAACTTCATTATATCCTATCATTAAGTCGCCACGAAATAATCAAGGATCACATACTCAGTATTGTTATTTTACTTTTATTTTGTATCTTCTCTAACATCATTATCTTCATCTAAGAGCTAATAAAGCGAGACAGGGGGTATCTAAAATCTTGAGTGGTTTGTTCCATACATATATACCTATATATATATATATATATATAACTATGCGCAACTTATTCCTTTATAATATGTACCGGTATCCCTTGTGCAACCGCAATGCCTCGTCGGGGGCATTCGCGTCAGATACGCGCGCCTCGTCGGGCTGTGTCTCCCAGGCGCGCTCGCCCTCTTCCAGCTTCTTGTTGAGATTTGCCAGGATGGCACGGAACGCCCAGCAACCGACGATCGTGATTCCGAACATAGCTGTGACAATACCGTAACTCTTGCGGTAACCATTATCCTTCAGGTTCCATACATAGCTACCCGCCACGTTACCCAATTGCGAGAACGCGTTGATAAGCGCGATCGCTACGGCACGCTTGGCTGGCGGTCGGGGGAATGACGAGCTGATCCACGAGTAGAAGACGATGAAGCCCGCGTAGGAGCTGGCTTGGAGGAACAGAGCCACGTATCGGGCGGCTACGTTCAGAGTTGACATGCTGATGACGAAACCGACAAGTCCACCAAGGATGGGACCGACAATATGCCAGAACTATCAACTGAGTTAGTTTTGTTTTGCTCACATAATAGTAAACTGCGATTTGCAGAATGGATATACACACCTTCTCCTGAGTTCGGTCAGCGTGCCAAGCATTCAGTAGCGAAACGATGCATGAGAAGGCCCAAGGCGGCGAGCTCATGAGTAGTGTCGGGATATCGTCGAATCCAAGCGTACCAGTAAGAGTGGGCTGTGTAAAGAGGTTAGCTAATTTGAACATTGCAATGACTTTAATGAGTCGCTACGTACGAAGAAGGCATTGAACGAAAGACCAACGACGTAGGCCGTAAAGGTAAGCATCATGAGGTAAATCTTAATATCCTTGACGGCCATAATCAAACCGTCAAAGACACCTTGATTGGCTTCATCGACATCAGCCTCGCCCACATCTTCGATCATTCTCAGCTGCGCGACCTCGAGTTCCTCGGCGGTAAACCCGCGAGAATTGTGCGGTAGATCCGGAAGAACGAAACCGGCGGCGATAGCGGTGGCCATGGTAACCGCACCCTCGATCCAGAATAGCCATCGCCAAGCGGCGTGGCCTAGAACACCATCCATATTCGACAGCACACCGGCTCCCACCAAGGCCGAGAAGGCGTTAGAGATAATGTTACCACAGAATAGAATCGCGTTCCTCGTCGTCAATTCCTTTCGTGTGTACCACTTAGACTGGATCAGGAGCGCTCCTGGAAGGAAAGCAGCCTCGACAAAACCTAAGAAGAACCGCACAAGAACCATCCCGGTGAAGTTGTTCGTATTCCCGCTGAGCGTAGAGATGAGACCCCACAGAAGCATGGCGCATGCAATGTAGAGAGACGGTCGTTGGATCCGGTTGATAAACATGTTCGATGGGACCTGCATCAAGATGTACCCGACGTATAAGATACTCAGGCAAGTCGAATATTGCGTCTATTGGTACCTAAGTTAGCATAATGATCCAGGAAGAGCCAGACACATATTGACCATAAATCGTCAATTGCGTCAAAGTGAGAACGTACATCGTCGAGACTTAGATCTTTCTGGAGTCCCTTGAGCCGCGCGGCCGCAATGTTGTTGCGATCAAGATAGTTAAGGATGTAGATGAAGACGAAGAGGGAACATCGCGCATCCAACTTGCGTAACAGCGACTTCTCTACGCGCGTACGATGCGCCGGATCCATCGAAGCGGCGGCAAGTAAGTTTCCAGGAGTAGCTACGGGTGCTGGCGTATGCTCTAGTGTTTCCACATCCTGCTTCGCCGCCAGGCCTTGAGAAGGCTGGGCTCTTGTTATCTCGTCGGCCATGATGGATATTCGTTGAAAGTAGCGATTCCCCTGGTTTCTTTATCCCAATGGCTGGTTTGAGTGTGAAGAATTTTCGGAGAAGACCCAAACAAAGGGGACTATCCAACCAACTTTAGGGAAAACCGGGAAGAATGCCAGAAGAATAACCGTCAGAGGAGATGCTGGGGAATGGCGAGGTTTTTATCTGACCAGCATCGTGGGAGCTCGCCCCGGCCAGACACGCGCTGTGGTACCACCCTCGTGTACCAACCAGCTCATGCAGTCCATGTGAGCTGCAGAAGCTTAACTAAAAGCCAAGGCAGGGGAGGGCTTGTCACTCTCCCAATCTCCGTTTCCCCATTCGAGCACCCTATAATAATGCGGGGCAAACGACGTGAGAGGAATCATAACGAGGAAAATTTTGGGGGAGACGAGGAAACGGGGCTCTTCTTCGGTGTCTTGGCGCTTGGGGTACCTATGGGGGGCATCGGGGTGTCAGGGGTGTCTGTTGAGGAGAAATAGTCTAGCCTGTCTGGTAGCCAACATCACGAACAAGGACCAGACTTGAACGCTACTAACGTATGGTTAGCTACCTACTTGATGTGGGCTCTAAGGGAAAGATATCGGTAGACAATCCTCGTCTACTACATAATTGAAGAGTTACCTAGTCGGCATGGGAACTATGTAGAAAAGAATACCAGAGGTTTGTTATTCAATATGGTGGTACGTAGATTGAGTCAGATATTGGATTGAACGAATTGTAAAAATCTATCCCGGTCAGCCCACCGCCGGGTAAATTGACGCTTGAAATAAACGGTCAGCGTTGAATAGAAGAGCACCAGTGAACGATGTGGTAATATGTCCGAGTCTCGATCTCCAGATTGTTGTTCACGGCCCAACCAGAGACCTGGGAATTCATACCTATTACCAATGAGTCGGGAAGTTCAGGAGGCGCATCATCCCCACAAAGCCATTACCTGGTCTCGTACGTTACCTAAATGACATAAATGGCCGTTTCTTAGGCCCGGGAACTTTATCTTTTTCGAGAAAAGAACTTCAGAAGGCCTCCTCGTGTGCATAAGCGCGGCTACAAAAGCGACGGCTTCACCCCCGGGTACCTCCCGCGTGACAAACTAGACGGTCTTTTACACTAGAGTTTGCGCCATCTGGGGTCTCCGAATCTAACCCCAATGGTCTCGGGAAGGGACAAAATTTTTTTTCTCTCGTACTGTTGCCAATGCTGAGTAGAAATTCATTAAATAAAACACACGCTGCTCGGCTTGGTATCGTTAGAAGCTATGTTCTACATATAAGAGTATATGACCTCTTGGAAGCCGTAAGTCTCATTAAGACTAGGGAATTTTGAATTTTAGATCGGCTCTCGCGGTGATGCCGTTCGCTAATCGCTCAAACGAGTGACCGAAGAGCGGGACCGTTCCCCCATCTTTCTCCAACTTTGACCCCCAAGATAGTCTCGCGGTGGACCTTGGCAACGCGGAGAAGAACCCAATTTGGAATCAAGGCATTGCCTTGGTATTCCAACAGTAATGAACACGAACACGTGGATATTAGACTAATGAATAATAGTATAAAGAGTATCTGGACGCGGCGACTTGGTAGTTGCGTAGACCTCCTTTTATGGGGTGCTTAATATGTATTGCTTCTCCGATATGTCCTAAGCCGCCGCGAAAGACATATGCTACTCGGTCTAAGAATTATATCGGCGTTGATATATCATACACGGGTAAGTTACCGGTAGCAAGGTTGCAAAGTCAGACGGTAACCTAGTGGGAAGCAAGTGGCACAATATGGCTCCGGCTTGTTTGTTTCTAACGGACAAGAGATTTACTCCTTTGCTCCGGTCCACGTGATAAATACCCGGCTCCGTTCTTATTTTTCTACCGGCATCGTCAACTTTAGCATCGGACCGGATGTCTGGAATCCTTAGGTAATTATCTGGAAATAAATAGAGATGAGGTTGACCAAGTCGAAGCCTGTTTTTGTTTTGCCATCTTTCCCAGTCAAGCGAATAGATTTTTAGTAACCAAGACGTTAGCATTTTGAGGTCACGATGACGTCACCAGAGATACTATATGCTGAACATATTATTAGAGATTCTGGCTTCAAGAACGTTCAAGTCTAGAATCATAAGTCCCGTGATGTTATTATAGATGAGGGATACGCGAAGGAGAAAAAATGAATAAACTCTTGTTTACACATTTATGAGTACAACGACGAGATACTCGCTGGTTCGTATTGTAACTGTAGTAAGAGGGACAATACATTGACTATCAAACTTGATCGGAGCAAATTAATCGTTTGCACGCGACCATGGGACTCACCGAATTCTTCCAGTATCTATACCGTTTCGTCGACTCCTTTCTGAACCACCTGCTCGCAAAATGTCACTTAGTAAGTATAATACCCGTTGCTCAGGTATCCTACTCCTACTCCAGCTTACTGATTCGTAACACGTAGTCCGCAAACGGGGAATATGGGTGGAAGTCCCTTGACCGCAAGGTAAGCAAGCATAACTTGATCCGACTAACTTCAAGTATACTCGTGTTAACATAACCTAAACCAGACCGGCAAGCTCATGCGCGAGCAACAACCCCTAACCAAGAAGATCAAACTGCTACTGCTCTTCAACCCACTTACCGAATGGATCGACACGACGCATCTAATGCGGCTCTGGATCCACAACAAGTCCGTCCGGAAGGGCGAGGAAGAAGGCACACCGGCCTCGCATAGTCAAATCCGGACTTTTGTCGACACGTACGGAATCAACATGTCTGACTTCGAGCCCTCGGACATCGAGCAATACCGGACTTTCGAAGACTTCTTCGTGCACACGCATCGCCTGGGATCACGACCTATTGAAGCCCCGGATGATCCCGCGGGAGCCGTCGTGGTTGCCGACTCGCGTGTCGTGGTGTACGACTCCGTAGCTGAGGCCAAGAAGCTGTGGATCAAAGGCACTGACTTCACCATCACGAATCTGGTCATGGATGTACAGCTTGGGAAGCACTTCACCGACGCAGCCGTAGCCAGTTTCCGGTTGTCGCCGCAGGACTACCATCGGTATCACTCGCCCGTAACGGGCTCTATTAAGGCCTTCCGCAGCATCCCTGGAGACTACTACCAAGTCGATCCGATCGCGCTGCAGAGCGGTGTGAACATCCTCACATCAAACGCCCGCAGTTACCTCGTTATCGAGACGGAGCAATTCGGCGACGTGCTATTCGTAGCTATCGGTGCCACTGACGTCGGAACCGTACGGTAAGTTGCATTCCTTCATACTTTTGTCCCTTGTAATACCAATGGCGTGATGCTAATATAGCAATAAATAGTATCCACGGGAAATTCCAGAAGCCTGGCACCGGGATCAAAAAGGGGGATGAAATCGGCTACTTCCAGTTCGGCGGATCTTCCATCATCGTCGCCTTCCAAAAGGGGGCGATTAGATTCGACCAGGATCTGCTGGATCTCAGTCGGCAGAAGATACAGGTTTCAGTTGAAGTCGGGATGAGCCTAGGACGGGCCAATCCCCTAAATAAGAAGTTATCTTGATATGTGTTCATGAAAATAATGCGGAGTTCAAGGATGTAAGGTTATATATAAGCGTGGGGGTATTATTCAGGTATATGTACATTAGAAAGCACAAGCACATTGAGAACAACTTGCAAATACTACGAGAAACATCCAGACTCTGGCTTTAACCTACCTCAATAAATATTTATAGGCTAAGGAAATAGCTATCCATCGTCATAACTATCACATGCTTGTTAGTTTAGAATTGTATAGTGGTCTATAATTTTGATGGGGTATCTAGATTAAAGCTAAGCAAAAACCTAAGTAAACTCCCCTTCTCTAGGCTATTATACAAAAACTCATATACCCTTTGAATCCCAACTCCTTTGTCTCGGCCCCTTTGACTATACGCGCAGGGGCTGATGTATATCAACAAGCGGGACAATACCGGCTAGGAGTATGCGGAGAAGCTGGGGAAGCTCTGTCGGCACTGCGATCGGAGTTGCGTTGGCTGCAGGATTCCCATATTAGGTATTCCCTGCGCAATCTTCCATCTTCGACATAATACTTATAGAGGCGTCGCTGGACCTCTCCCCGCTTCACCTCCACTCGGCTATCCGAGGCTTCCGTCTCATCAGATCAATACGGAACAGATATTCGGTTATCCTAGGTACCTATATAGAACTGCGACCACCCTCGATATAGCCTTAGACCATTGTAGAACTGACCAAAATATTTCACAAGTAATTAGCTATGCCTCATAAAGAAGAAGCATACACCGAATTCACTCCGGAATTATACCCGCCATTTCCTTCAGATGTGCCCACGGTCTCGCTAGAGACAATCACCCTATCTAAGCTCTTCAATGGCGACGACGTCGAGCAGGATCGCGTGTTCGAGGCATGTGTCGGACGCGGCTTTTTCTACTTAGAGCTGGACGGCTGCACTACGGGGGACACCATCCGCCGGGGTGCTGAGCAGATTGCGCTGGCGGGAGAGCGTGTATTCCAGATGCCACTAGCTGAAAAGATGGATTACAAGATGGCGAAGTCTCTATTCGGCTACAAGTGGGCTGGATCAACCGTGACAGATGAGGCTGGCACTCGAGATACTGCCGAGTTTTTCAACGTGGGCAAAAATGATATGATTGTGCCGAACGACCGTATGAGCCGCCCATGGCCGCCCGCTATCTTGGACGCAAAGCCTCTTTTTGCCGACTATATCAAGAGCGCGCATTCCGTTGGGATGATGATCATGACTATCCTTGCGAAGAGGCTCGGCATTGATCCGTCTGAGCTCATGAACCGCCACAGAATAGAAGAACCCTCCGGAGACCATGTCCGTATCACCAGGGGCCCGCCCCGAGAAACGGATGAGATGCCCGAGGTTCAGACACCCTCGCACACCGACTTCGGGACGTAAGTAATTGCTCGGTTGTTTCTTGTACGGCCATTGCTGATCTCGAGTCACGCAGGATTACCATCTTGATGAATTGGCTGGGCGGACTCCAGGTCTGGTCCGAGTCGGCGAGGAAGGCACGGCTTAGCAACGGCCAGCCAGACGTGCCGGGTGAATGGCTCTGGGTTAAGCCAAAAAGAGGTTGCGCCATAATTAATCTGGGCGATGCAGCTGTCAGATTCACGAACGGCGTGCTATGTTCCGGGCGCCATCGAGTGATCCCATCTCCTGGATCCCAGGGCCGATATCCGCGTTATAGCATCGTCTATTTCGTCCGACCAGAAGACAAGTGTGTCATGAAGACAATTAAAGGGAAGGGTATCCCGGATGAAGCAAAAGAAGATGAGGATGAAGGACTAACAGCCCATGAGTGGATATTTAGACAGTCGGCAGCGCTGGGAAACCGCTTCGATAATTGATAACAGGAATAAGATATGGTTGAGCCACAACGTTTTGTTTTTGCTTCAGTCAGTCTCTTTCTAGGAAATATTTTCAAACGGTACCACGCAGCTACTCGATCCTAAATTGGTGTGCTTAACGTAGATATTACAGCAGATTATTAGCCATCATTAAATTTGGGTTGTAGGCAGTACCAACTGTGTTAGTAACATATTAGGCGTAATGTTTTCGAGTTGCCTTCATGTAAACTTGGTAGAAGACAATCGCTATGTCTAGGGGGAAGTAGGTGAGTGATGTAAAGGCCAGTGTGGTATGAAATGAGGGGCGTTTTCGTCTGCGTAAAAGCAAAAACTCCATGATATAAGGTAGGTACCTATATAATAGGTATGCGGTTGCATCTAGTCCCGTGAGTGGTTAGTAAAACACCATACGCTACAGCTTGATGAGTGACGGCATCGGCCTCTTGAATTTTTCCTATAGTAGACTTACCTACCTCTTCAGTAGGTTCAAGTATCCATAGGATGTTCGTCGCCTTGGAGGTGGCTAACATATATACAGCTGGTTGTATTCGTAACTATGTTCTCGACTCCTGTTACCATTGCGAAAAATCGGTTGCCATCATATCAGAGCCTGTAGGTACGCCCAACACAGCTTCGATATTGGTAAAATTAAAGAGGACATTCTGCATCTGGTCGTTTTATGTTAGTATACTATTACCATCGGTCTGGATATGAGTAAGTAGCTTACTGGGCTATATTCCCAATCTTGGTCCATCGCCATCATACTGTCGAAATCAAACTGTGCATTATTCGTACTGGCAGCTTCATCGGGCTGTGGGACGGTCTGTTGCTTGAGTATTTCAAAGCAGTCTTCCATTGCTTTGGTGCTAGCTGTGATGATTGAATCCACGAGGTCAGCTCGTTTCATGCCCTTCATTAACCCTTCAACATGTGTTAGTAGTGCTAACGAAAATAAATAACCTTTTACATTTGTCTCCCCAACAACGACGCGATGGTATGCCCAAGCGGTAGAATCCTTGAAAATATTAAGTAGGTCTGCTCGAGGGGTGGGCGGCCCTAGACTATCATCCTCTTGCAATTGGTTCTGCAGATCGAGGCCGATGGCCATCGATGCTTGTGAGAGGATACTACGGGCAAAGCCTGCAGCAGATGTAGTAAACCGAGCCAAGTCATCCCCATCTGGTACAATGGATATTTGTCCCAAGTCATTTATTTGAGGTTGCAGTGGCCGAGGACTAAAAGCGGCTGAAGGGAAAACGGTAGAATACAATTTCGCACTTATCTCCACTACAGTCTTTCTCGAGAAAGCGTAAGCCGGTTCACTCATAGCTGGACCAAAGTAAGGAAGATGGAGCGCCATGAAGTATCGACGCACGAGAAGATCTACAAAGCGTCGTTGAAACCCTGTCGGTTGTCGGGCACCAAGCGTAAATCGTTGGAGCTGCTGTGAGAGGGATTTATATGCGGTACTAAGTTGATTGTGAAGTCGAATAGTATCATCGAATGTGTTTTGTGTGCCGATTTCATTAAGGAGCCGGGCAATCGCTAGGCGCGCCGAAAAACTAGCACGAAGTGCTAAGACCACAGACATGTCCGTGAACTTATCTGGGGGATTAACCGCAACCGGCGTGTCATCGTCTGTCAGTTGATTATCATCGTAATTGCCCGGCGCAGAAGTATCGTACTGCTCAAGATAGATTAGAGGCGGCCCTCCAGAGTCAATGCTAGTCTGTAGCGCGATTTCGAGGATAGTATTCCACAACTGGCGGCGAATCTCGGAGCGGAAGATGCTCATCTTGGGGAGTTTATTCGGGTCTCTATGAAGGCCCATGTAGATAGCTGTGCGCATTAATTGTCCCACGTTGATCCAGACCAGATCCTGGCCCACGGACGCAGTCTCTTGCGCGAGGCAGAGAAGCAGCATGACCCGCAGGCCAGTGAGGGTCAGCCTTGTCTTAGGAACCGGAGAGATGAGCCAAGATTGTGCCTCGTATACCCATTGCATAGCTGTTTTGCGCATGGTATAGTGATCATCATAAACCGCAGCACCAATGGCCATAACGAGCTGAAGTTGAATTAGGAAGGGGAGGTCAACCGAGTCGGGCGACAACCAGAAATTATCATAGTCCTTTCTAAATGATGGGACATGTAGTATTCGGAAGACAGTTTCCGACGTTCGAAGGTATGAGTCTACAAGCTTATCCGCGACTTCTCGTGACGGTATATTAGTACCATATTTAATAACTTGTACCGGTGCCCTTTGCGCCTTAACGGTCCGAGCTAGCGCCTTGCACCGTTTTACCATCGCTATCGGCTCCGACTTCTTTTCTCGACACTGCTGGTCGAATATTTCTAATATGTACTTGAACTAATGGTGGGTAAGTGACCTGTCGATATATATATATATATATTTATATGCCTACGCCGGGACGTGATAGGAATGAGAAGGAAATGGTATGAGAGTAACGCACGCTTCCTATTTGATTCATCCAGTGGCTTTGACCTAGATACCGGGTTTTGGTCATGACACTTCTACTCATGGTGTGTAGTTCTCCTGCTAGATAACTGGGATATGTAGCTACAAAGTCCAGGTCGGTGGTGGAGGGTTGTGTGGCGTTCTTCCGATGTGCGTGATTCCCTGTAGACTCCTCTAAGCGGCGCTCAAGCTCTTTGATTCGGTCTAGTAGTGACCTAACATCGAAAGATGGTTCATGGCTTTGAGAAGAAGCTGAGTCGACAGGCGTAGAGCCATTCAAGGAAATAGTTGAGTGGTCTTCGTGTGAAGCTTCACCGTGACGTGCGTGGTTTTGGTTTAATCTACTAGTCACGGGAGAGGCGGGCGTATCAGAGTCAACGGCAGACAAGGGATCGGCAGGGTGATGTGGGCCGATTGCAGAAGAAGATACCTCCGAATGCCGGCCTTGAGGCTCATAAACACAGGTCCTATGTTTGGAGCGAACGCAAGCACTACAAGGTAAATTGCGGTCACAGCGGATTTTGGACCTTCGGCAGCTAACGCATGAAAGAGCCGGGCGGCGGCGGCGACGGTCTGTCTTGAGGCTCTGCGCCTCCTCCATGACGAGCCTATGGTGGTACAATGCCTAGAAATTGAGGAAGTGCTTAAATGATGTGGTTTAGTTTTGATCTAATCTAATCAATCAGTAGTGAGTTGAATCAGGGACAAATCCGACTGATGTTGAGAATCGGCCGAAGTAAACATAATCCCCGAAACGGCTTATCCGTATCAGAGTCATCCTTTAAATGCATTATGGCGGATATCTACCGCTTTAGTACATAATAAAAATGCTGCTGCCGTGTCATATTAGGTTATCCAATAAAACTTACACCGAGTCTTGGCATGAATTCACCGAGTAAGTCTCATACAAAAGTATCGGAATACTCTCAACACTTGTTCTTCTTATTTTGATTGACAATATAATGCTTCATGGAGCCTGCAATCAGAAAGGCTCTCGTTAACTAGATGAATCGATGGTGATTATCAGTGCTCCTGATTATATATACGTCGAGAAAGGCTCGCTACTTAATGTCTATATGCCTAGGTACCTAGGTTATGATCGGGATTCCAAAGCCCCAAGGGCAGATAATCTTATAAACCAAATATCAAGTCCTTTCGATTATTTAGATATCATAAGCGATGCATAGATCAAACTCCCCTCGCCTGAAGAATTAAAACGTTTTATCAGTAAAATTTTATCGACTTTAATAATACCTAGTGTTATATGCTTAGACCTTCATGTTTGGTAAGCTGAGCAAATGGGTTAGAATACCCCAAATTTCAATTGACATCTCTCTTCTTGTGCGACCGAAGTATTACGCCGTGAAATCAAGCGGATTATGTGTGCACCAAACATACCCAGGTATATATTTAAATAACCATAAATAGGGGTTAGGGGAACTGATCCTTAAGAGCTGCTAAAATATAATATAACAAGGGAAAGCGCGCATGAGAATATAGCTTGTCATAGATAAGAAGTAGAAAAAACTTAGAATTATTGAAGTATTATTATAGCAAGGAGGTGTGGTGGTTAGAAATACCGGTCTAGGTTATATTCAGTGAACGTGAACGTAGTTGCCGTGCAATGTTGTGAAAACAAATGCACAAACTACCTCAACGTATATCGCTATTTCCTATTTCAACAGTTATCGTACCTGACCTTCTTAAACATAATATTATCAGGCAACAACCTAGATTTCATTTTACTCCTTTCTACCATCCTATCCTCCAACTTCAAACCAAACTTGTTATATTCATCCGTCTTGACTTTCACATCTATCAATATCCATCTAGAAACATTCCTTGCCTAACTGACAGTCACGTTAGCACGTCGATTCTAGATATACACTTCATTCCTTTTTTCTTTCCCTACACTTCTGCAGGCTTAAAGCATCCCTCGTCAACGCACTCTGCAACCAGTACTGCTACCCATCACCATGGCGTCAAAGGCGACATCCATCAAGGATGCCCAGTTCACTGCTCGAGATATGGAGATTCTAGGAATCGCTTGGCAGTGCTTTGAGGTAGCTCCCAAGGTAAGATTAAAACCACCTTTCCACCTTCACCTATCAAAAACTTGTCGAATATTCCAAATTACCAATCACGTACCTACTATCTTGAGACCTTCGTCTTGGGACTTTTACCTCGCACCTCGCTATTTCCTTTATGAAATATATGACCAAGCTCTTGGTACTGACTAACCGTGTCTCTGTATTTCTAGATTAACTGGGACAAGCTTGCCAAGCTTGCGCCTTTCAAGAACGCCTCAACTGCCCGCGCTTGTTTCGGACCCATCAAGAAAAAGCTCGCCTTAGCCTCAGGAGAATCGACCACAGCCAACACCAGCGAGCCTAGCACACCTACCAAAGGCGGCAAAAAGCGCAAGGCCAACACCGAGAAGACCCCTGGTTCCGGCAAGAAGACCAAGACCTCTAGAAAGGCTCTTCCTAAGTATGAGGACGACGACGATGAAGATGAAGACGAGACCAATGCCAAGATCAAAGCCGATATCAAGGCTAAGGAAGCAGAAGAGGAGGAGGATGATGCTGATGCTAATGCTTTGGTGTAATCGCATCATCGCAGGTAACAACACTGTTTATCGGCCAGACCTCATATGCTATCACGATGACTCGACAATGAAGGCCCGCCTTCCTTCTTCATCTTCGGGATAGTACACTCATTTCAACTATCGTTAATGTTCCGTTTCCATTTTCCGATAGCTCGCTTGACGCGATATAGCATCATCTCTCGTCGCCCGATATATGGATGGACGATATCGTGGAGGACTTTCGCTGGGTTATCATGATACGAATGCGCGATGAATTATTTCGTTTGAATTGCACGAGGTTAGATAGTTGATCCATAGGCAACCAAATTTCAACGTCTGATTTATAACCGTACCAAGTAATGACCATACGAAGTAAATACCAAGGGAATAGGTATCAAGTGATTTTTGAAGCGGCTAACCTTTGAACTTACCCAAGTATTTCTTAATATTTATTAGGTAAACTCAATTCTAGCTCATACCTCATGTATGCAGCCGTTCTACCCGCTGCAGCTCGCGTGGTACAATAAAATCTCCACCGCGTGACCGCATGAGGAGTCTGGATCTCGCGTTTCGGTGGGCTGCAGACGCATGGCTGATTTAGGGTTTTATCCATCCTATGAAATATGTAACCATTGAACCTTTTTTCTGTCGTTGGACAAGGATAGTTAAACAGAAAAGGGTTTAACCATTAACCATTGAGTTTCTCTTTCCTTTTCTTCTTCTAAATTTATAAGATGGTAAGCACAACAACATATATCGACTAAGAAGAAGAAGTTGCTGCCTTTTAGCTACTCAAATGCTCCTGCGACATGTATGGAACTCCCCCCCCGCTGTATCCACTTTGTTGTCTTACGGAACCCTTGGAACAGTACAAAAGTACATACTTTGGTGTCATTCTTTTGTCAATGGACCAATTAAATAAATGTCATTTTTCCCTTCCTACTTTTTCTCGCATATCATCCATCATGTCTCCAATATCCCCATATTGATTCTACCTTTAGCAGCTCCAGTTCTATGTATAATGTAGATCATCTAGCCTTCTTCTAATCTGCATTCTCCCGGTTTTCTTGTTGACCTGTTGGTCCCTAAAGCCAATTAGATCGCTCTAGTGATAATCTCTTTACTACCTCCTGTCGGCCTGTTACGTCGCAAACACACCACGGCTGGATCGTAAACCGAGGCACAGTTTCTCTTAACAATCTCATAATTCTAGGCTGCCAAAGTCGCAAGTAATAGGAAGCTGCCTCATTTGATGTCCCTAGGTTAGTTAGTATCTAACAGTTGAAGTTGAGAGTATGTCGCCGTCAAGACTACCTCCTCCTATCGCGACTGGTCGACCCTATCCTCACGACCATGTTCCACCGACTCCGAGTGGCCTTCGCCATAGTCGCACCGTCTCATCCTCTTCAACAAGTGACAACTTAGAAGGGATAAATCATGCAGGTCCTAGCTCGCGCCGCGATCACTCTTATGACGATACCAACGAGTCCACTTCTCTCCTACACCACGAACGCGCACATGATGGTTCTTGCGACCACGGCACATTCTCTCCTCGTGTATCCAGCCCGCCACCAACAGTCGGTAATATTGATGGCGAGACAGGGTCTGTGGCGGATTCAGACGGTTCTGTACCGTCTAGTGAGACGCAGCTTAAGAACTGGAGAAAGACATTTTCGAATAGGGTAAAGAGCAAAAAGATGACAAATTCCAGCACATTGGCACAACAACATGGCGTTAAGGACTCGTGGGTGATGTATTTATCATACTATGTGCCCTTCTTCATATGGATCAAGCAGTATAAGTGGTCGTGGCTGAAAGGCGATTTGACAGCCGCTATCACCATCGCGTCTATGTACCTCCCTATGGCTCTTTCGTATGCCGATAACCTGGCACACGTTCCTCCGATCAATGGCCTATATGCCTTCGCTATCAACCCCTTCGTATACGCGCTACTAGGAAGTTGCCCGCTGATGGTGGTCGGGCCGGAGGCAGCTGGTTCCCTACTTGTCGGATCTATTGTCAAGAATAGTATTGACCTTGGAGGGGGCGACGAAGACAATGCCATTCTACAAGCGAGAGTGGCTGGTGTGGCCGTCGGTATAGCTGGTGCAACAGTCTTCTTAATGGGTGTATTTCGCTTAGGATTTCTCGATAGCGTCTTGAGCCGACCATTCCTACGAGGCTTCATTTCCGCCATTGGCGTGGTTATCTTTATCGACCAATTGATTCCCGTCTTAGGACTTAACCACGCAGCTAAAGCAGCGCCGGGAATTGCGCACGGAAGCACCATGCAGAAGCTCAAGTTTGTAGTCACACACCTTGGCGATAGGCACGAGCTTACTGCTATTGTCGGTATTGTAGGGTTTGTTGTCATTATGGTATTGCGGTAAGTTCGGGACTACTCTACTGTCTTTGGAATCTAACTTGGCTGATCATGTGTGCAGGGAGGCCAAGAGACGCTTGCAACCACGATACCCAGGAGTAGCATATTTCCCTGATAGACTTATTGTAGTCGTATCCTCTGCAGTCATGGCTTGGCATCTGGGCTGGGAACAAAATGGTGTTCCAGTATTGGGCAAGGTCGAAGCAGCGTCTGGTCACGTCTTCACTTTTCATAACCCATTCCAATTATCGCATATGTCCCACATCCGAGAGGCTATGGGCACGTCCTTCTTGATTGGCATGCTTGGTTTCTTCGAGTCTTCGGTTGCAGCCAAGAGTCTAGGAGGCGAAGAAATCATCGAAGGGATGCAGTTGAGTCCTAATCGAGAACTCGTGGCTCTCGGAGCAGCTAACCTCGTCGGTGCGTGCTTTATGGCCATCCCGGCATTTGGAGGTTACGGTCGAAGCAAGGTCAATAAGAGTACAGGCGGGAAGAGTCCCATGAGCTCCATTATACTCAGCGTCCTTACTGTCATATGTATCCTATTCCTTTTACCGTGGTTCTATTACCTTCCTGTGAGTGACCCACCTTGGTACTCTATCAGTTGGCCTCCTTTGAGCTTCTGCTACAAGTACTTGCTATGTTAATACCAAACTAACTACGGAGCAGAAACCCGTCCTATCTGCTCTGATCATGGCGGTTGCCTGGTCTTTAATCGAAGAAGCGCCGCATGACATATATTTTTTCTTTCGGATCAAGGGTTGGACTGAGCTTGCCCTCATGGCTGTCATCTTATTCGTCACGGTCCTCTTTTCTCTCAATCTAGGCATTGCGATTGGCATTGGCCTGTCCCTTTTGCAAGTCATCCGTCATGCAACACGCCCTCGTATACAAATTCTGGGTAGGATCCCTAACAGTGATCGCTTCGCTAATGCCGAAGAGCACCCCCAGGATCTCGAGTTTGTAGAGGGATGTCTGATTGTGAAGATTCCCGAGCCCTTGACATTTGCAAATACAGGCGAGTTGAAGAATAGGCTACGACGGCTCGAGCTGTACGGTACGGGAAATGCACATCCAGCGTTGCCGCGTCTTCGTCCACAGGCCAGCAACAAAAATGTCATCTTTGATATCCACGGGGTCACCTCAATGGATGGTTCTGGTACTCAGGTACTGGAGGAGATAGTGCGCAATTATCGAAACCGGGGCGTTAGGGTGTTCTTCAGCCGACCTGTCAGCCGACAGAACGAAGTGTGGCAATTAATGGAACGAAGTGGCATTGTCGACCTCGTTGGGAGACACCGCTTCGTCGACGACATAGGAGAAGCCATACGCATGACTGAAGTAGAGGATTTTGAGGAAATAGGCGCTTGCGCGGCTGCGAACGATGTTCCCTCTTAGATGAAGAAGGGGCACATTTCTTGAGGGATGAAGCCGAACCATTGCCTCGATACGGATTGTCGGTTACTAGCATATCATCTATGAGCATTTGAGAATATCCCGGATGCTGTTCCCAATCAGCGACATACGACCATTTACTCTTGCAACGTATACCCCTACCGAATAGTAGGAAGTAGCCAATCATTCCGGGCTATTTGCAGGCCGGCCCTGGATTCGGAAACGGCCAGTTCATGATAAATATTGCATGGCACTTTAAAGCACTCAACAGCATTCTCAGGTGGCGTTTTGGATATTCAGATTTGTAGAAAAGCACAGCGGGAGTCCTGCTTGATTATTTTATGTTGACGTTAGCCACGAACCACAAGTCCCTATGAGCTCCATGCCGTGAGACGATGATATGTGACGCTGGCTATAGATTTAGATTAAACTTGCTCTACTCGATATCATACTTCATAGCCGACCAGAAACATTGATAGAGTAGTGGCTGGGGGTGTTGTAGCTATGCTTAATAGTAGGTATTTATCATCAAATATTCTACATTACTTTCATTACCACAGAACTCTCGTAGCCACCTCGATATTATATGACGTTACAAATCTGGTTCAGGATAACAGTTTCCCCTTCACTTTTACAGTTATGGGATCACAATCCACCGCTTAAGGGTTTGGATTATCATCCGAAGTAGGTATTTCATGGCATTCTAGCGGTAGAACCGTACTACCAACCGCTATAAGCCTAGTTCTGTAAGTGGTTAAATCTCCGTTAGTGAATCAGTGCCCGAAATCAGCATGATCCCATTACTTACTCGTTCCCGTCATCGTCCTCGCAATCCCACTGCTGCTCGATAAACAACTCATTCAAGCGCCTATCGAACTTAAACCCGGTCTTCGGATGCGCCTCAGGCGGAATCAAGTCATCGCGGTAGCTAATCAATCGCCCCGTTATATTATACTGACGACCGTCGTCCCGATGACCCACGGGTTACCGGCTTGCACCCGAGCGCCGAATTTGAAATCTCGCACTTCCCACTCGCTGAAATTATATGCTGCTAAGCAATCGGCTTCTGGTAGGCGGTGCGCAACTTCTGGGTACGCCGCGATGGTCATGTTGTCCCCCTCGGTGCCTGTGAAATGGCCCTCGGGCGTGTCGACGAGCCCGATTAGCAGGCGGCCATCGCCTGTGGCGAGAACGTTTGCGAGACGGTTGTGCGGGTCGTTTCAACATCGCCGCGGTCGCATATATACGTGTGGTTGACGCTGAGGTAGTCGTTAGACGAGAAGTCGAAGAAGACAGCGAACCTGGGGTCCTCGGTATTATCTTTATCGCCGTCGCATGGTGTCCATCCGCTGTTGTCGTCGCCCTTGCGCGTCCCGTGGCATGGCGCTGAGTACCCGCTGAAATTGGCCTGGAGCTCGAAGGTGAAGACTTCGGTGCTGTCGGCGTATGTTGTGCTGTGTCAGTTCCGGATCAGGAAGTGCTTATATCCGTCTTGTGTGCAGGGCGGATACGTGGTGTTTGGATTCTGCCTTTGGGTTTGGATGGAAGAGGCTGCTGCGGCGGCGCACTGCCAGGAGAGCAACGCGGTGAGCCCTGGTACCCCCTTCATTGTTCTCTTGGGTTGGCAATGTGGTTATTCTATAGGTAGGCATGTAGGTAAATTCTTGTCTACTGCGTATCTAAGCCATAGGCGACTTGCAATCCTGTCTTATGCATCGTGTGTATCGTTTGATGCGGAGCTTGCACGTCCAATACTCTAGACTAGCATCGCATAGATATACGGAGGTCTATCAAGGACATAAATCATCGTATGGTCTGCGAACTTGTTGTCTTGTTTCGTTAGATGGTAGCTATCGCGTTTGATCTTCTAAAAGTCTTTATTTCTAAGAACGTAATATAGTTAATATGAATTGTTCCTTAGCTTTCATTATGCTACTTTTACGACGTCGCTAGAAATGGAACTGGTTGATTCAATAAGAACTAAAGTCTTCCTATGAGGCGCATTTTCAAGAGTATAGTCAGCCGTAGGTACCCGAGGTATTTGTTAGACTGATCGGAGAATAGGAAAATAAAATGAAGTCCGATCCTAGGGATGTTTGGTCATACTTATCGTGGGGCTTATGGTGGCTTAGTTAAGTAACAGCTATTTTCCGTTGAGGTGCGATTTGCGCTGATTACTTCCGAACTCTCCATATTCTAGCAGGAGGTCACAGAATAGTTCCAGAAGTGAACAGGGATTCAGAAAGACGGGGTAACTTTATGTGCTATCTTATCAGATGTTTTGCCCCAGGATTCTGGCTTGGGATAGGTATGACAATTTGAGGCCCATACCGTTGATAATTCCAAATAGGGGGGGGATCCTGTTATTACCTAAGATCGTGTCAGCCTTACCTATCCTTCGAAATCTGCCTTATGTGAATGTAATCTAATTAGTACGCCCACATGTGTCCGATCTACCTCCAGCAACTACACATTCGTACTCAGTCAGACATCCGAGTGTAACCCTGATCGAAACAGAAAAGTGACCATCCGATATATTGCTAATTGTGCAGGATCTTATATTCGAACGAATCATTTATAGGTACGCGCTTTTACTTGAACAAAAAGTTCCTATCGGAGATTTCATATGCAATATACCTAATATACCCTCCCAGTCACACCCAAGCGCCAGCCTGCAGAAGAATGATATAGATCAAATGCCAACTGCATATTGCTATTACAAAATACTAGAGGACCCAAGCACCTGGCGGACCCTCTAGTACAATGAAACTTTGTCTTGGTTGCGTATTAATGATTCCATAGTCCAAGGCCTTGGTAACCTATAGTCCAAAATAACAGACGTTCAGAATCAAATTTAGCGGCATCTAATTCTAGGTAACTACCTACCTATCGTGAGTTGAATAGGCACGACTTGAATAATGATTCGAAATGTTTTTAAACTACGAATAATACATATGAGGTGAGGCCTACATACGGGTAGGCATACCTACTATAAAGAGGGGTAATGGTATCTTCAAATACACATGTGTCTGATTTATCAGTTCCCATCAATATTGCATATTCACTGTTCTACGAGCTGCAGCTTCCGTCCACCGAGGGAGAGCATAGCCACTCCAAATGTGACTCTAGTGTTACATATATGAGGCATTTTCTTATATACTTTGTGTGTTATTCCTCTCACTCTGGAAAACAAGAAACTCCGAGGCATGTTAATTATTACTCTACAATGCGAACACTATTCATAACTAAACTTGACACCGTGGAACTATCCATTAAAATATCATCTTGGAACTTTACCTAGGTTCTACCGCAAGATATGAAAGACTAGCTAAGGATTTTGTTCAAATGTATATAGGTACTTGGAATTTTATTTTGATATCGAAAGGTGAATTAACCCGCATATTAGTTAGGCCTCTTCACCTCTGCCTCGGCTCACCTACTTGAGTCCATATAACGAGGCTGTGTATGGTAGCGCAGAGCCAGATCAATCTGGAATCTGACCTGCATCTCTTGGGGTATTAGTTTCGTATGATGCTCACCATTAAGCTGAAAGAGTCTGTCGTCAGTTATACCGAATCCTATTAGCAGTTGCTTATAGTTGTTTTTATGTTGGGAAACATGTTAGGTAGAACGCTCCTTTTCATACCAAGGCTGTGTTTATACGCTTTACCATAGAAATGGGAGTACTACATCAATATTAAATATAATGGCCACGATATTTGTTCGCCCCTATTCTTGATATGTAAAGTACTACCTAAGGTAACTACTTGACAAAAACTTTCGTACAAACCGTGATAGGGATCTAGATGCTATGCTACTATCCCTTAGTACCGCCGCTTTCATATTGACTTGATGTAGAGATAGCATAGACCCCTTTCTGGGTCGTTTTCATAAGGCGTAATAATTAAATTAGTTTAATGTCTAGTACTCTGAAATCTCCCTTACTGACTTCAAACTTTCTTCGGTATAATTCGATCAAGCGATTTTCGTACCGAGCTTCTTATGCCTTCCGAGTCTGCCTTGCGAGGACGAGCGTATCTTAACTGACACAAGACAGCCCCTTGGGTTTGTGAATCACAAGCTATCTTCTCACTTACCTGATTAGTAGCGTGCCGTGAAGGATGTCTTACGATGCATCACATCGTAATTTAAGCAACATGCTGGTGTGATAGTTGTTGATTCCTAGAAAGACAAGAATCCCGACACGCCTGCTGTTGGACTATTGAATTGGCCTGAACAAGTTTAGACTGGCGCTGACGAGACATTGGAATCGGAAAGGCTTAGTTTTTCTAGTGAAGACTTGGGTATCTTATCCACTCTGTCTGCAAAGTATAATGCCCGTGTAGCTACCTTTTTGCGGGTTTGTACTTGGTTAGGGGCATACGTGGTTTATAACGAGTGGTACATAGGGGCCACTATTCAAAACGTAGTAGTTATTTATACCTATGCCACTAATACTTATCAAGTTACTCGAACACTTTATAGACACCTCTAGTAAAATATTCAAAAGTTGTTGATTGATGCATTAGATAGAGAGCAAACTATATTTACGGGCGGTATGAATTGTGCATTACCCAGATTTTGTTTCAATAAGCCACATGGCCACAAAAACAAGATTCGTCTGGATTTTGAGATGATAAAGAAGCGGTTATATGCGTCATGCCAAATAAACCATCTAAGCCAGGTGTTAATGCCACGCTTGGTATTGTTTGTCTAAAAGCTAGGCGTTCTTGGTTGCTACCTATGAGTTGACTCCGCCCTTTTGTTGGCGTGTCAGATCATCAACAAACAGTCGACTAAAGCAAGGGAACGTGTTCGTGATGATTCGTGATGATACCTAAGATAGTAAGTAGTAAGAATAATCAAACCACGTATCTCTCTCATGGTTTAATGCTAGATCGTTAGTTGGAATTAGTTTAGTTCGGTATAGGTATTTGGTATCGCTGTCGTTGTTAGTATAATTGAATGGGTTCCCACATGTGATTGGCTAAAGGCGAATTTCGCTCATGAATCGCGATATTTTTCGAAGAAACTCGGCCAAGGGTCCGGCTTTTAGATTCAAATCACACTAACTAGGAATCTAGATTGGGCAATGCAGTAAGGCCAATAAAGAGAGGGAATATAGAGCAGATAGAGTTAGGTATGTTTAATGTGCGTATCGCCCAACTTTTAATTGGTCAGAGCGGGATCTAAACATCTACACAGCCTCACTCGGCCCTCTCTTGGCATAAGGAGGAACGTCAGAAATTTCTCCTCTCTTCGTAGTTAATCCTTTCAACCGTCGTATTGGTACCTAATCTTTTAAATCTTTTAAATCTTTTATTCACTAGAAGAGGAGGTCGCATGTATGTCTACATACATAGTACTACCATGTTTTGGATGTCATCATCTGGTTGCCAATAGCACTAGGTAATTCCTACCCTCCGTCGCTAAACCGTCATAGTCAGTCTCTGAGGAGATGGGAATGGGCTTTTATTTATGTTCAAGCAAAAGCGGCCTCCAACACAGCATTTTGCCTCTTACTGCGTCAGATGCCTAACATAGCCTTCTTCATTACACGTTTGAGACAGAATTTGATAACTGCGCCCGAATCTAGATGGTATGAACAGGCTCTCAACATTTAAAAGAGTCGCGTCTTTCTTTCTCCCAACGCGTACTATCTATCAAGCACCTAACCCAGTATATCATAACCGAGATCAAGCTGCGGTCTGCATTACGACGGGCCCACCATCCAAGTTACCAAATATTGGTACCTTTAAACCGGCACTTTCGCCATCGCAATACTCCGCTTGCACAGCCTGCCCAAGAACTCCTTGCCATCTAGGATAGCCCGCCACCTAGTTTAGCTTGAGGCAACATACCACGACACCCTGTCTTTCGGCCTCAGTAAAAGTGGAAATTTCATAATTCCATACGGTGAGCCTCGACAGCGTCAGCATGTGCCTTTCCTAGACCTCACCTCACAGGCCGTTTTTTCTTATATGATACTCTCTCACCGACCGGCTCGTTCTTGAAACCCTACGTGATCATCATACTTCATCATATCTTAGGAATAATACCTAGTATTACTATCTCAACCCATGATCTACTTCATATTTATTCATCTATCAAGATAAGACCAGCAACTACCTACACATATTCATAACAATGGCGAGCAATAGTTTAGCGCCGCCAACGCTGGCGATCGATACACGAACGCGTCCAAGGAGCGATACTAATGAAACCAGGGTGGTGACGCCTGCTGGTTCCTTTGTCTCTAATATTTCCAACATATCGAATCCTTTTCTAACGCCAGCTCACTCTAACCCTTTCCAAACACCAGTCCCGTCCGACTGTGGAGCAAGTGTGTTATCGGTGGACCCCGAAGCAGCTCTCCGTCCAGATCCCGGCTCGGAGGCGGATTTCCATGTCGAAAATAACCCGTTTGCTTTCAGCCCGGGTCAGTTAAACAAACTTCAAAATCCAAAATCTTTACCCGCATTTCAGGCGCTGGGCGGCATCTCCGGAATAGCACGTGGACTGCAGTCCGATATTAATGCCGGCCTAAGTGTCGACGAGGCAACAGTACGAAAATCTATCACGTTTGAGCAGGCCGTGAGGAGGACGTCAGATAAATTTATAGAGACGCCGGAGCGGACACCTCAACCCGGATCTGACCCCTTCGTTGACCGAGCAAGAGTCTTTGGCAAGAATATTTTACCAGCGAAGAAAGCCACGCCGATATGGATACTCATGTGGAACGCCTATAACGATAGGGTCATCATCCTATTAACGGTAGCCGCAATAATATCACTAGCACTTGGCCTTTACGAAACTTTCGGGACGACCCCTGAACCAGGAGGACCACCATCTGTAGACTGGGTTGAAGGCGTCGCAATCATTATTGCTATACTTATCGTTACGCTTGTAGGCTCGCTCAACGACTGGCAGAAGGAACGCGCTTTCGTCAGACTTAACGCCAAGAAAGAAGACCGCGAGATTAAAGTTGTTCGTTCTGGGAAGTCATTCATGATTAATGTTCACGACGTCCTGGTTGGAGATGTCCTGCACCTGGAACCCGGCGATCTCGTTCCTGTCGACGGAATTTACATTAACGGTCACGGCTTGAAGTGCGATGAATCTTCAGCGACAGGTGAATCCGACGCAATTAAAAAGGTACCCGGTGGGCAAGTTATGAAAATGCTGGAATCAGGCGCGAGTCAAAAAGATCTCGACCCCTTCATTATTTCAGGATCCAAGGTCCTTGAAGGTGTCGGCACGTTCCTCTGCACTTCTGTCGGCGTCCACTCAAGCTTCGGAAAGATTATGATGTCTGTTCGAACAGATATCGAAGCAACCCCCCTTCAGAAGAAACTCGAAAGACTCGCCGTTGCTATCGCAAAACTAGGTAGTACAGCAGCTGGTCTTCTCTTCTTCGTCCTACTATTTCGTTTCCTCGGCGGCCTCTCAACGGACACGCGTTCTAGCTCGGGGAAGGCCTCCGCCTTTTTGGACATCCTAATCGTGGCCGTGACCATCATCGTTGTGGCTGTACCTGAAGGGTTGCCCCTGGCGGTTACTTTGGCGCTGGCCTTCGCCACCACTCAATTACTGAAGGAAAACAACCTCGTCCGTGTGCTACGCGCCTGCGAAACGATGGGCAACGCCACCGCAATTTGTTCCGATAAAACGGGAACATTGACAACCAACAAAATGACAGTTGTCGCGGGAACATTCGGCCAATCAAGCTTTGCCAAATCTGAAAATGAGAAGCCCGGTATCCAGAGCATCTCCCAATGGGCGACCGGCCTTAGTCAAAAAACCAAGGACGCTATTGTGCAATCAGTGGCTATTAACTCCACCGCCTTTGAGGGCGAGGAAGATGGTCAATTCGCTTTTATTGGCTCCAAGACTGAGACAGCACTGCTCCAGCTAGCAAGGGACTACCTTGGGATGCAGTCATTGGCTGAGACCCGCAACAACGAACAGGCAATTCAAATGATGCCTTTTGACTCAGCTAAGAAGTGCATGGGCGCAGTCATCAAGCTACGAGATGGTTCTGGATATAGGCTCTTAGTGAAAGGAGCTTCGGAAATCCTCTTAAATTATTGCAGCGCAAAGGCAGATATTCAGTCTCTTGCTACAAGCGAATTTTCAAATGACGATCGTGATGGCATAACATCTATCATTGATTCTTATGCTAAGGGATCGCTGAGGACTATCGGCATCGTATACAAAGACTTTGAGAGTTGGCCACCTACCGACGCCGAGATAGAAGATGGCCACGTAAAATTCAGCTCAGTACTAAAGAACCTCGTTTGGTTTGGTTTAGTTGGTATCCAGGATCCTGTGAGACCAGGTGTCCCCGAAGCGGTTCGAAAAGCTCAACTTGCTGGCGTTGTGGTTCGCATGGTCACCGGAGATAACGCTGTCACTGCTCAGGCTATCGCAGCCGAATGTGGTATTTACACCGATGGCATTATCATGGAAGGCCCTGATTTCAGGAGACTCAGCCAAGATGAGATGGATGCCAAACTGCCCAAACTACAAGTACTTGCGCGCTCGTCACCTGAGGATAAGAGGATTCTAGTCGCGAGACTCAAGGCTCTTGGAGAAACAGTAGCTGTTACTGGAGACGGCACCAACGACGCTCCAGCTCTTAAGACTGCCGATGTCGGGTTTTCGATGGGCATCTGTGGAACTGAGGTGGCTAAGGAGGCTTCGGAAATTGTGCTGATGGACGATAACTTCGCTTCTATTCTTACTGCTCTCAAATGGGGACGAGCAGTTAACGACTCCGTCCAGAAGTTTCTTCAGGTGAGTTTCAGATCAACATAACACAAGCAACTATCTTTATAATGATACTAACCATTTTCCAGTTTCAAATTACCGTCAATATCACCGCCGTCCTTCTTGCCTTCATATCTGCCGTTGCCGACCCCGACATGCATTCCGTACTTACTGCCGTGCAGTTACTCTGGGTAAACCTCATCATGGATACCTTTGCAGCCCTCGCACTCGCAACAGACCCTCCAACCGAAAAAGTTCTTGATCGCAAACCCCAACCGAAGAGTGCACCCCTCATCACAACCAATATGTGGAAAATGATTGTCGGACAGGCGATTTACCAGCTCATCATTACATTAATTCTACACTTCGCCGGTGCTTCCATCCTGGGCTATGATCCCAATAACCAAACCCAGAAGACTGAGCTCAACACTATGGTCTTCAACACGTTCGTATGGATGCAAATATTCAACGAGTTTAACAACCGACGCCTGGATAACAAGTTGAACATCTTCGAAGGTGTACTTCGCAACAAATTCTTCATTGTAATCAACTTTATTATGGTGGGCGCTCAGGTTGCCATTGTCTTCGTGGGAGGCGCTGCGTTCGAAATCACTGCTATCAACGGCGTGCAATGGGCTATCTGCCTGATTGCAGCAGCCATTTCACTCCCGTGGGCTATTGTTATACGACTATTCCCAGACGCCCTTTTCGCCAGAATCACTGAGATCGTAACCGCACCTGTCGTCGCTGTATATAAGCTTCTGGTTAGATTCTTTTCCAAGATCGGCGCTGTCTTTAGCAGGATGTGGAAGTCGAAGAAGACGGAATCGTCATCGGAAGAAGAGCAAGAAAATGATACAACTCGAGAGAAAGACGCAGCTCCCGAGATCGTGGTTTCCGATGGCGTTCTCTCGAATAATAACCCGGAAATACAAATAATAGAGGATCTAGAACAGGGGCGAAGATAAAACATAGGTATATACCTATGTATGGTTTTTATTTGTATATTAGATAGAACATTTGACATTTAGCGACGAGTTTTGGATTTATGTTAATGCATTTACGCAACTAAGCGGATGAACTTCAAATATGGACATTGAATTAGGCATGGTGAATGGGATCTAGTAAATTAGAATGCGCCATAGGGTTAGCAATTATTTACCACATGTATAAAACTAGTTAAAATCATGGACCTTGTAGAGAAAAGAGAAAAGAAGGTAGTTCTATTGTCCTTCACGTTTTCAGCCCACACATGTGCCCGCCCTCAACTAAACATACTTAAGCTTTCTAGTGTTTATATTTGACGAGATGCTTACTTGGGATATAAATGTTGAATATTAAGTATGTGGTACTCATCTGGTAACCAAGGGGACAGAATTTGTTATACCCGAGCTTCATGCTAACATCGTACCTATGTACCTCTAGCATGTGTGTACCTCATTAAAGATACCTAGGTACTAACTAACCTAAAAGCAAAACAACATTCTGCATTCAATCGGTTCCTGAATCACTGCGATGCGTACCTAGGTATCTACTTCTATTTCTTTTCCTACCGAAAAATAAATCAATTGATCTTGGTACGTACCCCTTACCAAGATCTAGATCAATTCAATTAATCTGCATCCAACATCTGGGGAACCCTGCTCACCAAAAAAGATACTATTTTTGGAAGGTGGGTCCCACGTTCAACCAATCATTGCACAGTTACACAAACAAATGATTCAAGGGTTTACATTAGGTAATCAAACAAACCAACCTTCGCAACGACTTCTTGTCTTGTATTACACACACAATCATATCTAATTCATGAGTCACGGCTTTGAAATAAATATCGAAGTGAGCTGTTTAGATAGTTTAAAGTTGAAATATATTTATCGATCTAAGATTAAATTCGAAAATACATCGGTGGAAATCATGATTAAAGTCAACCCGGGCCCCTAATGTAACGCCTACCTACTGATAACTCAATATTGGAATCAAAGACTTTAGCGATGATGTATTATATGTTAGATGGAAACTGATGTTTGATTTTTTTCTAGAATATCAGCTAATAGCTTTCTAACAATTGATCTTAATTTCCCTGTAAAAAAAATAATTAAAGTAAGCTAGGAATTAGGTACATCTCTCCTGAAGCAACCGTTGCCCCGTGTAAAATAATTACAGCTGTAGACTAATCACTTGCAAAAGTTGTTTGCCTGTTGTCGTGTGTCTCACAGCCTTAATAGTGGAAGATGCACAGACGAAATTCGTAAACTGCAGTAACGACCTGCTTGAGATGTACCTAATTGAGTACCTTGTTGATTCAACTCATGATACCTGAGGTACACATGAAAACTTGAGCATCGTACCTTCCTCTTTCCTAATTTCAGAATTTATCAGTTGCCAAAGTACCAATGTTACGACTGATTATTCCCACAATCACTGGCGCAAACTTCCTCTATTTAATTCTACAGACCTGCCACTCAAATTGGTTTTTTTCCCTCTTCCTTCTTTTCTTTCTACAAGTGCAACAATCGTTCTCATCTTCGACTTCGACCTCGACTTCGACTTTGACATACACGTATCGTTACCTAGTTACACTATTCGTCTACACATTGATTCATTGGTCTATTGATCCTTCGATCCAAGCAATTATTCAATACATCAATCAATCAATTCACTCGACTATCGATTCATCAATTGATTCATCCTATCGTCTCAACTATTGACTTTAGTTGACTCATTGATTTATCTATCTATTACCACCAACCTTATCCTCCTTATCCTCTCTCCCCTTACCATATTCACCTCACTCCTCTACTCATCCTTCTATTATTACATTGATTGACCAAGTCTTTCATCATGTACGCCATCACTATTCTCGTCCCCTTCCTTCTGGCCCTCGACGCCATGTTCGCCGCCCCCTTTGGAGGAGCTATCGGCATTCTTATGATCTCTTGTCTTTCTGGTTATGATGACAGCGATCCCTCTGCCAATGTCCTCGCCCTTTCGGCAAACACTCTCACGGCCATTTGCGTGAAGTACGGCTTCGGAGGAGGTGTTCTCCGGGAGATCCACGGCATCGCGCTCATGTGCGCATGCAAAGATTCTTGGGGCGACACGTATCCCAGCGCGATTACCGTGGCAACGATCATGATAATGCATAAGTTTCTCACCTGCGACAAGCATATGTTTTATCTTGATCTTGTCATGATGGTCTGCGCTGCAACCCCCTCTCTTCGTCGCATCCCTCTTCAGGTAATTATCATCCTAACCCTTATACTGGCCTCCTAATTTTAACGTGTTTTATTATAGGTCCTCTCCGTGGTTCTCACCCTAGCCTACCGCACATATTTACTCATGCGCCATTTCTTGGCTTCCGTTCTGCGCGTTACTGTGTCTATCCTAAAGCTCCCTCTTACTCTCTGGCGTCAGTTATGTCCAGTTCTAAGAAAGCCCAAGATGGTTCACGCTAGCACGCAGACGGAAATTCACAGCCAACCTCTACCTCTACCTCAATTGGCCATAACTGCGATCATGACTGTCACAGACGTGCCCCCTATTACCCCTCCTGAGCCCCCCATGCCTACACCCATAGTCTATTCTCACGAGTCCGTTCTGGAGATCTTTCGAAAGGTCAAGCCGAGAATTACATTTCTTCGAAGATCATCGTTTATTAGAGAAGAGGTTACGGGAACAGGGTTTGTCGAGGAGATACTACAGGCTTCAGGTCAGACGATCTCTTCACGTGAATACCTTAGGAGTAAATGGGCTCTTGCCAAGCAATCTAGCAAGCCCAAGCCGACTGAAGGCACACCTAAGTCTAAAGAGCCCGTCAGCGACCAACCTATTACCCAGCTGCCTATTATTGACCAGTCTGCTATCGACCAGCCTGCCACCGACCAGCCTGCCATTGACCAGTCCGCCATCGACCAGTCCGCCATCGAGATGCCTGCCATCGACCAGCCTGCCGTCGACCAGCCTGCCATCGAGATGCCTACCCCTGAGGAGTCTGCCCCTGAGTCTGCCCCGGAGAAGCTCAGTCATGAGATGCTTTCTATCGAGACGCTTCCTACTCAAGTTTCTCCCTTTGAACAACCCGCCGGCGAGAAACCTCTAGATACCCAGCCTGCTGTAGAGCAGCTGGTCATTGAGCAAGCTGTTGCTGCTGAGGAACACAGTGCTGAAAGCTTCTCCACCGACGACCCTGCTACCGTCGAGCAGCCTCCCGCAGAGCAGCAATCCATTGTGGGGGCCATTACTAGCGAACCTATCTCCCAGTCTCCCGAAATTCAGGAGATGCCTCTCGCCGAGCAGCTTCTTGAGATGCACTCCAAGGAGATGCCCGCTATTTCGGAGACTTTTAAGGAGGAACCTTCGGCCGAGCAATATGCAATCGAACAGCTTGGCGAGAATATTACTGCGGAGGAACCTGCTACTGAACAGCCTTCACACGATGAGCAACCAAGTGATGAGATGGCCGAATGGGGACAGATTATGGACAACATACTAGAAGATATGCTAGCCGAGAGTAATCAGTTCAGCAGTGAGCAGATTGTTACCCATGAGCCTCATATCATCCACGCGCCAGCAGAGTTCGATTTCAATATACAATTTCCGGAGAACCCTATTGGCATGGAACAAGCTGTCGAAAATGGCCATATTTTCGACAGTGAACAACCTACTCTAACCCAACCCACCCCCGTGTTCACCTTTAACACCGAGCCGTCAACCGAAGCCGGACAATCTGCCTCTACTTTTAACTTCGGCGCTGGAGAATTTACACCCACATTCTCTTTCGCCAATGAGCAGCCCGCAGAAGTTGAACAGCCCGCCGCCATCTTTAATTTCGGTGCAGAACAGTTTATTCAGCCCGAACAACATACACCTATACCCTCCTTCCTTAACGAGCAGCCAACTCAGGCTCCACAGCCAATGCCTGTGCTGTCTTTCGGTAATGAGCAGTTCACAGAAGCTGAACAGCCTACCTTTAGTTTTAATTTCAGCAGTGGACAATCCGCACCTGTCCCCCATTTCGGCAACGAGCAGTCCACGGAAGCTGGACAGCCCACCTCTATCTTCAACTTCGGTGGCGAACAATCTACACCGACGTTTTCTTATAGCAACGAGGATCCTATAGAACCCGAACAATATGCTTCAATGTCCTGTTCCCACAAAGAATTCACTCATATCGGACAACTTGCCTTCCCGAAGCCGCTCCATAATAGCTCACAGAATACTGCTCAAGAAGCAGGCACCGAGGAACCTGTGGCCCTTAACGCTGAGCAGGGCCAAGCTAACTGGGACTCCTCGTATCAGCAAAATTGGCAGATTAATGCAAATGAGCTGATGAATTATGATCACTCAGCTTCAATGGGATAGAACCCCCAGACTGATGATCAAATTCAAGAGGAAATGGATGTCGAGACTGACGAAGTTGATGCTGGTGAAATCGCCGCTGCTGAAGCAGGTCCAGAGACAATGGAGCAAGAAATCGAGGAAGATCCTCTTCTAAAACTGATGGAAGAGACGCTGGAGGAAGAGCTGGTGCAGCTAGAAAATACCAATCTTGGGAGTGATCAAAACGCTGAACAGGAGGAACCTATGGGAGACGCACCAGAAATCGATATCCAGGAAGAGCAAGATATTCCGGATGAACTTATGACGGAAGCTCCATCCACAGAGATTGGACCTACACACAACCAGTCTGTTCTTGATACTCCTTCTGTCCCAAGTTATACTCCGACTAACACCACCACAGCCATACATACACCCATGCCTTTCTCCATCACGAACCATAGCCTACCCGACATCACCTTTACCGATACACCTACATCCACTTTTAACCCTACCTACAATATAGGTATTTCAAGCCAGACTACTATCGTCCCGCCAAGCAACCCCAATGCGGGAAACGAAGAACTGGTATTTGAAACACCTGGGCCGATATTTGAAGCACCTATGGTTGCTAGCGGTTCCGACATGGAAGATATATCTATGGAAGAGGATCCCTTCGTCGAGGCTTCTGTACATAAGACGTCGCCTGTTCAACAGCAACCTCCAGCTCCAGCCTTCTCTACCATTCCTACAGCTTGGCTACTTCCATCAAAGCCGCGGGAGGTGGCCAAATTAGACCTTAGCGTCCTCAAGAAGACTCTCAAGAGCAATATGGAAGAGCGCTCAAAAGAAAGCATCATGGGACGAGGCGGGAAGCAGAGGGCTTTCGACCAAGCAGCTGTGAAGGGGGCCCTCCTCCCTGACACCTACTACACGATAGGTGACGATGGCTTGCCTCATAAGGAGACCGATGGGCTTCCATTTACAGAGTCGGATGATGAGCGTTTGAGTGTCATGATGGACACGTTAGACACAGCAAGCAAGCACAACCGAGACGAGCAGAACAAGAAGAATCTTATGGTCGCGGAGGCTGAGAAGAAGTTGAAGGAGGAGTGGCAAAAGAAGAAGAACGATGCAGACTTCCAATCACTAATGAAATTAAAGAAGCGACCTGCCAACCCGTTAATCGCTCCGAAGAGACCGAAGAAGCCGGTGGATAAAAAGTAGACTACTCCCGGAACCCTGGTAATGCACAGTTACACTTAGTCCCAACTCCAACCCAACAGCTTTGCAGTGGTAAGAACTCATTTCCTTCATTCGGCATAATCCCCCTTGCACCCCATGGCCATCCTTCGCCGGATTGGCGTGAGCCCTGCCTCGCAAGCGGGCTATCATGTATCATGCATTTATGGGGTGCATGTGCCAATCGTTGATTGGTGTTTGTTTATGGGAATATGCTGTCTGGAGGATGAGATCTTCACTCGGGGCTTTGGGTCTGGCTTAGGGTCTTTGTACTAATTGACATTACTGGGGGGATGGAGAGTAGCCTTGCTGCTTAACACCGGTTCTCTTTCCTCCTTGGAGTGGGATGACGAGAAGATGGGTTGTTATCTTTGTTTTATTTTTGCCTGGGAGAAAGCCGCGGGCTTAGACTATTGCATTCCCTCCTTCTCTTCTTCTCACCTTCTCTACCTATCACCTTCTCTTCTTCTCACCTTCTTGCGGGTCTCTAGACTCTACCTCATCATATCCGTCGCTTGGCCTCCATATATCTACAAAGTATGCAAGGTAAGTGCTGGAAATACTAAACTCGGGACGAAGTGAATCTAACAGGTAATCATAGATATCTCATTCCCTAAGATACTGGTATTCGGTTACCTACTTTTATGGCAGGGCCAAGAGGCATATCCTTCCAACCAGACATTACCTGTGTACCAGGAGCTTGCTAGCTTCGGGAATGACTCTCGTACTGTAAATTCGACAAGGAAGATCGAGAAACTTGTCGATACAGTGAGATTGCCGAGGGTAGGATTCCTCAAAAAAGAATTAAAAAAAAAAAAAAAAAATTAAAAATTAAAAAAAAAAAAAATTTAAAAAAAAAAAATTAAAAAAAAAATAAAAAAGAAAATAAACTAAAATAAACCAAAATAAAATAAACTAAACTAAACTAAAATAAGCCTGCGACGTGGTACATTCAACTTCCAGTTACCACAAGAAGCTCAAGGCTATGGCGCAGGCACAGTCTTCACTCAAGAAAACAAGACAGCAAAACGCACAGAAAGCCAGAGATGCCAAAGCAAAGAAAACAGAGGTACTCATAATCACCGCATCGATTCCAAATGGGTACTAAAGAAGAAGTACCTATCCAGCGGAGAGTTGGACAAATTCAAGCCACGCATTTGTACACGAGGCTTCACTCAACGCAAAAGTATAAACTATAATAAAACGAAGGCAACAACAGCCAGGGCAGCCTCATGGAGGATACTAATGGCGCTATCTGCACCATTGAAGTGGTATATGGTGCAGATTGATTTTATAGCGACATACCTCAATAGAGACCTAACTGAGGACATTTATATAAAGCAATTCCGATGCTGAAAGAATATTTCGACGCACACCTAGACGAGAGGGAAGAACTAGGCTTCGATGAATCGAAAATCATCAAGCTGATGAACCCCCTGTACTGATTAAAACAATTTGGCGCTACGTGGCAAAAGAAAGTTCGAGGGATACTCAAAGGATTGGGATACCTACCGTTGGTAGCCGATGACGCCGTCTATATCAACAAGGACACTGGAAAGGAAGAAGAGAAACAAAAAAGGGGGGGATTCAACTACACATTCAGTCGACACACCCCGGCTCAAAAATATATCCGAAGCAACTCTCAAGAAAGACTCTAGCCAAAACTACTGGAAAGGCTGACATATGGCAACAGCGATGAAGAAGGCACGAACACCTACGATGCGTGGCTTTTGGAGCAGGACAACGGCGACTCATATGAGGAGCACAAAACATCGCAACCCGCTGACCAATATTTCACGACCTACGGGGGAGTCGACGGCTACCAAGTGGCAAATATCCTTGCAAACCAGGCCACATACCACGCATTTACAGGGTCTGACATGTTCGAAGGACACCTCGGACAACTGATGACTACTAAGACCCCCAAGAAATGCAGTCAGCCCCCGTCAACCTTCTACCTGGAAGACCGATATTTGCACACATTCCAGGGTATAATGCCTGACACCGGAGCCGCTGGAATATCAACGGGAGGAGAGCCCCAGATGAGAGCCTTACAACAAACACATCCGCACATCCAATTAATCAAGGTTATTGAAGGCTACCCGTTAGCAGACAGGTAGTCGCTAGAATTGAGATCAGTTGAACTCAAGTTGGTGGCATAGTAGGCCCGATGCCATTTCATACTCACGGTCCGTCTAATTATACACAAAACACTCCTTTTCTCTCCGAGATTGTTCTACCCCGAACAAAAGCTTCACAAGAAGTAATTATAACAAATCAAAAAGTAAAATCCAGTAAGTGACCTATATACATCACACTCATAGCTTTATATGGAAACTAATAATTTCAGATACTTCATATTCAAACATTAACACCACCGCATATGAATCAGAAACCTTCCTATCACCTCCTTTAGTCAAAAAGACGACATAAATACACCCTTCTACTACAATCCTACGAACTATAAATCGAGTATTTAAACAGCACAACTATTATATTCGTTACCGTATAGAGCGAGAGAAAATTGAGCTAGAACTTCGACCAGCTAAAAATATTTCAAATGAACTCAACACATTCCGGGGACATTCTTGAGTAGCAACGAAGCACTTCGAATCATTGGAAGCTCAGAGGATGGACCGGGACAATGCTAAAAGGCATGCTACGAGCTATCAAAGCCATCGGTCTCGTGTGGTTAACATAAAAAGCTCACAAAGCCGTGATTCCTCCCTTTTGGAGAGCGATCAAGGAGACCAACCCCTTTAAAGCAAGACTAGACACATTATGGAGAAAAGACACCAATACCACACATAAGGGCCTATGCAACACTCCCTAACTAGAGAAATGATGCATCACAATACCAGCACAGACCAACGACCACCTCGACCCGACCAGAGTGACATCGTCAAAGACGCCGACGCATTGCAACGCCACTTGGTGTAGATGACCTCATATGGTCTCGAGCATACTCCACTTGTTGAATGCTGGTATAGCACTGCCTACTATCTACCTATTCTACCTAAGACACAACACTCTCACCTTTATTTCCTACATCAGGCGATACTCTACCTAGCTCTGTTTCCTTCGGGAAGCACCAGTCTGCTGAAAACGGCAGAATCCGCGAAGCGGCAATGGGTGGCTCGGATTTGGAACAAGCACTCAATGACATCTTCGATGACTTCATGCAAGATCATCCAAATAAATAGGGAGGGCACGTTTACTGGGTCAAAGTTAACAGAGGCGAAAGACCACTATCATTCAGGGACAACCCGATTCGAGAAGGCTACAACTTATCTCCCTTAAACAAACAGACAAACCGGAGGATTCATTCCATTCGTGAAACCTCACTTTCGATGCACATTCTAAGGTCTCAAAATATAAAAGAACCGAAACGTCGTCTACCCCGTCTCCAATATAATTAAACTCAACGAAGTCTTCGACGACTAAAGACAGCCCCTTAGAAATCCTATGTTGATTTTCGCCAAACCTCATCACCAATTGTTGGGAACTTAGCGCCAAACTCTTCCATCGAGGTAGCCTATGGCCACTAATAGACGTAAACATTATCGTCATCATCATCGTCCGCCTAAGCGGCTTGATATAGTCTTATACTTCGAATACAGCCTTGTCGAACAGCCCATCGACAAGGAACCTCTTGCCACAGTCTACTGTGTATCAAGTCATTACTATCCAGGGACATATTACTGAAAACTCCCTAGCCGACGAACTTGTTACGTTTGTGCAGTCTACCAAGATGACAACACGGCTACCAAACGCCGGCAATATCCGGGGGGGGGGGAGGGGGTCGGCACCAAAAGACTAACGCAGCGGTAGTTGTTGTTACGACTTACAACATTAAACCAAAATGAAACGAAATAAAATTGGAATGGGATATGATCAATGCAAATGATTCGGAAGACGTTACGAGCGAATATCAACCTAACGAGTTGTTAAAAGTTATTCGAAGTTTCGACTACAAAGCAGTACCTGGTTTCTTGCAATTCTAAAAGAGTAGACTTACAACATGTGTACATTGCACGAGTATCTTATGTTAAGACATCCATAGCAACAACCCACTCTATCGACAACCCAAAGCGACAAAGCTGTCGCACCGCAGCAATATGCCACCCAAAAACGAGATCCCAAAGCAGAAGCTACTTGAAGGCTTCGCCTGGGGTACCTACCAACCCAACCCTACTCCGCTCCAGAATGTAGGAGACCTCAAGAACATCAACTTGCTACGCCAGTACGAAGCAATGACGACTGTCGAGCAGCTTGAAAGGCTGTGGAACTATCATTTTATTTGACAAAGGCAAAGGGTGCGCCGGAGAGATTTCTCATGTCAGGGGATATACTGGCTCTGCCGCGGTACTCCAGTCGTCCCACGCGCCATAGTGGCGGTTCGGGTGATTCAATGTAAATATATAATATTTATAGGCTTTTAGGCTTTTAGGTAGATAGCCTTGACGCGCCTACTAAACATTGACGAATTCATTATCATCATATTGAGTAGCTCATTATCTAGCAGTGTATTATTAAGACCAGTGACTATATGCTTGTTACAACTTTCATCATTTTCTCTAATTAATAAGTAATGGCCTGTCAGTTATTAGACACCTTTACCGATATTTCTTCATCTGAATTCCACAAGCGTCTTCATCATGACATTGTTAAAGATAAAATATAGGTAATCATGCAACTACCTAAGGTATATTCAAAGCTAGTGACAGCCAACTAGGGGCTGTCAAGAATAGGTACCCTCGTCGACGAGGGTAATAAAGGTAGTAGGTATAAGCACTCCTCATACAACCGGCCCTCTACTTATTGTAGTAACCACATAAGGGACCGTAACATCATCTCATCGTTTCTTTACCAGAATCTGGAGGGGAACGGGAAACTACCGAAGCCAATACCAATAATACCGACTTATACCGACCAATACGCCGCCGTTTATAATATCAAACTAATCGTTAGGGAAGTGGGAGGAACCCGCCTTCGCGTCCACAGTAGCAATCTAACCATTCTACCGAATTATTAGATAATCTACCAGCCTTGGCTATGTTGCTCGTGATGCTTGTGATGTTTATGATGGGTGTGATGGGTGTGATGGCCATGGTGGTGGCCGTGACTATGTTGTTCCTGGTGGCCACCGTAGTAAGAACCCCCGTGATGCGACGACCCATGATGTCCGTGACTATACCCATATCCCTGTCCCTGTCCCTGTCCATAAGCTTGATCATGGCCCTGATTCGAATGGCGCTTCTCCAGCTTGTTCTCTATTAAATTGGCTGCCACCGCACCAACGGCACTACCTAGTATGGTGCCCAGCTTGCCTTTACCGAGCTTGTGGCCAAGAAAGCCGCCGGCTCCGCCTCCCAGGAGAGTCGCGCCTAGACCACGCTCGCCGTCCTCGCCAGCTTGCGCCTGGTCGTAATTCGGGTCGCGGTCATTCTGGGCGTACGGATCCGCGGAATGAGGGCGTGATCCCGGATGACGATCATCGTTCTGTGGGTACGGAGGCGGTGCGTAGCCAGCATCCGAATGGGCGGTACCGGGTCGCGAGTGCTGAGATTGTGGTTGGTAGGGAGTAAGGTAGCCCTTCTGCGATGGGGCTGGCGACTGGGCGTAGGTGGGCTGAGCGGGGTATGGCGCTGGGGAGGGGGCACCGTTTGCGTAGTTTGGTTGAGATGGATACGGGGAATGCGAGGGCGTCTGAGCGTATTGAGGTTGTGGGGGATAAGGCGACGAGCCCCGTTGGTGTTGAGGTGGGGGATAACCACCTCCACTGTTACCATAGTAGTCTGCTGCTGACATGTTGATAGATATCGACGGCGATGTTCGCGATGTCGAAAGTGTTTTTTTTTTTCTTTTCTTTTCTTCTTAGGAATGGAGAAATATGAGTTGGAAGTAGAAATTCTAAAGCGATCTTTATACGCTAGTTATGAATAATATAGCCTTTAGGGATATGAGAGGAAGTATAGATTGTTGGATGTCTATGGTAGGAAAAGAGGAAGAGAGGAAAAGAAGAAAATGTAATAAGTTGACCGAAAACAATGAAAGTTGATAAAGCTTATTTATAAGTAAGCAGACCTTACATAGGTACCTAAGTTATATACCTAAGGGTATACTTGCCTAGGTTGTATTAAGTTGAGGCTGGTTTCATCCTTACATGTACGCATCTTACCTCCTAACCCCCTAACCCAATAAGCGTCGGCGTTGCTGACAACAGCCATCGTGATTAGGGAGGCGCAGTCAGTTCGCCTCGCAGCTGACTACTATAATGTGTACGAAGTACGCAGACGGAGCTTAGCAAACACCGGCGTCAATGCGGCTTGTAAGAAAAAGAATGCCTTGGCGGGGAAAAAGACGAAAGTAGGTCCCCGTCATATGGAGATGGAGGAAATAAGCTTCGCCTTATTAGATAATCGATACAAGATTACGTACCTACATTAAGTTTCGATTAATTTAAGCCTTGAATGAGGCTGATTTTCAAGGTTACCTACGGAGCTGTCGGCTGTCCCCTACCCCCCCCTTTTTAATCAAGTACCCCCTTGTAAGACATACCTGCACGTAAAGGCTGACAGCCGGGATGAACACGTGGGGAACTTTGTTGGTATCGTTGTAAATTTCATTATTTCGTTAATTTAGGAGGTCATACAAAATATCATTACACACTCCTACCCCAGGTACATACATACCTACATAGGTACATACCCCTTACACATCCAAGTCGTCGTTTAATACCTACCTGCACCCTCGATATACCAAGGCACTCTACGCCTAGGTTTGATCAGGGGTAAACATGACTCGTTCCTTATGTCATAACCCCCAGATAGATACGTGTATACTACTAAGAGCATTTTTGATTTGATGGTGAATCATTCAACACATGCATTCAATCGCTCCGAAGACAGCCCTACTTAGACAAGTTGGGTAGGTAGCCTACGCTTGAACAAATCCATCATCCATTCCAACATATACACCCAAACGACGTCCACCCCCAGTCATCATGCTCATAAATCTCCCGTAAATGCACCCAGTTGCTCCTGCAATCCCCAGTGTCATCTCATGAAAACACCCAGTAGCTTAATGCATCATGGTCGTGAATGCGACATCGAAAGAAAAAAAAATTACATCCTTTTTCGACAATGCGGAAAACATGTATATACGCGAGACAACCGATAAAAATGACAATCTCAGTCGCCAAGTACGCCGTATAGCGACCCCATGAAAAGGAATATTGCATTCAAACTCCGACCACTGGGCCATTCACTCTTCTATTCTGGGGAATGTGGATCTCACCCTCCGAGTCTGAGCTGTCGTCTGCCCCTACCCGGTCGAGCATCCTTTCTATGTCGTCACCCCGCAGTGCCGTTCTCGGCCGGGACGGGCCGCTTAGGCCAGCAGGGATGGATAGAGATGGTCGCGGAGCCGATCCATTCGTTCGGCGACGAGGCGTGCCTCTACTTCGTGGAGATACGTGCGGGTCATCAATATCCATCCCACCGTAGATACCCGGTGACTTCTCAAATCCTACGCGCTTGACTTGGGGCGCGTGATTATGCTGCGGCCGCGCCGTTGGTAAACTTTTGCGTCCTTGGTTCCCGGCCTCGGCTCCCGAACCTAATCGCGAGGTAGGAAGAGCAGTTCGTCCGCCGTTGCGCGTTTGCGGCGCATGTAATGGCTGTGCTGGCTGCGAGCCTTGTGATGAAGGGAGAGACGAAGGAAACGCGTGCTTTACATTCGCCGAGTTTCCAGGGCTACTCATAAACATCAGCGTCTCCAACGCTTCCTGCTCCCGCACGTTCTGGTGAGGAGAAAAGAGGATAGGATCGACATTGGGTGTTCTGATAGTTCCGTGACCCGGAGTGGCTTGTAATGGACTTGGCTGAGCCGGAGTATGGGGAGAAACGTGATGCGGGTGAGATAGATAAGCTGGTGCGAACCTCGCGTTGGAGCTACGACGAGGATGGGTCTGGTTGGGCTGACGCGGTTGTATAGGCGCGGGCGGAGCTAGCGCGGGCACTTGGGTGTTGGGTGATGTTGAAGCGGATGACTTCATGTTACCCTCTCTCCATGATGGCTCATACGGGCGACCTTGGGATGGATGTTGCGTCGTAGGGCTGGTAACCATGCTTGAAGCCCTGTGTCTCATAGGAGCAACTGCGACTCGGGGGCTTGCAGACGCCCCATATCTACCATGCAACGTAGATGTGCTAGAGGTGGGAGAGGCGACTTGAGACGCGAGCGACTCGACCTCGTCGATAGAATGCCCTTGCCAGCCGTTGTTAACCTTGACCATAGCGTAAGACAATTTGGTCCTCAATTCAGCCGATAGCTACGATTGAGTTAGCAGAGACCGCGGCAATGCGTTATTAGATGTTGGCGAATTACCTCTCCGATGCGACTAGAGGTAGAAGCTATGCTCACGATGCTAGTGTTTCTAGAGTGGCCAGGTCGAATTGGAGACACGCTTGAGCTATCCCTCTTGTGCTTGACCACACCGTCGGCCATTCGCTTTCTTGACTGACCACCAGCCGTAGGTACTCCGTCTACCTCGCTCATCCTCTGCTGTGCTGCAGCGAGCTGGGAGAGCTGCAGGAGCTGGGACTCTTGACTCGAGCTATGGCTATTTCTTATTCCATTGCTGCCCTCACTGTCGCTTTCGGGCGGAGTGAAGATACGATCTGTATCATTGGAGGCGGTAGTATCTTGGGAATCGTTGCTTGAATAATTGAGTGGTTGATTCTGGGAACTTGGGATATTTTGAGATTGTGACGAGTGGCCGAGGCCCGTCAAGGAACTTGAGGTATTGACTTGCGACATGATCCAGTGTAAAAGTTAGCTGGGCTAGATAGAATGTTAGAGAAAGTGCCGCGACCAGAGGCACGAGGTTGTCGCGTCTTGTTAGATGGCGATGTAATTCGACTACGTAATCAGAAGCTATCAATCGCGTTTTCCATAAAACCATATGTCTTGAAGCTAGCCTATTTGGAAGATAGATGTTGTTGAAAGCGGTATGACTCCAAGTCTATAGAACGAAGGATTTCCTTTATAGGTGCTGATATCGCTTAGCGAGGTGTACGCGTTGCGTCGTCGTCAGAGTCGCGGTTATTGCGGAAGTATAGGTCAAGACTTATAACACTCGGTTATAGTCGCGTTGAGCCAATGCAACACTCAGCAAACTTAGCGTTCGAAGAAGATCTGAGACCGGGACTGAGACTGAGACATAGATATATGTATAATAAGTATAAGTATAGGTATAGGTGAAGCGAGGAGGCGAAATAAGTGCGGCCACACGGGAATTAATAGTAAAAAGAACTCGAATTGAAATCCAGCTATGAGTTAGACGCGACGCGAGTTGACGACAGAAGTATCAGTTTAATTAGTCAAGTAACCTCCCATAGGTGATGATATTGGAAAAGTTGGAGGGGAGATTTGACGTTGACGTTGACTTTGACTTGGATCCAAGGGAATAGGAACAAGTCAACTTGGGCCAAAGTATCCAAAGTAGCGAATGGGTTCCAATATTAGGAGGGGAAGAAATGGCGGGAAGCCATTGGCCGTTTATTACGCGGTCCAAGTCGCGCGAACTTGCACCTACCTAATGTATTTTTTTTTAGCTGGGGTTCTTTAGGTACACCTTGGGCGCACCTGGATCTATTCCGTACTTGTCGGGGGATCATGTGCGCTAAGACTTCCCTAGATTTACACTAGGTACGCTTGGCCCCAGCGCCTTGCAGCCACTACACTACAAAAAGCCTGTACCTTGTAGGCAGATCCTTTTTGCTATGGGTACCCTAGGTACTTGTTACATCGCTACCTACATACACATTTACCACATACATACACGTTGTCCCTGCAGCAATTCTATGGAGCCAACTTTTTTTTTTCTCTCTTCCTAGAATCGACGGTTTCATTTGATTATGAATAAACGATATGTCGTTACAGAGAAAAAAAAGTAGGTAGAAATTTTAAAAGACAAGTGGCTATAAGAAATTCTGCTGCCTCGGAGGCTTCCATAGATGTATCTGAGCTTAGGTAAATTAAAAAGTACCTAGGTACTTAGGCAAGTATGTACATGTAGGTACATAATATAATAAGATCGACTTGTCCCCTGTCAAACCACTGCATCAAGAAAAGCGGGAGCGAAAAAGAAAGAAGAAAAGAAAAGAAAAAGCAAAATTCAAAAAATGGCGCTCTTCTTCTTTTACCCTAGGTTTACCGACCGGCCTGGCTCGGTCCAACACAGCACGGATTGCACAAACCACCCGAGCCAATTTAACACGAAATCACGTGGCACCATATCGCGATCCACGATACCCCCACACCCCTCTTTGAACTTAACCCACATATACATAAGGTAAGTAAATCATAGGAGGTTGATATACGTACTCGATGTTTAACCAGAATATAAAATATTAATCTTTAAGAATTTTGAATCAAATGGCCGCAAGAAGAAAATATTTGTTAGTAGACTAAATCCGTTAACTATTATATATCATTGATGTAATCAAGTGACCCCTATAATATGTCATTCTATACCTCTATTCCCACATAGAATGTAATCCACATATATAAGACCCTTCTTTAAGTGTAGAGTTTCCTATGTAATAATTATATTTCCTATGTAATAATTATAATTTACTTCGCTACTCTGTTCTCTCTTGTATAGCCTTCACGTCACATAGGTTACATACAATCCTAAGCACCTTTGGTGTGATTATGAATATAGTTATGACAGATAGTAATTAATCATCAGGCTAAGTATTCTATATTCTTATATTCTTTACAATATTCATTTCACAAGACAGAAAAATAACTATCCCAGATCCATTTATTAAGCATATCTATAGTCAAGAACTTCCATTTAATTCCTCTCGCGAATCAACGCAATCATCAGATCCTTGTAATCTCCACTCATGAAATCTCCACTCAGGACAGCGTTAAACGCAGCACGCAATGAGGTCCTAGCCGAAGAGTGTATCTGATAAGCAGCTTTAGCCGCGTCCTGACGTGGACGGTTCCAGTACAGACTGACAACCCTGTTGATCAAAAGCCGGTCCTTGCGCGGAGTCTTGTATAGTGGTCTCTCCAGTCTCTTGGCGTCGAAGCGTGCTCGGTCGATGGCGTTTTCGAGCATGTAGAGGAGCGCATCCTCCATATCTCCGCGAAATTCCTTCTCAATGACCTCCTCGAGCGAGCGGTGGTACTTCCGCTCGTACGCCTTGCTGATAGCATATAGCTGTGCGGTGTTAGAGTTCGTGAAGATCTGCGCTACGGAGATGGTATTGGCGCCGATCGTGCCCTCGGTCGCACGCTGCAGTTCTGTCACTTTATAATCGATATCCGAACTGATTACAGGCGCTGCGTCTTCGGCACGCGTAGCAGAAAGTACCATGCTGTAGAGCCGGAATAACGTGTCATCTACGTCATCTTTGATATCTACCAGGAGTTCTTTGCCTTTAATTCTCTTATACTCGGCGGTGATCGCGCGAATGTCCGCATTCGATCGACACAAAAGGACGTCCATGAGGGCATCTTCGTCTGTGCCGGCTCGATCGAGAGCCTTAATAAGGACTCGTACATCATGTTCTAGTGGCCCACGGATCAGAGCGAGGAGTGCGGTTTCTACGCCCCCACGTGTTTCGCTTTCTATATCCTTGGCTAAGTCGCGGATGAAACGCTTGTTATAATCACCGACAAGCTGAGCCATCGCCCACGGATTCTCGTACTTGGATGAAGTGAGTACTCGTATCAGAGCTGCCTCATCACATCCCATGCCTTTCATAGCCTTGCGAAGAGTTTCGACGTCGGCCGACGTATCGACGGGGGCTAGGAACGCTCTCTGAGCTAGGTCATAACCAGGCGACGCAGGGGTCGGCATTACGTAGCCATAACCAGGCTCGTATTGCTGAGGCTGCGACCATTGCGGAGCACCCAGCTACGTATAATTGTTAATGCTTGTAGTAGATAAAGGGCTAACAATATGCTTACAGGACCTCCGTATTGTTGCGGCTGCAGAGAATAAGGGGTCGGGGCTTGTGAATGGGTTGGAAAATAGTATGTATTGGGAGGACTCCGCCGAGAGCTAGGACCCCATTGCTGATACGGAAGTGGTGGTTTTCCGTATTGTCCCTGTTGTGGCTGCTGAGATGGGTAAGGTTGAGGTAGAGTGTATTGTCCCGGAGCCTGAGGCGGACCTGACGGATGCTGCTGGGATTGGTATTGATATTGACTAGTTTGAGGAGGGCCTTGTGGTGCGTTGTAAGGAGAATAAGGTGGTTGCTGGTAAGGGGGCTGTCCAGGAGCAGGCGACCCGGTGGGAGAGTAATACGAGCCTCCGGGTGGAGGCCGCTGATATCCGGATTGAGGCTGTCCAGGTTGGCCAGGAGGTCCACCGGTAGGGGGATAGTGATTATAATATTGCTGCTTCTGAGGATCCATGATCCAGGTAAGTTGCGTATGTTTGCTCTTGTGGGGTACAACTATGTATTAGAGGTAGGCTATAGGATAACGAAAGCGCTTGAAAAAAGGAGGAGGGAAGATGGGACAAGATATAGGTCTCTCAAGGCATCCCAAAGTGTTCTGACGAGGACGAGACCAACATGAGTTTATTTAGCTAAACACCAATTAAAATCTAAATGTTAATAGAATAACATAACAAGAGGCCTCCAGAAAGATTCGGAATCTGACCGCAGTTATCGTGCTACTACCATATATCATTCAGCCACATTTCTCATCCAATAGATTTGGAGATTTAGAGATTGGAGAATCCTTCTTAGGCCACAGCACGATTTTTCCATCTGCCAAGCCAAATATCAGTACCGAATAGAGATGAAAAGAGTCAGCTTTGGGGTTATCTTGCTAAGGCAACCAACCAGCTGATTATGATCCAGAGTACCTAGGTAGTTTTGCTATTCATTTTGGCCTAGTCATCGTATGTTATTAGCTAGAAGCGCGATGTTGCTATGATCTCCTTGGTAATGGGAAGAGGTTAAATAAAATTTGAGGGATCGAGGATGAACTGGTATAAAATATAAAATATAAGAATTATGAATGATGTAAGTTACATATTGAGTACCTACGTAATCCAGGTGGGTAATCGAGTTGAAGAATGGAAGAAAGACCGATCATGTATATAAATAGTACATGCAGGTACTTACTGACGTACGTGTACCTTACATTTGACGTGATATTTCTGGTATCCACCACTTAACACGGTACGCGATCTAGGTACTGCTTTGTAGCGAATTGATAGACGATAGACGATTAGATAAACAAGCCAAAGTGTAACACATTAAACTTCCCTCATTAACAAAACAAAATAGTCTACGTTTACCTTAGCAACAAGCCCAATGCTTATAATAAAATAATACTGCGAGTCTTAAGATTTTGCCAATGGGCTTATATATAGCCAATCCTGACTCCTCGAGTCGCCATGGACGATTTTTCCGACGATGACTTCGACACCCTCAATGCGAACGTCCTACAGGAACTCGAAAATAATGCCATTCAATTCACCCAAGCACAGAAGAAGTACCAACAGTCTCAGACTCAGCCACAATTCATTGATGATTTCGAAGATGACGATCTCGACGATGCTATCGTACAAGACGAGCAGCGCGGGAATTCCATTCTACCAGAAGAAACAACCCAGCTACCATCGAGGGTAGCTCCTCAACAGCAATATCAACAATATCAACAACATCAACAACAATGGGGTGGCCAGGTGCCTGCTCCTGTCAATCACTTCCGTCCTCAGCATGTCCATTCATCCTCTCGAAATCCAAATCCGCTACCAGCTTCCACTACATCTCGTCAGCCTCAGCAACCTATTTCTCGCGCCCCAGTTCCATCATATAGCCAAATTCGTCCACCGCCTCCTTTACCCCGACCGGCTCCTTCTATTCCTCCAAGATACCAAGCCTCTCAAGCTCAAAGGCCCAATATACCGTCAAACCACGAAATTTCCGCCTTACAAGCTCAGATACTAGATTTAAAAACGAGACTTACAACCAAAGACGGAGAGATAGGCATTGTCCGGAAACGGTTGGAGAAGACACGCGAGGATCACGAGCGCGAGCTTCAGACGCTCAAGAAGCAGGTAGCTGAGCAGGTATCAAAACATGAAAGGGCTCTTGAGGCTGCTAAGGCAGCACAGCAAGCCGCTTCCACGGAACTTGAATTTACAAGACGAGATCTCAAAGACGAGCTGGATCGTGCCAGGCGCAAAGATGGACCCGCGACACCTAAGAAGAACGCCGCTGCTAAATCGTGGGGCATTGCAGATGGATTTGAAGATGTAGAGATGGCCGGTAGCCCGAGCAAAGGACGGCGTGGTAGGAATACCGGTGCTGTAGCCGGCGCTATGGTCGAACCGCCCGCAAGATTAACGAGAACACCTACTAAAGGAAAGAGGAAACGACTGGCCGCCGACAGTCCCGTCGGAGCTCTGGAAACCCACTCGGAAGATGCAGTCATGCTGGATGATATTAGTGCAAACGGCACTAGTAACGCACAACTTACACACGTGGATGCGATACCTAAAGCCGCTTCCTTCGATGTATGTCGTAATTGGAACCTCGCAAGTAGTCAATATATTGTCTACAGAATACTAACAGCCAGCAGTATATGAAGGTGATACTTAATCATAGCTCTAAACGTGGTGGCCCACTAGCTTTCGAGTCCCTAGCTAATTACCGGCTTCCCTCGAGACCTACGGAAAGCCTTGCTTCTACCCTCTTTCAGAAACTGGCTGTCATCGGAGATCCTCACGACCCTATGCGCCTACCGATAGAATTCTGCGAGCAAGTTATTGAACTGTGGCGTAGCTGTCACAAGGAGGGTGTTGTGGGTATCCAATTTCTCAACGCAATTAAGGGCCATTGGCTGACTACTTTATAGCTGGAGCCTATAATGGAGCTGGTGTCCTTGATATATTTGACCGTACAGCTATATACCGTTGCTGTTTCTCCGTATATTGCGCCGTCCCTTCTACCAGTGGCTATGGACTCGTGCTTTGAGGTAGGGATTCCTAGATTTTATCATGAGGGTCCTGGTGATCCACCAGAGGAGGCCTGGAGAAATTTTAACAAGAATATCTCGACACCCGAGATTCTCTCTTTGTTATATTTAACTTCCCTAGGATGCGCAGCTTCACCGCCCGTCGACGGTATTACAGACCCTGCAATTGATTTCTGGAGTCAGGTCCAAGTGGAATTCGTCCTCCTACATCTAAGTCAAAAACATCCAGTAGAGGATTATTTAACCATACTGCGATGGTTATGCACGTCGGTGTTCCCCCAAAGCATCGGACCTATCAGCCCTGATAGAACGTTGGAGGTTGTGGCGGGTGCGTTGATTGAGCGTATTTCGCATCAGCTTGTTGAGAAACCACGTTGGGAAATTGATCAGTATAAGCAACGGGGTGTTCGAAACGCCGTCCTTCGAACGTTGGCGGCCTTTGCAAGGTCCCCGTTTGGGCTTGCGCAATTAGCCATTAATGACTATGCTATCCCACGCCTTGTCACTCTGCTGTCCTCATGTATAGACGAACTCTACGATGGCGATATGCGGTACGAATCTTCGGATGATGACGAATCACAAAAGGAACTGCAGACATTGGTAGCACGTTCAGTGTTACTACTACACACGATCATCACGAACCCCTTGACTGCTGACTTGGTGAATGTGTCAGGGAAACTGGCCAAACCACCGGGGGTATCGCAGAAGTATCTGCTCAGTCTAGGAAGACTCAACTTTTCAGAAGACTTGGTGTCAGAAGAAACAGCAGAACTTGCGCACGAGTTATTGGAGCTAGCAGTAACACCGGAAGAGGGTGAGGAGTTGGGACGGTTTTTCGGGGGGTAAGAATTTTGGTCGCGCATTTAGACGACGCCAGCCATCTAGCCCGTAGATATACCGAATTCGTGTCATCTATCTATACAACCCAGTCTACTTTTCAGTGGCATTACGGACATTGGTTCAGGGTATCGTTGGTTCGGAATATACTTGGAAGGACCAGAAAGATGTGTGTATCAATTATTATTAGAGGCCTAGGGATATTAGCGTGGTAGCCCTACTCGCTTCATCGAAGATATTTACGAAAAAGATAAATATTTGAGGCTCTTTTATGGGCCTCATTGTGGATTATCATTTTAAGAGTAGGTAGTGAATAGGAATCGTTGGTGGAGTGGAAGTTTATATTACCTGCATATGCATTCAACAAGTTTCGGTATCTGAGGTCGTGTAGGTATCCAATGACATGTTGACATGTGAAGTTGCTAAGGTTTATTGAATAGACGGGATGACGACACATGTATTCGGCTTTAAGGGTGGGCATATGGGGCATATGTCACACTGCAATGCCACAATTTATTGATGCCTGAGCCACACTTTGACGTAGCCAAGCATGCCACGGGCAATCCATAAGCAAGCAAGGTCTGCAAGGTCTAGCGGTTAGGCAAATTTAGTGCTAAAGCTCAGCCCGTCAGCACCTGCAATCATCGAAAACCGCGGCCCCAAATCAAGAAAAGTCACCAAGAAAAAAAAACAGTGTTCACATCGTCGCTCAACAACACGGACTCTCGGGATTCTTTAGTGACCGCAGCAGCCGACATCAACGTGAAAAAGGGGAAAATAAAAAGAAAAGACTAATAGGTAAACCTTTTCATCGTCATAATAACTATAACTATTAACTACCTCTTTTCTCATCACCTCTTTTATTCAGTTGTCCAGATTTAAAAGTGTCTACCCAGCCGACGATCCGATATCCTCCCCCCACCCTTCGACTCTCAACGCTTCGTTCTTTGTCCTACCAAGCCGTTTAATTTAGAGGTGTAGGACTACTACCTACCTAGGTTAAGGGACACAGAATTTCTATAGTCTCTACAGTCTCTACCGGCGCGTCATCTTCTTCAGCTTAACAGCCTCGACTTGCCGATCTTCTTGTTCTTTAACCAACGAAAACCCTCGATCTCCTCAGCTCAGCTATAAAGGTGCTCGCTGAATAGTTGTCGCGTTTGCAAAACAAGACTATTACTAGCTAGTATATTCGCCGCCGACTTCCGCTCCATCTACGCCTGCGTATATAAGTGCAAGCGTGCAAGCGTATAAGCAAGTAAACCGCCATGACAAAACCACGTCGTGGTGTTCGGTTCCCCGGTCGAAGCGCCAATGGCCACGTCTCTTCCGACGGTAGGAGATCCAGCTTCAGCGAAATAAGCGAAGATGGATCAGGATCTCCTATAAAAACTAAAAGCTCACCGCAACTAGACGGTATTAGCGAAGTATGTTCTGATATAACTAGTAGTTAACTAAACTTCATAACTACATGTAGTTCTACATGTAGTAGACTCTCGATTCCAGAGCTAATATATTACCTTGCCTACAGAAAGCGCCTGAACAACCTCAGATGACTGACTACGAGAAGAAAAAGGCCAATTTCCTTACGCGAACTTTCTGGACCTTCGTCATGATAGGGGGCTTCTTCGCAGCTCTGTTTTCAGGTCACATATACATCATCGCTTGCATTACTGCTGTACAAATCGTCTCTTTCAAAGAAGTCATTGCTATTGCTAGTGTCCCTAGTCGAGCCCGACAACTACGTCCTACTAAGAGCTTGAATTGGTATTGGCTTGCCACCACTATGTATTTTCTCTACGGCGAGACCGTCATCTACTACTTCAAGCATATCGTACTTGTCGACAAGGTTCTGCTCCCGTTAGCCACGCATCATCGCTTTATTAGCTTCGTCTTATATGTCATCGGCTTCGTCTTCTTCGTCGCCAACCTCAAGGCCGGGCATCTGAAGTTTCAGTTTACCAACTTTGCTTGGACGCATATGGCGCTATACTTGATTGTCGTACAGGCTCACTTCGTCATGAACAACGTCTTCGAGGGCATGATATGGTTCTTTCTACCCGCGGCCTTGGTTATCACTAATGATATCTTCGCCTACATCTGCGGTATTACTTTTGGTCGAACGCAGCTGATCAAGCTTTCTCCTAAGAAGACGGTAGAGGGCTTTTTGGGTGCTTGGATTATGACCATTGTCTGGGCTGCCCTTCTGACGAACGTGCTGATGCGCTCTAAATACTTTATCTGCCCCGTCAACAATCTTGGATCCAGCATCTTTACCGGTCTCGAGTGTGATCCTAACCCGGTCTTCCTCCCCCACACTTATACACTCCCCGATCTATTCTTCCTTCCTGGAAGAACCAATTTTTCCTTCACTACCGAACCCATGCAGTTTCACGCTATCGTCTTAGCGACATTTGCATCCTTAATCGCACCTTTTGGTGGTTTTTTCGCATCGGGGCTCAAGCGGACCTTTAAGATCAAGGACTTTGGCGATTCGATCCCCGGCCACGGTGGCATGACGGACAGAATGGACTGTCAGTTTATTATGGGATTCTTCGCCTTCATCTACTACCAAACTTTTATCGCACAGCACAAAGTCAACGTTGGAAATGTCATGGAGATGGCTATTACGGGGTTGGCACCAGAGGAGCAGATTGAACTGATTAAGGGGATGAGCAGGTATCTAGAAAATCAAGGAGTCTGGGGGCCTGAAGTGAGTAACATACACGTCCTACCTCCCCTAAAATGAACCATTCACCGACTGACTATACTTAGGTTCATGCATGTCTAGATCGAGTACTGCCAGCCCGGAGATAGTGACAGGTTGGATTCGCGCTCTGGTGAGAAAAATGGTATATACCAAGACAGCGTACACGAGTGTATAGCTACTCGAAAGGGCAAGTAGCTTATTAATGAATTGATGATGAAGATTCTCCTCAGGCTCGGGCTTCCTATTCTTGCATATCTACGCCGAGATGACGTAGTGAATTTATTAAAACTTGGGCAGAGAAAAGGGCGTAAACATAGGAGAAGCCCCGACCGGCTAGTGTGTTATATGGATTCGGTAGAAGCTATAGAGAAAGGGAAAAGAAAATAAAGAGCTTGGTCTTCATCCGTGAGTATCCGCGTCACATGTGTGAATGTTCCAGCACTATGTCCCAGGATTGGGAGTCGTTGGCTTCGTTGACGTGGTTGATTTGAGAAAAACTTATGATATCGTCTATCTAGAGAGGTATAAGGTCATAGGCGGATAGGAAAGAAACCAAGGGAGAAATGGGTTCAGAAGTTTAGGACATGAAAGCAGAAGGAATGAGCGGGTCAAGATGAGGTCAAGTTTGCTGCATAACGGAAATCCTGGTTAACATGGAAAAAGAAAAATGTCGCACCCGGGGATAGGCAGGGAAATTATATTTCCTCTTCCTACTACGACGTGCTAGGAAGGAATAAGACAGCGAGGTCGGTTTCATTGTGTGACGCCGGGAAGTGACCGCGTGGTATTCATCTAGATGGCGGAATTCGGTAAGATGTTTCGCTACATTTGACGAGATCGTTGCGCAAACCATTATGATTCCCGGCGTTCACTTGTTACGTCTGCCAGTCGGATATATCAGGGAGGATGGCGTCGTCTCCTGTCAGCGCTATTGGTGTCTGGTTGCTTGATCTTCGCCGGTCTATGCCCGGTATAAACTTGGGGGCATTTAATCGTACGAAAAGGAAGCATCATGTCGCCTACATATGTCATATGTAGGCGGAACGGCCACCGCGAGGGGTCGCGGGGGGGTTCGAGGTGGTGTGTAGATATATCTGACATGATGCTTAACGGCGTTTTTCTTTGGCATTTCATGCATAATTATTATTCACAGCTAAAGAATAGATTCTATATGAGATAACTACGGTTTGATTCCTATTGGCTTCCCTACCGAACGGGTGGCGAACGCCTTTTTGCTTTTTGCTTCTTCTACAGCCTAATCCACCGAAGAGGAAGGTAATTAGATGGATGGACAGACGTCTACGATGCCCACGCTTTGCGGTAATTATTTGCAAGGCTAACCCTCTCCACGGGGTAGATGGCAGGAAACATGGGAGCACCCACGTGTGAGGTAAGTAAGATGAACCCGCATCCATGGATAAGTGCAGCCGTCAACCCACGATGGCGTACGTGGCTGGCTGAGACGTACATTAGTGACAGTTGAAAGTGGAATTGCTTATTCCAACTTAAGTCAGTTAGATTTCGGCATCTTTAGTGAATAAACAACCTCTGGTCTGGCATTAACCTAGAATACCTGATACATATCAAAGTGTGGTCGCTCAGTCTCTCTCTCTCTCTAACATGTCATACTTCGTTAATTCCATCATTTATATCAGATGGAAGAGGCGAAACGGATCTACTTTACGATTCCACAGCATCAAGCACGTAACATGGCCCATGGGTAAGTCTTATCGAGTACAACAACAGATTTCGCCATGATTTCCCCAGTCGATCTCGCGCATTAGTGCTGACGACCCTCCCGAAGTTGGTCCTCCCACGCTCGCGCCACCCGTTAGAGAAGAATCTAGGTTAGAGATTAATTAAATTTCGAGTTTTAATTCGATCAACTTAAAGCATGAGGGGTTTCCCGGCCGTCCAAGTGAATAGACCCGTCGGTATTCGGTACAATGGTCGGACGACACCACCAACGGACTCAAGGCCACGACGCACATCAATGTTAGCTCTGCTCACTAACTCTATTTTTTTGATCGTACCTATCGCTAACGAGATAAAGTTATGACAGTAGTTTGTATGGGTTACCGACTGCTTGGATAATCTTCAGTACTGAATCGTGTAGAACTTAGGTATAGAATAGGTATAATAGCCTGCATGCTACCCTTGGTAGTTATTTACAGAAGGGACAAATCTATTGTGGGAAAGGGAACTAGCTGGTAAATATGATGCAGCACATTATTCCACCCGGGAGGAATAGAGATAACGATTATGATATTTTATACAAATCCTTGGGCGACATGTCTACCAGAAGTCAGAGTTTGATGGTTCGTCAGCTGTTCGGAACTGACGGACGTGCATTGCATTGCATCGCATCGCATCGAGTACGTACGTATTGCAACTCAGTTAATCAGGGTAGCTTGCAGCAGGGTAATCTGTTCTACGATGCTCGCAGCCGAGATACTGTTTAAGATAGGCCAGGATAAATATTTCCCCAATCCTTTCGTGGACGAATGACAGCATAGTATCTTCCCATATTAACTCTATTGCTACCCAATATGAAACATTTTGTGTTCGGTAGTGCGAGGCATATGTTAAATACCTAATTGCAAAATGTGCTACTATAACCGGGGAGGGAAGACAGGGCTAGCAGACCGAGTAGTAAACCTCATGGGAACTTAAAGTTGGGAATAGTGTTAACAGATATGTAAGAATGGTTGTAACGATGGCTTGTCTTGTGCTCCTTCAAATACGTTGGCCAAGCTGAAAGGAGAAAGGAGAAAAAAAGGACGTGGGGTAAACGGTGTGGAAAGGCAAGACACTTGATGCGTGTTCCATCAGTTAGAACCCTTGAGACCTGTCTAGGTGTCCCATTAGTATTGGCATTATATAGAGTTAAGATATATCGTACCCTCCTTTTTCTAAGGAGGTGTGGCCTGAGGGGTCTCGAATCCATGGCCGATATCATATTCGATTCGTCGGTCACAGCCACGCAATGTACAGTGCGTCAGATCACCTGGAAGGCCAAAAAAAAAACAAGAGTCATTCCTTCAGGATCCCCAATAGCATCGGGCGATAGGACTATTCCTGTGATCAAATCAGGACATGACCGACTAAAGACGGTTGACTCTTCAACTTGATCACAGGTGATGATGTGTGAGAATGTAAAAATAATAATTTTTGGATCGGGGAACCCGGCCGGCATCTCTCTATTGCAACTCTACGCACGGCCGTTAACATGGCCCCTACGTACCCTGATACTTAGCCTTACCGTTAAGGTTAAGCGATCCTAGAAGAATTATTGTCCCTTATTGGGTTCTTTTAGCTCGAACCGGGTATAACTTTTACGTTGATTGGTTACCATCCTAATGGCACACGACTGCAACGACCTTCGTAGGCGTACATAGTACGCTGTACAACTTGTATAAAGTGCCCAAACGACCAATCAAGACAGAGCGGTGGAAATCCCCCATTACTTTAACGGACAACCTTGATAAAGCACAGCTCCGGTATGACTATCCACGAATGCATCTCGAGCTTTAAAGCCAACTTCGTCACGATGGCGAAGTCTGAATTTCTTACTGGTGGCTTAGTCTATTTGTCGTTATCATGCTGTAAGACATGTCATTCTCGTTTGGGTGGTGACATGGGCATAACATGTGCTGGCCTGTGTTTTAGTCTCTCAACACAACTGAGGAGCGATGATAGACGCCTCCCTAGTGCATGTCGATAATGACTTTTTGCCTCTGGTTGTACTCCCTATTTTACACGTAACAGTATTTAGACTACCCCGTGTGCCCTACCTTCCCGTACACCGGTGTAATTCCCTTTCATTTCCTCGTCTCTCATCAGGATTTGTGTGACACTTAACTAAGATGGCTGTCGGTACGATTCAGTTGAAAGTTAAGTCTTTCTTCCGTTCAAACTTGAAGAGAAGAAGAAGATTAAGCAGCCCATGTTCGGAGTACGAACATAAGAAACCAAAGAACACATCGACTTTAACAGTCGAAGATAATAACGGTCCTGGGATTGATCTTCAGCTCGCCAGCCCGTTCTTCCGCAACCTACCTATTGAAATCAGACGGATGATATACGAGCTTGTCTGGTGTGGACCTTATGGTCACAGATATCACACGCTCCGTGGAAGACATATGCACTTTGTGAACGGCCACTGGGTCAACATGAGATGCGTCATGTATAAAGCCGACGAGGATCCAGATCTCATCCAGAAGAACAGTATGTATATTTTATACCTTTATGTATAGCAGCTATGTACCTACTCCTTTCCAGGACGCAAAATTTATTCTACCATTGCTAAAACTAATATTTTGTTTCAGTGGACATAGCCCATTACTCGGGCGGAGGAAACTTATTACTGTGGCAAAGGAGACTGGCGTCGACTTGGGGCAGTCGCCACTGGAGATGTGAGGAAAGAGTCCAATGCGGTACGCAAAAGTCCGTAGATGGTACAAATTTCATGTCCATGATGCTCGTTTGTAAACGGATGTAAGTTTTCAAGAATGCCTACCTGCGCTGACTCTCATATCATATCTCCAGCTACAGTCGGACTCGCTATTATTAAAAAACTAACCCGCTGAGCGTGTAGGTTTCCCGAGGTTATGGAGTCGATACTCGAATCGCACCAGTTCTTATTCAACGACTTTTTCTCGGCACACAGATTTTTCGCCTATAACCCTTCACCATATATCACACGTATCCGCCACCTTGACTTATCACTCAGCCTTCCCTTTCACGAGTACGCCCCGTTTATCGTTGACGGGTCTAAGAGCAGAGTTCGAGAGTTGTGGGAATCTCTGTCGCGTATCTCATGTCTGCATAGTCTGCGCATATCTTTAGACATATACGATCATGGCCCGTGGCGGAAAATTCCCGAGCAAAGCGTCACTGCTCAACTAAAAGATCTCAAAGTGTTGGGGAACTTTACCCTCGAGCTACCACCCTCCCTGCCTATAAAGACACACGTCCCCAACATGAAAAATCTTGATTCCAACGAGGATCTACCGTTCAAAATAGTACGCCGTCCTCCTTTAAGGTATTGGCAGTTTACCCCTGGCGAGGTGGAGCGGTTCGCGTGGGAGACGCATAAGAAAGGCCAGCAGAACCACTGTTTTATTACCCTTGATAGGGCAGCTAGGCGTATCCCCAATCCTTATTTGTTGGACTTATTCTAAACGAGGTCAGACTGGAAACGGCCAAATTTCATGTCGATTAATCTCTAGTGGATACAAGCGTCAGCGTGATATTCTAAATACAGATTGCCTACCGACACCACCCAAACGATATTCACTTTAGGTAGACAACTCACCCAAGAATGAGCTGTACAGGTGGATTAACTAGGATACGTCCTTCTTAAAGCGGTTCGAACTTGATAGTCCACATGCTTCTATCATACCATTATTAGATCTCGTAGATAACGTCTTATTCGCTCCCCCTATCCCGTTCTGAGTGTCACTCGCGCAATGTGCCACTATGGTATTGAGCGGTGACAGTAATACGGGGTTCATAAATGTGGTGACACAACAGTTAAACATGACCATTTGATTCCGGCTGTTTAGCCAAGAGCGCAACACAATATCACATCGGAACACATTATTATACGCCACTGTGTAACAAGCCAATGACTCGATTCGTTGTGTTACATCAGTAAGATCTTATTCATGTCAGCGGCTAAACATAGGTTGCATCGACGGCCACGAACTGCAAGACAGACTGCGCGGTTTAAGCTGTTTCGCCGGCCTAATAAATCCCCTGGATGCCACTAGCTACGATATACAAAAACTACTAATCCTTCGCGGTCTAGTCGGGTTATAATTACTGTTTATACACGCGACTCAACCGAATGATGCGATGATAAGCGTCTTCGAATTAGAGGATACGTTACTTGGAGTGTCCATTAACCGAGCTACAGCCCGTATTTACGCCAGGGGAAACCGACCTTTTACATAGGTTAACCCTTAAAATCAAAATATCGGACTTAAGGCTACGATACACGTTAGTTGTTTGGAAGCGTCTGGATTAAAATGTATTCGACTCAAGGCTAGATACTAGGTAACATAATATGCCGTCAAGCATCTAGGTAACATTAGCAAATACAACAGTAGCTCTGTATAGCTATATCATATACGTCACATCCAAGGAAAGCTACAATAGTCTCATACTCACTCAGTACTCACCTTGAGATAGCAAACAGGCTGCAGGGCTCTTCACCCTATAGCACTATCACCCATACCTAATGCGTAAAAACGACAGAAGAAATGACAGTTGATAGTAGTGTTACACATAAGCACTAGCAACCTCATCGCGGATATACGGCTTTCCTACCTATCCTACAACTCGCAAGAGAATGTGTGTACTCCTCTACTAAAATAGCATCTTGCTTCTCAGTTACTTACTTGGATTCCAAACCATAAGTCATAGACTCGTGACAAGAGAACTAAGCTTACTCCCCAATCCGAGTGTATCAAGGCCCACAGCAGGCTCTACCCCTACAATCTTAGTCTTGACGGATTTATTCACTGCCCACTCATACCCATGGTGCTTTTCTTATACTATGGCAGCGAAGATATACTTCGTCGTCTTATAGCTGGTTACCCCTTTAATATGATATGTTGGATAAGCACTGGCACACGTACTAGGCTAGCTATAGAAGTATATTGATGAAGTCCACTATTTACTGATAGTAAAGATTTTGCTATTTCTACGTTAAGGGCCCTCAACTGGGATCACCGCTCGTTATGTCACTAATACTAAAGCCTTAGTCTTCTTCAAACAGCCTTGCTGCGTACCTAATATTCCAAAATATTGTGTGGCGTGTAATATATACTTATTAATCTATATGGTTACAGCTCAACTCAGTCCCAGATCAGTTCATGCCATCGGATTGAGTTGTAAGGGCGCCCTCCGAAGATCAATTACTTATTGACCAATTGCTTTAAAAGTCTAATCTGCATAATTGTGATTGCTAACAATTTCCCGCTGCTATATAGCGGAGTTTAGATACTATCCTTGGTAAGTATATCATGTTGGAACATGCATGCGCATACCACAGCTTTTTTCAGGTTGTGACACAGTGGAAGACATTAGTAGACTTAACATTCGTAACGAATGATTTTAGAATATGAGGTTTAGGAATAAGATTGAAGGGTATCATCTAAACAGCGGATGTAAAGAGTACCTAAGTCGTCCTTAGTTTCGTCAGGTTCCTTGTTAAACATCATCAAACTTGGGGGTCATACCCCTTTTCTCCTTTGAAAGCCCTTATGACCAGAGACCTTTAGTTTAGTAGAAATAATTAATTCCGGAGCCTTTATAAGCTCTTATAATAAGACCTACCAGCTTATTTGATATAATAGGCGCCTTCGCTGATAGAATAATACCTAACTAGAACCATGCCTGTAGTAGCTGGTCTAGAATCGCCTATTGGTATGTACATGGGATGGGAATCAAAGAGTACAGAAGCATAGAGCTTAATACTCGCGACATGGTATTAGCATACCAATAGTCCACCAACGAATTCAGCATCGGGATATAATAAATATATATGATGACGATGGAAGTTCCATGATCTTCGTCAAACCTGTCAATCTCGTTTTAAACCCATGTAAAGAATGAAGTCAACAGGAGAGAAAGAGCCAGCTTTGGCTTAAGGAGAAAACAATGCCCCTTTTAAATAATACCATTAAGTTTCGTAAAGCAGTATAAGAGATATATACGTGCTCAGATCATAACGTAGTTGCGAAACTGAGCCGCAACGAGCCGCATTTTTTGCTGGAGGCAAATTGGCGCTAATGTTTGGCTGCCAATCGTCTCAACTACAAAGTCGTGAGATCTTCCGCTTGGTAAGATATTGGGCCTTTCAAGGCTTTTCATGCACAGTTTTAGCCCTTGGCCATACACCCTCCGCCGCCATCGACATGATATAAAACAACGCCCTGTGCGCCGAACTCCGCCTAAAAAAAAGTCAGGCCAGATTCGGCAACGCTTCCCGTGAGAATAGATAACTTTTAAGTAGCTTCCTCCCCGACTCGTCCTCCTAAGCCAAGTCCGCCGCCTAGATTTCGCATGTGGACCTCCCTTAGTCTGCCTACCCAATGTCGCCGCAACGCCGGTGTCATCTTGACGAATACCATGGCTTTATTCTCGTCGGTGAGAGCTTTCTCGGCGATTTTGAGCTGTAAGTCGGCATCCTCTTCTGCAAACTCGCGGAAAAAGATCTCAACCGCCTGTTCAGACCATTTAGGCGGGCTACGGGTCTTGAGGGCCTCAGCTAGAGATAAGATGCCGTCTTCGACGAGGTTGGTAGAGGTGAAGGACGAATGAAGTCCAAGCGGCGCAGAGGGACTAGTAGCGCGAGGGACGGCAGAAGAAGAAGATGGCGTAGTGGTAGACTGCTGGTTATAGAAGTTGGAAGAAAAGCGCGAAGGTCTACCGCGACGCTTCTCTGGATAATTAGGGGTTGGGTTAGGATTCGGCCGTTTTTGCGCCTGGGTACTCGGGACGTGCTCATCTGGTGGCGTAAGCGCACTCGGATTTGCGGATATGGATGTTCGGGGTGGGATGGCAGTTGATGAAGGTCTCTGCATAGGCTGGGGAGCAGAAGGGGTCGGCACCGGTTGGCTTAGCGGTTGGCTTAGCGGTTGGCTTAGCGGTTGGGTTTGCTGAGTTTGATTTTGGGCCGGAGTCTGAGCGTATATACTCGAGTCGAGGGAGGGATCGATGACAGTTTGATCCGCAGTGCTCGGTCTGCCTGGTAGACTACCTCCTAAACTACCGTCGGGGTTTCTCCGTCTCGGCTTCATGATACGTTTCGGTGCACCGCCGGAACCGACAACGTCAGGGAATAGAATCTCCATATACTCTTCATGGTCAAAGGGGCGGCCCCTAAGCGCTTTTGATAAGGGTTCTTTCTGTAAATCATAGCCGGTCAGCAGTCAGTATCATTGGACATCCGTATATTTATTTTCTCTCTACCTACCTCGAAGTGTCTTCTCCAGGCCTCTTCACTCGCCGTGACCATTCTAGTAGTGGGGTTATATAAGAATTCAGGATCCTCCCTTAACCCTCTCCACATGCGGAACTTCTTGCGCGCGTTGTCGGCTTTATTGATGAGGTGGCTCTTCTCGGGATAAGCTCCGTGCTTGTCGCGTAAAGCGATGGCGGCGCGTTCCCAAGCACCCGACTTGAAGCTGTGATTCTCTTTGTACCCCATCTGCATGGATTCGCATAGCGATCTGAAGAAAGTCTCCTCGTAAGCTAAGTTCCAGCTGAATCGCGGGGTTCGTCTATCGGCATTACGGCGCGAGCTTCGCGACGCCGTAATTTCAATATCGTCGTCGGACATGATGACGGCAGGTTTCTGACTAACGATAACGACGGCGATGACGATCGTCTGCAGGATGCCGTAGCGATTATGGGATGAGCTGTTCCGATTAGACGGAAAAGCTGTTATCGCTACTACGGGGGGGGAGCCCAGATGCGATGGTGCTTATCGCTGAAGCTCTTCCGGGGTTGGAACGGGGGGGGAAACAGACTAATACGGTGGGAAATGTGAGGTTGGGAGGTTGAGACTTTTTTGTCAGTTTCAAACGGTTGTGGAAACAGAATAATTGGTGGCTGGTAATATATCACGTGTTGAAATGTGGCTTGACACCTCTCTTCGGTACATCTGATGTTGGACGATTGGTACTTGAATTCCACCTAAATCTACGCTGAATTGTATGTACCTTATGTATTTACCTTGTACCTATTATACGTACATACATGTACGGATGGAAGTGACTAACCTGGCCGATTAGGTAAGCATATTTTTAGGTCCCTATCGATAAAAAATGGCATAACATCAATCCGTAGCAGTCAAATCATCCCCAAGAACTTGGAACTTTCATCTCAACTTCTCTCTCTCCGCAACTCGAGACAAGAAGAAGAATCTTATCACAAACAAGCTTCTTCTAGCGTCGATATATTACAATGAAAAGTTCTTCAACCCTCCATGTGACCCTTTTTAAAAATACAATCGTATTCTCATTACGATCTGCTCTCTGATTTCGTACCTGGGTTAAACCCTGCGTCGTTCTTGAAACACACTGAAATCTCCGTTCAAGGCTCTGCGATTGGTCCCTCGAAAGTTTGAGACCAGGAGATGTCCCCGTCCTTTTTGTCTGGTCTTTGTTTGGGGGTATTTGTAACCCTTGTCTGTCATCTTTGCTCAATCTCAATACATAACTATACAGTTATGATAATCTATTCCTCATGGTTGATCTCTTACTATGTAGTTGATCACAGAGAATGCCGTCACAATGGCTCTCTAAACGTTCATTTTAATACGTTATTTTATTTTTATTTTTAGGGACTTTGCAACCGTTAACCCGAGTCTCTAGGTCTTCAACTTGGACTCAACCCATCATCATTTCTATCTACTCACGTATAGCCGCATTACAACAATATTTCCACATCTGCCTGAAGCAGCTACAACAAATTGGCTACCTACCGCTGGTATGATGATGGCTCACTCACCCGGCAACTTTTGGAGGCTACTCGTAAGCTTTGTCGGTAGATGGAGTCCGTACCTTGAAGGGCCGCGCTGCCATTATCAAAGCGCAAATCTCTCGGTTAGGAACCGTTACGGGGCTCGAAAGCCCCTGCATTAGTTCCCGGGGTTCCATGTCCACTAAGATATCTCTACCTTCCAACCAGTCAAGCTTCGTATTACGAATTTACCTACTCTTCACTTAACAGCCCCCACTGGTTATGCCACACCATCTGTCTGGGAATAGTCCTAGTGGACCTCGTTTCGACTGGCGACGGAGAGCATAACGACGATGACGACGCAGATCCTATTCCAGTCAACAGCTCCGCCGTCCATCTGGCACTCGAGACAAACTGCGCATCACATCTAGGATCGACCTTGGCTACCTTGGCTAGAGCTTGTTTCTAACTTCCATGCAGATCGAATGATGGGTGACCGGGGTTAATCCCCACAACGCCCCTTTCCGTTTCTCTTGGCTTTCGTCTTTTCTTCAAAAGCAGAGCTCTTGGCTCTCGTCTATCCTCTTTTTTATACTTCAACTCCCATGAAGTTCGGTGTTGTTTGAGACAACTTCTATTCAGCAGCTGCTTTATTTTTTGTTTCTTTTCTATTCAATCTTTTCTTGCCCCTTGAGGCTCTTTGGCTTCATTACCCTTCTTTGTAAATTCATCCGCTTCTTAACCGACTCTTCCTAGTCCAACTGCCAACTAAGACCGGGTCTTTTCTGAGTCTCTTCTTTCATTTAATCCACCTGGTGTGGTGATACGTATATTTTTACGTCATCCTTTTTTCACTTCATTTACGATTATAGGAAGATGCAGTCTTTCGCGAAGTTGTTGCTCCTCTTTGGGCTCTTGGCCTTGGCTTCTGCCTCCCCGGTTGGAATCCAAAAACGAGGTGTATACAAGGTTGAACGAGTTCCGAACCCGAACTATACCGGCCGCAATGGTCCTCGAGCTCTGTTGAAGACACTCCGGAAATATAGGATGCCTATACCGGCATCCGTTGCAGGCGCTGCTCAACAACAGAGTGAGATGATCTCAAAGAGAGAACCTAAGAGAGGAAAAGGAAGAGGTCAACGTCAAAAGGGTCAGAATGGAGGTGCAGCCACAACTGGGCAGGCTGCTGCCGCCGGGTCCGCTGCTAACGGCACCGGTCTCGTGACGAATACCCCTGAGGCTAATGATGTTGAGTATCTGTCTCCTGTCACCATTGGCGGACAAACCTTGAACCTCGATTTCGACTCCGGCTCGTCCGATCTATGGGTTTTCAATAGTCAGCTTAGCACAGCCGCGACTCAGGGCCACACTATCTATGACCCAACTAAGTCCACGACATTTGCTCTCATGCAAGGTGCCACGTTCGAAATTTCTTACGGTGACGGCTCGGGTGCCGCGGGCAACGTTGGCACTGATACTGTGGACATTGGCGGCGCTACCGTTACCAACCAAGCAGTAGAGATGGCCACCGCTGTCTCCCGGTCTTTTGTCGAGGATACCAACAACAACGGTCTGCTCGGCCTCGCATTCAGCACACTTAACACTGTCCAGCCAGCTCAGCAGAAGACGTTCTTCGACAATGTGAAGGATTCGCTCGCCGAGCCTGTTTTCACTGCCGATCTCCGGGCGCAAGCAGCTGGCGCATACGAATTTGGGCGTGTGGATACGAGCAAGTTCACAGGTGCCATGACATGGGTCCCCGTCAATACGACAGATGGTTTCTGGCAGTTCACGAGCGAGAAATTCGCAGTCGACGGTGGAACCACCCAGACTTCTACGGCTGGCGCACAGGCGATTGCCGACACCGGTACCACTCTCCTCTTGGCCGATCCTGCTGTGGCACAGGCCTACTATGCACAAGTTGATGGCGCCGTAGATGACGAACAACAAGGTGGCTTTACGTTTCCTTGTGATGCAACACTGCCCGATCTCCAGATAGATGTGGGTGGCACCATGGCTACCGTCAAGGGCACCGACATCAACTTTGCTCAAGTCGATGACCAGAGTAAGTTCACTGCAGCTCCACTACGAAGTTGTCATGCTAATAAGTAATAGCTTGTTTCGGTGGTCTACAAGCTACGACGGCAGGTCTCCAGATCTACGGTGATATCTTTTTCAAGAGCAACTTTGTCGCCTTTAACGGCGGAAACAACACTCTTGGATTTGCGCAGCACGCATAGATGTGCCTCTTGCATGTAACCATATGTATATTATTTCCTTGCATGTGAGCTACGGCCATGAACTGTATATATCATGTGAGATTTTTGATTCCAAGAGGCATGTGTTAGGATACAGTACCTAGGCTTGGGGAATTTACTGGAGGCCGTGGAATCCCATTGGGCCTGGCTAGCATGATTACTCGTACATACCCGTATATTTAGAAAAGAGCATTTACAACTACAATAAGACATGTAATGAAGTTAAGATTGACAAAACCACAGCCAACGTCGTACGAAGGCACGGAAATGGGAATAATGAAGATCAGTCCGCCTACTGTGCTTGCGAGGTCCGCTTTGCGGCTGTGGCCTCTGAGGGCGATAACCTCCGTCGCGTAGATGGATACTATGCTTTCTATTCTTAACCCTTTACAACACACTTCTCTAACTGGGGTTACAGATTTTTGTGCTCCGCATCTCAACGCACCTCGAGAAGATTCCTTTCGGTCAGTAGAGCCGTCGGCGAAGATATTGGGTTTGCCGGAAGATGATCCTTCCGAGGACGCAGGAATCTAGCCAAATACCGTGCAGTTAAAGACATAGATGATGGTGTGTCATATTCCAAGACGAATAGTAGTATGAGACAGTTGTTGACCTATTCTTGTGAGCATGGACATAGAGGTTACGAGTGGTTGAGTGACGCCAACATGATCATCCTCAGCGGCTATATTTTTTTACCGTTTCGGAAACAATTACCTAGCGGTCGCCTTCTTTAAAAGCCGGACTGGTTATAATTTTAGCGTTTAAAAATGTGAATCTTGAAAGTTAATTTAATAGTTCCCCGAGGATAGTTGTCATTGAAGAGATTTATTCGATAGATATGGGTTATAACATGGGTGAATTTGGAATGTTGAAGCCGATTTAGTTGGTCGCAGTTGTTTGCCGAAGACGAAGGATATATCGGGGCTCCGAGACGAACCGCTCAATTACGTACAGAGTACCACCCATATGAGCACTCACCAGTCAATTGCTATAGGTACTCGTCATCTACGTGCATCCTAGCAACCAAGCTAATTTGTTAAAAAATTGAAAGCCCATTTACGTGTAAGTATGTGAATACCTAGGTACCTACATGACCTATATGACCTACCTAACCTACCTAGACTTAAGGGTAAGCAACTACTCTTATAATAATTTCGGTATAAAGTTGGAATATATACAATGTAACACCAAGCAATTCTATATAAGTGCAATAAACTTGTTCCATCACGGCTTCACGTTCTTGGTGTTTAAGCGGGACTTCGTAAGATTAATTACAATACTCTTTTCGTAGGTAAATGTCCGAAGTCGGACAAAATCATTGGCTCTTGAATGCCACGCCATTGTATTCTAGGAACATCAGGTACAATGCAACTCACCCCCCGTCCCAACCATCCCCTTACATTATACATACCTATTCTATACTTTACTAGCCAGTTGACGTAAAACTTTTATCCGCTAACGCAGGTTGATGCATCGAGCTGTGTGGCGAACCTGGTTTTTACTGAAAGGTCCAGATGTCTTATATTTGGTTATCTTATATATTTTTCAGGTCGCTAAAGAGGTGATCTTGACTTCGATTATAATTTAGTTAAATCATTTTTAAACAGAATCTTAATTCCGCCCAATTTACTCGTACGCCATGATTTGTGAGTGCGTGGGGTTTATATAGTGACTTTCAGAAATTAACGCACACCCACGTACGATATTTAATGTACCCAGGCGCCTACAGGCAATACCTAGTCTATCTAACCGACCGGAGTGAATACGTAGGAGAGTTTAGTGGCGAATGTAGATCTTTCAAAGACAAGAATTGGAGGCTTGTGCGGGGATATGGCTGATTCGCTTCAATCTTTAACAAATATAATAAATACCTAACCACCGAGAACATACCATACCACCCAGTCTTTGGTAGCTTATACCGTTGCAACGGCGATTATACTAGTATGTACATCACAGCCAAGACTCTCCACCCTTTCTGGACCCTCCCAAGTCCGCCTACCCTCTAACCAGGTTTCCGAAATTACTATGATTTATCTGATCCGTTTAAAGTTATCTGATCCGTCCCTTGTGGAGAAGACGTGCGTTGGTGTCATCTTGGTTCGGTTCTAACGGCCTCCATAAATAGCGTCTAATGCTGAAAAGGAAAGTTGCTTCCAAGTCAGCTCCATTAATGACTGTTCTCTCGTACCAGCGTTAGTAAATCGTACAAGAATCACCTTGCCGTTGTCGGCGAGAATGGAGACAGGTATGAAACTATCATGTGCCTGTTGCGGCCTTTTCCCTACTTAGGCACTTGGCCTTCTAGGCATTCCGTCTCTGAATTTTTTTCTTGAATTCAGGATCACCAGACTTAAGACTTCTGCATCCTGTACGGCACTTAACAAATCCTCAAGGTCCATTCGCTCATCAAATGTGCCAGCGCTTGCTATTCTAGCCGATGAAAAACCGTCTATCGATCTGTAAGTCCTGGTGATCGATTAGGGAGCAGTTGTCGCTGTCATTGTCAATACTATCGTCATCATCATCATCGTTGGCGCCATCGCTACCGCAAACTCAACAATGGGCCAAAAAGATGTAGACAACTCGTGTATGGACTCCGTCTGCACTGACGAAGGTATCTCGAGTGGTCATCTTACAACTCCACCAACAGATCTCGAAGAAGACGGCTTAACCCCAGAGCAGTTGGAACAGATATGGAGCTGGAATACACCAGTTCCCCCTACCTTGGAAATCTGCATGCATGAATTGGTGGAAAAGCAGGCAAAAGAAGACCCTAGCCGACCAGCGGTTAACTCATGGGATGGTGCATTCACATACCAAGATGTTAGCTCGAAATCAGACCAGTTAGCAGCTCATCTCGTATCAGTAGGTGTCAAGATAGGATCGATTGTGCCGTTATGTTTTGAGAAATCGAAATGGACTGTCGTAGCTGTTCTTGCCGTCATGAAATCAGGCGCGACATTTGCGCTTATGGATCCGAGCCAGCCCGAAGGCAGACTACGCACCATCGTCGAGCAAACGGGTGCTTCTACTATCATAACGTCCAAGCTACAAGAGAGCCTCGGCCATCGCATTGCACCAAGCGCAACTCATATTACCCTCTCTAGCGAACAGTTTAGCAGCTATAACACATCTCCGAGTTTACCCTCTGTGCCAGCGAGCGCGAATCTTTACATACAATTCACGTCGGGCAGCACGGGCAAGCCGAAAGGGGTTATTATAACGCACGAAAACTATTCTAGCGGCGCGATACCACGCGCGGAAATAGTCGGATATCGCGCACATTCGCGAGTCCTTGATTTTGCGTCGTACGCTTTTGACGTCTGCATCGATTGCATGCTATGCACATTATCGGTGGGGGGTTGCCTATGTATTCCCTCAGACGCCGATCGCGTTAACGACCTCAGCGGCGCTATACGGAAGATGAATGTCAACATGGCTCATATGACACCCTCGGTCGCCCGCGTCTTAGACCCCGACGTTATACCTTCGCTTGAAGTCCTTGGGTTGGGAGGAGAGGCTATATCCGCGGGCGACGCAGCCACTTGGAGTCGAAATACGAAAGTAATCAATGCGTACGGCCCTTCAGAGTGTACCGTAGGTTGTGCTGTGAATGGCGATGTGGGCGCAGAAAGCCAAAAGGCGCATGTCAGCATCGGTAGGGGAGTTGGGGGAACACTGTGGATTGTCGATCCTTCTAATCACCACCGACTCATGCCCATAGGTGCAGTTGGCGAGCTTCTAGTTGAAGGCCCTATAGTAGGACCAGGCTACTTGAACGATGCTGAGAGAACAGATATTGCCTTTATTAACGACCCGAAGTGGCTTCTAGCTGGGAGCTCACAGCATGCAGGCCGTAGTGGACGACTATACAAGACCGGTGACTTAGTAAGATACGATCCGGACGGGACGATCATTTTCGTTGGTCGAGGCGACCAGCAGGTGAAACTACGTGGGCAACGGATCGAACTGGCCGAGATCGAGTATAATATGCGAGACAAACTACCACCGGGTACTCGTGTAGCTGCCGAGGTCATCAGGCCTGGTGGACCTGCTGGCGAACCGACATTAGTTGCATTCATAGCAGAGCGAGCAGGTCTCGTGCCTGAATCTGAACATCTTCTGGGATCATTATCGCCCCAGGTGGCAGACTCTCTCACGGGGATGAACAAGGCCATATCAGAACACCTACCGATATATATGGTGCCGGCGGCATATATTCCTCTACAGACCATGCCCTTATTAGTTTCGGCGAAGACAGATCGTAAACGCCTTCGAGAATTGGGGCATACGCTTAGTAGGAAAGACATCGCCGGATTCGCCGCAGCGACGGTCCCTAGAAAAGAACCGTCAACTCCAATGGAAAAGAAACTTGCACAGTTATGGGGTCAAGTTCTTGGACAGGACGTCGATATTGGCGCTCATGATAACTTCTTCAATTTGGGAGGTGATTCTCTTCGCGCGATGAAGCTGGTCGCTCAAGCGCGAATACAAGACACCGCGCTTACAGTCGCTGACATATTCGCCAACCCTGTGCTCTCAGATATGGCTCTAGTTGCAAGGGCCGCATCCAGCGAAACCATGGTTGAGATTCCGCCGTTCTCCCTTCTTAGTAGTAAATGGTCAGAGGATTCAGCGCGACAAGACTGCGCTGCTATCTGCGACGTCGACCCCTCAAAGATTGAAGATATCTACCCCTGCACGCCTCTTCAAGAAGGACTCATGGCGCTGTCCGCTAAGGTCAGCGAAGCCTATGTCGCACAGCGCGTGGTCGAACTTGAAGACGAGACGGCAGCGCGGAATCTCGCGAGGGCTTTCGAGCTAGCTTCTGCAGATTGCGCGATTCTCCGGACGAGGATAGTCCAAATTACAAGCCAAGGATTGATGCAAGTAGTCGTTAAAGATGACTTTGACTGCAAGTGGTTATCCGGGGAGAGTCTTAACGATTATCTAGTTCAAGATAGAAGCGAACCGATTCAACTCGGCAAGCCTCTAGTTAGATACGGCGTAGTTGTTAACGAGAAGTCTACAGGAAAGTCGCATTTTATCTTGACAATGCATCACGCTCTCTACGATGGATGGTCGATGCCTCTAGTAGTCGAACGAGTTAATCGAGCATACGACGGCCTCCCAACAAAACGACCAGCTGAGTTTAAACACTTCATTAGCTACCTTACCAATATGGACCGTAATGAATCCGAGTCTTACTGGCGAGAACGACTGGATGGCGCTAATGATGAACAATTCCCCTCCCTCCCCTATTTGGGTTATCAACAACAAGCCGATTCTCTTTTAGAACACTACGTGCATACCAGCAAGCCCAATACTGGGATAACCATTGCCACGGTTATCCGCGGTGCTTGGGCGCTTTTGGTCTCAACTTATACCTCGACCGACGACGTAGTGTTCGGAGAGACGCTTACTGGGCGCAACGCTCCTATTGCAGGTGTGGAACAGATCGAAGGACCTATGATCGCTACGATACCAGTTCGAGTAGCAGTTAACCATGATATGACCGTGAGAGAATATCTACAGGAAATCCATGACCAATCAGTCCTTGGAATCCCCCACGAGCACTTTGGCCTGCAACACATCAGACGTCTAAGTCCGGATGCGCGGGAGGCCTGCGAGCTGAGAACCGGCTTGGTATTGCACCCCAGCGCAGATGCCGACGAAACCGCCCACAGCGAAAAGCAACCGGCGGATGGCTTTGTTCCTGCTGGCGATGATGAGGCGGCACAGGAAGCGCTCAAGTTTAACACATACGCCCTGATGCTAGTATGTTCCTTAGACCCACGGGGATTTTTGGTCATGGCAAGCTTCGACTCGAAAACAGTAACGAGTCCGCAGATGGAGCGAATGCTACGTCAGCTTGAAAAGATCACGCAACAGCTCGTCGAGAACCCAGATGCTAGATGTAGCCAGCTTCAGATACTAGCCGAGGAAGATATATCTGAGCTCGCTCGCTTGAGTCAGGCTGGCGCAAAAGGTCCAGCTATTACTGCTTTACTTCCTACTGGTTGTGAGGCATCTGAGACATGGGTCGTCGACACTGTTGATCCGGGGCGATTACTCCCTCTAGGTGCTGTTGGGGAACTCTTAATACGGTGCTCAGGCGAACCTAGCCTCGACTTGACGCCGTCTCCCCAGTGGGCTGACCAGAATAAGACCGGTCGGTTTTACAGGACTCATAAATTCGCGAAGTACGATGTGAATGGCGATATCGCCTTCGTCGAACGGACGAGTTCTACTAGAATATTCTCTACTGGCCCAAGAGAAAAGCATGTGTCAGCCACCTCGGCGAAGCAGAAGAGTCTTCGACAGGCTTGGAGTCAAATATTAGCAATCGATGAAGATGAAATTGGTTTGAATGACAGCTTCTTCCAGCTTGGCGGCGATTCTATCGGGGCTATGAAACTTGTGTCGGAGCTCCGAGTTAGGGGGATGGAATTAACGGTACCCGAGATTTTTAAACATAGGACGTTGTACGATATGGCGAAGATCTTGAGGGAAGGAAAACAAGTGACCGCCGAGTCTATCGAGCCGCCACCGTCTCCGTTTTCATTGCTTGATGTCCCAGATGTAGAAAGCTTCATCACCGAAACGGTCAGGCCACAGCTTGTCCAAGGCGATCATGCAATCAAGGATATCCTTCCGGCACGCCCGCTCCAGCAAGTTGCGGTAAGGGGCACAACCCAACTTCCTCGATTTTCCGCTCGCTACGAATTATTCCATTTTGACGGTCACCTCGATAAGGGAAGACTTTTCAAAAGCTGTCGGGAACTCGTCGCTCGCAACGAAATTCTGCGGACAGTTTTCGTAGAGAGCGGCGAGGAGTGTTTCGGCGTCGTTCTTGAAGCACTTGATATTACAATCGACCAATACGAGATCGAAGGGGACCTAGACTCGTTTGCACATAAGTTATGCGACGTCGACGTTCAAACCAAGATGCCCCTGGGCTCTGCCTTCGTGAAGTTCATGTTCGTCCAAGGCGATGCTAATAAGAGCTGCCTCATCTTCCGCATCTCCCACGCACAGTACGACGAAGTCTGTCTCCCTGGCCTTATACACCAGCTCGGCGCTCTATACGACGGCAAGGCCACGATAGACTCCGTTCCGTTCTCTTCCTTCGTGTACCACGTCGTGAATAAGGGCATCCCGCGAAGCATCCCCTACTGGCGAGACCTACTACAAGACAGCTCGCTCACCATCCTCCGTCCGGATTTACCCCTAACATCTAAAACCCCTGCTGCAATCAGCCGGACAGTCGATATCTCCGCACGGCTAAGGGACATCACGGTGGCGACGCTACCGACAGCCGCGTGGGCCCTGTGCCTCGCGCGACGGCTCGCACGGAGAGACGTCGTATTCGGCGAGGTCGTCAGCGGCCGGAATACGGATCTGCCGCATGCGGACACCGTCGCGGGACCGACGTGGCAATACGTACCGGTGCGGGTACGCTTCGAGGAAGACTGGAAAGTCGCCGACCTGCTACGATACGTGCAACATCAGCACGTCGCCAGCGCGCTGCACGAGTGCATGGGTCTAACGGAGATTATGCGCGAGTGCGGACCGCTCCCAGGCTGGCCAGAAGGCGCCGATTGGTTCGACTCGGTGGTGCACCAAGACGTAGTCCACGTCGAGGAGCTGAAGTTTGGATTTGGGGGCGACCAGGACGGGGGCTTAGGGGCGACGTGCCGTTTTGAGACGGTATACCCGCACCTCGAGCCGTTGCGCGAGTGGAAAGTACAGGCGTTCGTCGATGGGGATAGTCTGACGCTGGAGCTCGTTACATTCCAGGATTGGATAGGCGTTGCCGCGGAGTTGCTGGACGAGTTAGAGGAGATAATGGGGATGTTAGTGAGGAAGCCAGATGGACAACTCTTCTGATTGGATACGGAGGGTGAACAATATATAGGTATATATATGTAGAACTTAGAGTACTTGGATAAATTGCCGTCCTACTATTTAGTCGTTCATTTGAGTCTTGGGATAAGTACCTCTATGAGGTATGTTAGATACCCTTACTCGTAGCATATATGTTTGTATGTTGACGCCTTACCAATGAGTTAGGCTTTCTCGGCATTTATATATAAGGTATATCAATATGAGTTCGCTGTCCATAAAATCTTGTCCTCTATCCGTAATTTAGAACTGTGATGAGAGCCAACATTCATAACAACTTCTTGGTTCTTTATATAAAACTAGCATATATACTTGGTAATATTGAACGGTTTAATCCGCCGATAACTGAAGTTGATACAAATACCAACTGAATATTAAACCAACACGTCTTAGGGGTTGATTGTCTAAAATCCGCTGTCGAAATCGAAAAAATTGCCAGTCATTTAAACATTAATCTACCCGCTTTGACGGCATCCACTGTACACGCACATATGAATTTACATCCTACAAATCCGGTCGATTATATTCTCGCATTGGCGGGTTTGCCTTCAGCTCTTGCCTTTCGCCTCCTATACGCATCCCGGTAATTGTATCGCTCGTACGTACCAAACGCATAAAATCCAAATCCAATCACCAACCAGATGCTGGTGATAATTAGGCCCACTGGGAAGATTAGGATGTTAACACCAGGTAAGACGAAGGCGACTGTCCCTTCCTGCAGTTGGGCCGTGATGTTCTGGACCGCTACCGAAGCGAGTGTAAAATCAGACATGACAACATCGGTCGAAAATATGCCGTTGACGAAGGCAGCCTCATTAGAAGAGACATTCGTGCTAACTTGCTGGCCTGCTAAGTTCTTTCCCGACAATGTCACGATCGGCATCACCAACGCCTCTAGCACACCCCTATTTTGAGATATAAGCATTTGCGCGCAATAATACGGTATGAAATATGCATCTAATTTGGGTACTTACATCGTCATAGGTTGAGCCATTTGGGCCTTATCTATTTGACCAACAAACATGTACGTCTGGAGCAGCGTAGGTGTCGAGCTCTGTCGCTTAGTGACATTCGCAGATTGCGCCCCTTCGCCAACTGGCGAGACAGACGCCCCGTTGTATTGAAGTCCAACGGAGATGTCCTCTGGAGGGATACCTTCAAAATCTCCGGAAGGTGTTGATATTTGGAAGAGGCGCAAGTCAGCCATGAATGTGCCGTCGTTCGTGTCGAGACTGAATAGATTATAGCAGACGGCTGTTCCCGAGGGGTTCGACGCGGCTACGAGCTGAGACAATGCTGTCATGCAGGCTGCTGAAGTATCCGTGTTCCACTGAGTCATGTTCGCTTGCGAATCGCTCGTTGTCGACGTCGTCTGTCGTCTTTCTAACGAATCGGTATCGGCATCGGCATTGGCATCGTCGAATCTTGTATCCAACATCGTCGCACGCGTGTTCATGATTCCTCCCACCATAGGCTCCATGCTAGCTAATGCCGACGAGGCAAATAGCGAAGCTACGGCAGCACTTAGCCAAACCATCTCAGCGAGACTACTTTCACTTTCGATTATGATATTCGCCTATGGACTAAAGTATATATCTGTTGAACAGTAATAAGCCGGCCGGCGGTTGAAGGTGGTAATATATCGGTATATCTGTAAAGAGTGTTTGTAAAGAGCGTGTGGAACCTGTCCGTATTATAACTATTCTATTTTCGCTGGGAGCGGAGACCCAAGTAGCGCCGATCAGATTGGAGATCCAGCAAAATAGAAGAAAGTGAAAAAAAAGGGACCTGCCCACAAGAACGGAAAGGCGGCAGTGTTTTTGCTTGGACGGAACGGATAGTAATGGGATTCGGGAAAGGAGAGAATGGAAAAAAGAGGCGGATATCAACTCGATAGCTTACCTAGAATAGATGCAATAAGACAAGGGACCCGCAACGAAGACAGACCCCAGTAGACCGACTAAATGGCATGACGGTGGGTCGTCGAGAGATCTTGTGCGCGGCGGCCTAGAACAGATCAAGTTGCAGGGTTTGGGAGATCTCTTTGCTGTCGAACTGCACTATGTAAGACAACCAGGAGGAGTTGAAAACACGAGGAGTTGGTAGCCCTTGTTGATTATCATACTCCTTCTGCGGCAACGAGGACCCCCTTATGACACGGAATATTGAATATTAGGAACGAGGAGTTAAAAGACTTTGCTGCTGCAGGCGGTGGTGGTACGATGGAAATACTACCTACATCAGGTATGTAGGTAGGCTAAGAGATGATGGAGAGCCAGTGCATTGTGGAGACCGAAGAAGGGCAGTGAGTGACATTGGCACTGCACCGGCGCGAAGCCAACGAATGAAATGTGAAGCCGACCTTGACCTATTAGAGGTACATCAATATGTATAACAATTGGATCGTATAAAACCGGGATGATGGACTACGTCCACGGTAGTAAAAACAGAGGTAAAATTATACTTATCCAAGTGTGTGGTCTGTATTATACATGCACCGTATGTACGAACAGTAGGTCAGAATAACTGGTGTTTTGACAATGTCGGATCGCTTAATGATGCGACGTCGATGAAGAGGGAAGAGGTTTCGAGAGGGTCGGCGTCAGTGAGACAAAGCGGCCATGCTACAAGGTACTATGTATTAGTCACCTAATCCGTACCTAGGTACCTATGATTTAACCAATCGGCATTCTCCTAGCCGTTCAGGGTACTTTAACGTGTTCTGGATGGGTTAGGAAGATCCTTAATAAGAGCCCTGAACCCTGTCTAGTCACATCTTGGGGCTTCAAAGCCCCCAACTTCCCCTTACCAACTCCTGTTCTCGTGTCACAGATCCTAGTGGCCAAGCACCCCGAGTACAGGGTTAGGCCTATCATACATACGCTACGCCGACGTTATGGGACTTAGCCGTTTCTACCATATTAACGAACGTTGAGATGAAAAAAATAAAATACATACTAGAAGCAAGATACCCAACCCATTTTATTCTTCATTTATCGTTTTCGAATCCGTATCAGGAGATGTGTATCTTATGAGAGTACGTAAAGATATAATAATAACGACGACATCCTAATGAGATTCATACCTTACACGTGTTTTAGAGCAGAACTATTGATGTTTAAGTACCAGGTAGTTAGGTTAATTCTTTAGGAGATGGAGGACTACCTGGAACCGGCGTGCTTATACGGAATAGTTTGATCCTGCTCTAACTATCTAAAGACTAACTTATTAATAAATACATCTAAACACATATTTTAAGACAAATCCAATCCTTTGGGAGAACACCCGACTGCTGATGTCAGTTACCTACTATTATCGGCAACTCAGCTACCCTCTTCAGCAGGTCGCCATTAACGCCATCGTCTCGTTTATACTAACCACGATTTTCTAAACATATATAGCGCCGGCGTCTAAACCGGGCAAACGAGAGCATTAATTAATACGGTCTTTCAGCCGGATTATCTCGTTAGAATGATCGGGTGGGTGCATAGGAATATACTAACCATACGTACGGAAGGTATTTCAATGACCCCCAAATGTAATGATTGCCTATTATTAATCATCCCGAGATTTTTGTGACTCACGGCGAAAGCTCCGGTCGTCATCGGAGAGAAGCTGACGGCGGTTTAATTGTAAATTATATGTAGGAACCTATGTAAGAACCATACTTCATTCTGTGAGTTGCAAGTTGTAATCTATTTTTATAAGAAAATTCAAAATCAAATTAAATCAAAATGAAGTCTGCCAACTTCGCCAAGACAGCTTTAATTATCATTGACGTTCAAAATGGATTCCGACACCCAACACATTGGGGCGCTAGCCGCAGTACACCTGAATTCGAGGAGAACGTCGCGCTTCTGCTGAACGCGGCACGGGAATATAATAAGAGGCTAGGTGAAGACGCGGTAGACATTTATCACGTCCACCATCATAGCATCTATCCAGACTCGATGCTCTATCCTGGTACTCAGGTTGAGATAGATGGCAAACTAGTCGAAGCGGTACAGCCGCAGTTGTTTGCACAGCCAGAACCGCAGGAACCCGTCTTTATCAAGAATGTCAACTCATCCTTCATTGGCACCAAGCTAGAAGCCCATCTCAAAGCCCAGGGAGTTAGACAACTCGTCATAATGGGCCTTACAACAGACCACTGTGTTAGCACGACTACAAGGATGGCTAACAATCTAAGGGTTGTATCCGTAACAAGTCCAACCGGTGAACTCGATGAAGGCGATATCGTTCTCGTCGGCGATGCATGCGCCACGTTTTCAAAGGGTGGAATCGATGCCGAAACGGTGCATAAAGTGAATCTTGCTTCTTTAAACGATGAGTTTGCTCAAGTTTCAACCACGCAAGACGTCCTGCATAACGTATTTGGAAACTAAATTGCTATCTAAAATTTGTTTTCTCATCTACTAGCCGCTGGGGGGTATCTAGATATATGCGTTCTCGAAAAGAAGCCCAATCAATAATCAATCCATCATGTAACCCATTGATCCTGCGCAGTCTAACATCACACCAAGTTGTGGTGTGGTCAGGTGGTGCATACGACTACTCGCTCGAGCAATAAAATAAATGATGCGGTATAATAAACTGGGTATAAAAGGAAAGCAAGCTATTCAGGGGGAGTTGTGAACGCTATTCAAGTCGAAAAGGTTGTTTGTAACCCCAACATAGAACCCTCCAGTCGTAATATTCAGCCCTTTATCCAATGACTTACGGACCTTTTCAGCGTAGAGGCCCGCGGCGTATGGGTCTTGAACAGATGTCCGATATCTGTGAAGACGAGATAAGTACCAACAATCGTCCAGAACCCGAAAATGATAGAGAGGGAAAAGGCTATCTTCGCTGTAATGATCTTAGGGAGGAGAAATCGTCTCGCAGGAGCGCTGAGGGGTAGCCAGCCAACGCTGGGCGCCTGCGTTGTCGAGATGCCTGACTGTTTGTCCTGTTTAAACTGCTCGATAGTGTCAAACATCTGCCAGGCGGCCTTGTTGCTGATCCTCTCCCACGTGGCTTCGCATGCAAACGCGCGGCCGGCTAGAGCAAACTGTTCGCGGAGTCTCGAGTCCCGACCAAGCAACATCGTCTTCCGTACGAAACCATCCAAGTCATCGGGTGGGATGAGAAACCCGGTCTTTCCTTGCTCGATAGTATCGCTTGGTCCACCCTGGTCCCGTGCAATCACCGGCACGCCGCTCGCCATCGCCTCCAAGACTACCAGTCCAAATGTCTCGGTGATGGAGCAATGCAGGAAGATATCCGCTGAGGCGTAATGAACCATCAGATCTTCTCCAACCTTGAAGCCAGGGAAGATAACCTTGCCTTTCTCGTTCAGCGAGCCGAACATATCTTTTACTTCTTGGAAGACGACTGGGTTACGATTTCCGCCGACGATGACGAGTTTGAAGTCCAACCCTTCCTTATCCAGCTCCTTGGCTACCTGTGCAAGGAACCCGAATCCCTTCTCGCCCGCTATTCGCGAACAGGTGAATAGGATAAGCTCCCCATTTGGTGCCCATTCTTTTCTCAACGCCAAGCTTTTCTTGGCCGGATCGAAGTCCTTGGTGTTGACTCCCCGTCTCAAAACCTCCATTTTGTTAGTTGGCACGTTTGCGTCTTTGTCTAGATACTTTTTGACGGATGTGCTCGGGTAGAAAATGGTCTTCACGGAAGAGTCACGAAAGAGGTTACCTTCGACTAAGCCAAAGGTTCGATTCGCCATCCCGCCTAGCGGCCAAGGAAACAGAACAGAGCAGTATCTTGCTAGGTCGGTCTGAAAATTGCATATGACAGGCACTTGCAGCTCCTTCGCATACTGCCGCATCTGCAGCATCACCTGGAATCCTAAAGATGCTGGACTGGCCAAGTAGATTAGGTCTGGAGGCCCCCCAAATGTCCGCCTGTATATCTCAGAAAGCCGTACAGGATATGCCACTGAGAGTTCGGGGTTGAAAGGCAGAGGATACCCTGCTAGCCGTACTTCTTCCTGATACAACGAGTTGACGTTGCTAGAAGGGCTAATCGGGTTAAATGTGTTTATTTTGGTGTGGTTATACGGCGCAACTACCGAGACGATTACCTCGTTAGATCGGAGTTGATCCACCAGCATCTTGGTGGTGCGCGACACGCCGTTCACAGGGCCAAGGCTCTCAGTGCATAGCAGGATACGTTTCCCGGCCAGACCAGACGGGAAATTGTCAAAATCATGAGGTGTCTGTTCGTCCGCCATGGTTTAAACTTGATGAAGCCGACAGGTTGATGTAGTGTAGTCCCTGCAAGGGGTCCGGAGGTACAGATTGGGAATGCTTTTTTCTCTTTAACCTCACTAGGTGAGCCTGCTACGACTTCTGCTGCAAGACTAATCAGTAGGCTGTGATATAGGTGACTGTCAGGACGCATACATATTATTAAGGGATGCCCGTAATAACGTAATGCTGAAGGCGAAGATACTAAATCAGGAAATTATAGTAATAGAGGGAAAGAAATGAGAGTCTTATTCCAGAGCAGAGGATAAAAGGTGTATGGGAAAAACGAAGCCGTGATTGCTAACTGGCAATTACGCCTTATATATAATAAAAGTACCTAAAAATGAGTCAATATTAGAGTGTTGATGCAACGAAACTAAAAAGTGTTGGCCAACTTAGGAAGATGATACTGAACTATAAGCAAGTGATCTGTGCTCTTTAGGGATTAGATCGCGTGTCGAACGGAAGGCAGCAGCTGACGTGTACTTACCTCTTGACGCAGTTAGAAATGAAGGTGTGAAATATTCCCGTGGATGGAATATAGGTTGGCTTTGGTGTCTGTGAGATAGACGCGCGTAGGTATTATATTCACTGTCGGTCTGATCGGTGACTCACGAGGTACTAGTGTATGTGTCTTTCTCTCTTGTCTGAACCTTCAAGGGCATCAGACCAATGTTTATACTTAATCACGCACTTGAATTTTAATCCTGCGTGAGTGTTATTAATGTTGGGGTTAGAGAAATATCTACCCAAGTTACTATAACTAGGCCGAAACATGACTCACTTTGGCATATATATACGTGTTCTAGTGTTGGCTACGTAAACTTATTGTTATTTTATTAGCTTTGACCATTACGGTACTATACTTAATTACTAGCCAAATCTTTAATTAAAGCGTAGTTCTTTTTAAGGTGCGGTGGTCCAATGTATGAAGACAGTACAAAGGTTGAGGCTAAAAGTCTTGCACATGTCCAAATCTTGGAATCGATTTTCGTAAGTCTTTTAACTTATTAATACTGTATCAGCCACATGCTAAGCTGGGGGTGGAATAGTGGCCTATCCGCTGAATTCAGGTGGCTTACCGCTATATTTATAGCATCTTCAGCCACCATAACTTAAGTAAAACCGTGCAGTCTCTTTTTACTCGCACGTGGCTTTGTCAAGCTCAGATGTGCAAGACTTTTGGCCCCAACCTTCGTACAAGTAACCTTTTCTTTGGTTTAACCTTTCGTCTTACCGTTTGCCTTTGGTATCAATTTACCCAATGACACGCTCTGTTGACAGCACACGCGTAAAGAGTCAGCGCACCAATCATATGGCGCATTGACAGCACATTTTCCAAGACCTGCAAAGACCTGCAAGAGAATCCGGGGTCGTACAAACCTTACAGATATTATGTAGATCTGCACGTATACCGACATCGCGCCTAAGCAACATCTAGACTTAGATTCGTTAAGCTTTAGCCTTAAGGGTGGTCGATGTCACATGGACATTCACCATTTATGTGAGGTTATCTAGATTGACTCATTTACGAATTAGCACTCTACGTTAGACCCTCGTGTGTCTGGTACGCTTATCTGTTGGCTGTCTAGGTATCTATCCCTAAGGTATCTATCCCTAAGTAATACTTGCGCCATCATACTTGAGTATGACTTGGGTTACGGAATAGAATACCTTAGGTAGTTATTTCTTTTCTTTTCTTTTTCTCCTTTTTTCCTCACTTCCTCGCCCAGCTGATTCATCCTACTCTTCGATTGTAAGATATTGTAAGATGTGGCGGGATCTAGAGATTCATCTAGCTTTTCGCAATATTCCCATCATTGTACTCTCTACACTAGTGGGCATCTATTTACAGTATCTATACAGTGACGCGCATTCAACTATCTACGGCCGGCCCTGCATGAGTCGTTTCGCTCGAGCCGCGTGCTGCGTGTACGATACTAACTCTTAAAACCTCGGCCGCCTTTAGTAACTTACGAGGCCCTCTTTCTTTTCCTCTCAAGCCTCCTGCTCCTACATCCTGCCTATGGTAGGTAGCAGGCTAGCACGTACCTTACATATCTATAAAGTTCATTAGATTGCAACCTGACTTTCAATAGGCCCTAGACAGACTTATCCATACGTGTACTTAGGTTAGGTAGGTATGTGCATGCAGCTTGTTCCATCCAAGTCGAGTCATCTACTAGCTACCTACATATCTATGATGGCCCGTGGCACACGGTTGGATAGAGCACTGGCTCTAAGTTCTTGTCCAGATCCGCCACCTGCGTCTATCGCATGGGTTCCAGTAGGAGCTTAACGCAATCGCACATCTTTTTTACCAAGCTAAGAGGAGAACATGACCTTGCCTTAACCTTCTAGAGAGGGGGTTCCTCGTGTCGTTTCAAACCAAGTAGCGTCCTAGCGATGTCTAGGTTTAGATATAGCTATGCTCATGAGCATACTCATGAGCATACGTACCTGCCTAGGTATATATATAAACTTAGCCCAGTCCTTATCGAAGAGGCCACCCCTTTCTTATAAGTCTCACCCTTCCACTCACCCAGACAAACCCTTCGTAGCTACCTTTAATTCACCCACCAATACCATCGTCAGTTTCCTTCTAGGTAGGTTCCTGGTTGCTCACGATACCTACTCGTCTACTGAGTCAGCGGTCACGCTCTCTATTCCACCTTCCAAGTATACCTACTAGGTATATCTATATTTACCTAGGGTAATCTTACGCGGCCACTTTACTACAAAGCTCGTCGGTCGACACTCAAGAATAGTAGCTTACATTAGGCTCCACTTAGCTACTATGGGTTCTATTAAGGTGCCGATAGCTATTCCAACAGCTAAAACTGAAGACGGTAGCACATTTGTTGAGGTTGCTTCAACGGCTCCGACTACACCAGATGGGAGCCCAATACCCAGTCCCATGCTCCGTGAAGATTTAATCGCGGACCTTGAGCGAACCGCTCTACCGCAAATAATGTCTACCCCCCAGGAGACGACCCGTCCTATTCGTAACATATGTTGCGTCGGCGCTGGCTATGTCGGTTAGTTATCCCCCTTCCCTTTCGAGAACTGCTCTTCTTTGAATGGATATCTCGCCCCTTACTGTTTGCTATTGTTCTTCGAAGCTAAAGGGTAACGTAGGCGGCCCGACAGCTGCTGTCATGGCTTACCAAAACCCAGACCTCTGCGTCACTGTGGTGGACAAAAATGAACAGAGAATCCGTCGCTGGAACTCAGAACACTTACCCATTTACGAGCCAGGCTTGGCGGACATTGTTCGCATCGCTCGTGATGGGTCTAGGAAGTGTTACTTCGACAATGAACCAGCCAGTACCAATATGGGCACATGGAAATCTCACGGCTTCTGTACCCCTGATCATGTGTATTATAACACAAAGGTGACCGTGCCCTCTAGAAAGCCGAACTTGTTCTTTTCGACTCAGGTAGCACGAGTTATTGGCGAGGCGGATATAATTCTCATCGCAGTTAACACACCAACGAAGTCAAAAGGGGCTGGAGCGGGAAGCGCCACCGACATGACAGCTTTTGAGGCTGTCACCAGCGAGGTTGCCCGGCATGCCAGGCCAGGAACCATCATTGTGGAAAAATCAACCGTCCCTTGTAGAACAGCGGAGCTTGTCCGGAAGACTGTAAGTTGGCACCTACTATATGAGATTCTATCTAGACGATATTGGCCGACTAACAGTTCAATAGATGGCGGTCCACCGCCCCGGGGTTCACTTTGAGATACTTTCAAACCCGGAATTTCTAGCAGCAGGCACAGCCATGAATGATCTTACATATCCCGACCGCATACTGATCGGGTCTTCGTCAACACCATCTGGCTACCAAGCCGCGGAGTCTCTAGCAAAGGTCTACGCGGCATGGGTCCCGCGGCCTCGTATCATCACTACTAATGTCTACTCGTCTGAGCTGGCAAAGCTTGTAGCGAACTCGATGCTAGCGCAGCGTATAAGCAGCATCAACTCGATCTCTGCGATCTGCGAGAAGACGGGAGCAGACGTTGATGAGATAGCAGCGTCTATTGGCCGTGACCCCCGCATTGGCGATAAGTTCCTTAAAGCAGGAATTGGTTTCGGCGGGAGCTGCTTCAAGAAGGATATTCTTAGCCTGGTATATTTGGCCGAATCCCTTGGCTTAGATGAAGTGGGCGAATACTGGAGACAGGTGGTAAAGATGAACGAGTACCAACGCGACCGCTTTGCTAAGCGCGTGATTCAATGCCTCAATAACACTCTAGTTGGAAAGAAGATTACCCTGCTTGGCTACGCGTTTAAGGCCAATACCTCCGACACGAGAGAATCACCCGCACTCGAAATCATCAAGACGCTCCTTGAGGAGGGCCCTAAGGAGATTGCAGTGTTTGATCCCTGCTGCAACCCGGTGGTCGTCAAAGCCGAGATCAAGGAGCTTATCAAAGGCCAGCCTGCTCTCAGAGAAGACGGAGGACCGATTGAGATTTATTCGAGCGCCTACAATGCCTGCGAAGGCAGCCATGCCGTCCTAATAACAACCGAGTTTGACGAGTTTCGAAGCACTCCAGTCAAGACAGACAAGCCTAACGCTGCTTCAGAACCTTTGAAGCACGTTGATCCCCGACCATTCGCTTTTAAGGTTACGGAGTCAGATATATTATCACTCCACAAGTACTTCCTACGTGCCGCACCCGCAGGGACGTACCCTGGTAATGATCCTTTGAAGCGATATAGACCAGAGCCAGCGTGTGAGAGCGACTGTCCCGACTGTGGCCTGATCAAGACAAGCGGCTATTCCACAGCGGGAAACTCGAGCGAGGATAGGCCTAAAGAGAAGCTAGACTGGAGAAAAATCTCTTTCGCCATGAGAAAGCCGAAATGGTTATTCGACGGCAAGGGCATTATGGATGCAAACGAGCTTACCAAGTTAGGCATTCGTGTAGAGAGTGTTGGGCGTCAGTGAGAGTTGGAGCTAGAGTGTCCTCCCCTTTCCCGGTTTTCCTTTCCCTGTTTTCCTTTCCCTGTTTTCCTTTCCCTCGGGGTTGTTTTCGCATACACGGTTTCTGGTTATACTGATTACGTTGATTACCATGCTGGATTGCATTTTATGAGGGAGTAGCTTAGAAAAGGTCTAGGCTACTAGGTTGCACAGAGGTTGGATATACCTCCATAGAGTCTTGTTGCTCTTCCCCCCCTTCCCCCTTTCCCCCCTTTTCTTTTTTCTTTTTGATTCTTGCTATTGGAGTATTTGGATTCTACAAGTTTGCATGGAAACAGCTGCTTTCTCGTAAAGAGAAGTTCATTGTGGAAAATGGGTTCAGTAAGAATAGTCGCCGCCATCATTTGATTCTAGTATTCTGGTTTGTCTAAAGCGTTGATAGATAGTATATGTAGATGGTAGTGCATGCAATATGGTCGCGTTCCCTTTTTTAATAGTAATATAAAAAACTAATGCTGATAATAACTTATGTTTAAGTCGCTGTAGTTATCTACCTCTTTCACTTCCCGTGTATAAATCGTACAAATAAACCCATAGATCCATGAGTTAAAGGTAACAGGTACCTACCTACCTCTAATGTCCCTACAACATTTGAATAGCTTCTTTACAAGTCAGCCGTAAATAGATGTTGAACCCCCCCCTATCCACTCTCGCGTGGCACTTATCCGACGCCTCGGAAAAGTTGGAGTACCTAAGATGTAAAATAGACGGCGACAAAGGATGTGCGGACATAAATCAACTGCCGACCAAAACGCCAGAGCAATTAACCTTGCGAGCACCGAAAACGAACCTCGGCGCAAGTGCATTTCGCCATGATAAAATAAAACCAATTAACCGACCAATAGACCAGTTACTCATACATCGCTAGGAAATACTGTAGATATATCTGAGATATAGACATTCTTAATCATTTTTAACACAAATGGTCTTTTGAACTTTGGCCTTTCAAGAAGAGCCTTCTTATATTACATACCACTCCACCCCCTCCACCCCTCTAAGATGGCGCGGCCTCGGAGTGCTGTTCTTAGGGCTTCCGTCCAACTCTCACATCGATGGGCGGTGCCTCACGCGCGACGACAATATAGCATTGCTACCGCTACAGCTACAGCTACAGCTACTATTGCTAACTCTAGATTCACGCCATGCCTCCGGAGATCACACCGGTACTACGCGACTGAGGCATCCGCGAAAGCGACGCGGGGCGGCTCAAAGGTCTTCAAGTCTGCAGATGAGGCCGTTGCAGACTTGAAGGATGGCGACGTGGTCCTTAGTGCTGGATTTGGGTTATGTGGCGTTGCTGGTATGTGTGAAATTAAATGATCAGCTTTCTCAATCTTTAAGGGACTTTGGCAACTGCCTCGATTTTACAAGTTTCTGGTCCGAGCTATCATAGCTATCGTTGATAGTATTTACTCACATGAGAGATTGTCTAACTGATGATACACGTAGAAACACTCATTCAGGCTATACATAAAAGGGGTCTCAAGAATCTCACGGCCGTGTCGAATAATGCTGGCTCCGGTGACCACGGCTTAGCCCTGCTTACTAGGGACGGACGACTAGATCGCATTATCCTCTCATATCTAGGGTCGAATAAGGAGCTCGAGAAACAATATTTAACAGGAAAAATAGCTGTTGAGCTATGTCCACAAGGCACATTGGCCGAAAAGCTAAGAGCGGCCGGGGCTGGCATACCGGCTTTTTATACAGCGACAGGAGGGAAGACGTTCGTTGAGACTGGCGAGATACCCGTGAGATTCACCCCGGAAGCTGTCCTCGAAAAAGGCAAGCCAAAAGAGACTAGAGTATTCAATGGGAAATCCTACATTATGGAGACGGCTCTCCCTGGCGATGTAGCGGTCCTGCGCGCTTGGAAGGTTGACGAGGCAGGCAACTGTGTCTTCAAGTGAGTTTTTCTATAAACCGTCACTTTTGCATAGTATACAATATTTACACGCATCTCATAGATACACTACCAAGACGTATGCGGGCCTTATGGCCAAGGCGGCACGCATCGCCATCGTTGAAGCTGAGAATATCGTACCGATCGGTTCTATTGATCCGGACAGCGTTGATCTTCCGGGGATCTTTATTGACCGCATCGTACCGGCCACGGCGGCCAAGCACTTTGAAGTGCTGAAAGTAGCGCCACCTAAGGAGGATCCGACTTCAGGCAAGCCGAGCACACTTGATGCTCGGAACCGTATTGCTAGGCGTGCGGCTAAGGAGCTGCAGGATGGCTATTACGTTAATTTAGGCGTGGGGATCCCGACGCTGGCGGCGTCATACTTGCCTGAGAATACCAAAGTCTGGCTACAGTCTGAAAATGGTATCCTAGGCATGGGCGGTTACCCGGCGACAGAGGAAGAGGCAGACCCAGACCTGATCAACGCGGGTAAGGAAACGGTAACGTTGTTACCAGGAGCTGCGACATTCGACTCGGCCGAGTCGTTCGGCATGATCCGGGGCGGTCATGTTGATGTGTCAATTCTAGGCGCTTTCCAAGTATCTGCGTCGGGAGACTTAGCCAACTACATGATCCCCGGTCGTGTTTTCAAGGGCATGGGTGGCGCCATGGACCTCGTGTCGAACCCAGAGCAAACCAAGATCGTCGTGGCTACAGAACATGTTGACAAGAAAGGCCGCAGCAAGATCGTCCAGGACTGCAAACTGCCCCTAACCGGCAAGGGCGTCGTCAGTACAATCATCACAGACCTTGCTGTCTTCCAGGTTGATCGCACCAAGGGCGGTCTGACGCTTACTGAGATTGCGGAAGGTGTCGAAGTTGAGACTGTGAAGGGTAAGACCGATGCTCAATTTGTGGTTGCAGAAGATTTGAAGACGTTCTAAGCATAGAGAGTGTGAGAGGGTGAGACAACAAGATGATACCAGACGAGACGAGTCAAGACGGAATATGGTTCGCACCGGGTGTTTATATTTATTGTATACCTATAGATTAATGCGTATCTGCGCATATAAATACACTGCTTATATGGTGGATATATAAACTAGGTACACTATGTGAATATTGACTTATAATTCAAGCTCTTATTCCCATGTACAGTTTCGTAACTTCATTTACATATCTTAACCCCCCTTGACAAACACAAGAGCAAGTCATTAGCTAATTCATAATCTATGTACTATACCCTTCTTATAATTTAGCCCGTAAACCAGGCGCAAACGTAGTTCCTTCGCCGTTGCTAATCACGTTGACTAACTTATCAATATTCTCCAATATCCAGATATTGCCGTCTTCGGTAGCCAGCCATGCACCGCCCTCGACAGGCTCCTCTCCTTCGGCTTGCGCGTCACCGTTGTCGTACGCCTTCCGCAGACCAAAGATGTGCGAGACAACCTGAGGTCCGACACCGGTCTGTGCGCGCAGACACGCAATAGCTACAAGCGACGTGAGTACGCGACCGACCTTCGCGGGAGCATCTACGCCTCGCGGGTTTGATAACAGGTTGGAGTAGTGACCGTTGAGGATGTGGACGGGTAGATCCGGATGCGACTGTGCCAGTTTGTCGAGTAGCTTGCGCTCGAAGCCTACGTAGACGCTATCCCATAGGGCGAGACCGTCGCGCTTACGGACCTCGAGGTTAGATGGCGTCAGCTCGCGCGTCGGAGTCGTACTTAATGATGAGGCGACGTCGGCGGGTAGGCTATTACGGAATGCGCCCAGCGTGTTGATGCTTCGCGGAATGCCATTGAACGAGATACACTTGAGCCCAACTTCGCGGATCAGCTCGGCATTCTGAACGGGTGTGCGCTGCTCGTTGGTCGTCGTTGTCGAGTTAGCTAGATGGAAGATTTGCGTCATGGCTTCGGGGCAGTTTAGTGTCGCTGAGACGGCTGTCTAGAATAATTATCTCCATGTTTAGTTACTAGTTCCTCGTTTATTTGTTTGTTATTCGTTTGTTATTCTTTCTCATATTTATCCCCCCCTCCCCTTTTTTTCAATTTTTTTATTATTATCCATCTTCCCCAGACTTCAGCACAAAGGCAGAACATACCGACAAAGTCACCCAAGCTGGTAACCCGACCTTCTTTTCGGCAGCATCACTTGCGAATTTTGTTAAGGCAGTCTGCACACTTGCCGACGAGGGAGTATAGCCAGACCGCGCATGGCCGGCGTTGATGAGCGCCTTGACGGCCTCTGAAAGTTTCGACATATTATTTCCGTAATTAGTAATTGCGCAGAGTAGGATAAATAAATGGTCAAGAGGAAAGAATTAAAGCTAGAGAAAGTGAAAAGCTAGTGTTCAGGTACTATTGAGGCCCTCTTCGGCCTAATAATATCCGATCGTCGCTGTTTGTCGCATTCGTTTTCCAAAGGTTATAGCGATCAGGGACGGATCCGACGTCATTAGTGTGCGAATTAAGTATTTCACTTATCCTCTAGGGCCTAAGATGCGCGGCTTTTAGCAAGCTAAGCTTTTGGAATACACTGCCGCGGTAATAATCCTTGGAAGATGGATTCGGTAATTCAAGAATCCCCGACGCTATGTATGTGCAAGTACCTACCTTAGGTACCTCTGTACAATACCTAGAACGCCAAATTCCCCTAGCCACAGCGGTTCGTTTTTGCCCATATACGGTATAACTCACCGTATCGAACCGCTAATTCAGGGACAAGGATTGTAGGGAACTGTAAGGGCAGCCAAGCAGCCAAGCAGCCAAGGTTCCATCCATTGGCCCTAGCCTCTAACTCTCGGGTAATACTTGTGATGCCGGTTGCAAACATAAGGTACATGTGCGCTCATGAGAGCATCGTGCGATTTTTACAGAAGTTTCGTAAGTTATGAAAAAAGTGTAAATATGAACTCAGCGGCTTATAGTCAACCGAAAGTCACAACAGGAATTATATAAAATATTTATTCAACACCGTCTTAGCAACGAGACATCACCAGAATAACATATCGACACTCAACTCGAAGTTTCACGACTATAGATTCATATCTCATAGTCACTACTTGAAATGGTATGTTCAAAATTCTCAGAGAAACCCGCCGTCCAAATTCTATGCCCATACCCATGCCCATGCCTATTTACCCGCCTATACGTAAATCCCATCGATAAGTCGGGTATACCATACTTCAGGGAGCCTTGGAGGTATCCAGTCGAATACCATGGGAAGGACTCAAAAAGGACCGTGTTTCCTTCATACCTCTCAACTCGAACTAAGTGTTGACTCGGTTTTCTTTTATAAGGTAGATACCTGCCGTAACGAGGTTGTTACCCGCCTCTCATAAAAATCATATACGCAAACACCGTTCTTCACCTTCACTCAGGTTGTTAGTTGCCTATAGCACAAGCTTGAATGTAGGATCACGGTCATCACCGAAGCCGCGGAATTTATCGTATTTGCCATTCGCCTTATCCCGGTTGATCTTCCAGCAGTACAGCACGTTGCAAAGGATCCTAGGAGCTCGTTAGACGGTGATCCAGCTCATCACGATGAGTGAGTGTACTTACAAGAACCACCCGGCGCACAACACTCCTAGAATAATGGTATGGCCTTCATGGTATGCCGGCCCTTGTGTCTTCGGATATATGAACACGGCGACGAATCCACCACAGTTCGCGATGGCAAGCTGCAGGGCGCTCGTCGTCGCTCGCTTATAATGGCCAGCCGAGTTCTGCATTGTCCATCGTCAGCGCGAGAACAGCGATGATACGGGGTATAAACCGTTAATAGCAATCTTATAAGAGAAAGATACCGCCATTATGGAGTATTTCCGGGGCGATACTTACGTTTGAGAGCCAACCAAGGACAGGCGGCACACTACTATATAAACCAGTAGCCATGAGAAACGTCATGCCGTACTTGACTTTAACATTGTCGACGTTCGCAATCACGGCATACCCTATAATCGCCAGCGGCAACGAAAAGAGCATAACCAATCCTCTGACGCGGAAGCGGTCGGAAAGGAACGCAGTTATCACTATTCTCTATAAGTTTGACGTTCAAGTACCAAGGATACGTGTTAGTAAACTCACCTGTAACCACGGAGGCTACCGCGTAGGGAATGACGGACCACAATTGAGCTTCGTCCGCCGTATATCCCAAGCCCGTAATGATTGTCGGAAGCTAACAGTTGTCCATTAGAATGTCTCTCTCATAGACAAAAATACCAGTGGCTACTTACGAAGAGACCAAAGCTATAAAGTCCACTGAGGATGCCGAAGTATGCAGCTGCTGTGAACCAGGTCTGCAAGCTGAAGACGCCGCGACCTACTTCGGACCAGGTAAACTTCTCATTAGCCTCCCTAGAAATCCGTCAATATAATGCCACACTAAACTAATTAGTCTAAAGTAGACGTACCTCTCGCGGTTGCCGCCACCGCCTTGGCTGGCAGCATTGAGGCGGCCGACGGCGAATTGACGCTCCTCTGGACTGAGGAATTTCGCCGATCCAACACCGTTAGGGAGGATGAAATACGCGGCGATTCCGACCAAGGCAGTCTTCGGAAGGAGTTAATATTACCGATTTCCAGTCATAGGAATGCTAGCCACTCACGAATAAACCTTCAAGCACGAAAATCCATCTCCACTTATTGAGACCGCCTCGAGTGCCTATCTCAGCTATTCCTCGGGCCAGCAGTCCTGAGGTGTTGTTAGATGAGATCCCCGCGTACAGCAATATCGATGAGGAATAAGACACATACCTCCGAAAGCACCCGATAAAGATGCAGCCGTATAAAAGATACCAATACGCAGGGCAAGTTCACCTCGCGTATAGACGGTAGACAAGTAAAGGACCTGCAGTATCTTATTAGTCCCGATGCTCCTATAGAGAAGTCATCTCACTCACAATTCCCGGCAGCAAACCGCCTTCGGTCAATCTACATCATTCAGAGTCAGCATTTGCTTATATCAAGCGAGAGGCTATTCATATATAATAAGAAGTACTCCGAATAAGAAGATAGTTGAAGCGCATAGGAGTAGGAGCTTCGCTAGGACCTTCTTAAAGATAGGAAATATCGACTAACCCAAGCAGTGCACGAACACCCACGAAGCCGGCGAAATTCTGGACAAATCCAAGACACATGGCGGATACGCCCCAAAAGAAGGTCAGACATGGCAGCCATATTTGGGGTGTCAGCTTCTTGAGAATTAGATTACTCGGAATCTCGCTCAGAATATAGGTCGCATAGAAGACGGCAAGACCCTGGTCGTACTGGTGGTCCGTTATACCAAGGTCTATTTCAAGGTTGTAGAGCTTCGCATTTCCCACATTGGTTCTGTCCAGGAACGAGCACAGGAACAGGACGGCAAGGATGGGCAAGATCCTAGTTAATCGCGGTTAGACGAAGGGATCTTGATGTACACGCTTAAACAACAACACCCTTCTTCCCCATTGCTAGAGAACGGAATCAATGCGAAAAGGGAGGGTATGACGGAACCTTGTGTCTAATTTCCATAGGATTTTGCGCGTTAGTTTCTTGTCCGTGGAACTGACATGCACCGAGCTCCCCTTCTCGAGCTCTTCCACCGTCGCCTTGTTAGGCAGATCGCCATTGTCTGAAGACGACATCGTGCAGCTTTCCTTCGCTTCGCTTCGCTTCTCTTCTCTTTTCTTTTTCTTCCTTTCCAAGTTACGACTCAGATAGAGAAAAGCGAAAAGCCAGAGGCAGAGGCAGAGGGAGAGAGAGAGGGAAGAAGAAGGTTGGGCGGTTTTGCCTTTGTTTAGATCACCCGTACTACATCAAACCTTGAAAAGCTTCGCGACCAACAGCTAAATACGGTACCACGACATTGGGCAAATAAGTTGGCAAGCCTAAATGGAACACCAGTTAGATTGCGGGGGACTTAGATTACTACTGCATTAGTACTCTTGTTGAAAGTTGGGGAGAAGCCAGGGGTCCCGACAGGGCATCAAATCCATTTCGAATTGGCGTGTGGGGTAAGCCTTTGTCGTGGGAGAGAGTAAGCCGATCATACTTGGCTACCGGAGTTGGCTTGCGAGGAGGGGGGGGGGGGGGGGGGGAACGTATTAAGGTGCGGATTTTGATATACGACCGACATGGCTTTTGAAGCTATGGGGCTTGTTATAGGTACCTCCCTGGTCCTAGGAGGTAAGAGGTAAGTAACAAGGTCTACGTTATTCATTACTAGACAAATCTGCACGTCCAAAGTGTAGTAAAAGCTTAAAAAAGGCTGACCAAAGGTATGATTGCTCGGGACTACTGCACGATAAGCCCCGGGATGTGTATGTGTGTGGGATCGATGGCAAGGGAGCGGTAGACAGTCACTAACTTAACCAATAGCTTTGCTCAGACAGATATCTCACAATCTCGGGGTCCTTATGGTATCTTTAACTTGCCCTCAACAGCCCTGTCCAGTGTCTTGTGTGATATGTTCTGTCACATTGGGCACACACAATGCCGAAGTATTAAAAATGTCTTGCTTCTTGGCTGCATCGTAGCGGGCCTTCGAACACTGTTCTAGAAACTCATAATGCCTATAATGCTTGGAAATCTCGTGGTTTCCTTAGTAAACAGAGTCGTACGCAAGATAATCGTTATTTTTAATCAACGTATCCTTGCAACCCTTCGTACTATCTTATGCGAGAAGGGTCTTAGTAGGGTATGATCCGTCCGCCTTCTATCTTAGAAACGTTGGGAAGACTAAGGCTATCATAATAGACAATGCATTGAACCGATATTATCCAAATGCCCTCCCGTCCCGTGCCCAACACCACCAGATTGATGCTCCCTTTAATTCGCGGAACGCCGAAACGCCGTGCTGCCCAAACAATAGACATGGAATTTGTACATCTAGGTGCTGAAAGTTGACCAGTCCATCCAGTCCAAGTCAGCGCTTTGGAACTGGAAATCCTCCCAAAATGCATTAAGCCCAATGTCAGTGCTGTGGATAGCCTCATCTAGCTGGTTTTCATTAGACATGGTGGAGAATAATAAATAGTCCGGTGGTAGATTTGACGATGCCACCGGCATTTGTATCGCCCCTTGGTGGGCTGCCATATGAGCGGCATTCAAATCCGTATAAATTGAGGCGTGCTTCGTCACGTCTCCGTTTAGCTCCGGCAGAGCCTGTGCTGCTTCTGAAGCGCGCGATGCGTACTTCAGTATCTGTCTCAGCTGTCCAGCAAATAGACAAGAGAGACCTTTCCGTTGGATTGGAGTTGATCCTATTCTCTCTAGTACATCCGTAGTCTCTGCTATTAGAGCCCTGATGCTAGGCGCCAGACTCGAGCTTCGACCATCAGCAACCGTGCTGACTCTGAGGGCAAAGCACGCAGCGAATGATATCATGATGGCGGTATTGTTGGGCATCGATCTAAGCTGCCCTTCGCCTTGAACAGCCACTCGCAAGACATTCAGCGCAGACGAGAGACCAGCAGCACGGAAGAAATGACGTGCTCCCACAGGCGCAGTACCGTGGTTAATCACAGAACTATACAGGGATAACCGTGTATGAGATGCGAGAATCTCGACGTACGGGGGCAACGAAAGTTCTATAGTGAAGTTAGCTACCTAATTAGTCCGTACGTATTAGTTTGTCGGAGTTGAAATACTGACGCTCGCGATCCCCCAATTGCAAAGGCCAAGTTTGATACCACCGATCGAAGAATAGGGTGATTTCATTTTTTACTCTATCGTAGCCTCTCAGTAAGCACCACTCGTAACTACAAGGGAGAGAAAACATAGGTACCTATCAACAACGGATAATTCGCTGTTACCGTTGACATAACTGTCACATATTGATCTTACTTTTGAGATCAGATTTGCCTAGTAAGTACCTAAGTGTAAGTTTCTCATCGGTAGCTACGCAAAGGGTGAGTATTACCAAGTCTCTCCTCAGAACCGCCACCGAGACGATTGAACCATCCCATCTATCAGCTAGGTCGCTTAGATGCCATTGGTCGCAATTCTCGATAAGTGGCGACATTGGAAGGACATAATTCCTTCCTCTCGCGAGACAGACACTATAGTAAAGAAGAAAAAAGAGGTTAGCTGGCTGACTTGAAGCGGGGTCTTGGTGTTTTGTTACCCTCTTTCAAGAACAAATAGAGACAACCAAGTCCTCTCCCTTCTTCTCAGAAGCCTGCGGCCCCTCGGAGAGTCTGGATCGATGTCGCTAAAACCGTCTATGCCAAGCGCTTTTCGGCCGGATATGCAATCAGACGTAGCAATAGTGTCCCTCGGGCTCCGCGGCTCTGTGGATGGAGGTAGTATAACCTTGTTTAGCGACAAGTCCAAGGCGATCGTTAGGGCCATAGAAAGGTAGGTCGATGTTTCATCGTCGGCCCAATGCTCACCGGCCGAGATCCATGGTATATTAACCATAAACGCTAGAATGATCTCCACGGACTTGTAGCGTTTCGCCATGACAAGACTGGCGAGCTTTTGGCGATGATTTGAAAGCCTTTTGTATAATGACTCCATGGACGGAGAGAAAAGTGCTGACGCGGCAGCTATCGAGGTCAACAGAAAAGCCGAACGACCTCGAACAAAGTCTACGGTGTGTATAACGGGGTCAATGCCCCAGCGCGTATGCGCGAGTTTTTCGTAGAAGCTGCAATAGTGTTAGTTTGATAATCTGAAGCTCTTTAGTTCCTAAGGGATCTGCTCATACTAAGAGAATAATGTTTCAGCCTCCGCGAGGGTGATGAGTCCCAATTCAATAGGGTCAAGGTCCTCGCCAACATCCAGTCGCGCTTGGAAACGACCGAAGAATTTTTGTAGATCATCGCCCTCTCCAGCTACACCACGACTGGATGTAGATTTGGCGAGTAGTCGTCCTGCTCCGGTCCCTTGCATCTGTGGTGTTATGGATGATAGGAGCTCAGACGTCCGGGCGAGTAGTTGTAGCGGATTCTCAGCGTCATCTAGACTTAGCTGATCTTCCTCGACCTTGGTATGCACTGCCGAATCGTCGCGTGAACAAGTTTGGGAAGGTGATGTTCCTAATGAAGTCGAAGTCTGCTGGGGAGACACGGACGCTTGATCATGCTCCATACCATTCTGAGACGATATGCGCCGGGAGAATCCATTATCACTACCTAAAAGCTCTCGACTCCTCTCGAGCAGAAATCGTAATTCGGTAGCTTGATCAGCTGTCTGTATCTGATCCAAAGCGCCAGAGCTAGACCTTCTTAAAGCTTGCTCAATCTGAAAGACGGCCTTTTCTAGCCCCGAATGCTTGCTGTCGGAGCTATTAGCCAAGCTGTGCCTTGCAAACCCATGGAAATACGAATAGCTGCGACTCACTTCTTGACCCCTTTATGTCGACCTACGTGAAAGAGCGGCGCGGAACATTGAATTGAGCGCTGAGTGCATCTCGTACAGGTTGAAGACCCGCTAGGCCGAACACATTTGAGCTTGGATTTCTTACAGTTGAAGCAGGCGGCAAGGCGCTCCTCTTCTCTTGTATCAGTATCTGATTTCGGCGCCATTCGATCCGACATGGGGACACGGCAGACAAGAGGAGGCCATAGAAGTTGCGGAGGTATGACGAGATGAAAGACTGGGCGCGTCTAGCACTACTAGCACCAAGTGAATTTAATCTCCGGGAGTTGTCGCGGAATCGTGGAATCGTGGAGTCTTTTTGGAGGGTCCAAAGGTTGTTGGGTCGGCAGAAGTTGTCTTGGGGCCCCGCACCTTGTTTAGTTCTTGTCAGGGGTCGAGACCTCAGGTAGGTACATGTATGATATGATACCTAAGCGTATGTATTGGAGGTATGTAAGTTAGGTTTGTATATATGTATTTAAGAGCTCGAGGGTTCCCTTATTGATGGATATTTGTATCACGTGATAATTATTGGTCCTATGAGAATTGTCTCTTATAAGCTCTCTTACCAATTTCTTCTTTATTAATATTCAATATTAAAAGGAGGTCGATATCCCGCAAGTCGGGAAAAGTTGGAAGGAAAAGCACGATTTATGGGAACAACCCGGAACAAAGACACGATACATTACCACCACCACCACCACCATCAAATCCTCTCAACTCACTTACATCACACTGTCCCATCCAGTTATGTAGAGGACCTCAATTCGTTGGACTTTTTAGAATTACTAAGTCCTGCAAGGTCCACTAGACTTTTCTGGGCAATGCTACCATTTTACCAAGTCTCGTAGATCGATTGGCCTCATGGTCGATCAAAGTTAGTCAGGGTTCCTGTAATCGCCCCTCGCTTGACTGCTTACTTGACACATTCCTCATCTGGCCTTACGGTTCATACATGGTCGAATACATTAGGTTCTGTCATACCCTTTCAACTACATAGTAGGTAAACTAATGTATGTAATACAGCTGCGAATCCGGGGCTGAGCTACCACATCTAAGTGGCCAGCACATGCATCCATTACAGCCGATAAGGATACTCGCTACCTTGTGCAGTAATAGTAATACATACTACCGACTCTTACCACACATCGACAGACGAATCAGCGGCGGTCGACTCGATTGCGTATGTCAATCCCTTAACTTGCATTACTAGACAAGCGCCACGCAGCTTAGCATAGGCTAAAGCCACGTGCGTTAGAAACTGCAATAATTGAAGCCTGCAAGTTATCAACTACCTATCGCGGTAATCAAGTCCGTGAACGTGAACACCATCTCGTGTTCAATCGAAGGGTCAAATTATCTCATAACTGGTGAGGTGTGTGTGACACTACATAGTAGATAATACCTCTAGTTTCCTCGCCTTCTTCAATCAATCTTTGCTTATAATTTGTTGACGTAACAGGGTTCGAATGACACTTATACCTACACGAAGACTCAACTGGTCAGTGCTATTCTCTGCATCAGTTGGCAGCACACTTCTTGATTTCGCTGGACAGTATTCGAAATAACGTAATTATTTTCAATCCACCATTATACGTATAGCGATGTGCAGCTCCTAGTCAATGAGACTTGAGGTATCGTCGCAAACGATGCATCTAATATCCGCATTATAGGAGACGAGAGACCTAATTACCTGATAGCTAGCTACCTAGACTACCTACACAGGTAAACATGGAGACTATTCACTCAAATCTAACTCAGGTTATGATTGCGGCGGAGATACACTAGAATACACGGCTTGTCTGTCAAATCAATTCAACGAATTCATTTTCGGAAACGGGCCGTCGGGCTAAATAACGATCCATCGGGGTTAATAATTTTGCTGAAATAATACCATATACGGCGTCCGCGGGATTAATGCACGGCCAGTGTTGACGTCCACTAAGTCCGCTTACACCCACTCATCTACGTCTAAGCCTCCTAGCGTCAGCTCTAAGCTGCCTTCGTAGGGCTAAAATTCATAAAATTCAGAGCCTAGATAGATACCTTAGCCATAAGTGAGCATGGTCAGATTTATTAGATTTTTTTATAAGTAAAGCCGTAGCCTTCGTAGAAACGCCCAGCGTGGAAGTTAATCATCGTTTACCGCTATTGTAAGGACCGATTGTTAAACCTCGAAATTATCCGTGTTTCTTATACCAAGCCTAAGCAAATACTCGACGACCATGCATCTGATACTTACCGGAGCCACTGGCCTCGTAGGCTCCGGCGTTCTCGATGCCATGATCAAAATGAAGGATGTCAGCAAGATCTCGATTCTTAGCCGTCGGCCCGTTAAGATGGTCGAGGATGTCAAAGACCCTCGGGTTCATGTTATTCTCCATAAAGACTTCGAGAAGTATGATTCCGAGCTGCTTTCCCAGCTCAAGGGAGCTTCGGGCTGCGTATGGGCTCTAGGCATCAGTCAGACACAAGTCGGCCCCGAGTTAGTTACCTAAGACAATACCCTTGCTGCCATATTTATCTCATTAACAAATTTTCTTAGGGAATATGTAAAGATCACCAAGGACTACACTTTAGCGGCATCAGAAGCATTTCAAAAACTAGGCTCCGAAGAGAAACCTTTTAATTTCGTTTACGTCTCAGGGACGGGCGCAACAACACAGCCGGGTCGGTTCTCTGCTATATTTGCCCGGGTTAAGGGCGAGACCGAATTGGCGCTGGCTGAGATGCGCAAAGCAAACCCATCTTTTCATGCAAGCTCAATCCGCCCAGCATTTATTGATTCCGCCAGTCACGATGCTATCAAGCCCTATATTCCAGCCAAGACGCCCTTGTACGCGGCTGCTTATGTACTTCTAGGGGTACCGATGAGGTATGTGGCCAAGAGTTACTGGAGTCCTACACAGGACCTAGGACGCTTCTTGACGGAAATGGCCATGGGACGATATAAGGATCAGTTCAAGGCAAAGGATATACAGTTGGAGGGTGAATTCCCGATATTAGAGAATTCGGCGTTTAGGCGATTATCAGGCCTCAGCCGTTAGTGAGAGAACACTGAATTTCATTTTAGCTGCTTTGGTGATAGGGTGTTCAGGTATATAAGAGGACTATATTAATGTACTACTACCTTATAGATAGCCCGCGGGTAGATGCCCTTTCTGAAATTGTATGACTATCTTACCTATGGAAGCTATGCGACCAGCTCGGGGGGTTTTTTTTTTTTTTTTGGACAATTTCCTTTCTCCGTAACAAGGTGATTAATCAAATGCTCTCCTGAATATGCTCGATCTAGCTGCTAGGGACACTTAATGTGTATTAGTATTCAAACCGCCATCTCGGATCTGAATCTCCCTGCCAGTCGGCTACTTCCCCTACGTGTTTTATTTCTTCTGCTATTCCCTCGCGCCTTTTATTTTCTTTCTTTAACCTTACAGCTAAAATCGTAACAACCACCGCATTAGCAACGAGGTACCCAAGTGCAACGGAGTGGCCCACGATGAATCTAGGCCCGTCCGTAGAACGGTACAGTTGTGTACCCAGCACAGCACCTAGGTTCCCAATGCTAATTTGCATAGCATTTGCAATAGCTCGCTTCGTCTGGCCGGACACGTTGATAGCAGGCCAAGATAAAACCAGGGCACTTGCCGGATATATACCTCCCGCAGCGAAGAACACGCCGACGTAGCTGACTCCGGGTCTGGCAACCGGATCACTGTTTCCTAACAAAATAGAGTAACCAATAACAGCGAAGATAGCTGAGCCGCCAATAAAGACTGCTCTTTGGCCAAGTCGCTCGGAGAGAACGGCTACAGAGACTGTTGTTATAAATGCGAACGCATACGGTGGGACGGTGAGTAGCTGCGCCGTTGCCGCTGTGTATCCAAGGTTGGCTATAATGGTTGGCTATAAGACAATTAGCTGCTGCGCTGATACCACCAAGACTGAGGTATTTCATACCAAGAATAGAGATAGCGTATAGAGAGGTAAGCTCATCGTATGAAATCCCAATCCGTAGAGCCAGCAGCTTGGATCTTTCAGTGCTTCTACTACGGCTCCCCAATTAAAGCGCTCGTCATGCGTAGAATCGCTGTCTGCCGCCAACCGCTGGTGGATAAATTTCCGTTCGTCTTCGGTTAGGAACTTCGATGTGTCTGGGTAGTTGTGAATAAATCCATACGCCGCAGTTGCCACAACGACTGTGAGAATGCCTTCCTAATCCAGTATCTCAGGTTAGAAACTCCCATAGTATCCAACGACGAGGTCGGATGACGAACCAAGATAAAAATCCAGCGCCACCCATTCTCCCATACAATACCTCCCATTCTTCCGATTCCCTACACCCAAGTTAGCCAACAAATTCTTCCGAGTTATGGTGAAGAATATACGAACATAAGCTAAGATACCGCCAAATGCGCCAGCCAGAGATGCGGCGCTGAAGAAGAGGGATATGCGATATTGCCGCTCTCGCCTCTTGTACCACATAGAGAAGTAGAATACTACCCCTGGAAATAAACCACTTTCCGCCTGTTTCATGTGAGCATTCGTGTACAAGTTTAGGATAGCCTATACTGAAGCTTCACGTCCTTGGTGTAGAACGGTCAAACAAGTAAAGCAATAAGAGATATTGTTACGTACTGTTAATAAGTTAGTTGTTGTAGGCGACAATGGTGGTATCACAGGGGATGGTGTGATAGTCTCATAGGATTTACTATTTACTGTTACTCACCAACACCGAGAAAGAATCTGCTCAGGAGGAAACCTGCTAGATTATGGACTATGCCCATCAGAGTTGCCACAATTCCCCATACTATCGTTAAAGTCGGCAGCCAAATTCTGGGCGTTGTGCGCTTGAGAATAATGTTGCAAGGGATCTACCCCCTGATTAATACATCGCTGCTCGAATCATTGCATTTATCGAATGTCTCACCTCAAACAGGACATATCCCACGAAGTACAGAGTTAGGCCTGTAAGATATTGGTTTCCAGCTATATGAAAGGTTAGCGGTAAGCTGACTATCAGTTTACCATGCGTGCCTACTTATGTGGACGTCATCAAGTAGACCCTCGATACGAGCATTGCCAACTATAGAGTATTCGAATTAGCGATCATGATACCCAGAGCAGATATCACGAAGAGAAAATTCCACGTCATACCGTTGCTTCGGTCAAGAAAAGATAATAAATACAATACCCCAACTGCAGGTAAGAGTCGTAGGTCCAGCTTTCTTAATAGCGCGCGCTCGTTGATTCCTGAAACCGTGATCTCAGAGTCGGAGGCACCAGAACCGCCTCCTGGAGCGTCATCCAAAGTCTTCTCGGCCATTTCCCACAAGAACAACCGCGCCGGAAAGCTTGAAGAGATAATGACTAGTAGTCCGTTTAATGTAGTCGAGATAGACAGAGGCGAGGAAAATATCTCTAATCTGGCGTGTCTGAAGTGCGCAATTCAGCTACTCCGCAGACTAACTCGCAAACATATCGAGGACGAGACCTGGTCCATGGCATCATAATAGTAATAACTGACTTCAGATATCTATAGACGATGCAGGTTGCTTTTAGAGAGGTTAAGCCGAGTCTGCAACGCTGCTAAGCTTCGTGATTGGTGAGAGCTTTGAATGTGGTGGATCACGACATATCAACCCGGTCTGACGTGACAAATTTCGTACCTATCCAGCACTTCATATCATTAATATCCACCGTACTGTAACAGACTTGATAGAAGATCAGGAGTATTAACTAGTTGGGGTTTAAATAGTTTTTATACTGGCTTTCAGTTACGCTCGAGAAATCTCTAAAGAGTTTTTAACACTAACTATTGGCACATTGTAGCTATACGGGTTTACGTAAGAATGGCTTGGTTGCCCATTGAGTCTATTGTAAAAAGGATATGATATAGTATAGTTATTCTAGTTCAACTTTTAATGTCCATGTAGAATTGCCTAAATAGTGTTGTAAGTCTTAGTTCGTAGTTGACGGGATGTTACACTTGGGTAAAATGTAACTTGACCTTAACGAAGACCGTCTACATGACGGATACTATATAATCATATATTTCGATTAAACCTATTCTTGATAGATTGTTATAATGTACTTCAAAGAAACTACTTCGATATTCTATTCAGCCAGCGTCTACTTTGACTTTCAAATTCCCTAGGCGTATTATAGGTAGTTAGTGGTCTTGAACTGCTATATATGAAAGAAGTGATTTCATGAGATATTGATAATAGTGTGATAGCATTTTATCATTCTGAATGACCTCTAGGAATAATAGATATATGAATGGTATCGAATTTAAATAAACAGCGTATGGTCGACCTAGCTTGGCTCTTGTTTATGTATAGGTAACTTCTAAACCTAGTGTCTTAGAAGGTAACGTCACACCTGCGGCTGATATAAAGGAGACATGTATCCACCTTTCCGTTTCTCTAAAGTAAAACGAAAACATAGAATGAATTCCTATTCGGCCATCTTGATTAAGGTATGCATAGTGTTGTGGGGAATATGTAGGTACTAAGGTTCGGGTTCCCGAAACTCGGTGCTGTGCCTTTTTTACCCCTCCACAACGCCCACCGTCCTGCTTCCGCATTACATTAAGGGCGTAGGTATTGATATTGGTGCTATTTATGTATGAATTCCCACAAGTATTCTTATTGAATACAATCCACTCTAATAACCGGTCTGTATCAATCTTATATCGTACTAAGATTCGTCTTCGATTCAACGTTCCACAATGGCACCGGCATCCTGCAAAGTTCGACATGCTCGCCGAGAGGGTATGCTAAAATGATACTTGTGCCAAATACATCGCGAATGGAAAAAAAAAAGCTGATTGTATGACCTCTGGTAGATGTACCGATAATTCTCCAACAAATTCGTGAGTTGGCTGACTACGAGCATGAACTCGATTCGGTTGAAGCCACCGAGGACACACTCCTTTCTACCATAGCCTTCGCCCCCGATAATGTTGAATCAACCTCCACTGCTCCCAATACCGAGTCCACATCACCTTCGAGGCCGGCAAGATGCCTCCTTCTATTTAATGAAGAGAATAAACCAGCTGGTATGGCGCTGTACTTTTACAACTATAGCACATGGCGATCGAAAGCAGGTATCTACCTCGAGGACTTGTTTGTTCGGCCGACGGACCGGAAAAAGGGCTACGGGAAGAAGCTGCTTGTCGAGTTGGCTAAGGAGGTCGTAGCAACCAATGGCGGCAGGCTTGAATGGAGCGTGCTAAAGTGGAACGAGCCGAGCATTCAATTCTACGAATCCATTGGAGCTAAGAAGATGGACGATTGGGTAGGGATGCGAGTTGATCGCGAGGGATTAACCAAGTTAGCTGGCCTGTTAGACTAAGCAATCTGGCTAGGAAAAGTATAGCTATCTGCTTTATGACCTACTTTTCAATAGTACCGTAGGGGACCTAATCTGACGAAGCGAGGGAACCTAAGATATTAAAGTAGTAACCGCTCACGGACTATTTACCTAGGTACGCCGGCTTTATTGATACCTTGAAAGAACTGAAGATCCTTTTTTCTGGGACTGGGAACTGGCTGCTCGCTATTACCCCAGGTGACAGACCATTTGTTCGACCGTGGATTCTTCTCTGCGATGGGTGATGCTTGCCAGATGCCAATATATAAACTGCGACGTAGTCTCCTTCGACCCAATACTCGGACGCCAATGGGCCGTCCATGCCCTCGGGGATCCTCATCTTCACGCCCGCTAAGGCTCTTCATCTTTCGCGAGTTTCCTCTTTCTAGAGATCGTATTGGTTTCGTCACAAAGTCTGTCCAGGTTGGCTCTGGGGATTTGTGACTAATCGAAAGCGACTGCGCGACTTGTCTCCTTGGGGGCATCTTATAATACTGAGCGTCGGCTTCACCTCTTGCAATGGTACCCAACTGATCCCATTCTCCTCGGGGTAGCGGGGGCAGCAACTGGCGGAGAATTGCTTTCCAATGTTTCTTTAGTTTATTCCTTGCCAATTTCGCAGTGAGCGGGCGACCAAAACAATTTTCTGTCGGAATGCTATTCTTTGGGTTGACGTTTCGGCGCATAGTAAAAGGTAGGTTTTTTTTGCCTTGATGCTCGCTTTGTGAACTGGCAATGGCCATAACCTTTTCTATGGACCAGTTGTCTAACCAGTCGGGCTCTCGCGACTTGCCATTGGGTAGCATAATTCTCTCTTCTAGTTCATCAGAGTTGCTCGGAGGGCTACTGGATAGCTCGGTCCTGCCCAGAATACGGCGTCGTTTGCCGATCCTGCCTGTTGCTAGACGACATAGGCGCAGCATCCGCTCGACATGGCCGGTGTTTGCGGAACGAAGGTATCGGAGATAGTGGTGAGCATCTTTGATATAGGGTTTGGGGTCTGGTTTTTCAAGACAATCGCGAAAGCGGGCTTGAATTCGGTCAGTTATCCAGGGTCGGCAGAGGAGAGGAAGGTATGTGGCTTCTCGAAGTAGGTGTCGATAGAGATGTAGGGGAGTGTTTGGGTGAGGGATCTGTAAAGGCATTGCGGTAGAAAAGTTGATGAGATGGACGGAATTATGATTAGGTACCTAGGTACATACAATCCTCATTTAATGGAACATCCATATAAAGTTAGATAAGCTTAATCATTAATGGAGATGTGAGCTAATGTCCATTAGGTACATTAGGTACATATGCACATACATCTGTACATCCGTAGGTACATGATACTGTACGTAATTCGTGCTAGATTCCTTAAAAAGACCCCACCTTCCATGTACAATACACTTCTGGCTTGTCAGCTAGTCTAGGTACCCTATGTACATTTCGGACACTACCCTCCCCTCACTTTAATTATGTCAAGAGGCGGTCTGTGCATCACGTTCCCTTATTTCTACAATTTTAACGGCCACACACGCGCGTGTCTCGCCCTAGGTACAGTTTACCTATTTTATTTTATTTTATTACAAGTCACGACTTCACGATTACACGAAACTGACACGTCCGTTTATGCTCGCCCTTTTTCGCGCGGCAATGCACTATTCCTAATTCCTACCTTTTAATTGAATTCCAATTTTGGCATCTTCGGAGCCTGGAACGGGAATTAATAAAATAGTCGCGAGAGTAACCCTACGGTCCTATCCAAGGGCTTGTCCAACGAAGAAGTGCATGGGAAAAGCGCGTCAGTGTGATCTGATTGATCTGACCCGTGTCTTTGCATCTTTACATCTCTGCGTCTCTGCATTGCCTGGCATATCTCAGTATACCCTTATATTAAATTATATCTCACTCCATCCTGCGCCGACTGGTCCGAGGTTAGAATAATTTTTATTATTACAACCATTATTCTACATCACCGCCTCAAAAAGCTTTTTTGTAATCTTGTGATAAGTGGTACACTAGCATCATATTGGTCGTTAATTCGATCCTTCTTTTGCTTCCACTTATTGCATCGGAAGGTACCTTTCATGTACCTTGCAACTTGCAACTTACAATTTACAACGAATCGCACAACTCCTTCCTCAGTAGGAGGTACGGTACATGCCTACATACGATCCGCATCTACCTAATTGGAGACAATTGATAGCAACAACGACTGAGCGGGCATATGCTATGTATCTTTAAGGCTACCGGCGCATTGTCCCCCCCTTAACGATCCACATTATCTCGGACTCAGATTGATTTTTTTTCTACCTTTAATCTCATTGACGAGTCCCGGGATTTCTGCACATCTCGAATCCACTTTGACCCGCTACTCTACATCCTGATACTGCTAATACTACTCTACCACCGATGGCCTCGGCAACAACCGCTATCTCGCATCATTATCAACAGCTTGACGTCCCACGCACTACTGCCGAACAAGCTAATAACTCTCTTCAAGCTTTATCGAGTTCTCAACGCCAATCACAGTCTTCTATTCTGTCTTCGTCACAATTTCCGGCTTCCACTGAGAGAAGCGGCGGCGTAGTCGCTGCTATAGACAGCGTCAAAATGTCGCAATCGCAACCTTCGTCGCAACAGTCTTTTACAATGAGCCAGCCGACTCAACCACCATATAGGCAGTTTTCCGATTCCAATATGAGGTTAGGAAATGGGCTTGGTCACGACCATAATGCACCACAAATATATTCTGTCAGTAGCCTTCTTTTCATCCCCACCCCTTTAAGCTATATCAGCTTCGACTTGTCGAGCTTATCACGCTAACCTTTATCTACCTATATAGGCCGTTTACTCTGGCACAGACGTATACGAGATGGAGGTTAACGGTGTCGCTGTCATGCGCCGCCGCGCAGATAGTTGGTTAAATGCTACTCAGATCCTCAAGGTTGCCAACATTGATAAGGGGAAGCGAACGAAAATCCTTGAAAAGGAGATACAGACTGGCGAACATGAAAAGGTGCAAGGCGGTTATGGGAAATACCAGGGCACCTGGATTAAATTCGATCGAGGCGTTGAGGTATGCCGTCAATACGGAGTTGAAGAATTGCTTCGTCCTCTCTTAATCTACGACATGGGCCAGGATGGTGGCATCGCGGGTAGGGGAGACATCAATACCCCTACCAAAGAGCAGGCTATGGCTGCGCAAAGAAAGCGCATGTACGCTGGAAACGACATTCGCGCCAATGGGTTATCTGGAACCTTCTTTAAGAACATCTCGAGTACGGCATCTAACGCTGTCGCTGCTATCAGCAAGGCTCGCTTCGATTCGCCCGGCCCGAGAGGTCGGAATGGTCCGACAAGGCCACCTAGTTTTAGTCGGCAGTCTTCGATGCAGAACGTCGACGACTTTCCGGGGAATTCTCAGCAGAGCTTTACCTCCGACTACGGCCAAAATGTTGACTCGGCGTATTCAACCCAGAATACACAGATCTTCAACGGCGAAGAGCCATCGCGAAAACGTCAAAAAGTCGTTACTCCCGCAGATAGTTTTGGATACGTGTCGCATTCTATGGATATGTACGCCAATAATTTCCCCGGCTCGCCTACGGAGCCCAACGAATCTTTCCAATACTCTCAAGCCGGCATCGACGTACATGAGAACGACGCTGTGCCACTACCCCCCTTACCCTTTGAGCTCTCTCCGGAGGCGGACCAGAAGCGCAACCTACTCATGGGGCTCTTCCTAGATCCTAATGCCAACGCCTCTGACTACTCTCAAAACGAAGCTTTCCAGACGCTATCGCCTTTGGACCTCGACGCACCAATAGATGCATCAAGTCATACTGCTCTTCACTGGGCCGCTACCTTAGCTCGAATACCTCTTCTGCGAGCGTTGATATCGGCGGGAGCGAATCCTTACCGAATCAATGCTTCGGGCGAAACAGCTTTGATGAGAGCATCGGCGGTAACGAATAACTCAGATCAAGTTTCGTTCCCTGAATTACTCGACGTCTTAGGTAACACTATCGACGTTCGAGATAACAAGGGTCGAACCGTTTTGCATCATATTGCTGTCACAAGTGCCGTGAAGGGTAGGAGCCATTCCAGCAGATACTACTTGGAGAGCCTCCTGGAGTGGGTTGTGAGACAAGGGAGCGCGCCGAGCAGCCAAAATACGACAGCAAACGGCAATTCTAGCCAACCGAAGATGGGCATCGGTCGATTCATGAGCGAGATTGTAAATGCGCAAGATAAGTCCGGCGATACCGCGTTAAATATCGCGGCACGGATTGGAAATAGGAGTATCATCTCGCAGTTACTTGAAGTGGGTGCAGATCCCAGCATCGCTAACAAGGCAGGCCTCAGACCGGTTGACTTTGGAGTGGGCGGTGACCTTGGGGAAGATGGGGCTAATGGTGATCTAACGGTAACTGACAAGGCAAATATTACTGGTACTTGCCAGAAGACCCGAGAGAGCAGTGCTGAGATTATTACCTGTAAGTTTATGGACAAGGTCCCATTCATTTATTTGCTAATCCTAACTTATCCTAGCCATCACACACCTACTGAATGAGACTTCCAACACCTTCCAAACGGAACTGAGGAAGAAGCAACAAGACATTGATTCGCTTCATGTCTCTTTGCGAACGACGTCTACCCAGTTGGGAGATGCGCGACGCCAGCTTGAGACGTTACAAACAGCTGCCAAGTCACAATCTCTCGCGCGTCAGAAGATAAGTAACCTTAGTCGGGGCCGTGACGAGGAGCAGAAGCACTTGATGCGATTGGAACAAAATTATGGTCGCCTAGATGCAAATAACTCTTGGGAGACGGAACTCAATGCAGCTTTGGAGCCTGCGGATGGAGATGCGCCGAATGCCGCTCTGCTGCCTAACTCCGTGGTCCTCCGTGCACGTATACAAGCACTAAGGAATAGGAAAGATGCTATGCGGAAGAGCATAGGTTCGCTCAAAGGCCGCAGCAAAGAGGTTGAAGTCAAATACCGGCGTGTAGTAGCGCTGTGTACCGGTGTATCGGAAAGCGAAGTTGACGTCGTCGTAGACGGCTTATTACGTGCCGTGGAGAGCGAAAAGGGGGAACTTGAGATCGGCCGCATACGGAGATTTCTTGGTGGTGTTGATGGGGTGCATTGATGATTGAAATTGTGTAACGGCTTTGGGCGTAAGGGGTTTTACAAATAGGTTTTGTATGAGGCATGGCATTGTTGGATTTGTACATCTTCGATATTAGGACCGTGTGCTGGCTGCATTTAACGGCAACCGTTGGCGGGTTTAGGGAGAGGGAGGGGTTATGATTCTACGCCCAGCATTATCCCGCGGCCGACTGTATATAGGTACAAGCTGAGCACCACAAGTCGCAAGCAAGGCGCCGAGTTTTTAAACGCACATATCTCACATGATAGGGTATCCATCCCGATGTTTTATCTGGTAATCGTTGCCGATTTGAGAGCAAGTTGGCTGTTCACTCTTGAGATTCAAATGGGCCTCCATAATTATTTTCCTTTCTTGATGCAGGGGTGAATAGGGATGAGACACTATGGACTACCTACATAAGAGGTACCTGAGCAGACACCTGAGTGAGAGTGAGAGTGAGAGTGAGTGAAGAATAAATGAATTTTCATTTGACCTGTTATAACTCCTTACCAGTGCTACATCCGAGGGTATCATTAACCATCCACGCCTTCATAAGCTGTTCCTAATTTTAGGTATCTCTGCTGTACCAGCATCCTTAATTTCTTAGGTTATAAGTCACACTTCGTGTCCCTAGGTATTTACACCTCAATGCTGTCGTATCATATTTGCTACTGCTCCGGAAGCCCAACTTGACGTCCCTTTAGCTTTCCGCACCAACCCTTGGACTAGCTTCCACGCGGAAGATTCCTGCTCATCGCCATCGCTATCGTTGCTATGCCCGCGAACCGGGGCGAATACTTTAAGCCTCCCTTCAGACAGTGCGAACCCGTCACATGCAACTCGTTGCACGCGAACGCCCGGGTGGAACATGTCCAGGCCAAGGTGGTGCCACATGTACGCGGCTAGGGCATCGGTGAATGGCTGCTTGATAATGTTCTCCTCTGCTTCTCCTTCGATACTATCGTGATACTGCCTGTGCCATGCCCATCCTTCTTCATTCTTGCCGCCCGCGAGCTTCCGGCGCCTCCTACTCTGCTGGTCATCTGATAAAGCGGTTTGTACGTCCGTTTTCCGCTTCCTCGTTATGACGGCAGCCGTAGGTTTGCTACCGAGCTTCTCACCCACGCGTAGGAACCGGTACACATCCGCGGCGGGAATGGTAATGTCAATAGTTTTTATGCCTACACGAGGCAGATCTTGCTTTTGGCCTTGATTTTGTTCACTTGTATAATCAAGTTCATTTCCACTACTTTGCCCTTTAGATTCCCTTGGCTCAACGTGAAAACCGAGCGTAATAAGAATATGTTTACTCGGCATATGTCGGTTTCTGTTGGAGTGATTATCGGACAACCAAGCCTCCCAACTACTCACGAGCGTCCGTGTGCCTAGCGCAAGGGGGCTAACACGGCAGTCAAAAGTGTTGGATAGGAAATCAACGAGTACGGATTTGAGAGGTGCGGGCATCCGGAATAGAAGCAACGGCAAGTGTAAGAATGCCGTTCCATCATCTTCTCCCGGCTTGGAGCCACTATTATCATCCGTCCGCCACGTCCACGAGGGCCGGTAATTAGAGCCTGGTATGTCTTCGTCTTCAGATAGATCGGACAAGAGCAGAGCGCTAAACCGAGCGTTCTCGTACCTTAGCTCTATAGATAGAGCTCGCTGTTTACCCCCTTGCGCCCGCTCATCGGTTTCGTCGGCGTCATTCCCCAACTCTACGCTACCTTCTCGCCGACTACCTCCTCTGAGTATCTTCTCGGCATCGACCCATCGCCACTCCACAGCATATAAGGCACCTGTACGCCCTAATTCTGCATCTCCGTCCAACCCGACCTGTACGCCGCGCACTACGTCGCCAACGAGAGTGTCTCGTAGATGCTTGGATAGGAGTTGTAGGCGCGCATGCGTTAATTTTTGTTTACCTACGTAGAGAGGCGACACACGATACGTAGTAAATGTGGTGTTGAAGAAGCGTGGCGGCTCCGAATCGTTGTGGGACAAGTCGGCACTTGGCGACGCATCGGATCCTGGAGGGGAGCGTTCTAGGTCTGGATCTGGCGATGGCGAGGCAGGTTCCGCGGGCGGCTCTACTGCTTCTTTATTCTCTCGTCTTCGAGGCGGCATTGGATGATTTATCTATTCGATATGGACTAGATTGGCTCAAATGAATTTGAGCAATTGTGAATGTAAAAGTTATGGCGAGTAACGATGCAAGTCGACGCGTTCGTCGCGGCCGTCGCGTTCAAATAGAGCTAATGTTAGCCCGGATTTTACAATGACAAGATGGTTGGAATGATTAAACTAATTGGCGCATAGGTAAATGTAGATGAAGCTGAGATATTCGATATTGTTAAGGGTCAATTGAATCCGAATCGTGGAATAATTGAAGTTGTTTCCAGGTTCAAATTCGGATGTTGCTTCTGTAACCCAAATGTATTAAACCTACCTTACGCTAATGTACCTAATCGATAGCTTAATGCGGGGTGGAGGTACATACATAGGTACATGTATGTACGAAGTACCTACATACCTTCCTTAGGTACCTGGTAGGTAAGTCTCTCAACATTGTCTCGTCTTTCGTCATTTTCTAACTTCAAATATTACATACAACTTCACCAAGCTTCAACGTGTCAAGAGCTTCTCAAGTCATATAAGCTAGTTATACACTTCAGTCACAGCCAATTTAATTCTAAACTATAAAGGCTACACCAATGGCGCTGATTGAGAATAACCACCTATACGATCAACCTAATCCATCTACAAGTTCACTTATGAGTTCCGTTCCACTTCTCTTCTCTAAATTCCAGGAGTTGCCGCCCGAGTTACGGCATCATATCTGGCGCATGGCCCTTCCCACACCTGGCATCAACTTTTTCAACGTTCATTGCATACCTAACGATCATCACGGCGTTAATCAGAGTACTTCTCCTTCCTGGCTGTACCTGGACCTGAGACGTCTATCCATCGATGATGACGATGAAACAGTCTCCCAGTACGATCCTTCAGCATGGCAGGCTCGGGAGACGCTACGTCGCGTTTGTCGAGAAGCCCGTGATGTGTGTGCTCTCTCTCCAGCCGAGGCCGCTACTATCACACTAACTCGCCCTCGTCGTGGCCTATTTGTGAGAGCGGCAGATGGCCAGCTACGAAAATTGATCCCCATGCGTTACCGCCCCGAACTTCCATACCTCCAACCAAAACCGTCCGGCAAGCGACGAGCTGATCATCTGGAACCATTGGAGCACCGGGTGGTCAGTGTCCATGTCGATGACGTGCTCTGTCTCTCCATCGAGAACTGTAGCTTCAACCTCCCGTTTGAGGAAATGCCCATCACCAACAGCGACGGACTTTTTTCTTACAGTAGTGGTTCATCAGATGGCGATGACTATGAGTTGGGGTGGGCTTACGACCCGCAGCTAACACCTCCCCTACCATCTGCCATCAGATGGTCAAGGATGTGTATTGAGATGGCTCGCAACGATCGGATCATTCTCCAGGGTGTTAATGAGGCGGTCCGGGATATGCTATCATTCTCCCAGAACCGGAATGCGCAGCCGGGGGAGATGCCAGATCAGGTGCCTTTGGTCATGTTTGACGCGTTGAAACAGGAGCTGGGTCAACGCCGCGTCGAGGAGCTTACCCCTTGGGATGAGGTGTTCTGGGATCGCTACGGTGACCGCTACGTTGCACTTCCGTGGAACTCGACAGACCTACTTGCCGATTATAAGCTCACCAAGGTATGGCCCGAGGCCAATGATATTCGGCTCCGACACTTGCGGTCCGCGATGCTACAATCGCCAAAGAGGCCTGCTAATTACCCGTCTTGACATGTCTTTACTCCGCAATACGCTCCGGTATAAATAGGTGTTACGCACGTATGAACAAAAACAGTCATGTATGCATTTTAGAAAGCTTGAACGATAATGTTAGACAATGTTATTTACATTGTTATACGACAAATATCAGACCATCGATAGATAAACACGGGGTGGATTTGAATAATGAAATTCCTAATGGAATTCCTATAAAAGACTCTTATAATGTTTTGCTCGCATTCCAAGTCCCTCTTGAAAATTACGACAACCTCGTAGATAGATACTAGGCAGCCTCTACCCAACCAACGCCATGCCGATGCCATGCAGTAATTCAAATTCGTCACCGTGAGAAAGCCATGTTTTCACGTCCGGCCTCGTGTTGGGTCTTGCTCAGCAGCCTTATTACACCTTAATAGATACCTTTCTAAATTATTAGGATCGGTTCAAGTTCAAGCATGACATTTCATAAGATTAAACCGGGCCCGCCATTCGCGTAGAGGCCTTGCCACCTCTCCTCGACAGCCGTGACCTTGCCTTTCACGCTTTCGATTTCTGTTTCTAACTCCTCAACGTTCCGCGTTAGGGCGCTAACCTCCTCGAACCGCCTCGCGCCGTGCGCCCCGCTAATCATGGCTTGTACCATATATTTCTGCTCTTCTAAGACGATCAACCGTTCACGCAGCTCTTTCTCTTCCGTTTCCAACGCAGACACTACTGTACTAGCCTCACTGGTCTGGCTGGCCGTCTCGAGCATGTCACTGCCGTTCCGTAGCGGGCTCGCTACGTGGCCATTGGCGAGCAGGCGGCTCTTAGCGGAACTGGAGCTGGAGCTGTTATGCTTTAGCATCCGCGGAAGATTCTTAAGCGGTAGCATATGCATATGCAAGAACGCGGAGGCCGCTTGGTGGATGGTCTTCTGCAGTTGCCGTTGTGTTGGGCTGTCCGTTTTCATATCACGGATTCGTCGCGCTGCCACGTCGTATTTAGTAAAGCTGTCGGTGAGCCGCTTCCTGAGTTTGGACGCCTCCTGGATCTGGGCATGGCTTGGTGTGTTACTCTCGTCCTGCAGTGGCAAGAGAGCTTTCTGGAACGTAGGCAATATGAGCTGGATTCCCCGTTCAAACTGCTTCAGCGTCTCGTATGCCCGTTGGTCAGGTGGTTTGTGTATAATAGATTCCATAAAGTCCCGCTTTGAGAATATGGTAGACTTGCAATCACGACACATACGAATATCAATACCTATAGAGTTTTCTCCTCCCAATTTTTCTGATACAGGAACAGACGGATTTGCGACGCTCAGGCCTACTTCGGACGAACAATTGGTCTGGGGATCTGCGCATACTACCCGTCCACATATTCGGCAATGATGCCTTCTGAATGTCCAGGAGAATTCCTGCTGGCAGAACCGACATTTCGGAACCTTGCCGTCATCCTCCCATGTCACAACTGATTGTTCAATCGCCTTCCGTTGACTCCTCTGCGCGGCTAGGGGAGATAGCAGGCCCGCACCACCGCTTACCCCCGCCTCTTCAGGTAAGTGAATGAGCAATTGAGTCAGCTTCGTAAGCCTCTTTTCTAATCGCGATATCTCTAAGGTTTGTCTATCGACTTTCTTCCTGCGTATCGCTGAAAATTCTTGCATGTGATCCCTTATCAGCCCGTTGTGGTCGTTATATCCTTCTCTCGACTTGTAGCACGTTTCACACACACGATACCAGTAACCCCTCACAGGTTCGTGCGAGGCCGACCTTGATAATTTCATCTGATACATCGTATGCTCCTCGCAGAATAGTCTCCCGCATTGTCTACAGTTTATGTTGCCGTTGACGGCACCTAATCTCTTTCCGCAAGCCGGGTCGGTGCATAGGTCATTTAGACCCTGTCGCTGCCAATGGGTTTTGGTGATTATATCGTCAGGATCTAGCGGCGAATCGGGAACGGGGGCCCTGTTTGCCCTACTGGTGACAGGGACAGGGAGTGGGGTCGATTCATTAGACTCGAAGACTTCGAGGCCACGGAGCTTCTGATTTATAAGGGAGAGAGGCTGAAATTTCTTAGCCTTGAGGACTTGCTTGTCTATCCAAGACTTGACTTCATCCTGTTCGAATTCAGGTAGCTCCTGATGGGCATCGTCGATATGGCGATTTAATTGCAGCAGCGTCAACATCTCTTCCTCGCATATGGGACATACAAGCTTGGAGCCTGACTGACCGCCAGTACTCGGCCCTCCTAGACTAACATTGGAGGTGAGATCCTGCGCAAAGCTGGTTAAGGGGCTAGGAGTGTCGGGAGAGATGGATGTAGCGGGAGAGCCGATGGACAATGTGCTGTCAGACGGAGCCGAGGGGCTAGCAGCTCTCTCCCTTTGGACGGCTGGAGGTGCTGGAGGGGCCAAACCCTTCCCACTACCGAGTATCCTCCCCCCGCCAAGCCTCCGACCAGACATGTTAGGCTTCTTCTAGAATTCCGGTATTTGAAAAGCCATGAGGACGCCGGATATCCGTAACCACAATCGGAACTTGTGAGAGAAGGTGTCGAGAAGGTGTTGACGAGACGTCAAGTCGCAGGTATGGGAATTTAAATCCGAGGAGACAGGCTTTCGTAGTATAAGCAACAAGCTCAATCTGCCCATCGGGTCGCTTGCAGAAGTTCCAGATTCGCGGCTTGTAGTCGTAGATTCGATATATTTCTCGTAGTTTGTAGTTGGTAGTTGGTAGTTGTTGGTAGTTGGTAGTTGTTGGTAGTTGGTAGTTGGAGAGTTGCGGCGCAAGGCAAAAGGATGTAAAGTAACGCTAAGGTTATGTTACGTGTAGGTATGTACATACGCCTCAGGGACGTGGAAGTGGTACAATACAAGCATTAGGTAATGTTTAATTCTTAGCGTAACTACCTCTTAATAACTTTGAACATTAACACCTAGGTATATGTATAGAGTTATCGATATGACGTATATTAGCACTTGGCCTAATACATAATCGTCCAGGTTAGGTAGTGAGGTACATACATAATATACATGTACATTTTGAAATATACCTAGGTAATGTACCTATATGATGTACCTTAGGTACTCTGCTGTCGTGTGCCACTATTCTAATACTTGAGACATAATATAAATGGATCTTAGCTTTTTTGTCATAACATTATTTATTTTTTATCGCAACTTCAACGTATCAAAACTCTCCATGCTCATTATTCGTTCACTCTCCGATTGAGCTTTTTCGGAGAAACACGTATAGGTAATTAAAATCAAAACAAATATGCTTTAAGTTACTGCAACCTCCTTTCTTCCCTTCTCTGTATTTTAAGCATCTCAAACCCATTCATTGTCTTTGACGTGACGATCATGCAGTAACTTGCTGGAGCTCGAAGCTAGTTGAATGATAGATGATAGAATGGCGAGTAATAACGAGGACAAATTCCCACCAGTCCAGGGCGGTGGCAGTTTGATTCTGGCCTGGCAGGTCAAGAACAAACAGGTCCTAGTGATCGGCGGCGGCGAGGTAAGATTGTATACCGGAATTTCTCCTAAAGAGATATCCCAACTGACATATCCCTGCTTAGGTGGCGGCTGGCCGCATCCTCAACGTTCTCAACGCCGATGCCAATGTTACCGTCGTAAGCCCTTCTTCCGGTCTCAATCCCGAAGTACGGCATCGTATCGACAACGACGAGGTCACTTATATCGATCGCGTATTCCAACCTTCAGATCTAGAGACATTACCTCCAAATAACGGACCTCCCGACATGGTACTTGTCGCTATCGATGATCCTGCTGCTTCAACTCAAATCTGGAAGTTATGCAAGGAGCATCGCATTCCGGCTAACATTGCTGACGTCCCGCCCGAGTGCGACTTTTATTTTGGAAGCGTACATCGTGATGGACCCTTGCAGATCATGGTCAGCACCAACGGAAAGGGACCGAGACTCGCTGCCAGTATTAGGAAGTGGATCGGGAGTCAGTTGCCCTCAAACATTGGTGATGCTATCGAGAGGATCGGCTCACTACGTGCTAAGCTACGCCAGATAGCCCCAAGCCCCGATGAGGGTCCCAAGAGGATGCGTTGGATGACGAGGGTTAGCGATGCCTATAGTTGGAATGAAATGTGCGGGCTCACCGACGAAGATATTGATAACCTTTTAAAGTTCTATCCTCCTAACGACGTCCCCCAATTAGATATGCTCCAGGCCATGCGAGGTGGAAGGGAACCAGAAGATATCGATCTTTTCGATGGTTCTTTCGGTTTTAGCGTTGTCGCATAGGCAGCCACTTGGAAGCTCTCTGGAATGTTTCAGGGGTTGGGCAGAGATAGTACCTAGTAAATTAACCAGAGAGACGAGGGAAATAATCCAGACTACCCGTCTTTAATCTATACGCCCGTTGTCCAGTACCACATCTTAAGATAGCTGGGGCCAAACGGATTTTTTTTTAAAAAAAAAGAGCCAAATCCACAATATACTAAAGGGACTACGATCATAATACCATACTATCTTAACAACCCTCATAATAATGTATATCTAAATGCTTATAATCCCATCGACTTCCTATGTAGATATATACTAAGTCCTTTCCTACATCTTGTGTTGGCGAATACGGGGTTCACCTATAAACTAAAGTTACATGTTGAATTTATACTAGCCTATCCTTGACCCTATGACGATCGCCTTTAACTTCGCTCTTCGGCGATACAAAGATCCAAACTGTTCTGCAGAATGTGAAGCCTATATCTGGTAGACCTAGTTCAGCAACCGATAGTAGCGTTGAGTCTAGCTTGAGGCTTTAAACGGGACTCTTGATTCGTTCATGAGGTCCTAACGTATCTGAAGGATAGTAGAAGGATTGTAAATTCAGCTTCACTCCCCAGTTTAATATAGAGTACTTGCTATTGTCTCATATACTCAGTTAGAGAGTAATGTAGACTAATTCTTAACTTTCCCAAAGGCTCTCCCCAGACATTATCTACGAAATCCTATGTTGGCTCAAACAATGTCGACCCAAGGATGACAAGTGCAGATCATTATGGAGGCTTTTTGCTACAAGGACATCGGGATTATGACTCTCTAGGCGAAGGATGGCAGACGTGTAAGGGCATGTTAAAAGATGACCACAAAAGCCGTATGTAGACCGGTTTGGATCTAAATATTCCTCGAGATCATATTAATTCTAAGCTCAGTGCTATTCGAGTAGGTATTTATGAACAAGTATGCTATACGTGACTCCTTTCAAGCATTGATAAATTATATTATCCTTCGCCGCCCTTTATATCAATGATAGCCCGGCCACTGGCGATAGTCATCCTACTCCTATAACACTACAAAAGCCAAGAGGCATTATAGTATATGAACCATATATTCAAAACATATTCTTACCATTAATGCTTTCTTTATTCACGATATCCTATTTTGAGGCCTTCGGCCTATTATGATTCATCATGACCACCTACACTTGTCTAACACAAGTACATCTTGGTACATGCGTGTGAAGAAGCGTCCTAATTAGTCAGTGGTGACTGTAAGCTTACCAAGCGAAGTTATATATCTAAATTCTGTTCCATCGGGATCGCCGTGATCTTGGTTTGATCAAGCATCCCTGTTCGTTCTCTCCGTTGAATAGAAGCTTACATCAAAATCAACTACTTCATTGCGTACCGATTGCAGATCTGCTGCCTCTACTAATACAATGATGGTAGTAGCATAAAGGAATATGTTTCAACTATACAACTCCTGGGGACACGGGGCGCCTCATGAAGTAATCATAGGATATTAGCCTATGTAGAAGTTGATACTAGGCTCACAATGAGGCATAAATGTAGAAGAGGCCCCTGACTCGGGTACATTATCGCTTTACAGATGAGTATCGAATGTTCCGGATAATCTTAAGTCAGCACGAGTAGATATTTACCTGTTAGGCTGGAAGCTAGGTAATGGCTCGGCCTCGAGGATAGAAATATGTAAAAGCTAGTTACGCTATGGGGGCTACTGGGAATATGCCGTGATTTATCGGTTACTCTCTCATATAAGAGGTCTATATCATAGATTTTTATGAGCCATAGAGTATACATAACACGAAGACTTTGAACCTAGATAAATTCACGGTTGTAGTGTTGCATACAAAAGTCTTCTTTCCGTTTATCATAGCGAGATTGGTCTAGAATGCTGCAAGTTTCTGAGCTTGCTGGGTATAGTGCATTTACAAGATGGAGAAAAAAAGAGAGGCGGTCAATTCTTTCTAGTGGTGTATGGCGTTCCGGATGGCATGACGATCGAAGCCACCAGCATAAGAGTGTGGCCAATACTTCCCTGAGGATTCGCTTTTCAGTACGGAAAGAGCGGTGATTAGATTCCAATGGATCAATTGATCTCCGAGTATATTTATGAGCATCTAAGGTTGAGGGGGACTACTCCGGTAGGTACGGGTGGAAGAAGCAAAGAGACACTCACCGAGAGCTGCTAAGCGAGCCAATTTCTAGACCTGCTCGGGGGTTCCCTGCAAAATCTTTGTACACTGGGGGCCGGCTGCAGCTCTTTCGCTTAAGTATATGCAACTGTGTAATTGTAGATGTGGCCAAAAAAGGATTAGAAGGCAGTTGAGATATCATTGTTTTGAGCCAAACGCCAACTTTCGCTTTCATTAGGTACTCGAGGATATTTTTAAGTCATTGAACTATTGTTTATAAGGTAAAATAAGGACCATGGAACGTAAAATAAAAACTACCCACTGCCTGAGTACGGGGTATGACTCGTGAATTCGAATAGATGGAGTGCTCGTCGCTCAAGATCAGCTACATGAAGTACTAGATTTAGGTACCTAGTAGCCTGAGAATCTAGGAAGCGGGTACTTACAGATATAGGAAACATACGATAGACAAAATACCTCGCAGTGGACATTGGTCTATGTCCATACATTCCTCTTCTACGCGCGAGCCTTGAAATCCATCGCTTGTGGCTGAACCGGGTGATGTGACTATGCGTCCGGACGTAGCCCAGAACTCGAACGAGGTCCTTACATATCCAGAAAGAGCAAAGAAAGACGTACTAAGTTGGCAGACATACCTACCTATCTAACCTGCGCCCGAAATGATGGTGGTGAGCACAAAACCCACGTGCGGCTCGTTCATGGGATACTGAGACAATAGCTCTTTACGTGTCCCAACGACGCAGAATAACTTGCCCCAACCTCTAATGACGGGCAACCTTCCGAGCCAGGTTCGTTGGAGCAGTATCCCTGTACACATCTAGCCCCCGAGAGCCTTATTTTCTACTTGTCTGGTTCCCCTTTTTTTCTGAAATGCGCAACAAACGAGGACTGCCGCTACAGAAACCGGCTATGTTTATAAATTACAAGGAACCAACTGATCAATTTGCTAGGACTTACTGTATCATAAGACCAGTGGGGCGGCGGGAGGCTGCATGCAATAGAAATCGATAAGTTGTTACAGGTTGTTGGGTCCCAGGAGTCCGGTAACAGTTCCACGTAAAGTAATATCAGATCACACACTTTCCCTCCATTTTCCCAAACCCTTGTCAGATAGCTACTTCAGACTAGGAAGACCCGGTCTAGTTTACTCTCTCCTACTGGGTCCTGAAAAGGCTAGGTTAGAGAGTGACACAGATCTTCATACAGCGGCAGTTAGGCCGTATAATCTAGTGCCCGGAAAACGAGCCTCCAGGCTAAGTCGGAACAGCTTGATCATGGCTAGCTATTAGACCGGCTGAATGCATTATGTTCGGGCGCGTACTAAATTAAAGTAACTTTTCCCAGTTGTTATTATCGTTATTACGAGTACGGTAATAACCCTCCATGTCGAATTCGAAGCGCAAGTCGTAAATTAGAATGAATATCTTCTAGACGAGCTGATGTAAATGAGCCCTCCTCGTAAGCCTGGTACTATCGAAGCTTCGATTTTTTTTAACGATAATATGCTTATTGTCTAACCAACCGTATTCTCTGGGTATCTTACCTGTAACAAGGTAGCTGTACTTTATATCGATGCTGTCCCACGAAGTCGCTCCTAAAGGCCAAAATATTAGGCGCCACAAGCCGACTGGAAAACAAAGCATAAGCTCATCTGTTTGTTGCACTGCAGGTCATGCACATCTGTTTTACGGGCGTAAAATTCGTCCAGGTCGGAGCGCACGCATTGCTGCAGGATCGAGGCACACACGGAGATGAGGTACCTAGGGACGGATAGCTGCTTTCACCACGGGTGCACTAATATTCTAGGTCGGGCTTAGATTTTATCAAAGTTGCAACCGAACCATATTAATGGAGGTAGAAGCCAAAGTAGGAAACTAGAATCCGCCGCTGGTTAGTTACGGGGTGACGTTGGCGGCGACGGGGAAAGGGGTATAGGCGTAAGAATCTGATGACACTTGCGTTGCATATTCAGAGCTGGCCCGTGGATCCATGCAGTTGATATTAACATGATGCTGTACTAATCCCATATTTGTGACCAATACACGTGCAACGTTTAGCATTGGGTTCTATTGGAATACACAAGGATCAAGTAGGTAGACGAAGTGAAAGTGATTTGGTAGCCACAGACTTTCCATCATGGGATAAGCTAATGTATTATCTTCATTCATTCCGGGCACAACTATATCTTAATGAAGCATACGCGTCATTGAATTGCTTCCCAGGGGAAACGGGAGTGATGATGTATGTATCTAAAAAGTGGTAGGCTTGATGTTATATATAATGATGGCAGGTAGCTTAACAAAGACCGTCCTAAAGGCGAACCGCGTAGTAAATGAATACCTTTAGCGATGCTGTAAGAAGCATCGATGAAACTATGATAATATGAAAGGTACATTTATAAATCAGCTGTCAGTGGAATCGCGTGGAGTTGAGCTACCTGGTGGCTTGGAACACCACGTTTCTGTAAGGATATTAATAACAATGCAGACCAAGTGATATATCGCGTCTCAGCGTAGCAGATACTGCAAGGGCTCGAAACATTCTTCTATTAGACGTTGGGATGTCTGGTCTCAACCTTGCCATCTCACCCTCCTGAAAGAAGCGAAAGACAAAGCCGTTGAGGAGATCCCGACGATATGGCTGCGTTCCCTAGTCGGCCACGTTTTCCCCTGTCGCATCAATAATGAGTCATACGATGTCCGTCGTCAATGACACGGCCAAGATGAACTCTAGAAATCATAGGCCGAGAGCACGAGGCATATCCATGTCTCCTAATATATTTCAGGGTAATAGCATCTGGTCTGGAGAGGGCTCAGGAAGATGTAACGTTGTGAACCATGAGAACCCCGAGCTTCTAAAGGTGGTGGTTGTTTGGGTAACAATACTAGGAAGACAAAAGACGGTAGCCAGATCGTCGGCTCCCTCTTTACTGCACAAGGCAAATGACAGCGGGCGTCCTGTTCTAGCTATTCCTAGCTGATGCTGTACCCGTCGTACAGCATATGTGGCTCCATGTTACGTCTTTTCCAGGCGCCAGGATCGGGGGGCACCCAGGGAAAGGGAGTGCGCGAGATCTGGAGGAAACAAAATCTCGCTGCATAATCTCTGCGCACCTAAGCGTGTTCCTCGTTTCCCGTTACTGTTCTTGGCCAAGCCGCTGTTGGCGATAAATGAGAGTGA